TCTAGCTCGCCAGTTTGACAAAGGGCTAGAGCGGAAGATGCGGCCATTCTCGTAAAGAGTGACGTGCACAACTTTGGACAACGGAAAAGGAGGAAGGGAGAGATCAACTCAGACTCAACCTTGAGGTGCAGCTGACGCTGAACAAACCAACCTCGTATGTAACTTGTAAGAGGAGGTTGACCAGAACGAATCAGAAGCGGGTTTCGGCCTCTCTGCTGGCCCGGGAAAAGTCGCCTTGGAGCTGGTGTATGCATCTGCTTCAACCAGGCCCAGTGCCCTCGTACTGCTACTGGGCATTATAGAGCACTGGCAAGCCGGGTACGTAAACCACCGCGGTGTCAGGGACCATGTCGATTCCTTGACCAACGATCATCAAACACCCTTCACAATTTGACAAACTCCGACCCAGATCCTCGTCAAGGCAAGCCCGTATCATTGGCCCTCGTCAATCAGCACCACCGGTGCCACTCAGCCGCTCACAAATGTGATCAGCATACGGATTCCCAGAGTGCCGTCGTGGTGGTGGTGGTGGTGGTGGTGGTGGTGGTGCTTGTTATCTCACCCTGCGCTGTCGTCGAAATTGGTAAACGTTGATCTTGAAGCTGGCGCCGACCTTCTCGCTTCCGTCGGCTTCCTGCCACTGTTGTTCAGGGCAATCATGACGAACTCTTATGGAGCCGGTGTTAGCACCTGGGACTTTGCTGCCTAAGGCAAGTCCCAAGTTGCTCGTGGCACGCTTGGCCGCAGTTCTCGCAAGATGCCATGATTGGCTCGCAACTTGGGCGCCGCATGGCAAATGCGAAACAGACATGGCTTGGATGCTGGCGGCTCAGATGGTTTCGCAGAAAAGCGGAGGGGATCCAGTCCATGGACCATGACCAGGTTTGCCTCTTTGTCGTCGCCTGCTGCACCACATCGCTTCCCTCTGGTCAGACAAGGAACACATTTCAACTACTGCTCCGTATTCCGTATTGGTCACAGATGCTACAAAGCGTTGAGGACTAGGCCACCACCCCTTCCGTGCTTTCCAGCTCGCCAGCCAACTCTAGCATGCCAAATCCCTTACCGGACTGCCCCTGAAAGCCACCACTTTACTCGTCCTTCCGCTCGTCTGCCTATCAATCTCCCTTTGTCCCTTGACTGATCATTCCGGGTACGGAGTAGCAAACTCACAAACGCCGCAGCTCTTCCTCGGGTGGGGTGGGGCGTGACTTTTTGCCCCCTCCTCCCCGAAAAAGACGTCACCCATATTTGTTCTCGTACATACAGACACGCTTTGGACGTGGGTTTTGACGCCAGGTTTTCCATCTTTCCATATTATCAACGCGCCTCGGAAGCCCTTGTCTCTGACAAACTCCGTAACCGCTGTATCAGGAGGGTTGATTTGCTCTACGCTATTTCCGGGAAATCTGGGAATCTCGATCAACCTGGATGTTCAGCTTGGATGGCCCCGATGGCTTCATGCCAGCCTCTCCTGCCGTGGGATTCCAGCCAGCATCCATGTCCTGCCTCCTGCAGGGCCTAGTATCACCAAACCCTCATCAATGATTTCAAGGACCTGACTGTATCCACGGCTTTCAAACCATGCTAACGGTTGTTGCCCAGTGGGAACGATGCATCAGCAGCACAACCTGATATCTGCGCGGAGCAGATTGGGAACAGCAGCGCCTTCCCTTCGCAGCTCTGATGTGTGGTCTTTTCGTCGACCGAGTCCACAACGACGTTTGTTACCTCAGGGCCCCGACGGTCCACAAAAGCATTCTCGGCTAGCAATCAAGAGATAAAAAAACTCATCATGTTACCTCATGCTCTAGAACGAGGTATTGGTATTCGTGTTGCAGACCTTTCCGTGTGATCTGCCCCAAAGATTTGCACATCTCGTTCGCCATCTTACCGGGCCCACATCAAGCATGGCGTTGCTTTTCTCACTCTATCCTGACTGAGTCTTGACGTCCTGCACGGGCACTTCTCTCCCTTTGATCCAATCATGTCCCAGGTCATGGCGGCCAAGGCCTGGTCATGTTACCCGTGAAGCGTTTTCTTGCCAACACTGGCTTGATTCGGGAATGTCAAGTGTCTCGTTACTATCTTGCTTTGTCCTGCTGCTGCATCGGCCCATCGCCAAAAAAACACAAAAAAAAAATGTGCCACGACCCTACACAGTCGAAGGCTCCTGTGGTCCTCATGACTCCAATCAAAATGGAATTCTGAAGAAAAGATCAGCTTCAAAGAGGATACAAGTGCCTCCTTGTCTTGCGGCAAGCGAAGTTTCTGGTGCTCTATCCCCCAGCTCCACTCGTCAAAGTTCCCAGGATTTCCAGAGTGTCTGACATGACTCCATGGTGCAGGGCGTCTGTAGATGAGTGCTCATCCATGGACGGGGCTCGGTCGTGGCGAGCGGTGGTGAAGGCTTGGATCGGCCTGCCCTTGCACTTGACTTAGTCGTAGGCTCGTCGCTGAAGGAATGCTCGGGTGGGAATTATTGGAGCATCCCCTTGCCAAACACTGACTGTGCCTGCAACCCCCCTTAAACTCGCGAGTTAGTGGGCTGTATCGCCCAAGGCCTCCGAACGGAGTACGGACTACTAAGCCCGGAAAATGTGGTGTTACTCAGGCATAACTTTGTGCCCTGTCTGGCCCGCCGTACTGCCTGCTACTACTCCTACGACTTGCACCCAGCTCGTCGACGCCTACCGCCCATCCGCCGCTCGTAATCTGCAGTAACAAGCAACTAGCAAAGGGAAGCCCTGCTGGACCCTCCACAGCCCTGCTAGTCCACAATAATCAAATGACTTTTGGAGCCGGCAGCAACACCGCAACGGAAACCACTCTGACGGACCATTGAACTGACCTTGGAGCGAGGGAGGTGTGGGAGACCAGGCGATCCTCCAATAATAGGGCAGCCCAGGGGAGCTTGCTGTTTGCCCGGGCGCCCACAGTGTGCGCGGTAAGAGACCAGCCGAAAAATCAAAAGCACCGTGTTTCTGTGGCCCCCAAGCTGGTCTCCGGGGGTCTGCCCCCCCTCCCTCCCAACCAGAGATGGGCTCTCGAAAGTCTCATGTGTGTGAAATTCAGGCGAGCCCGAGTGGCTGCATCGGGTCTAGACGTAATCTTTTCTGTTGGCCTTCCCTGTCTGGCAAGGAGGAACCTCACCCTTCGGCTTGTCTTCCCACCCAGAAACCCCAGCTGCAGCAGCCAGCGACACGATGACATCCCTTGCGAACCCGGGATCCAACCTCAGGGCTTGTCAACTCGCTAAATGTTTCTCACTGACAGGCTCCCAGACTCCTACGCTCCTACGCCGCAGGCCCCAGGCTCCCAAACTCAGCTACCAGCTGCCCGCTGCCCGCTGCCCACTCCCCAATTCCGTCCAGATCACCACCTGATGAGACTTCTGAAAGGGGGGCCTCAACCAACCGCTGCTCTCGTCCTCCCTTTGATCCCGTTTAGCGTTCGTTTCCCGGATTGCTGCTCCTCGATGGGCACTCAGGCAGTCCACCGAGTCCAGCAGATGCAGCCGCAGTCGCAGCCAGCAGCAGCCACGACGGACCGGCGACCTGCAACAAAAAGTCTTACCCGTCTCCATCCTGGAGCGAGATTATTATTTGCCCAAAGGCTCCAGTTTCTCATTCAGACAGTCGTTCTCACCTGCGCTAACCTTGCTCCTTGTCCTGCGTTGCCCTGCGCTGCCCAGCCCAGCCCGGTGCTGTACTTGTTATTTGCCCTGCCTAGGAACTCCGTACAAAGTTATGTGGATGTCAAATTCCTCTTGCCCTACCTCGTCGGTATGTACTACTGGCTAGTACGGGCCTGAGTGTCTCAATTTTACTCTGCTGGAGCTGCCTAGTCTCGTCCTGATTCCCCGTACCCAGCCAGCAAGCACGTCCTCCGTGCCTCGCCTCGCAAGCCCTCGATGCTGTATCCGGAACTTGCAATGGTATTTTGTCCATCATCCGGCGGCTTAGCTTCAATTCGTCACCTTGGGGGGGGGGGGTTTGCATTGACAGCCCCCGAGGGCGAAGGCGAATAAGATGATGGCGATGGCGAAGACCTCCGCCCCAAACCCTCGTCCACTCATGCGTCCCACTATCCCTGTTCTACCTTGCGCGGCCCTTCGACACCCAAGGAAGGCTTTGGACATGTCAGGACTCGGGACCACAAGTGGCCCTTCCACGCAAAGATGATAATAAATACCCCGTACATGGCTCTAGTAACCCGTCAAGCATGTCACTAGTACCAGCCAGTCTTGAACCCTGTTAATCCGGCTGGTACTTGGGGCCCAAACAATCCACACTGGCAAAGCAACACTCGGTGCACTGCACAGCCCAAGAAAAAGGCTAAAACTTTGGATCGCTGGGACGCTGATACGATGATGCCGAGCTAAATGCGGTCAAGTAGGTGTCGGCTGTCCCATCACGATGGATGGAATTGGCGGTGGCCATTTTGCACCTTTTTCCCCCTTCCCCCTCCCCTCTTTTTCGCTTGCTTTGGCATGCCCGGCGATTCATCGCTCATCACCGTGACATGACCGTGTGCATGACCATGACCATGACCATGACCACAAACTACCGCCATGACCTTGACTAGACAGGCCTTGACCTTGACCTTAACCTGGACCGTTGAACACACTTTTGACCACCCCCGTTTGCCCGTTTCCCGTTGGCTTTTTCTGGCTCCCCCCCTTTCCCACCAACCCCCATCCCCATCCCATCATCATCCTAGGCCATCCTTCTTTTTTCCAAAACATCCCATCACTCTTTTTGACTGTAACTTGTCCTCCGCCAGCCAGCCCGTCTTAGTCCACTCTGGCAATTATTGCGCCAGTGTGCTCCTGTCGCTCCATCTTTCTGTCCTGGTGCTTGCTCCCCATTGGCTACCCGCCGCGCGTACCCAGCCCGCCGTCGTAGCTTCCCTTCCACTTCTGCGGCTTGCCTGGCCCTTCTGACTATGTGCTGCTACTGCTGCTGCTCTTTCTTTTCTCCCCCCCCCCTCGCTCTTGCGTCGTCTCCGTCTCCGTCTCCCTTGCCTGCAACTGGGTTGAACCGGGCTCGTCAACCTTACGACGGGGAAAGGGGACCCTGACGGTTTTACAGCCGAGCCTCGAACCGCCTTCGATCCAAGACAAGGCCCCGGTGTTCCTGGTGTGAGTTACGGCGCATCATGCCTGATGCAGGCTTTGATGGGCGAAAAATACCAGTTGATCCTTTCCATCGGTCCAACTGCCTGGTGCCGCCACAAACTCTGCCTGCCGAAGCGTGCGTTGCTCGGCTGACTGCTTTCGTCTCGTGGATTCACTCATTAATCACGGTTCTTGTCATTCTTGATTGCTCCAGTGTATCATCATCCTGCCCTCTGATTGAGTTGGACCGGGCTCGGACAGTCACTGTTTGAAAGGGCGCTGTGGGTGAAGGTCCTCTGCCCTCTCTCATTCATGCTGCCAAACATCCGGGACCCACCTCTTCAATAACTTTGCCTTCATTCCAAACCCCCAATTCTGTCAAAAGACTCCAAAACATCCAACATGCTCCCTCACTTGAATTGTTCTTGATCCTCGTCCCTGTTGCCATGTTCTCTGTCACCAGGGAATATCACTATCTTTTCCTTGCTTTCACTTGAGGCTCTGCAAGGTCGGCCTGGCCCTTCACAACACAGCCTCATCGTCCACCTCACCGTCGTCCGCGACATGCTCATGCCGCACCCGTCACCTCCAGCTCACACTACTTAACACCGACGACTTTTCCACCTTCGACCTTTCTCCCCGTTACCTGCAGCTCATGTCGTCCATGTCTGCCATCTACGGTGCTGTTGGGCCCTCGGATCGGTCGAACTCGACGTCGAACACCACCTGTCAGGACGCCGCAGCATATGGGTGCAAAAGGTGGAACACCTCCGAGACCTACTTCAACAGCGGTTTACCTACGCCTCCGGGCTCAAGGGCCATGCCTGGAGTAGTGCTAGGCAACAGCTATGCGGCATTGCCTGCACCTCCGTTGCAGCAGGGCCGCAGCGGTTTACCAGACGGTGCGAACGCTACTCGTCCACGCATAACTCCATCTACAGTCTCGACGAATCATGCATACGCTCTTGCTCCTCCCGCAAACGGGGTCAGCCTGTACAACCGTCGAGCACCCGATCACAACAATGTGAACGCCATTGCACCCCACCTTCAAATCCCAGAGTCGGTGAACAAGAGCAAAGGGAGTCTGGCCGAGTTTGCCGCCGAGATTACATGTCTCTTCTGGTTTGAAACAGGGAACACCCTCCAATATGCAGAGAATCTCCCAGAGGATGTAGCAGTCGATAGAGGCTTGCTTCCAGATGCCGTACCCACCATTGGGTTCCGAAAGTGGGTGACCACGATCATCAGCACCACTCAGGTCGGGAAGAACGTAATCCTACTTGCCTTGTTGTTCATCTATCGGCTCAAACGATTCAACCCTAGTGTTAGCGGGAAGCGTGGAAGTGAGTTTCGGCTGCTGACGATTGCCCTCATGTTGGGAAACAAGTTTCTGGACGACAATACATACACGAACAAGACCTGGGCGGAAGTTTCTGGCATATCAGTCACCGAAATACACATCATGGAAGTCGAATTCCTGAGCAACATGAGGTACGCTCTTTACGCCTCGGCTGAAGAGTGGAGTGAATGGAAGTCCAAATTGGGAAGGTTTGGCGCGTTTTACGACAAAGCCTCCGAGCTACCCTTGGTTGATGAGAGCAGAGCCAATGGCGCCACCCCAGTCACGCCGACTGCTCAGAGCTTCCCTCAAAAGCTGCCTTCGCCTCCTTCCACTCATCACAGTGCCAGTCCTTATGGTGTCTCCCCGTCTCTGAACAGTCACTACCCGGTACTGCCACATCCTTCAACTGCAGTAACACAATTTCCGAGTTCACCTCTTCGGCAACAAGTTGGTTTGAGGGGATATCAACAAGAGCGGAAACGGAGCGCCGACTACTCTGCGGAACTTCCCCCGGCGAAAAGGCAACAACTTCCTGGTCAGCTTTCCGAAAATATTGGAGGTCGTGGACATTCGCTTCCGTACATTCCTGGCAGTCTAAGAGTGTCTCCCACTCACCCTACCGGCGTGGCTGATATTGGAGTCCCGGCACCAATGCTGGACATCCCAAGGCTGGACATGCCGAGGCCACCACCCTCGCTACCGCTTTCAAATGCGCCGCCCACCCTATTGCCAGTCCAGACAAATCGACCACTGTCGACCGTCTACCCGCCCGCAACTGGCACCTATTCCCACCCTGTCACGCCGATATCCGCAGTGCCTCAATCTCTGTTCCAGAATCCTGTTCCAAGCTTGGGCGATGGCTCTCGATCTATTACAACTCTGCCTTCCGCCCACACCTCCCCATCGAATGGGTACAACACCACTACTCCCACACTGGCGGGACTATCACCTTCATACTTCCTGACGCATCGCACGTCTCCATATCGACCTGTCCGACATGTCAACACGCTCTTGATACCTCCGCCATCGGCCGCATTGCAGATGCCGGTCAGAAATATACCATCTGACCAGATTCACTACCATCCCTTAAGCAAAGCGACCACTGAGCGCCGGACTGGACTACTGCCCAATTTCCATCCCGATGGCTGGCAACATAGCAATGTTTCCACGCCCATCACTCAACATCAATACCCATTCTAAGAATCGGTTCACAACCCTGTAAATTTCTCATGCTGTGGGGAAAACATTGCACTCTTCCACCTGCATAGCTCGGCGGGCTCTGTTTTGATATTATCTTTTTGTGCTGAAAGCACTCGGTTTAGCGAAAAAGCATTTCAACGGCGCTGGCATTAGATGGTATTATGGCAACATACGGCGGGCTCAGAATACCTTGTCTGAACAAGACAGAAGTGTACAGAATTAGAAGATCCAGCACAGACTGGATTGGAAGACATGACTCCCACGATGCTTGGGGGACAGAAAGGGCAAGGGGTTGAGCAGGTCGATCGAAAGCTAATGCTTGATACCCCCTTCATTTGTTTCAATCCAGACTCTGTCCTCTTGCAATTTTCATCGCATCGCCATACGTACAAGTCGGTAGGCAGCTGATGAGCTGCGATCAGGTGACGCATGCCAAGCCGGGTTTAAGCATTCATCACCTCTGCTAAATTCCCCTCCTCTCATGCTGCGGAATTGAGAGTGTAAAGTGAAATAAAGCTCGACAAAGAGCCATCGCGTAGGGATGGTGTCCAACAGAACCTAGGGTCCATCGTAGACGATGCAGCGTCTATATCAGCAGCCTCTTCGCAAGGATGCGCAAGACACTACTCCTTGTTTTTATCCATGGCTTCAAGGTAAGTTCAATGCGAACACACATGCGCTGGCCAGCAGCCAGGCTTCGGCATTGTGGCGCCGACATTGTCACCATCTTTGGTGCGATGCCTTTGCGGGTATCAAGAGACTGATTCTGCCATCTTTAGGGTGGCGATGATACCTTTGCTGTGTTTCCGGAACATCTGCGAGCGCTCGTGAGCCATGCCCTTCCGAATATCGATGTTGTCACCGCTACATATCCCAAATTCGAGACCCGAGGCGAGTTGAGAGACTGTGTGGCTCGCCTTCGAGAATGGTATGGGGTGCGAACATCTGTCTGGTCCAAAACGTCACGCTAAGAGTTCACGACTGCAGGCTACAAAACAAGGTCATCGACCTAGAGGTTGCTCGCTCGACCCCGTCCCCGACCGTGGATCCTTCAGTCCATGTCATGCTGATCGGCCACTCGATGGGAGGCATCGTCGCGGCTGAGACATACCTGCTACTCGCCAGTGAGCAACCCATTCCAGCGCGGTCTTCTGCGCACAATCCCGAAAGGCCGAATTTTCCTTCCAACACGACACTGGGTTCGACAACATCCACTTCCCATCCGGCACCACCGCATCATGAGCCAGATACGACGCCTTACAGCTTCATGTTTCCGCACATCCAAGGCATCCTGGCTTTTGATACTCCTTTCCTTGGGTTGGCCCCGGGAATGGTTGCCCACGGACTCGAGGGTGGGCACAAGGTTGTCGCCAATGCCTACAACACCTACTCTGAAGTTGCCTCCATGTTTGGCTGGGGTTCCAAGTCCGAACCCAACGTCTCATCAACCTCATCCGCCTCTGGAACCAAGTCAATCGGCGCCCTGCCAGCACCCGCTTCCTCTTCCACGGAAGACGCGGCAGCCGCCCCCAAATGGCAAGCTTGGGGGAAGTATGCAATGTTCGCCGGTGCGGCTGGCGCTGTGGTTGCAGGCGGTGCTGCGGCTTTGTACTCACAACGAGAGAAACTTAGTGCTGGTTGGAAATGGGCCAGCGACCACTTGTTGTTTGTAGGAGAGCTGTTCAAGCCGGAGCATCTGCGTAGACGGGTTGAATCTCTGGAGCTGGAATGTAAAGAACGTGGCGCTGGATGTGCGAACCTTTACACCAACCTTGGGAAAGGGGCCAGTGGCGGATATGGTATCACGGAAACTTTGGCAGGGAAGGAGAGGACGTTTTGCAATCTGCCCGTGCACGTCAGTCGAGATCGAAAAGAAGGCAAAGAAGCCGCGCGCGACGAAACAGGCGGATTTAGATGGATCAAGGCTGTCAACGACAAAGCTTCCGACGAGACTACGGCGCATGTGTCCATGTTCATTCCACGAGATAACCCGGGATTCTACGCCCTGGGAGAACATGCCAAAGAGTACATCGCTCGGTGGGTTGATCAAGGCTGGTACCGCGCCAGCAATGGACCGACATTCCTGAAACCCGAGCCCAGTCGCGTGGGATTGGGCGAATCACCGGACGGCGGGTGGGTGAAACCTGACGCCGACGAAATCAGAGCCCGAGAGAGAGCAAGGGATCGCTATGGCAACGCCTACAAGCATCCCGACGCCAACGCCGATGTCGACCCCGAAGGGAACCTAGGTAAGGACTGGGACTCTCTCGATCTTCACCGTGGTAAGGACGGTGTTGACGACCTGCTAGATGATGAGGACCTGAGGATGAGAGACGAGGACGAAGAACTTGAGGGAAGCGTGATTGTTGAGAAAAAGGCGGCGAATGGAGAGGTGCCGCTGCCCAAATCGAGAAGCAATACTGGAGTGTGAAGATTCGATAGAGGATTTCCCCTACTTCTATAAAAGGGACAGCGGCCGACACATTGAGACGGCCATGGGACGAGACACATGACTTAGCACGACACGACACGACGAGCTCAAATTGGCGATAGCAGGACTACGCCTACCATCTGGACCAGAAAGCACTTTACACGTCGAGGTGGGGCATGGTTTTTTTTTTGTAAGGCAGTGTTACCGGGGTGAGCTCTCATCCATAGAGATCGAGCTGAATAGGTGGTGCAGGACTGGTATTTCACACGCAGGTAGCGGCCTGCAAAGACAAGACGACCACGACTGCTTGATGCCGCCCACCGAAGTCACCAAACCATCATGTCGACACAAGGCTCAGCCTCTCTTGCGGCTGCGGCGTGTTGGCTCATCGGGGGCTGCTAGAACTTTGTTGGAACCACAACGGTCCTTTTGACAGAATCATAACAGAAACTGAATCCTCCCAGGGAATAATCGACGTCTTCCGCCGACTCGAAGGTGAAACTCATATTGCGTGGATTGAGAATTTGGCAAGACCAGAAAAATGTCAAGTTGATGGCCTGAGAAAGAGGAGTACTCGCCAGAACGCCGCAACGGGTCTGCACTTTGCGTGCGCGCAGCCTTGCTGAATCTTCATCTCCTCGGGTGTATATCCGTGAGCACCTTTCGCTCTTCCTTCTCACTTTCGTTTACATTGTTCAGCCCGTGCCACTCTGCTCCTCCACACCCCTCTTCTCTGGCATCCTCTTATTCCCCTCATCAACCATGCCTTCGCATCCCGTGACCCTGCCCGCTGCGTTCTCAACCACTCCCAAAACCGATGACTGGGCGGGCTGTCCTTGGGTGGAATCTGACTGAGCTTTCGCGTCCTTCATCTCTTGCATGGCCTCGGCTTTTGTCTGCGCCCCGGACTCGTATCCCACTGCGGAGGAGATGGCACCTTGCACGTACTGTTTTTAGTTAGAATGGCGAGATCGGTCAGGGAGGAGAAGAAGAAGAAGAAGGATAGAGGAGCTGAGATCAAATCAGGCAGTGACGGGCTAGGACGATGGATGGCCGGATCGATGAGACTTGCCTTGACATGCCCGCCGAGCATTGAGGCTTGGGACTCTGACGAAGACTGGTCTGATGACATCGTGACGGGGGTTGCTGGTGGATTTTTGTTTCCGCAAATCGATGGCTCTGGATGTGCTGAGTTGCACTGGATTCCTCAAAACATCCAATATTGATGGTGGCGCTGTATAATTCAAGAGTCAAGGAGGGCGTGATATCACCCTCGCCTCGCGTGTCTCGAACTCCGGACTCTGCACTCTTGATATGTCCTGTCACTCGTGATGTATTCAATGACGCCCTTGCCAAGATGCTGGAAATCGACGATGATGTCATGCAGGGCTCTTTCCTGAAACCTCCGTCGTCAGCCTTGCACGTGATGATATCACCCATTATTAGATTTCCCGTGCCGGCTTCAGCCTCGTTCCAGCTTGGGAACGTCAATCATTGCCGAGGTTGTTTTTCTCAGACAGCTTTTCATGCGACCTACCTCGCTACCTATACGCGACCTAGCAGATAGTTACGAATCCCACGGTCGTAAACCCCTCGGACCTCACACTCTCCTTCTCTCTCTTCTGGCAATAAAAGCCCAACGATAGATCTTTGATCGAACGTCACGCTTGCAATGGCGTTTTGTCGGACCCAGGGCGATTGATCTGGCACGGTTCGTCACGCCTTCAATGCATGCGTGCCGTCCTTGGACTTTGCCCCCTGACCCGTCGATGTGTCTCTCTTCCCGCTTTCGGTAGACGACCGGTACGAACCATGTCAACCAGGTTCGAGGTGCTCCAGGGCAAGAAGCCCCTCTCTTTTCGGCGTCTGATGGCCCTGAAACGGGTGGAAGAGGACGTTTTCGAGTCGGTAACCCCGGCCTGGCCGCCGGCGCCGCATCGGCGAGCATTTGGAGGCCATGTGTACGCCCAGGCCTTGTACGCTGCCAGCAAGACCGTTGGAAAGGGGCTGGTGGTCCATGTACGTTCCCTGTTATGATCTGCTCTCTCTGTTTCCACGTTGAGCGTGATGTTGGTTGTGGTTCTTGTGGTTGACAGCTTGGGCTTTCGGGGTGTAGCAAATGACCGGGTACTTCATTCTCCCCGGCGCCATTGACATTCCGTACGTGTACCGCGTGCGCAGGATCAGGGACGGCGGCATGTACTGCCTGCGAGGGGTCGACGTCTATCAACGATCCGAGGCTGCCGCGCAGGGCACGTCGCCTTGCTTTGTCGCCACCATCTCATTCAAGCGGTCGGAGAAAGGCATCACGAAGTGGACCGGCTACGAGTACCACGACATGCCGCGGGACCACATCCAGCGGGAATACCACAGCGTCCTGCAAGGTCTCCGGCCGGAAGACCACCCCGAAGCGCCCGGGGCCGACGCCCTGTGGTGGGAACAGGAGGAGGAAAGGTTCTGGAGCCGTGACGCGGCGGCGTTTCCCGGAGTGGAAACCCGAAAGGTCGACATGGCCAAATACAACGGCAAGGCGGAACCGGGGCGCGGGCCCGGTGGAGCTGGAGCGTCTCGCTGGCGCCAGCTGCTGTTCTACCGCCTCATCCAGGATGACGACGACGACGACGACGACGACGACGACCCGTCAGAGGCGACCGAGAGGGCCGAGGCCGCCAACGACCTGAACCTCCACGCCGCGGCGCACCTGTACGCGTCGGACCGGAATTCGCTGTTCCTCATCCAGCGCGCGCTCGGCTACGAGGCCGTCCGCACCACCATGGCGTCCCTGTCCCACACGGTCATCTTCCACGGCCTGGCCGACCATCTGCGCATGGTTGACGACGACGACGACCACGACGACGACCACGACCGCCCGCGCCGGGCCTCCAAGTGGTTCGTCCAGGAGTCGTGGACCAGCAACGGCGGCGACAACCGCGGCTGCCACCACAGTCTCCTCTGGGATCCCCGGGCCGGCCGCGTCATCGGCACCACCCTGCAGGACGGCATGTTGAGGTTTCCGGCCGAGCTGGTCGAGAAGATCCCCCGTGGTGGCGCCCCTGTGGACGCGGGAAACCCGCCACCGTCCCAAGCGGCTCGGAACAAGGCTGGCAGCAAGTTATGAGGCCCACGTGAGGGACGGGGCCCCTCCCATCCAGGCTGCTGGCTGTGCTGGGACTGTTAGAACTGGGAGTTCTCTACATAGGATATCAGACCGCTATCTCTGTATTTGATAGAACGAACATCTGGGCTACGCTGGATTCGCAAAGGGGTGTGATCGAGCTTGAGACGGTCCTGAAAGTGGACCCTGACGTTCTGAATTAAGAGCATTTTTGGTTCCTTTGTTTTGGGGGCAAGCAGCTGAATCGATGTGGAATGGATCATTCATCAATCCTAAGCAAAATATGTTCACCGCATCTCAAATGCCATCGTCCCGGGGGAATGAGAGCTGGTCTGACACAGCACAGTAGAGGAGGAGATTTTAGAGTTGACCGGTGTATGAACATGGTCAGTACGGTGCATCCTCTCGCAGAGCTTGCGGCTGCTTGCCTCCTCTTAGTCGTCCGGCCCGGGTGAAAGCGATGACAGACGCTTTTGATATACCACGGCAGAAGGCGGGTTGGCACTACTACAATCACCATCACTATCACCACCCCATCAATGTATTCAACAGCCTCTCAAAGTTGCTCCCGCTACGCATACGTACGTCCAAATCAATCGTACGCTTCCACAGCAAAATGTTCCGTCCGTTGCAGTGCCGCAATCCTCGATCGCCCAAGCCAACCCCTGCCGAAGTAGGCGGCGGGGCCAGGAAACAGGGGATTCCAGAAGAGTTTCTCCCTTGGCGGGATACCCATCGTCATCCATCCATCCATCCATCCATCCAAGGACCGTCGCAGTCTACGGAGACTCGTCGGTTCGATATTTTGCCAAAGGATTTCGAGTGGGGGAGCATTGCGTCGATTGAACTGCTTGGCCCAATTTGCACGTTATGCGCGCTCCAAACTGTCGCGCAGAAGGAAGAAATTTGAGAGATCAGCGATTGGCGGTGGAGAGAACGTAAAACACCAGTAGACCTCTGGATTCCCGCACTCGAGAATTGTCATGGAGCCGCGAGCGTAAGGGCCAGAGCGTCAGCGGCCTTTTCTGATCTCAGACACTTTGGATCGGCGGAGGTCATGTTCGTCGTTTCGGTCAAAACGTTCGGTCGCTTGAGCCGAACGCCGTGCCGTGGTCAGTGCTAGTTCCTGCTTCATATGGCTGGTGATTGCTGCCGGGGAGTTCGTGTATCATGGACGCGGAGGAGGCGAGCTCGGACAGCCCAACCTTTTCCGCACTGGCTGATAGCTCGGGCTTTGCGGTGGAGAGCGGAGACTTTGCGACCTGATTGTCTTCCAGCTCTGGCTTGGAGTATGATGGTGCTTGGGTTTCCCCGGGGCGCTTGCATCTTCGCTTTCTGCGCATGACGATATAGCCGCACAGACACAGGAAGGCCAGCCCGGCTAGACCGACGCCCACGCCGATACCGACTCGGGCGCCAGTGGAGAGTCCCTGCCGTGTGTTGTCATCACTCCGCTCGCCGAGATACTGACCCCGATTTTCCACCTATCCTTACCTTGGAGCTCTCCTTGTCCTGGATCACGAAGTCTGCGGACTGGGCCAGGAAGGTCCCCTGCTCGGCGGAGGAAGCCGTGGTCGTAAAGGTGAAACAATACTCGCCCCTGCGCGGCATTAGAACCCTCCAGCAACGAAATCTTTCTCCCCAAGAGAAATGAGAAATGGGAAATGTCCATGACTGGAAGATGCGTACGGGATCAGGGACCGAGACTCGTTCATCAGAGACGCCGGCCAGGATGAGAAGTCGAGTTGGCAGGCCGACACCTCGACGTGAGCGAAGTGGAAATACGTGGCCTGGCCTCCATCTTCTTTCTGGAGCCAAATATCGCATTCGGAAGGGTCACCACTTGTTGGCCAACGTTGTCAGTATTGAGCCAACCAGCACGGTTCCATGCAGCACCCACGATTGTTGCTCCCACTGGATGAGGCTCGATCCGGGATTCAAAGAGTAAGTCTCGCCTTCGGTCGGAACGGTGACATCGATAGCCCAGACTATACATGCTGCTTCGACCAGGAGGAACAAGGAGAACAGAAGCAAGCAAGACATGGTACCACCAGGGCGCAAAAAGAGACTCTCGGCGATATTTCAGAACGAAAGAGCGGATGAAGGAAGTTTATTGAGGAGGGGAGAAGCTCGCCCCGTGGACTGGTTCTCTCGAGCTCCAGGCCAACACATAGTTAGGGATATTTCGCCCGGACGCTGTTGTTTTAGCGAGGGAGCTTGAGCTGGTCGACCCGGGTCCAGAATCCTGTGATGGCGCGCAAATACGAGGTCTACCCCTCTTTTAGCAGGGGCCATGGGAGACGGTAAGGGAGCAATAGAGATGCTCGGTCGAGTTGCCAGTAGTTTAGAGCAAGGGCATGTTGTCCATCCATCAGCCAGAGTGTGTCACCGCGGAGGTAAGACGAAGCTGCTGTTGACGAAAGACCCTTGCAGAGAGGAGATTGTATTGTTGACTGAGGTTGAATTGGCCAGAAAAGGAATATCGAGGGATGAGTGGAGGAGGCAGGGAGCCACGTTTCTCCGATTCCGGCCGGAGTGTGGAAAATTCAACTATTGCGCGCCACTGACGGAGAGTAGAAAAGGTGCCTCTTATCTATCCCCCTAGCACATCTCCTTGGTCTTTTCTACTCCCCCACGCGAAGTTGGTCCAGGTGCAAGGTAGCAGCGTACCGTCAAGCGCTTCTAGAAATTGGCCAACTGAGGTTCCTGGATGGCAATTCGAGGTCTGACGCAACATTCGACGGAGCATCTCAGGAATATAGGCCACACAGTCCAACCAGATCCTCGATAGTTTCACGCACCCTCGAGACAAAATGGGCATCGTAATACGGCCCATCGCCGCAGCAGACATCCCGTCCGCGGTGGAATGCATCCAACTCGCATTTGCCGATGATCCCTACCATCTGTGGGCCTTTGACTCGGCAAGCTTCAACAAGGAGCGCAACTTTGCCAGTCTCAAGGCCAAATGTGAGTGGGGGATGCGCCACGCTTTGTTCTTCGTGGCCAAGGATACAGATGACACAGACGGCAGGGTGCTGGGAGTCGGCATGTGGATGAAGCCTCGGAACGTCAATCAGAAGCAGAGCTGGGGAGAGTGGATCGACGACTACATCCTCTGGTTCAAGCAGGGGTGGAATCTTGTCCGGTTTCAAGGACGTGGCGGGTTGAGGACGAATCGGTATTGGATCTGGAAGCGTGAGCAGGCCGTTGCGCAGTCAGAAATCTGGACCGACCCCGAGGGATACTACTTCTGCAACATCGTGACCGTCAGGCCCGGCATCCAGGGCAAGGGGATCGGGCGCCAGCTCTTTGAGACCGTCACCGACATGGCCGACAAGGAAGGGCGCCAGTGCTACCTGGAGTCTTCCAAGGAGAAGCCCAACATTGCAATCTATGAGAAGATGGGCTTTCGGCTGGCCCGCAAGATGGTCTGCGAGGAGGGAGGGGACGTCTGCGACCTCTTCTGCATGGTCAGGGAGCCACAATCCAAGCCGTGAACCGGGCAGGTCTAGGGGACTTGCCGCTGAAGACATCCCCGCTGAGGTTTGCCGTATCGACAGCACACAATGTCCATACACAAGCACGCTCACTGTCTCCGCCCGCATCTTGTCAAGTAAGCGGCCGTAAGTTCCACCAGCGACGGGGACTAGGGAGGACTTCTGGGCCAAGGTCTCGCTGTCGTTGGCTCTTTGAACCCGATGTCCAGGGTGTTTCGCCGCAGCGGTGCCTCTGAAATCCTGTTCGTGGGTCTCTTCGATGCAGCCGGTCAATCATCCATCGTCACCAGGTGCCCGATCGAGGCGCACTTCGAGAGCTATCTGCCCATGCCTGGCTGACGCAGCAGCAGTAGTCTCTCCCTGATGTTCTCCTGCTCTCTGGGATGACGCTGCTCAGACTGGCGCCTGACAGCGAAGTAGGTTCGAGCAGTCGCCATTTGCCATGAAGCAGAGTGTGCCCGGAGAACAAGTCGTGCTTGGAAATGTGGCAAGTCGTCTGCCGAGAAGTTCTCTCGACGAAGCTTTGCGGCGATGATGGATCTGGAGATCCTCAGTCTGCGATAGTCATGGTTGATTAGCAATTCAAAGCCGAAGTAGCCAGACTGGCTACTGCTTGCAAGGTTTTACTTTTAGTAATCGTTATATCCTGGACGACTTCGGACATTCGAGCGGATGTTAAGCATGAGACCAGAGCTCTCACGACCATCTCTTGGGTAGTTGTGTCGATAGTCAGGGAGTGCAAAGGGAGAGGGACAAGTTGGTGCGGTTCTGGATCGCAGAGATGGACTGATCAGCGTATCTCACACCACAGTATACGAGTGCAGGTGTCGAAGTATGAATCCTTTAAGTCACATCCCCGAGCGCCGCAGCGGCACCGCAACGGTTTCGCCTGGCCTGCATCTAAAATCCGCCTCCAGTGGCCAGGTAAGAGCTGGGCCCCGAAATCTCCAGGCTTGTCGGAATGCGGTAGGTCTTAAAATCGATTCCCGAGACGCGGAGATAGAGAGCTTGTCGCTTCGTCTCTGAAGCGCTTTGACTGGATGGCGCAGAGGCTGGTTAATTCTCTTCCTGAGGAGGGGGGGCAGACACGTTACTGGACTGGCCCATGCATCTCCGGGCATCCCTAGATCCCTGTCCCCATCAATACGCCATGGCGACCAACCGCAAGCTGTAGAGAAGAAAGTTGCATGATGGGTTGCGTAGCTCTGATACTTGCAGATGGAGCTACTGGTGAGGTGGTGCAGCTGCCCGCAGCCCTTTACATCATCGTTAACCCTGACAAAGACACTTCCAATGCCCGCTCTCACTTCGAGCCCCTCCATGAGGGAGGTATATAATAGTCTTCGTGTGATAAGAATCAGTGCTGAACAATCCCAATCTCACTCTCAAATCCCGGCCTCGCCCAGAACAATAGCACCTTTTGTCGGGCAAATCTATGAGCCCCGATTTGATCACCAAGGCTGCCGAACACCTCCATCTATCGTCCCTCCTCCCTTCCAAAATGGCCTCCAACCTCCCCAAGGAGTACAAGGTCGGCGTCTTCGAGGCCAAAGGTGAGCCGATCAAGTTCAAGCAGGTCAAACTGGAGCTGCCCAAGCCGGGGGAGGTATGTCCAATCCTTCCATCATATCAACGTCCCGTTAACACATGCATTCTAGGTCCTAGTCAAGGTCCTTGCCTGTGGCGTCTGTCACTCGGACCACGCCGTTCGCTTCGGATTGATGGGAAACAGCTTCCCCATTGTCCCCGGTCACGAGATCATCGGTGAGGTCGCCGCCGTGCCAGATACTGAGAATCGCTGGAAAGTCGGAGACCGCGTGGGAGGACCATGGCACGGTGGCCATGACAACACCTGCGTTTCGTGTCAGCGCGGGCTTTTCCAGATGTGTGAAAAGGAAGCAATCAACGGAGTCACCAGGGATGGAGTAGGTCTGACTTCGCCGAATACATGCCCTTCTTTGCTGAATCTCTTTTCTCCAGGGATACGGGGAATATGTCACCTTGAGGACAGAGGCGGTTGTCCGGGTACCCACCGACGTCGACCCAGCCGAGTACTGTCCCGTCCTCTGCGCAGGAGTGACGGTGTTTAATTGTGAGTTTGCGTTGACACCGTCGCTTGCACCAGTGTGAGAGACTGACTGCACATAGCTTTGCGGCAACAAAAAGTCCTTGCGGGTTCGCTCGTTGCGGTCCAGGGACTCGGGGGCCTCGGGCACCTTGCGTTGCAGTACGCAAGCAAAATGGGATACAGGACCGTCGCCATCTCCTCGAGCTCTGACAAGAAGGAGTTCGCCACTCAGCTGGGGGCACATGAATACATCGACGCATCCCAGGGCGACATTGGCGAACAACTGCAGAAGTTGGGAGGCGCTGCGTGCATTCTGTTCACCGCGCCCAACGAGAAACTCATTCCTTCGTTGCTCGGTGGACTGGGCCCGTTGGGCAAGCTCATTATCCTGGCAGCATCGGCCCCCGCCCAGGTGAACACGGCAGCCATGATTTCCAAGGGCCTCAGCATTCAGGCATGGCCCAGCGGTCACGCTCTCGACAGCGAAGAAGCCATTTCCTTTGCCCAAGTGCACGGGGTGCATGTCATGATTGAGAAATTTCCGCTGGACAAGGCCAACGAAGCCATGGAGAAGATGACCAGCGGCAAGGTTCGGTTCCGAGGCGTGCTCATCCCATAGGAGGATGGACAGGAGAGAGAAGTCAAGGGGGTGACTAGATCACTTTCTGACAGTCGCGAGGAGTGTGTATTATGCTAGGGCATGACAGCCACAACTTGGATAGTTCCGATGATACCACGATTGCAATCTGCAAGCTCTTTAGATCATTGGCACATCTCCCACATGTACTGCGCAGCGAAACGTGGGCCTGGGAGTATATTCTCATTCAAGGAAATCACCGTCTCTGCGGGTGATCAGGACATCGATGACGATAATGCGTGACCGCGAGCCTGCAAAGTGGTTGGCAACGCAGCCGCTCTGGTTGTCGCGGGTTGATTCCCGCACCACGAGACTGCGCCCCTGGCACCCCTGACACCTGCTTCTTCGCCAATCAAATGGCGTGTGTACCTGGCGATCAGACACTTTCTGCTCCATGTTTTCATCATCCACCGTCGTCCTCAGTATAGCGTCAGGGTCACCCGCGTCGCAGAATGAGCTTGGTCTCCTCCCACGATTCGAGCAAGGCCTCATGCCAGCCGCCCCGAACAATGCCGCCCTACCAGCGATGCCCATGCACCATGCAGGAGGGCGCGGTGGTCCAACTTTCTTCACAATGACCGGCATCCCCGGAGGCTACTGGCGCTCCCCCAAAGGTGATGGCAACTGAGTCTTGAACCAAACGACGGATCCCCTGTCTCTCGTCTCCTGCGAAGTTGATGCAAGAGGCCGAGCCTTCCAAATCCCCCTAAAAGATTCTGACCAGACCACAGGAAGCATCCGACAAGACTCAAGAAGCGAGCGGATCCCGCAGTGGTCTTTCTTCCCCTCCTCAACCCACGCTGCAACGTTTCGCAGTCCCCCGTGAAAGGAACCGCGCTCTCAGCCAAGTCAGAAGAGACGGAGATCTGATATAACAACAGGGTGGAACGAACACTTTGCACCGAACTCCTCCTCTCAGCTGTGCACCCTTACCACAGCGTCGGCTGCAACCGGGCTGGATCCGCTCGAGAATCCATCGTCGAAGCTTTTACCCTCCTGCGAGGCTGAACGCCTTTGATTGCGATCGGCGGAGATCTGTTGGCATCCCTTACCAGATCATCGTCTCCTAGATTACCCTGTCGCATATCCTGGTCGCCGGAAGCTCAAATTGACGTAGGAGGGGCTGTTGATCTTTTGGCGAGCGGATCATAGTGGATGTGAACGTCGCCCTCGGCTCGGGGACAGTTGCAAGGACACGATCGACAGGCGCCGGCAACGGATCGGACTTTGTTATTGAGGAAGACGTCGTTGTATCGGAGACATTGAGACCACCTGGTGCGGCAGGAGTTCACCTGCTGAGACTCTCCTTCACCTCTATCGAATATTTCCTACGAAACCCACGGCGATGCTGGTTCACCCATTCCAGTGACGGGGACGGCCATGTTGCTTTCTGACACTTCAAATTGATCCAGTCGATTATCCAGTCTTCACTCTTTCTTAGAGTATCCGGAGGTTCCCCTCGAGTAAACCAGTCATCGACCAGTCACCCTCTAGATTCTGCCGCACACTGTAAACAACACCCAACATTTCATCACAGCTACAGTTGACGAGTCCTCTTTCGAGACACCCACCTCCATTTACTACCTCTCAATTACAGACACCTGCATTCGCCATGGAGTTACGGATACAGTACCAATTGATACTGGCGATCGTTTTCCACGCATTAGTACAGAGCTCATCCGCCACCGTGTCATTCCCCTCAATCCAAGCGATAATCGGCTTCTCGTCCTCATGTACCCTTGCGTACGACACTCCAGTCAACGACTGCGATCTAAATGATTTCCAAGGCATCGGAGGAACAGGCACTTGCTCGAACGACTGTCAGTCAAGCCTGGAGGCATCACAGAGATTTGTACAGCGGTTTTGTTCGGGGGAACAAGCGGACGGAAACTCGTTGATCGGACAGCTTTTCGTCGGGAATGTTGTGGATTTCCTGTGCGGGGACAACAATAGCGGTGGTGCAACAACGGCGACGACAACGCAAGGCACGACCGAGGCGACGCAGACTTCTACTTCTGCAGAGACATCGATGAGCATGGCCACTGACACCGCTTCACCAGGAACGAGCGCCACCGAGACATCCTCACTACCATCCACGCTTACAACTTCTGTGAGCCAGACTGGATCTGCGAGCAAGACCACTAGTACTAGCAAGGCCGAGAGCACCAAACAGTCGTCCTCGACATCAACCTCGATGCCAACCTCTATCGAATCGGCAACTTCAACCCTCACGGCCATCTCGTCTTCCTCCAAGAGTTCGAGCGCTTCAACAGCGACCTCAACAAGCAACACGTCAAACTCGCAAGAGTCGGGTGGAGGCAGTGGTGGGGGCAGTCCCTTCGATGGGACATTCTCTTCGCGTGCTTCTTCAAACCCTCTGCAATTACACAGTGCAATATTGGCCTTTGCTGGTTCAGCTCTGCTTTTCATGGCCGTGGGGTGATGTCGGTCGAAAATTGTCAGGATGAACAGAAGGGAAGGGAGCATACCTGGTACCCGACTATTCACGAAGAGCGAGTGACTATCCTTTACTTCGATGCATTGCAACGAGGACGATGGTGTGTCCACAAGCAAAGAAGGACATAATTTCGGTGGGAGGCGCCATCGAGTTGGTTTACGAACATCACTTAATGTCTACACAAAACTCGGCGCAGCAAGCAACAACGAAATATCGACGATGACGACCACGAACATGCAATGCAGATGACGGCCGTTACGGAAACGGAGTCAGCTCCAAGCAGGAGCTGTTATTTTGCCTTTTTTCCGTTAGAGATGAGCACAAAGGGATGCCAGGGAGAGGCCTATCTGGGATCCGGGATCTTTGATTGGGTTATGTTTTGGGCCAGAGGCACGATTTGGTTTGCAGGGCAAAGCAAGTTGTCGTCCTCTTTGGGTCTGGACGCGAGACTCGAGATGTGTTGTACGATAACCCGCTCCTGGGACAGAGGGAAGAATGAGCATGTCATGTAATATTAGGGAATGAGGCTGGCGCAAGGATGCTGTGAGCAAGAAGCAGCATCGCCGGGCGTCACATCTGGCTAGAAAAGCCCATATTGCCACAATACACAGGATCAGAAACGACTATTCTTTGTCCGTGCGATGTTTGTTCGACCAAACCCGTCCTTGCGCTGTAGGAGGCGCAGAAAGAAGACCATCAACCACCCCTATTCATCTAAGACAGGCACGAGGGTGAGTTGATCAGAATCACGACAGTCTCAACTGTGCCAGCACCTCTTCGATCCCTCTCTCCACTTCCCTCTGTCTACCCAAGTCCATGTCCACATCCACTCCTCCCGGGTCTCTCGACTCGTCTCCGCCTCCGTTCCCGGCTTGACCGTTCAGCATGTGCCGGTGCCGCAGCACATTCTCCTCGAGGTACGCCAGCATCACCCCGCGCGCCTCGCGGTGCTGCCTGCTCTCACGGCCCCAGGTGTGCTCCACGAGCGCGAGGTTGAGCCGGATCGTGGCCAGGATGTCCTCGACGTGGGCTGCGTTGGGTTCTGGGCTGGGATTGCATGTCGTCTGTCGGTGTGCGATCGTGGTCGTGGGGTTTGCGGGCTTCGACCCTGAATAACCATCCTTCTCTCCCATTCGGCCAACTGACCCCCGTAAGTAATACGAGGTTGCTGCAACAAGATTCTGGGAAGGCGAACTTCGGCGCTAATTATGCAGAAAGAATCTGGGCACGCAGATTGTGGATGCATCCAATCAGACGCCACCAAGCACCGCTCCCTCCTCGCGGCATCTCGACCGTATATTAAGGCAAGAGTAAGGCTGCCTCCATTCTATCCCACTTCCAACCTCTACTCCCCGAGAAGTGAAGATTAGACAAACACTGGCCGTCATCCAACCTGCTTCGGCTCATCTTTGTCTCCCAAGGCCAGCAAGATGCCTAGCTTGAATACCAACGAGGATGCCACCGATCCCGTATGGGATAGCTTCAGAGACACGATTCACTCGTTGTACGTGATTGAAAACAAGAGTCTCAAAGACGTCATGAGAGAGATGAAGACAAAATATCAATTCACTGCGACGTAAGCCCCAACTACAATCCACCCGGTTCTAGCATTGCTTTCATGCTAAGTCTGCGTAGTAAGGCGCAATTCGAGCTGCACTTCGACAGATGGAACTTCCGCAAAAACTTGACCAAAGAAGAATGGAGGAGCGTCACACACAAGATTCAAAAAAGGAAAAGAGACCACAAAGAGTCCGAGGTGTACATGAATGGGCTACTCATGAACCCAAAGAAAGTCCAGAAAGCCATGTCACGCTATGGTTCTGCCTCCGGAATACTTTTTCAAGGTATATACACATTGTTCTCCCTCCGTATACCAGATCACCGCTCATCCAAAAACCCAGCATCATCACCACAAACGCCAGGGGACATTACCGTTCGTACACCGTTGCCTACTCCTGCGACTCCTGCTGCGGGAGGAATCTCTTCGGCACCTGTCTTCGTCACACCCACGCTACCGAATCACACGATCTTTTCAATAAGCTCCCTCCCCTTCGTGCAGTTCAAATCGATAGTCAACATACTAGGTGCGTGCATCCATGGTCATTCTTTCTACGTGGCTACTAGGCAGGGGACGCCTTGGAACCAAAGGGTTTGTTGACAACAACTACTGAGCCTTTTTCACCCATCTACCTCGGACTTGAAAGAGACCTGCTAATCTTGGTCTGTAGAACCTCTGCATGCAAGCAGCCCCGGGAGCAACAGTTCAACATCCGCTCTCAGGCTGCTGGATCTTCAAAAGAGCATTGTTGATCACTTCCAGAAAGGCGCAGACAGAGATGACCCTCCGACAGCATTCAGCCGAAACCTCAATGCTTTGATGCCAGAAAATCTGGTTTCCTCCAATACCGCCAATTTGCAGATGACCTTACCCCAACCCTCATCGCCCGCAGTGGACTTTTTAAATCTCACTCTGTTCATGGCTTCGAACAAGCTCTTTACACAGGATTCGGATATCAGCAAAAATCTCTATGGCTGGATCAAACGCCGTTCCAATGTCGGGTTGCTTGAAAGTCTCTTATCTGTTGGCGGTCCGACGGCCGAAGCCCTTGCAGAGCAGGTTTTCGCTCTCGCGATGGAGGCGGAGGATGCCCCTACCATCAAGAGGATATTAGATTCCGGGCTCAATCCCAACGAGTTGAGATGCTTTGGTATTGTGGGCCAGGTCACACCGCTTGAACGAGCTTGCGAAATGCGCAGCCTGGAGCTTATACGAGTACTATTGGATGCTGGGGCAGACGTCAACAGCTCATCGCCAGACGCTGTATCCCCTCTAGGAGGCCTAATTATCGCAATAGGAGAGGGTTGGGATTGTTACCTTGATGACATTAGGTATTGGGACAGCGAGGACATTGAGCATCCCGACGTCGATGACATTGAGCATCCCGACGGCGATGACATTGAGCTGGTACAAGCTCTACTTCGCGCAGGCGCCAATGTCAATCCCCCCGATGAATCCCCACTGAGAGTGGTTGCATCGTCATGCTATCCGAAACTCGTCGATGTCCTTCTTTCCGCAGGGGCAGATCCAAATTTTTCAGCTGGCAGTTCTGGCACTACTCCACTCGTTGCGGCAGTACAAAGTAGTGGGCCGATATCCTATATTATCTCAACTGTTCGCCATCTGCTTCAGGCCGGTGCTTATGTGAATGCTACTACTTCTGCTAAACATAGTGCATCGAAAAGTGTTCTGGAGGCGGCATTGGACTTTTCCAGCATCGACTTGATCCGAATACTGTTGGAGAAAGGAGCACATATTACCGAATTCGCAATGGTCCAAGCCGCGGAAGTGGGCAACTTGGACATCATCAATCTCTTCATCGACTCTTCAGCCCGAGTCACGCAGGAAGCAATCGAATGCGCAGCACACAGCGGAGAATGGGAAATATTTCAGCGCCTGCTTGACTCTGCAGAAGAAAGTATGAAGGAAAGCGCCCTCAGTGTTGCCCTTATCGCAGCTATAGCTCGTGGAGAGACAGAGCGTGTTGAAACTCCACCTATATCTGGCACCAAACTTCGAAGCTCTGTCGAGCTGACTGCGGCAATTGAGGCAGCTGCTTCTAGGGGAGACATTTCAGTTCTTCGCCTCCTTCTCAGTGATGGGTCGAAACACCGAGCTGCCGCTATCGAGTCTTTAGGTTGCTCTCTCAACTTTGCCATTGCTGAGGGCAAAGGAGACGTCACTAATTTACTTCTTACAGTTGGTGCAGACATAAACAGCTTGACCACCAAGACGAAGAGAACTCCTCTTTTGGAGGCACTATGTCAGAAGGATGCTTGTCTTGCACAAAAGCTCTTAGCTGCTGGCGCAGCGGTTAACACGACGACATACCATGAAAGCATGAAGCCCATATGTACAACTTCTGCACTGCCAGCAGCAGTGGAATTCGGTCAGCATCCATTGATCCGAGACATAATCGTTGCGGGAGCTGATGTTAACGCGCCTGCGTGGCTAAAAGGCAAAACGCCACTTACGATAGCAGTCGAGCGTTTTGACACAACCACTATTCAGCTTTTGATCGATGCTGGTGCGGACATTAATGCTTCAGCTGCCAGCTATTCTGGATATACAGCTCTTTCAGCTGCTGTTCGGAACAATGACATCAGCATGGTCCACTTTCTCCTTGACCTTGGGGCGGACCCGAATGAGCTGTCCTTGATTGCTGCTCTTGACAAGAGCACAGAGATGATGCAAACACTGCTAACAGCCAGGTTGGCTAGGTATAAACGCTTCTCGGCAGGGTTTGGTTGCCCAACACTGCAGCATGCTATCGCATCATCAAATGCTGTCATGATTGAAACGCTACTATTGAGTGGCGTGGATCCAAACACTATCGTCAGGCTCCATTTTGGAGAAAATCAGGATTTTGTCCACTCCTCCGTTAAGTTCCACACGGAGTCTGCCTTTGGAACAGCAATCAGGCTTGACGAGAGCAAGGATCTACGGGTGATACAGATGCTCTTGCGCGGCGGTGCGGATCCTAATAAGATCGTGGACGATACTACAGACAATACCGCTCTTCTGTCAGCCATCAGCAAGGGAAGACCGGAACTCGTTAAAGTGCTAATAGCTGCTGGAGCGGATGTGAATCTGCCACAAGTTGGGCAAACGTCGGCTACGCCGCTGCAGCGGGCAGTTGAACGAGGCAAGCTGGATATTATAGATATCCTCTTGGAGCAAGATGCAGATGTGAACGCACCTCCGTGTGGTCGAAATGGAGCAACTGCGCTTCAATTCGCTGCCATCAAGGGATACATCGGCATAGCGACGATGCTGATAGCGAGGGGAGCTGACGTCAACGCTTCGCCCGCGAAGGTTGGAGGGAGAACAGCACTTGAAGGGGCGGCCGAGCATGGTCGGATCGATATGCTACAGTTCCTCTTGGATGCTGGAGTGCATCTCATCGGAGAAAGCAGTGGACAGTACGCAAGAGCACGAGAGCTGGCTTCGGAGAATGGTCACATCGCTGCGAGGCGCCTTCTGGAGGCTCAGTACGCTCAACAGGTGATGGCTATATCACCTAGAGACCACTGGGAATGAACTTTTATGGAGCAGCGAGGTTTACAAGACATGACCGACCGGAACCCTCGGCGCACGCTTTGTTCTATGGCGTGGCTTGAATTCCTGCAGGCTTAGTGGGTTGATCTCGATTCAGGAGATCATTGTACTGAAGTGGTGGTGCCGGGCGCGCGAGGTTCGATATTGTTACTCTCCAACTGTCTCTGGGATAGAATAGAAGGAAAATGAGGAGCCGGCAATATATCTCTCTTCCACTCTGCGTACTGACTCCGGTACGGCAGGAGGTATACACTTCTGCTTGGATATGCCCACACAATGACACTTCAGCCTGTGGGAAGACTTGGTCATCTCCAGCAGACTCTCTGACCAAAATCTTATTCCCCCATAAAGACCCTAGCTTCGCCGCGTCCCGACGGGCCGACTGACTATCCCCAAAACGCCAAAGTCAGGTCCCTGTATCCCTGTCGGATTGTGGCATGGCCGTTATGACTGGAAGAGCCAGTATCTGCGGGCTGCCTCGACCCTGGTTATGAAAGCCTCGTCAGCCCCAAACGGTGAACACTCGTTAGATATTGCTCGATGCCAACGTCTTGGAGGCGTCTCTCAACTTCGAAGGCAGCGCATGCTTAGCCACTAGGGACAAGCTGTCATAACCCCAGCATCCTTTTTGCCCATCCTGACAACCTGCCCTCTCATCTCATTCGCCAGAGACCAAAATGATAAATCTTGTGCAGGCGCCACAACGAGACACGCCCCGGGGGTGCCTCCTCCTGCCGTATATCCTGAGTCTCGGCCGAAGCCGTCGGTATGGAGGGAGGCATGTCCTTCTAGCGCGATCACGAGGCAACGACGGCAGAACAGAAAAAGGCTGGGCTCTCTGAGGACAAAGCACCATCAATATCGCCTTCAGATAGAGTTGGAGCAGATGAATAAAGAGTGGCTCCCGCCTCGCGCCTCATGGTCATGGATTATGCTCGTACTTGGCCTACAAGTACGGGAGTGGCACCTAGCTAGAGGAAGGACCAATTGAAACTGGACATATGTCCGTGGACTAGCTGGGAAGTTTAGAGATTGTCACCTGCTGCACGGGAGGTTTTGTGCCCGGGATCGGAGGGGGGACAATCAGGCTGCAGGGAGGAAAGAATGGTGAGGTGAGAAGGTTGAGAAAGGAAAATGATCTGGCGGCGAATCAGTTGTACCTGGCTAAAGCCGTCTCGTGTGATGGCTTTTGTAGGCCCCATATTACGCTAGCTCATAACAGTCTTACTCCTGGATTCGCCGCGAGATCCATCGAATAGCCCTCGCAGCTCACCACGCGGGCGAGGCATAGCCACATTGCCCGCATCAGAATTTGGGAGTGACGACACTTGAGTGTTGCGCCTTGATTAGCCGGATGGGCTTCGCGAGTTTGCAAGGACACCAGATTCTGGACGAGTCTGGCAGATATAATACGAGTGTAAGAAGGCCCCCCCCCCAACACAAGCAGACCTGCTCACTCCTTCAGAAAAGCGACTCTGGCAAACCCCCCTACCCTAATCAAAGGGTGTGCGCTGTGTAGAGATCCCTTTTCGCACCCAAATCCTTCTCTTCCTTTCCCGCTGAGACCAGGAACAGTTCACAAACCCGTGATCGATCGACAATGGCGCGGTTCTCACTCGAAGCCATCGTCGCCATCGTCGGCGTCATAGTCACCCTCCCGCCCTCGGTGATCCTCTTGTGGAGGCTGATCGGGATCGGGAGGAGTGAGACTCCCCCGAGGGATGTCGAGGTACGTTAGTGCCATCCCCTTTCGCACTGAAAGGAGGGACAGTGGCGTTAATCCAGTGGGCGTTCTTCAGGCTTTGGGAATGTCGGCGGTAGCATCGAGTCGGGTCGAGGCTCAGTTGAGCACCACAACAATTCAGCATCAACGTCAGGCTCAACGTCAGGCTCAACGTCAAGATCACCATCCACATCAGCATCCACATCAAGGTCCGGATCAAGCTCAACGTCAAGATCAACATCATCCTCCCCAACAACAACAAGTCTCAAAGTGATGGCCACTGATCTTTTCAAACATTTTGGACGAGAAGAGAGACCAAAGTCCGAGGAAGGCCAGAAAGGGGGAACTCAGCCTTACACATCACCAACGTGGAAAGAAGCTTTAAGAGAACTCCAAAAAAAAATAGAGTCGTTGTCGTCTCCAAAAGAACGGAACTCTCTTTGTGAGACTCTCTCATGGCTAGCGGAGCTAGTGCCCCGTGACATGCTTTGAGAGCGGGTAATTAGCTTGTGCTGGGCTAGACGGGTTTGGCGTGCTATAGCAGACAACATTACAGTTTTGGATCCGGGTCTAACAGTATTATTACCTAACTCCTTTGGAGCATGCCCTTCCACGGGGCATGGTAGGGGTTGCTTAGTTCCTCCCATACCTAGGTAGGAGGGACCTCTCCTATCCGAGGACGTCTTCTACACCACACCCACTCCCTCCTCTGAACACCTCCCTTCAACAGTATCCTATGTACCTCGCTATACTCCAACAGTTCTATACGGGCGTAGTCAAGGTCCGGGATAGTCGTCGCCATCAACTTCGACCACCCCTTTAAGTTCGGCTGTGGGTATTAGAGCGCGCCAAGAAAAATGTATAGCGCAAGGCTGAGATTTTCCCGGGACATTCGCACCCTGTGTATTATTACCTCGCTCGTACCCTCGTATCTACTCGTAGTCACCTACCCCTAACAAATACAAAGACGGCGTGCATTTCGACTCTCACTAGAGAGAGGGAGGGAGGTTATGTTCCATCTACCTTGTCTCCTTCACCTCCCCATTCCTTCTCCCTTTGTAATAGTCTGCGCGGTGATTAGGGAGGTCTCATCCGCTGTGTCTAGCCAGTATTGAGCGAAAATTCTCCCTCCTCGCGACGCATGCTGCAATGAGAAGCGAGTACCTACTCCTACAGAGGCTTGGGCCGCGGTATCTGCGCCTGTGGACATTCTCTCGCTAACATGTCCCGTAAAACTCGGCGGGGGCAGTGCTCGAATGGTCAATTGTCCATGAAATTCAAATCCGAGCCCAATGTGGCTCCGTGCAACTCTGTCAATACAAGTAGATCTTTCATTAGCGCCTCTGGCTATCCCTAGTCCAAGCCGTCACATTGCCGTGGCCTTTCCTCTTGCCAATAGTCCCGTCCAAAACCAACGCCTTGCATGTCAAAAAAACCACGAGCTGCACCAAATCCAACTTCCCCGCTTGTGCAATGAGGTCCGCCGTAATGTTCGCCGGGCCGTATTTTACCTCTCAAAAGTTCAGCGTCGTTGATGACTCAAGTTGGAAGGCGGAGCAATTTGCTCGCCTGGTCCAGATGCATTCGTTCTCGCGCTGTTTGCGATCCTAGCTCCGCCGGTCTTGACCGAGGGATAGAGATATTCCTGCGGCTTCGTTCCTCGTGATATCCAGGCTTTTGAGCGCGATAATCCGTCAATCGCTTAGGTCGTATCTCCGTCCGAAATCGGGCGTTGCGTTATCGACTGTTGCTTCATTGTGGAGCAGACCAATGTGGCTTGAAATAATGCCAACCCTTCTGCAGGGCCACGTATCGAAAGTTCAAAGGTTCATTGTTGCCACTTCGGTTGCAGGTCGAACACAACTTCCATCATCCTCCCCGAAATCTTACAAGGAGTGCTCAGTCAATCAAGGGCTTCTTCACGGAGCCGACCAGAGCCACTCCCAAACAGCTCAACGCGTTAGGGTCTGAAGAGCGTATTATAGTGGCCAAAGGCAACATGGGATTTTCCGCATTGACATGGGAGGCGTCTCGGGCCGCTTGTTCAATTGCTTCCATCTCCGCTTTGCATGCGGCGTGGTCCAGAGGACAGACGACAATCGGCTGTTTTAGGATGATATCTTTGGCGCCAGCCATTGATGCCTAGAACACGAAGATCAATTAGCGAACCCAAACCTCGTCATCTGCGTCAATGTTGCGCCTGGTAACTCCGTCACATACCTTGATGGTCAGGTAGTATTCCACCTTGTAAAGACCTGCCGTCGTCGTAAACCCCGTCACGGCATATGTAGGAAACGCCGACCTGCCACGAGGCATGATCCCATCCGCATCACGGAGATCGCTCGAAGGAAAGACAAGACCAAGGTTGGTGAAATATCCCGCCTCGGGCATTTTCACGCCCACTGTTTCCGTCTTTTTGACCAGACTCTTGGTCTTTCTCTGGGGCTCGTCCCCCTCGTGGTTGTAAATGACCTCTTCGTCGATCCCAATCTCGATCTTTTTGATGGTCACTTTGCGCGCCTTGCTCAGCCAGTCCGGATTCGGAGAGAGCTTGATATACACGCTGACTGGGTCCAGGGGTCCGTAAGACCACCGCGGCAAGGATATTCCCAGGGTCACCAAATGGTCCGAAACCCGCTCTGCCGTTTCGGGTCGGTTGTACATGCCAAAAGTCGAGAGTGTGTCGTACCGTGCAATCGGGACGGGGAAAGCATAGGTTTTGCGATCAGTTCCTCCGTAGCCCACCGTCACCACCATCTCGTAGTATGTCTCGGCCGTCCGCCGGGGTAACTGTAGACTCGCTGGGGGCACCCGTCGGGCAGTCTCTTGGCCTCCTCGTCCAAAGGGGATGAATATTACAAAGGGCAAGTCCATGTACATGATCTCTTCGTATTCCCTGTTGGCTGGACATCGGAACAAGAGCATCTCTTTCCCCACCGTCTCCGTCGACTCCTTCCTGGGCGCGGCCAGGTGTTTCTTGGTGACCGAATCGGCATGGGGATGGATGCTTTCTCTTCTCTGCAGGCAGATCGTGACGATGGAGACGTTGACGGGACTTGAGATGCCGACGCCGGGCCGTATTTCGACAGTGCCTTCGATGCGAGGCTATGTTGAACAATGTCAGCGGCGGACTCTACGGAGGTCAGGCGCAACACGGCGTCTGTTTCTCGGGCGGGGGAAATGGTTCCCAAACTCACCAGCGTAGCAGAGATCCCCGGGTATCCGACCAGAAAGTTTGTGTTTGGGCGGCCAGATACTCGCACAAAAGCGCTCATCTTCTCGTTGAGCTCGAGCCTATGTTGAGACCATTACCACGAGGCGGAAGTGAGATTGTCCTGTGACTGCGGCCTCGGCGAGGAGTGGTGGGATTGGAGAACTGCGGCGGCCTGTTTCTGAGGGACAGTATGAGGCCCATGAGGCGCCAGAGGATGTTACATGCAGAACAATGCAGGATTCGTTGTTGTGGTTCTTTGTCGTACGATCAATGGGCTTGTGGGTAGTGGACGTCGGTGTGGTGTTGGGGGCCGAACAGCGTGATGACAAGGGCGGGTCAGAGGGTTGGCAGAGTCGAGGTCGAGAGCGGGGAGGTGGGAGCGAGAGACGACGGTCGATGATGGCGTAAGTCGAAAGAATATACGGGGGATGAGATATGAGGTGAAGATGGAAGTGATGAGCTGGAATATGGGCGCGGCTGGACGCAGTGCGCAGATGGGATGGAATATAATACGAGGAGGACAATTCAGCAGCTTCTTGTCGGTTGGTACAGCGTCGGGGTCCCTTATTACGTGAAGCAGGCGCCGCGCAGCCAAGCACCACACAAGACACGCAGCCAACGCAGGCACTTGGAGATGAAGGTAGCCAGTGGGAGCCTGTTGATCCTTTGGGTACCTAGGTACCTAGTGGGAGGTATGCTGTTTAGAGATCCAGACCCCAATGCACACACCTTGGGCACACCTACGTTAGTGTCCGTCTCTATATAACGCCCCCCCCAACTCCCGAGCCTTGGGATTCTCCGTGCCTAACTAGAGCTCACCCTCACCTCGCCCACGCCCATGTCCCTGCGCCTGCGCCTGCGCTTCATCTCCATCTTCACGATGCGAAGCTCTCCGAGTGATGACATGGACGACTGACGACTGACGACTTACAAAATGGCTCACCAGTCAGCACTATGCAAGTGATTCATTCGATGTCGGTTCCCGATAGGGAGTCTCTCGAGTTGAGCAGCGCAACCGTGGTCATCCATGTGGGTTTCACCCGTGCCACTGCCCTCATTGCCGCTTGTTGTCGACCCGATGGGATCTCAGCCTTATACAAGCGTTTAGCCTGGCGACAGAGCCAGAGCCAGAGCCAGAGCCACAGCCACCCGCCTCGTCAATGGCGCCGCCTATTGCGAATCCCCCCTTCCCCCATCCCCCATAGTCTATGGCCCAAGATCCAGTGCCTGTCGCTCATTGCCCATTTGCGCCCCCACCTGATCGCCATGCTGCGAGCCACGCGTTGTCCTCTTCCAGTCGTCTTTCGTCACCCACTGTGGCTGTTTGCATGCATCAAATCCATCTCCCAGGTATGGCATTCATCTCAGCAATAATCCTCCGACTTCCAGCTTGTCAGCATCTTGCCATCTCTCCCCCCATCCCGCAATCCTTGGGTTTGTAGGTCGTACGTCTGAACCGCTCACAAATATACCCGACAAGTCCTCGTCCTCCGTGCCGCGCTAAATACCTCCGCATCCCGTCGTCCATTGACCATCAACATGCCAATTCGGGTTGCCTGACACTCCATCCACTCCTCAAGTCCGTCCACGGAGCGGCTGACATTTTTTGCCAGCGGAGACGCTTGCGAACGGCACATCCATGCTCTTGGCCCCGGGCCGGCCAACCACGAACATCTATCGGGAGAGAGGCCCTATCCGACCGACATCAAACATTTGGTGACATTCCTTCTCAGCCGCCAAAAGGTGAGTTTAGAATGATACATGGTCGACCTGAACTGGGTATCGCCATGGGAATGTTTGGCTCCGATGGGTCGACAACCCATGGTCTCTACTTTCCGATCCGAATCGCTGGAACTAGCATACGATATTCCCGTCACCATAGTTCTTTGCGACCTCTTTCTAGGGTGCACACTTGACTTTCCCGTGGCCATCAACGTCGGCCAGAAAGGGACGAGCAAGCAACTCTCCCTTGCGGCCCAAGCTGCTGGGTTGTTGCTTGGCCGATGAAGACTACGACCGTCCATCTCAACTGCTGTTAGTTGCTCTTCCTACGTCGAAGCGGCTGCCTCAATGCCCTTTCCTTCTCTAGCTGTCGTCTTGTAGCCTGTCCCCGAAACCTGCTATGGCAGTACATTTTGGTTCGAGCTGCGGAGGATGGCGCTAAAGAGTCTCCTGCCCAAGTCGTGTCGCATTGGTTTCGTGTGTCTCTCGCTTCTCCACCTGGCCGGTTTGATTCACGCTGCCAGAGGATTCGCATGGATCGTCACCTTCTCCAGGACAATCTTCTCCTTGGGACGGTATTTCTTGTCCACCTCCACGGCCTCCATCTTGTCCAGCGTGCCGCCTTCTTCCGCACCCTCAATAACCCTTCCGAAAACCGTATTCTTGCCATCCAAGTGAGCCGCATCTTTAAAAGTGACAAAAAACTGGCTTCCATTGGTGCCGGGGCCCTTGTTTGCCATGGACACCATTCCCCGGCCGCTATGTCTCAGCGCAGGGACTTTGATCTCATCTTCAAAATAACCTCCCCATATTGATTCCCCGCCCTTCGGAACTGGCTTTTCCGCAGTCGCGTTCTCGGGGGACAAAGACGTATCGCCACCTTGGACCATGAAGTCGGGGATCAGGCGGTGGAAGGGGGTGCCATCATACGCCCCAGAGGCGCATAGGGCGAGGAAATTCTCCGCTGTTTTCGGCACAGCTTCGCAGAAGATCTCGACCTTCAGATCACCTTGGGTTGTATGGAGCTAATAAATGGTAATGAGCACGAAGATATGGTGTAGCGCGAGGGCTGCGGTACGTACCGTGACAGACATGCTGCACCAAAGAATCCATGAAGTGATTTGGACTTTGGCTGTGAGTGACGAGCGACTTCCACGCGACTTGGAGACACTCCTGGGGGCTCGGAGAGAAGCAGAGAGAGAAATGTCTGTCACTTCGTGGACCGAGAACCTGAAAAGAGGCAGAGGGGAAGCCGCGAGCAGGTTGCTGTACTCGTTACCTCTCTCGCTACATACCTACTGGAGACATTTAGCTGGCGAGTCGGAAGCAGGTCGTAGAAGAAAAGCATACGGTCACGTGGCCCCTACGTCACCGAGCAAAAGAGGCACTGGGGGCATGCCACTCCCACTGCTCGGAACACACCAGCTCGACGAGTGCTCGATGCATTTTGCGTTCACAAACGATATGTCTTGTCACCCAAACACTCGGGCCAATTCGAAGCTATCGCTGGCAAATTGAAGCCAATATCCACAAATGAAACCTCATTCCATGCCACGGTTGTTCCTCCTTTTCCGCCTTTCCAATAGAATAGACCGTCCGCAATGTCGCGGAAGAAATGCCTGTACACATGCATAACCTATGTGTATCTCCGATCGCTCATCGTTCATTCTTTCCTAGGTATATCGTCGTGACACAGTTCAATGAAAAGAACACCAGGCCCTAATGGTACAATGCCGAGCAGCCGCTCTGGCATGCCGAGAATCGAAACTGTACAATAGTCAATATGAAAATCAACCAAGCTCAAGCTCGCTGTTGATCAAGTCGTGGGAGGCATTATCGTCCCGTTCTTCTTCGATATCCAGGACATCAGCATAGTGTCAAGTTGTGACTGCATCTCAGCCAGCTTTGTCCGCTCATCGATGAAGAGATTGTGCATCAAGGGATGGTCTGGGCCCACCGGCATGACATTCGATTTGTCGTGCACAATGATGAGAAGGTCTTTGATGTCCTGACTGTTTTCCATGTATGATCTTAACGACGCGTCTGACCACGTCGGTGTCGACCTCGAAGTTGACGGTGTATGTGTTGTGGTGGAAGGCGACGGTTTCGAAGTGCTAGCAGTTCCTTCTGATTCTGATGGATTAGGCTCTTGAGGTAACGGGGACGAACTCGAAACTGCGGGCGGTTGAGCTTGGAATCTATTGTCCCCGAATTTTCCAGGTGCTACGGCTGCCGGGGCCAAAACTTGGGAGGCTGAGTCTGATCGAGGTTGCTGTGCCTGTAAGTCTGGAGCAGGCGAAACACTCTGGCGACCTCGATCATCCACTGTTATATTCTTGTCGTCTGTCTCTGAATCACTTTCGTCTATCGCAAAGCGCTCTTTCGCTCGCTTCGTGTAGATTGGCTTGACGGGAGATCCGCTGTCTGGGCTGATGGAAGGAGTAGGCTTCAGGGCTGTTGTGGCCGGCGAGGAAATCGTCCTCTTTTCGGTAAGAGAAGGAAATCGGTTGACTTGTACGGGCTGAGATTGCACCGACGTATCGGGATGCTGACCATCAGGCTCGACTCTGCGGACTGTTGGCGGTTCAGGTGCGGGCCCGGTTGGAGCTGGAGGTGTCTGTCCGAGTGACTGCTGCGGATGTCGTGCTTCGGTGGGTGACGCCTTCGGTGACATGCCTGGCGGTGTCTTTTGCAATTTGCTCGGCCTGCGTTCAGGGCCAGTTTCCGGCTTTATGGTCAAGGACTCCATAGAGTCCTTCGACCCTGGAGATTGACGAGGGTCTTCCAGAACCTTTTCGCTCTCTTCCTGTGGCATGCCCTTCTTCCGCTTGAAGAGCCCACTGAGCATACCCTTTTTCTCCTTCTTTTTCTCCTTCGATTTGTCATCCACGCCAACAATTTTATCGAAAGTCTCCAGGCTTGGGCGTTGGCGGACTTCCTGTTCGGTGGACCCACCAGAGTCAGAATCACCTCGTAGTAATCGTGGTGTTAGAGAGATCTTCTTCGTCTCGACTGTGTCGTCCTTGAAAAATGAGTCGGTATTTCTGACGACCCCTTTCCTCGATCGCAGAACCGGCTCGTCGGTCTGCTTGGCCTCTGAGTTGGATTGTGACTGTTGAGCCTTGACCGGGCTTGACGCTGTTTCATTCTTCAAGCTGTCGTTACTGGTTACCCGCTGAATGCCATTGACTGCGGTAGAATCTCGTGGCTCCTGAGTCTCAGCCGAAGCCGCCGAAGCCTCTTGCTGATCTTCCGCGTTATCACCGTCATCAGAATTGTCCATTCCAACCTGGTCGAGCTGGCCGTCCTCGCCTTCTTCTTCCTCCTCGTCAGAGTACTCATAATCTGAAGGCTCGTAATAGGTTGGAGGCGCAAACTGCACTGTTTTGGCGTTCCGCCGGCGCATGGCCTTTTTCAGCGGATTCTTCGATTTCTCAGGGTTATCCCCTAGCATTTGCGCGGACAACTGTTGTCACATCAGCACGATCTTGAGATAGATAGGAAAATCACGTACATCCACATTTCTGTGCTTGTTGAGCCGAGCCAGTCGTTCGGTAGGTGTTTCAATATGTTCGGCGGGCAGGTAGCCTGGAATCAACGATGAGTGTACGGAGCCTTGCGTAGTTCCAACTCGACTAACCGATGCTGCCGTCCTTCACGACCCGAACTAGCCACCAGTAACTGTTGCTATCGTCAAGCAACACCATGGTGTCACCTTTTGTGGCATTGGCCTGACCTTCAACCGTCGCGACAAAGGTGTGCAGTGCATACACAAACTCGAAATCGATATCCTCTATTTCTCGTAAGCATTCTCCTCCCCAACCAGAGTCGATGAAGCGGTCGTCGACGGAAAATTGAAATTCATCGGTGTCATCATCAGAACTTTCCTCGAGCCCGGGAAGGCAAGAGTCTTCGTCTTCCCACTCGTCATCCTCGTCATAGAGGAAATCGTCGCCGTAATCCTCCACCGTGCAGGCCAAGAGAGGGTCGTCCAGCGGCAACAAGTACCGCCGAAATTCCTGAGATTCGGAGAGTGGAAGGAAGGGTTGTTGTACTGCTGCCAACCCCAGTCCTAGCATAGGTGACGAGCCCTTACAAGATTCTGCCCGCTCATCCACAACGTCACGGGCCGATCTCGCTTGACCCAGGCCCTCGATATACTCACCATGATGACTTGCCGCGTAACACGATTGCGATGGGCGCAAGGGAAAATGCTCAGGTGTAGAAGAGAACGGTGATGAAGATAAGGAATCGCCTCGAGTCGGCGTCGATAGTGAAGCCGGGGAAGCTTCAGAATCCACAGAATCGACCCGGGGCGGCCATTGGGGAAGGGAGTATTTACCATCTTCAATCGAAGGGGAGCTCGAGATTTTGTCCATCAGGTCATCGTCCATGTCCTCGTCATGGGAGTCACCACCATCGCCATCGTCCAGGTCCTGCCCATGGTATCCGGCTCCATTCGTCGCATTTTGGGCGTTGGGATGTTCGTCGTCTCGGTCATCGTCTAGGTCGTCATAGAAATGTTGGTCTGACTGTTGAAAACCTGAATTGGCTCTGTCTTCTGAGGCCCTCGGGCTTGCATGTTGCTCTTGATATGACTCTTGTTCGGCATGTCGCAAAGTCTGGGCTTGGTGTGGAGCCGCAGGACCATAACCATATGGTGAAGGGTGTGCGGGTTGTCTCGAGTGGTCTTTGGCAGACGGCGAGGTGTGGTCTTGCAGATCCAGGGTATCTAATAGCACGACGTTGTGAGCAGACTCTCCGTTACAGCGAGGGAATCCCCATTGATGTGATCTTACCAGCTCTGACAAGCTGTGGCTTTAAGGTGGTCATTGCGCGAACCATCTATGCGGGAAGACTGGGTGTCGCGTTGAATGTCTGCCCACCAGAATCGACGGGCCTCGAGTAGATACAGGTCGCATAGAGACACTTGGGGACCGATTGAGGAAGAAACAGGCGCGAATGAGAACTTCTTCGAGTATGCAATGCAATCGAGGGTCAGGGCGATAGAGAGAAGCCGTTGGGAAGAGCTATCCTCAAGACCGGACGCGGTAAGGACAGTGAGGGCGCAGCGGTGGCCACCTTTGTGCTCGAACGGCGAATTGAGCGACGCGTGGGTTCGCAGCGAGGAGAGAAGAGAGTGACTCCTTGGAATGAGAGTGGCGTGCGCAGGGCGCAGATGCTGGGGACCCGAAAATAACGGTTTGTCGTGTGGCAACGGTATGGTAGATTCAAGAGACGGTAATGAAGGAGTAGCGGGTAAAAACGAAGCCCTGATTTCCCCTGTCAAAAGCCGGCCATGATTGAAAAGAGCGAAAAAGGAAAGGAGGATGTTGTTTCAGGATTTGGTGGAGGTGCAGGGACGGAAGACGGAGTTTCTTGCTCAAGGGCTGGGTGGGATTGCTCAATCGACATGGGGGAGTGGAAGGGGGCCCTCAGGAACGGGCGAATTATTTTCAGGGACCAGGGCAGCCCAAGATTCTAGGTATTTGGGTATTTTGGGTGCAAGGCCTGTGGGAGGAGTCGGTTTGGCGAGGATGGTTAGCGCCCTCGAAGGTCGCCCGGCGCCTGTTTTTTGGGGTGGTACCTTGGAGGCGACTAAGCGTAGGGTCTGGTCTGAGGGCGGTTTGTGGGGATCACAGCACCACCACCCGCCCATCTGCAGGCTGCGGCCAGAGGCAGGCCACCAATTATCGAGATGCCCACACCGTTTGTCAGTGTCCAGATGGCATTTTGTAGCGCTCAATGCCCTGATTAGGTCCGGAGAAGGTTTTCTTTTTGATTGTTGATTTTATTCGGTCATCGCATGTGACTACATTGTTGCTTTTTCGTTCCTTTCGGACAAAACTGAGGGCACAAAGAGACTGACGGGTTTGCGCCCCTCTGAAACGGCACTCTCCGCCACGGGCCAGGCCTATCCTGGGCGCTTTTAGCCTTGGGAGGGCACCGCAGTGCCTAATGCCTTCACCTGAGTGCCCGACTTAGGTGGGATTGCCTGTCAATCTTGCCAATATTTTTTTCTCTTGCACCCGACCAAGATTTGCGCACCTCTCGAGCCTCGATGCCCCACGTGCGAGTGCAACACCACCACCACCACGACTTTTTCTTCACTTCGTGCATGCCTTCACCACCACGCCCCTCTGGTCTATGGAGATCAGCTCGTCGGCTTTGTGAGATCCGCAGGTCTCTCAGATCTCACATCCGAGAAGTCACCACTGAGAGTTCCGCTTTCGAGTTGCCGACAAGCTGAAGCGCATCTTCCGGCCTTCTTCTTGCGTATAATGGCGCAGGCTGACACCGGCCATCTTCTCCAAAGCCTGCGCCTGAGTTCGTCAAGTCATGAAAACGACAGCACCCACAATGACTCCTCCTCCTCTCTGAACGACCTCCCCGGCGAGGTGAAAAGCTCCCCAGACAGGTTGCCTGTACCATCCCGCCCAACGTTCAGAAGCTCCGGGACAAGTCAAGATACCATCCGCCCAACGGCGACCCCTCCTGTGGACATACCGGCAACCAGCGAATCTCCCGCCGCAATCAGGGACTCTACGAGTCCTTCCAGCTACATAGATCAGTTCATGCGACGGCGAAACCCGTCGGTCAGCTTCGACAATGAGATCAAGCTTGACTCGGGACATCGGCAGAGCATGCAAGAGCCCTTAGAAAAGCCTTCGAAGGCTCGTGAGCGTGGGCGCTCGTTGTTTCAAGCCATGGCAGACGCCCAGAAGTCGTCTAGGGCGCACAGTGAGTCAGAGCGGTCACACTATGATCCTGTCACAGGCAGGCACCTTCCCAGATACTCTCAAAGTCCGCCGAGGGAACAAGCCCGTGTTGGGGAGGGCCGTTTCCCTTTGCTGCAGACTACCGTGGATGCTCTAGCAAGAGAAACCCACCCAGACCTCCGGCATACCATGTCGATGCTCTCTGATTCCGCACTGTCTTCGGATGAGCAAGCCATCGCAACTCCGGATGTCGACAACTATTTGCTCTCTCCCGCAGTAGCCTCGCCCTTCGCGGGGCAGGCGTTCTCCTACGACGAACCCAAACCATTCCGACGCACTGCGTCGCAGAGATGGCGAGAAGGCGACACCAGCGCCTCTCCGCAAGACTTCTTTGCCCGGGCAGGGAGTTTGCGCAACAAAAGCATGCGCGATATCGCAGGCCGGGCATCTCGGCGGGACACATCGGGCTCTGCCACACGATCACCGAGATCAGCCGCCTCCTCGTATCTGCGGGCATTTTCCATGAGCAGTGGAACGAATGGTGAGGGAGCTGACGTGGGACCTCTCACCTGCGACTCCGAAGGCCAGACCATTGGCGATGATTACGTGTTAGGCAAGCAGATCGGATATGGAGGTTTCAGCACGATCAGGCAAGTGACACAACTTCAAGACAGTAATCATCGCCTACTCGCTGTCAAGATTGTCCGTCGCCAGATCGAGGGTAAGAACGAGACGGAGAACGAGCAAGCTCAAGCCGAGTTTGAACACGAGGTTGAGCTATGGCGGTTCCTCAACCATCCCAATATCCTCCCTCTCGAGGCGGTCTACAAACTGGACGACGCGACTTTCTGCTTCATTCCGCTCAACACTGGCGGCACGCTCTTTGACCTTGTTCGGGCCAACCGCAAAGGGGTTGCGCAGGAGTTTTCCAAAAGCTATTCCTACCAACTGGCCTCGGCATTGCGGTACCTCCACCTCGACGCACGCGTCGTTCACCGTGACGTGAAGCTAGAAAATTGCCTGATAGAGCCAAGCAATGATGGAGGACCAGGCCTTCTTCGTCTCTGTGACTTTGGTATGGCAGAGTGGCTCTCGACGGACAGCATGTCTGGCCCACCCAGCCCAGAGTTCAACGATGCCGACCGGCCTCCACGGAAACCGTTCGGCCCAGCTGACACGTCGACCTCTGCATTTGCAGGCGGCAGCCTTGAGTATGCCGCTCCCGAGATCCTGCGAATTGCGGAACGCATCAAAGCTGATGTCCCGGTGGAGCGTGCCATTGTATCGCCCGCGGTTGACATTTGGGCATACGGCGTCTGTGTCTACAGCATGATTGTAGGTTCGCGGCCATTCCAGAACTCTTTTCAGCCTCGAGTGGTCATGGCGATCCTGGGTGGAGATTGGAACCGGGCACTACTTTCAGACAAAGGCGGAACCGATGCTCACGAGCTGGTCAGTGGATGCCTTGAAATGGACGAAGTCTTGCGCTGGGACATTACGAGAGTGGTCGATTGTGCCTGGCTTGAAGAACTCGCTGGTCAGGAGGACAACCAACAGGGTATGAATGGTTGGCGACTATGATGTGAAAGACATGAAACAACAAGCTCCATCATGGATTGGAAAGGATGGGGGCTCTACTTGGACCTTTCGGTTTGTCTTCGACGACCAGGCGCCCCTCTCAGGACGTACTTTGGGATGGTGTGCAAGGTGGAATGTACGGCCATCGAATCATTGACGTGAACGACGACGACGTTGGGTTTGAGCTTACCGTGGCTCTGCGCGATGTGGATCCATTTTACGACTGCGACGAAACGAATCTCTCTCTCTCTCTCTCTCTCTCTTCTTTCACAGACTTTCGCTTTTACATCTTTGGCGGCAAGGTGTTTTTTTCTCGGGCGGGACAGAGACTTCATGTGCTTTGAGAAGAGCAAGCGACTGTTAATGTACGATTTGTATACTACGATTAACGCACGATAAATTAAATTCCCAGAACTCAGGCTCGACAATTGGGTACAGGCGTTCTCATCTTCGTTTTGCTTTTGAAGCGGGTTTCGACGGCTGGAGCTGAGGTTGTCGGCGTAGCCACGATGTCCCGGCGGTGCTGAAGTGCCTATCACCCACACCTCTAGACCCATCGCTCCCAACTGAAAAGCTGCACATGTCATCTCACGAGTCCAGCCTGGGTAGGTAGGTACGAGGTAACTTGGGAGAGTACCGAGTACTCCACACCATCGCAGTGGAAATAAGCGATGCACTAGACCAAGTAAAGTAACACACCCGCCCGGCGAAACCTAATCGAGGCACCTCTGCCTGCCAACACCTCAGCATAAACCATGTCTCCTTGGTAGGCATATTGCTCATTGTATGCATTCGAATTCGTTAGGTCTGTATGCGTGGACATATATTGGTGTTCAGATCAGCCGCCCGCCTCCAAACGAAAGGACGGCCTCGCCCGGGGTATTCGTTATCAACAAGGTGCAAGTGAAAGTGAGTGCAAGCAGCTCCCCCCGCCCAGCCTGCCAAATAATATCCCTCGAATGAGCCGCCGAGGACCCACCGACCCAAAAAGCGCTTACCATAAAAGGCAATGGAGCCGTATTGCTTCCCCCCCTTTCTCTGGCTGTCCCTCCTCTCTCATTTCTTCCTCCCCCGCTGTCTGTTGCGTCTCCTACAGACCTTACTCCTCCAACTCGCTCTTCCCCTCCCTCCTCGTTGGCTACCTAGGTAGGGCCCTCTCCAATAACCGGACGAGTTGCACGGCGCGTGTTGTGTGTGAGAGAAGAACCTAGGTAAACTCTGGAGTAAACGAATGAATCGAAAACGAAAAAAAGCCAACAACCTGTCTGGGCCCCCGCTTAAACGCCCACCTTTCCCCTCCCAGTTTCCCCCCATACCCTTTGTGTGTGTATGTATGTGTTGTTATAGCCGCGGTGGTTTCCGGGGAGGGAAAATATCCCAAAGATTCATAATTTTATCTCGCTTTGATTCACGCAAACACCCTGCGCAGCTCGTCGCAGATATCCGTGATGGCGGTCCGGCCGGCCTCCAGCACGGCGTCCATGGCCAGGAAGGGGTGCGGCATGCCCTGCATGACGGTGACGGTGGCGGCGACGCCGTTGGCGCGCAGGCGGCGGGCGTACTCCTCGCCGTCGTGGCGGAGCACGTCGAGCTCGCCGACGAGGATGTGCGCGGGGGCCAGGCGCGCGAAGACAGCGTCGGGCGCCAGCAGCGGCGACGCCTCGCGGTGCGCCCAGTCGGCCGGGTCCGGGAGGTAGTGGCGCCGGTACCACAGCATCTTCTTCGCGGGCAGGTGTGCCGTGAACTCGAACGCCTTCCAGCTGGGGCTCGAGTGCGGCGTCGCCGTGTTGTCCGTCACCGGCACCACCAGCACCTGCGCCCGGATCGAGACGCCCGGCGGCGGGCGCAGCGCCGCCTTCTGCGCCACCACGGCCGCGATGTTCGCCCCGGCCGACGCCCCCGTGATGGCGACCTTGTTCAGGTCCACGTCGAGCCGCTCCTCGCCCTCCCGCGACGTCGCCCACAGAAAGGCCTCCCACGAGTCGTGGATGGCGGCCGGCCAAGGGTCCTCGGGCGCAAGCCTGTTCTCTCTCTCAACAAGAGAGGCGAGGGTCAGACAAGAGATCCTAGCATTGGCAATGCTCACCAAACAAGATAGGGTTTTTGTTGTTGTTTCTTGCTGTGTTTTGGCTCGTTGAGGCCGAGATTCTGCTTGCCTGTCCCCCTCTTTCTTTTGGTTCGCTAGAAGGAAAGGGGACATTCATGGGGTGAGAAAAAGGGGGCGTTCTAACCTATAGTCCGTGGTGATCACCACCGCCTGAGCTCGGACACAAATGTTGGTGCACACGGTGTTCTCGGTGTCGATGTCCCCGAACACCCACCCTCCGCCATGGTAGTACAGCACCAACGGCCAGCCGGATCGGGGTGGGATGCCCGGTGGGGTGAAGCACCGGATGAGGATGGTCGGCCCAGCGGTCTCTCGTCGTGGGATGGACACGTCCTGGACGCTGCCCACGGGCAACGGCTTGCTGTGGCAGGGAGGCACGCTCCGGCTCCCTCGCGCCACCGACACGGGCAGGTGGTGGACCTGTTGTGCGTTGAGGATGTACTTGTTGTAGAAGGCGACGTATTCGGGATGCAGGCGGTCCTTGACGCTGGGGTGAAGAGGGTAGGGTGGGTGGTGGAGTTGGGCTACCATTTCGGCGAGGTGCACTATGCAAGGGCCGTCGAGGGGAGGTGTAGGCATGAAACCGCTTAGGCCATCGAGGGAACAAAGGGCGGCGAGTGTGTGCTTTGGGAAGAGGAGAGGAGGGAGGGAGGGGGAGTGGGAAGATTCCTTTTTGGTCGTTTCCCTTGTTCAAATATTAATATACATAGCTTTCCAACGTTTGGGCCAAAGTACCACAAGGAAATGGCCAAGGCAAAAGCTCTTCCCTTAGGACCTTAGGGTAGTCGGTCGGGTTAGCTAGCTAGCCCAGTAGCAAGTCGAGTGGGTTGCCACAGATTTCGGTGCCACTGCTGGGGTTCTGGCTCTTGCGATGGACAGGGCCGCTGGCTCCTCCCCTGGTGGTACAGGGCCTTTCCTGGAGGGAAGCTTTTCCAAGGCCCGAGCCAACCGCTATGGCGGGACATGTCACTTGGACTACTCAGCTCGCCAGGTGTCTAGGAGAGAGGAACCACTTTGTTGCTTTGTTAGCGGGCCTCGTGGTGTTGCCTCTAATGCCCTCTTAGTCTGCTAAAGTAGTAACACGGCTGCACCAGGGATTGATTATGCCCAAGGGTCCAGCCTCCTCCTCCTCGTCCTCGTCTTTCGTCGTTGCTTGCTGGCTTCCTCGTCCTCCTGCCTGTAGGCCAATAGGGTACAAGGTCGAGGTACTCTTTGACATTTCCAGCCCCCAAAAAAGTCGTGTTGCCGTGAGATCAATCGCGCGCATCTCCGGATTTGTCCATTCTATTGGTTGCAATGCTGACCACGGCCGCGGGCGAGTGGTGGTTTGTGCCCTGTGTACACAGTAGTAGTGCGTGGGAAGCCAGATGTGAAATGTGTGAAAGCAACACAGCGGGCTTGCATTATCATGGACCATGGCCCCCGCCGCCCCTCTTCCCCCATAGAGGGCTGTGATCGAGGCGCGTCTTCTGGTTGCACACAAGAGGGCGACCTACTCTTTGCGTGGGGATCTGTTGCAAAAAGTGGATTCGTAGGAGGGTACGGAGTACAAGGGGGGGCGACACAGGAAGCACAGGATATCCCACTCCCTTCCTTGGTCTTGGAAGTACCACGGACAAGTTGTAGACTGACCTGACTCTGCGAGAAGACTCAGTCACGCTACGCATGCTGTGCAACGGAGCCTTTTTTTTCCCCTTCCCCTCTGGCAAAAATGCTCATCCATGGGTCGATGGGCCTCCAATTAGTGGCCGCCCAGGGCACGACTAGTCCAGGTATCACGGAGTATGGCCCTCCGAGGAGGTCCAGGCTGTCCCTGTTGTTTGCTGCTGGTGCTGTTGCTGCTGGTGCTCATGCTGCCAAACCAAAATCACACGCAGCGTTCGAGTCGTCGATTATTGATTGATGCGGCGGCCCCAGTTTCGATTCGACTAGGTGGCTAGGGGTAGCCGGGCTTGGTGGGCAGATCATCCAAATCACGGACCCTTCAGCTTTCGTCGTTGATTCCCTGCAACCTGGAACAACCGAGCCAACGCCTGGACGACTGGACTGAGGACTCGGAGCAACACGCAGCGCAAGCGGGTCTTTGCTGGTTTGCCGAAGGAGCACACGAATCGGAGCGGCGAGCCACCCCGGCTGCTTTGCTTTCTCGCGGCTTGCAGGGCTTGCAGCCTGCAGCCTGCAGCTCTGCCTGTGAGGCTATGCAGATTAGAACCAGCTATTCTTCCCGGGTTTGGAATTCAGATGATACCGACTACTGCTGGCACGGGTACCTAGCCCTCAGCTCGCTCTGGGGGGGGCTATGTGCCCAGCGCGAAACGAAAAGCTCGGAGAATTACCACCGCCGTGGGATCGCCGTGGTATTTCTTTTTTGGCTTGCAGAACGCCCCCCAAGGCTCTAAGCTTGACTAGAGTCCCCCCGTCCCAGGCGTCCCCCTTTCTCCCAGGGCAAGGGAACAGGGGGGGGAAAGGAAGAAAGGGTAGTAAGTACGTACGGTAGAGGTACTTTACCCTTTTCTAACCGATTTCTAGCGAGAAGTTCCAGACTTTCGCGCCCGAAGGGGGGGGGACGAGAAACGAGGGACGAGGCGGTCCTCGAAATCAGGAAAATAGAGGACGATCGTTGTTGTGCATCTGCCCTCCCTTCGGGGACTCTTCCCCGCTGGGACCCCCAGGATGTCACTCTAATGCTCGCGCAGCCCGAGGGGGAGGAGGACGAGCAAGGACAAGAATTGAGGACATGATTGTCGGTCGTGCAACCATTACTCCGTCCTTACTCATGCTCTGGCTGATCCTGATGCTGCTGCTGCTCTCTGTAAAACGCACCCGTGTTGTAACCCCCCGCGCAATGGCGTTATGGTCCTCAGGCCACAACCTCGACCACCACTCCGCGTAGCTGCTTGGACCACATGGACATTGGTCGAATTGGAATTTGGCATGGTCATGCGCCTTTTGTCCACGCTTAGCCCCGTCCGAGAAGGGCATAAGATGCGCACATCGACAAGTCAACCACTGCAGGACGACTCGGTGGGAGACGAGTAGACGTTTCGACACTGTGCATTGAGGGTGAGATAGCAAAACTGCCTAATCGAGTAATCCCGGCTCGACCACGACTTGGCGAACCTCGTCCCAAGCATATAAGCGAAAAGAGCCCCCGAATGGAAAAGAAATCCTTACGAGTATCCCGTTTGCTTAAATGAATAACGCCTCGCATCCCTCTGGTGGGTTTACTTCGACCTACTGCAACAATGGCATCCAGAGAAAAAGCCTAAAGAATTGTGATATCCTCCAGCTTCGGGCACTGGCCGAAAATACGAGCCCGTATCCGTTTGCCAGTCTCGCCAGTGCCTGTTCACCGGCAAAAGCATTATTTACTACCTAGAACCTATTTGTTTCACAGAGCTCTTGAACAGCTTCTAGCCAGGAAGCGTTATTCAGCGGTGATACCATCAGACGCTGGGGGTCCTTTGTACGCCTTCCGAGCGTAGACAAAGTACCAGACAGCAGAGATGAACATGAACCCAACAAAGACGACGCTGGCGTAGTTCATCGTCACCACTGTGACTGGCAAAGCTGTGGGCATGCTGAACAACACCACCTCAAACCCGATCCAGCACAGAGCAACGCCATTAGCAATGGGGCCGATGATACGACCACAGTTCCAGCGCGCCGTGGAGACCTCTCTCCGTCGATGCAGAACGCTGATCGTGATGGGGATGGCATAGGACACGGCCAATCCAATCACACCGACTGATACAAAGGCGAGGAAGGCGGATGATGATCCAAGATAGATCAGACCAAGCAGCATTTGCACCACGGTCGTGAGCATCAAGGCATAGACAGGAACTCCGAGGCGGCCGTTGACTTTGGACCAAACACGAGACAGTGGAATGGCATCATCCCGAGCAAATGCCCACGTACAGCGCGACGCGGCCACGGTGATGCTGATGCTGCAGAACAGTGTGATCATCAAGACGAGGAACTGGTTCCATCAATTAGCTGCTGAGCCTGAAGCGAGGTGAAGGAGAGATTATTGCCATAAAGAGAACAGCTTTTTACAAAGGAGGAACTTACGATGAGGCCCAGACCACCTCCGGGCGTGCCCATAACGGTGTGAAAGATATAGGGGAGTGCCTGACCGTATGGCGCTGCGATGACGTCTTCCAAGGGAGGCAGGGTGAAGCAGATCGGCAAGATGAAGAACAAGCCTGCAAAGCCACCCACAGGCACACAAAGACTGATGGCTGTGGGAACCTTGACAGTGGGATTTGAGCACTCCTCCGCCATGGCTGAAATCATTCCAATAGCCGAGAATGTGTATGCGGCGGGCAGCAGACCGATGAAGAATGTGAAACCTCCCCAACCAGAGAACGACTTGTCGTAGTGGCCGAGCGCATAGCCCGCGCTATGTCTCCCAACGTCCGCTTTGACCGAGAGTGCGATGAGAATAATGATGATGCTCAGAGCTGTCCAGGCCGCACAAATGGTATCGACCATGGGCAGGAACCGATTCGCGAAGGTGCAGATGACCAGGGTCATCAAGCAAATGGCGTAGAAAATCAAGAGCAATTGCCAGTCCTTCGCGACCCAATCTGGATGATACATTGCAACGGTGGCAACGATAAGCGAGGCGAATCCGAAATTGACCGAGAGCGCTATATCCAGTCAGCTCTTCAGCCCGGGCAGAGCGTTCAATACTTGGATGTCAAAGATAAATCGCTTGCTTCCATGTCGTGAACTCCGATATAGGCCGAAATTCGCATTCATAGTCACCTGAACAGCGACGAAATGTTCCAACATGTTCAGACGAAGCAGAAACCAGACGCTTGAGGACTCCTATTCATATGTTCAAGAATCAATGGAGCCCAGAACCCAGTCTAGGCCCCTTTCCTTCAAGCCGCCAACATCCCAAAAAGCGAGGAACAGCAAACGAACAAAGGCACTGCCGGAAAATGCAAGAGAGATCACTCACTGATTGTCCAGTTTCCTATAAGCCACGTCCACCCGGTGATGAATGACAAAGTGGTCTTGCCCCTGCCGGCCAGTTGAAAGGACCAATAATACGGTCCAGCTGAGGTAGGATATCTCGACGCCAGCTCGCTCAAGGAGAGTGCAACGCATTCATCCAGGGCGAGAACAACAATCCAGCCCACGAACATTGCAAGCGGGCCTCCGCCATAGATGGCGGAAATCAGTGGACCACCCTCCCCGTAAGGGATGGCGGCGATGGCCAAGGACTGAAACAGGAGCGTTGCCATTGATCGATTGCGGCTCAGTTCAGGCTTGTACCCCAGCTTGTCCAGCACGGTGATATCGTCGATGCTGCCGGCTCGAAGAGAGTTCTTTCTCCCGTCGATGATGGGGACGTTGCCCTCCGGAGGGGCCTTTTCTGCGTCGATGGTCATGGTGGCGGCGAGACTCTGTCCAAAACAACAGAATGTTTGGGAGTAGGGATAAGGGTGAGAAGGGACGAGTTTTTCTCAACCACAGGGCGGGCCGAGGCTTCTTATTATTGCGCACGTCCACGTTCTTAGCACGACGAATTCTCGGCCATGCTGTCGAGGTTTGAACGAGCCTGCTAGTGCTTGGGAATAGGCGGAGGCGAAAGTGCCTCCCGAAATCAGAATCCTAGGATGGGGGAGGGGTGGTGAGCAAGCCAGCGTAGCGCGATAAAGCATTCGTTTGATATGGGAGACTGGGAAACATACCCTCTTTCGGCCTAGGCCTGGTGGATGCTTGATTACCAGCTTCCCCCCGACTTCAGGGCTCCAGACTAGACTCTTATCAGCACCCAATCATCGGGCCCCAGGGCTGCTTAGCCCCCTAGAAGCTATCTTGGAAGGGTGGTTCGTGAGAAGCCAGACAACACGACAGTTGTCATTGCCTCGGGGCGTAGGCGGTTTTGGATTCTGGAGAACCCCGTCGTAATGGACATTGTCCGCTCGGCCTATTGGCAGGAGCGTCACAGTGACCAAAAACCATGTGTCCATCAATGCAGGTACCCCAGGAAGCTCCTGCTAGATGGACTTAGGGCCTGGAGCTCTCCCGGTTCAAGCACCGTCGAAGTGATGACAGACTTCTGGATCTCGGAACGGTGGAGAAGGAAGGCGACAGCGAGGAGCGAAGCTGGCGCGACGCTGGCACGCCCAATAACGTGGGCGACGTGCTGATGCAGACCCAGTGTGCCGAGACCGTGGCTCGATTGGCAGATTGCACGCGAGAGATAAGACGAGGCAAGGAGGATAAGAGCTCCGCCACAGCCTCGTGAGCTATTCTCATCGCGAGATACAATTGTTCCCTTTCCTCCGTATCGTCCTGGCTTTTCCCGTGAGCTGAGGCAATTTTCTTGCGTCTGTGCCATGGTCTCAGACGTGCAGAGGGCCTGGGAGGCCTGTGACCGGACAGACACGGTTTTCATTCTGGTCTGTACCGTCTTCTGCTGGCCCATCATTCCCGCGGTCGGACTCGGTTACAGCGGGTATTCCACGCGGCGAAGTGGACTTGCTTCATTCATCCCAGCCGTGTTGACGGTTTGCGTCTGCTCAATCCAGTGGTTTATCGTTGGCTATGCCCTTGCTTATGGCGAAGGCCCGGGCGGAGTCATCGGCGACCTCAAGTTTGCCTTTCATCGAGGTGTGCTTGCTGAACCGGTCGGGAGTATTCCGGCGGTGCTGTTCAGCGAGTTTCAGCTCGTGTTTCTGGCCACGGTCTGTGCCATCGCGGTTGGAGGAGCTTGTGAGCGTGGCCGCATTCTTCCGTTGATTCCCTTCATCTTTGTACGTTAGCGGGCGTCCCTAGACGGCTCGATTCTCCTGGCTGACCATGTCCATGCAGCTTTGGTCCACCTTCATTTACTGCCCTCTTGCTCACATGGTCTGGGGTGGAGGCTTTCTCAGTGAGCTTGGTGTGCTCGACTTTGCTGGTGGAACCCCAGTGCATATCTGCAGTGGTGCAACGGCCAGTGCACTCAGTCTCTACCTCTCCTACCCAGTGTTCCGCTCCCGAAAGTCAGATGTTCGAACGCCTTCACATCTCAAATTGCACCGGCCGCACAACTCAATATGTCAGCTACTGGCAATGATCATCATCTGGGGCTCTTGGCTGGCGTTCGATGCCGGTACCACCCTTACCCTCAGCTTTCAATCCGTCATGGCGCTCTGCGTGACAAATCTGTGTGCTTCGGCGGGTGCCTTGACTTGGGCATCTATCACCTATTTCGAGACCGGTCGATGGTCACTGGACTCGACGTTTATGGGCGCGATAGCCGGTCTGGTCATGATTACCCCTGCAGCAGGTTTCATAGATCTTCCGACCTCGCTCTTCTTTGGCATCTTCGGAGCCGTGGTCTGCCGTCAGGCGTTGCGGATCAAGTTCACCGACTTTGCGCGAAGGGTACGCTGGGTTGACAATGGGGACACCTTTGCTACCCACTGCGTCGGAGGCTTCCTTGGTACCATCGGCACGGGGCTCTTCGCCCAGAAGGCAGTGGCAGCATATGGAGGAGTGGAGGTGGACGGGGGTGTGTTTTTTGACGGCAACATTCGTCAGCTAGGGATCCAAATCGTCGAAGCGTTGATTGGCTTCACTTGGTCGTTCGTGGGATCATTCGTGATCATTGCGCTGATTGATTGCGTTCCAGGCCTCGAGGTGCTGGCCGAAGACAAGTGCGTGATAACCCCAGCCCAACACATGAATTTGCATTTGCTGACAAGCTATGACAGGGAAGTTAATGTAGGCATGGACGCTTCTCAAATGGATGAGAGCTTGTACGAGGCACAATGGGCTGGAGAGGAGGACTATAAGCCTCTAGCGAACGGTAATATCGTCCTAGATTAGAAATGGTGCTCCTTAGAGACTATAGAGGCCGTGTTAGACGTCAAATACCTATGGAAAGGATAGAGCTAGATAATCGATCTCAGATAAAACAGTGTGCGTTATGGAGTTTACTCGTACATCCACATCCCGAACCATTCCCTAATTACTCGCTAATCTCTGCTCTTTCGGCACAGTTCGGCACCAAAAAAAAATCTTTATCTTCGCAAGGCCTGCTCCTACTCTGAAAGAGGAAAAAGATGCAAAAAATGACCAGATTGAGGCTCGAACTCAAGACCTTCTCCGTATTGATCCGAAGATGTTAAGGAGACTGTTGATTTGTTAGAGATGGTTGGTGGGAAGTGTTTCGTGGTGGATTGTACATACTGTGATAACCACTGCGAATATGTTAGTGCTGAATGATGGGAAAGCTGATGGGCTTAACTCACACTACACCATCCGGCCGGTTTGTGGTAATTGTTGAAGACTATTTTGCATTTTGTCATTATATAGAGTCATTTTTGAGAGCCCGAGAAGTCCCGTTGGGAGTGTCGCAGTGAAAGTGGGCCAGTGGCATCGAGAATTCTTGGCCTGGAGGCTGGACCGTTCGATATGGATAAATTACCTACAATTTATTTGGATTCACCCTCTTGCCCAATGTTAGATGACTGTATGCAGTTCAGAAAAGACTCCGTCCCCACCAAGTCTTCGAATGATGTGTTCCTGAAATCAATATATGCCCTCCGTGCATAGACAGGAAGAACGCGGCATGGAAGAGGCCCGCGACAGATGAACCTTTCGAACGTGTGTTTGTGCCTCTGGCCTCAAATTGCAGCATGGCCTCAGTCCTAGGACGGCGGTTGCTAGAAATCCCTGCATCCTGACTGCACCTGGTAAGTTCCTTTGTTGCCTTTGTCTCCTCCGTCTCTATCCCGCTCTCGGATGCGTGGCTGCAGTAGCAGTGGCTGGCACAAACAATGAGATAATTCATGCCGTGCTGCTTTCTGCTGCAGTTTATTATGTTCTCGCAATGGCGTTCTTCAGATCATTCCTGAATACAGCTCGGCATCGTCGTTATCACCAATATGGAAGAGGACGGACGGAGCCTGCTCCACCACATGCCACCGCACGGACAACCTGGTCAACACGGGCATTCCAGTAGGTGGCTTCCCGACAACCTCCCGCAAAACACCTCGCCGCAAGAAAGCGACCATTTCACTGACGGTGACTCCCTCGAGAACGTCGCTCTTGAGCTATACACGGAGATCCTCTTGGGCCGAGCGCACTTGCTCCTTTTCAGCTCCGGCCGTGACGATGTCAGCGCCCAGGACAATCTATTTGATCGAGGCAAGGAAGTGCTGGAAGAGGCGGTATCATTGTGCTTTTCAGGGCAGCACCCTGTGAGCAAGGCCCTGGTCGCCAAATGCTGGTATATGAAGGGGTTTCTTGCCGACGTCAGTCGTGACGACGAGAACGCATTGAGTTGTTTCATACAAGCAACGGACCTCGATGATAGTTACAAAAGCCTCGAGAGGGTGAGATGGCACCTCCGGCGCCGTGAAGATCTGGAAGAACTGTTCGAGGCGTGGGATCACCCAGACGGACCGTTCGAGAGCCAGATTGATGGCTATCGGCTGGGTGAGCCGGATTCCGATCATGACGCAGCGGCGACACCGTCATCTCCCACCGCAACCACGCCAAATTCCCGACACAGTCAACTGTACGAGTTCCTCATGTCCGATATAAACAACACGGACCTGAAGGTCCACGAGCCCGCCCCTGGAGATTCATCGTCCGTCTTCTCTCCGTACCAGCCGCATCACTTGCCGCCGATTGCCACCCCGCACAAAGCCTTCTTGACGGATCGGGTCGACCAACTGGTCCAAGAGAAAATCAACGGTCCGGGGGCCGAGAGGCGGGCGTCCCAGGAAACACGCGAGGCATTGAAAGAATCCCAATACTCTCCCGTGAGGGACCCTTTCCTCCTACGGGTGGAGGAGAACAAGAAGAAGGCGAAACTGGAAGCAGAGGAGCGGATGCACCACATCCGAGCAGCCAGGGCGCGGCAATCTTCGGCCTATTCTCGACGCCTTTCAGGCCAGGATCCTCCTCTCTCCGATGGACTCAGCATCGCCTTGGAAGATGTGCCCGGGTCCGCTCGCAGGTTGACAATCAACACCCGGGGGATAAGACGACTGTCGACATCATCAAAGTCAAGCGACCATTCACCGACCCTGCCCAGCCCGTTGAGGAAAGCCTCATTGCCGGGAGATGCGCAGACAACCGCTGATGGCTCTTGATGCCGCATTCTTCGAGCGACGGGTGCTAGCGAGCCCTACGGTCCCGGGACGCACTTTGTCTCTCAACGGCTGTGAATCAGAGCTGGGCGAATAGCTAGCCTCAGGGGACGGAATGGCGGAATCGAGGAGAGCGCCGCAGCCTGATGCACCAAGGCTTCGGTCAACTCGCAATAATAATGTGATTACTCCAAGCCTTCATGTTGTAACGCTTCATCTCGATTTACGCTTCCGGTCTGAAATATTATCCAGCGTCCGCAGTCACCACAAACTCCTCCGCACGCTCGCTCCACAACCGGCCTATGCAAATTCGCGGAATGGTGGCCGTCAAGCAGGTTTCCATGGTTGATTGCAGTGTCGAAGTAAGAGAAGTCCCGAGTGCTGGTTGCGTCTTCTCCCCGCAACGGCTGGGAAAGGGGATTACTGATCTACAATATGCTGCCGACGTGTAGCTTCAGCGCGGACCCCGAGCTTGAATGCCTAGGTAGTGGAGATGATATTGTCGAACAGACTTTCTGAGAACACCCTGCTGGTCGCAGTCGCTCTTTTGCATTGGGGTGGAGGTGCCTTTGTGAATTATTCATCAAAGAACCTGGCCCCCTGTCGGAGGGTTGGAGACGGAATCAGAAGCATGCTATAGAGTCGGAGCGGGACCACATGTATTTATCCATGACGGCTCGTCTCGACACTATAGGGCGACCTCTTAAGTATAGCTTGAACGTAAGAACAAGTAACAAGTGTGTACCTCTTACCCAGATCACTGTCATATCTTCTCTGCACATCCATCTCAGTCATGACCCTCACTACCGAAACGCAGACCATACAGGCCGAGCGTCTGGTCTACCACTCATCCATCTCGTTTTCTCTCGCGGAGTCTCGGCTGCGCTCATCAATCCAGCCCGCGCCGAGCTCGTACGTGTCGAGCACACAGCAGGCGAAGAAGGGCCAGGTCCAGCGGCCGACGGACCGGGCGTCGTACGAGGCCAGGATCAAGCCGCTGATCGGCCCGCACGGCTTCATGTACTTCCACGAGTTCAACCACGGGTTCTGGCTGCCCTTGTACGCGCCGCGAGCTCGACCATCACCGTCAACGGCGAGACGGAGCATCTGAACTGCAAGAGGTTCATTCTGGGGAATCCGACCATCGCCATCACCATGCTCGAGCATGATCTGAATGCCGGGCTTTGTGTGCCGGTCGAGTTGTGTCTTGTGGAAGAACCCGCGGGCGGCGTGAGGATCGTGTGGTACAAGCCCACCTCTTTGATCGCCGGTTATGAAGGCGCGAAGCCGGAGCTGGTGGACGCAGCCAATGCGTTGAGCACAAAGCTGGAGACATTCGTCAGGTGGGTATTGAGGGACGAGGAGGGTGAGGGAAAATTGTGAGATCGTCGGTCCTGTGAGAGCTGTTTCATTACCAAGTGGCTTTAGATTGTCGAGATGTTATCTGACCGTCAAGAATCTTTTCTCTGTCACGCGGAGAGAGCTAGGCTGGGATTCTTTGAACAGTCACTGACAATGAAGTGCTTGGTGTTCCCAGTAATATACACAGGAGTAGGATCAGATCGCGAGTGCTCTGCTACTGTGAGAATCAACAAATGAACAGTCCAGATCGCGGATGAGAGTCCGGCCCGGCTGTGTGAGGCACCTTGTACCCGATCATGTCCTTGGGCAGCATGGCCATGACTCGCTTCAACATCTCCATCTCTGCATTTGTGTGCGTCGACCACTGCCAGTACTCTTCTCAAACTCCAACCGACAAGGGTTCCAAGCTCATGAAAAGTATTGCCTGTCAGAGTAAATCCATCGGTACCTCCTGCGCAGGCCGGCACGAAGCCAAGACACCCAACGCAGGTCAAAGATCATCACCACTCTCTTGTTCCCGCCGTGACCCGAAGACCACAGACAGAGAACGCAGCGAGAGTAAACATAAGGCTTCACTCTAGGGTACCGAGGACTTTGTGTCGTCAGCCAGGTTGAGGATTCTGTGGCTCGTGTGAAGAGCTCAGAAGAGGACGTTTACTATAGAAATGATTCTATGAAGTCTGCAGGAGGTGAGTGTTAGCAAGCAGGTCGTTGTCAAGGGGAATCCCAGCGTCATTGGCAGGGGGGCGGGGGTGAACGTACAAAGTCGACATGAAGAAAAGAAAAGAATGAATTGAGGGAGACGCAGCCAACTTTTATACCAGGGAAATTTTTTCGACAGACGCCAAGCCCTCCACCTTGATTAGGATTAGTAGCGAAATCGGCCTCCACCTCCTCCTTGGCAACAAAACCACGTGAGTGGATCAGCCAATTCGGTCAGAGTCCACTTCTTTGCTATCCTGGAAATTTTCTGACTACGGAGTCACTATTGTGGCCATTATGACAGCGCCATCATTCCCCAACGACTCTTCTTCCTGTGTTGGCTTGACCCTTGGACGGCGGCCCAGCTCATTGCGTGGCAGGGCTTCCAATTGGTGCTGAAAGGTGAACGTCAAATCACATTGTTGTCTGCTCGAATCATTCCCCTGCTCTACATTGTGATCTGCTCTGCACCATGGTGACCACTACCTCGAAATACTCCAGCACCCGATATCATGACCATTCACTAAAGGAATTCTTCAGCTTCGAGGAAGTTGTGCTCAAAGGGTTGGCCTCTGATGGAGGTTTATTCCATCCTCACACGGTGCCCAACGTCCGGTCAGAGTATCTGAAATGGAAAGACCTCTCGTTTTCAGACCTTGCCTTCCAGGTCATGAGACTGTACATCGACCAGCATGAAATCTCGGATCAAGAACTAAAGTCGATTGTCGACCGGAGTTACTCAACTTTCAAGCACTCCCAAACGGTGCCGCTGGTCACTTTGGACGAGAGCAAGAACCTCCATCTGCTGGAGCTGTTCCACGGGCCCACTTTTGCTTTCAAGGATGTCGCCCTCCAGTTCTTGGGAAATCTGTTCGAATTCTTCCTTGTGCGCAAGAACCAGAACCTGGAGAAGGGCCATGCGCGCCATCACCTTACCGTGATCGGTGCTACCTCTGGCGACACAGGATCAGCAGCTATATATGGGTTGCGGGGAAAGAAGGATGTCAGTATTTTTATCATGTTCCCCGATGGCAAAGTGTCCCCGGTCCAGGAAGCCCAGATGACGACGGTGCTCGACCCCAACGTCCACTGCTTGAGTGTCCAGGGCACGTTTGATGACTGCCAGGACTATGTCAAGGCCTTGTTCGCAGATCCAGAAATGAACAAAATCCACCACCTGGCGGCTGTGAACTCGATTAACTGGGCGCGGATATTGGCTCAGATCACGTATTACTTCTATGCCTATTTTCAGCTTCTCAAACAGCAGCCCGAGCTGAACGAGGTCAAATTTGTGGTTCCGACAGGCAATTTTGGCGACATCTTGGCCGGTTACTATGCGAAACGTATGGGGCTTCCGGTGGCGAAACTTGTGATTGCGACCAACGAGAATGATATCCTGCACCGCTTCTGGCAGACGGGATCATACACTAAGAAGCAGAAGCCGGCAGGAGAACCGCATGAAGGCGTCAAGGAGGATGGCGCGGAGGCGCACGAGGATGGCGTCAAGGAGACTTACAGCCCTGCCATGGATATTCTTGTCTCTTCAAATTTCGAACGGCTTCTTTGGCACTTGACTCTAGAACATGAGCTCGACCAGAACCCCCATATCAAGGTGGAATCCTCGGTGAGAGTCGCTGGAGCCAAGATTGATGGTTGGTTCCAACAGTTGAAACAGACTGGATCGTTTACCGTGGATGGGGAAGTTCTGGACAGGGCACGTGAGGTCTTTGGTAGCTATAGGGTTAGCAATCCAGAGACTCTCGAGGCCATCCGAGACTGCTACCGAGGGGAAGCCATCTCCAACAAAGGATATGTGCTCGATCCTCATTCTGCGATCGGCGTGGCCGCGAGCCTGCGAGAAATCTCCGCAGCCGGCTCAGCGTCCAAGGTGCCGGTTGTGTCACTGGCGACTGCGCACCCGGCCAAATTCGCTGGCGCTGTTGAACTGGCTTTGAAGGAAGAACAGGGGTTCGACTTCAGCAAGATTCTGCCAGAGGAATTCGTCGGATTAAGCGACAAGGAGAGAAAAGTGTTGAAGGTGTCGGCGACGGAGGGACTGGCTGGGATTCGCCAGATCATCACGCGGGAGGTCGAAAAGGAAAAGGAGGTTGGGCAAAACGGCGCTTGAGTGGACATGATAGAGAAAATGCAGCACCCCTGCGGGACTTCGGATTTTGGTTACTGAGTCGATAGGCTCTCCCCGTCGAGCAACGGCAATAAGTAAACGTCTATTCCTGTTCAAGAACGAGAAGTCAGCTCCGCGGCGCTCTTCTAACCAGAGAGGAACAGGTCAACTTTTCTGACTTTTGGCCACTACTCGTGCCTGTACTCCGTGTTCCGTACACCAACACCTCCGCTCAGCTCGCAGAGTATGGCGCAGCCCAAATTCTGACCTGCTTGCAGGTTTGATTTGACTTGATGTTCGGACCCCGACCGTTTCATATACAGACTGTGTCCTGGTTCGTTTTCTGGTTTGCACCTTCTTGATTGCGCTTACTTGCTTGCAGAGGTCAGGTCGAGGCTGCGGATGTGCAAGCGAAGGAAACGAACAGAGGCTGAAGTGGGCTGCTCCCCCGTACGAGTATAATGCACAGCGAGGCAGACACGGGCAACAGTTCCCCTGCTATTGGTGTGAACTCAAAGCTGTCAAACGAGGTTGTGAATCATGATCGGCGATGTCCCGGTTCTTCAGGTCCAAGTCTCAATCCACCGTCTGGTAGGCCTTGCACCCACCTGGCAATCGTGTGGATGTTCGCAGTCTAACGTGTCTAGGCAAGTGAATGCATCTCCGAACTATTCCTCTGTTTATGCCTGCGGGGTAAGAAAGTACTCGTAGGATTTGCACAGGAGATACCTAGTACCCAAGTGAGCGTTTACTCTCACACGGGAAAGAGGAACAGCGAGGACAGACCTACCAGCCTTCGTATTCAAGCTTCAACCACTGCTGTACCGAGCCAGCCTCAGGCACCGGGAAAGTTAACCACGGAAAGACGGGAGTCCACAAAGATTAGATGGCCAGCCGTCGAGTCTGAAACGTGCGGACTAGCCCTTTGTAGGATCGCCAGGACGGTACAAAGGTGTAAGCCAATTTGGGCCTGGGGGGCCAGCTGGCGGGTTCCCTGCGCCACGGGCTGGAGAGCTGGAAGGCGACCAAGACAACAAGTCGTAGTCACTCGCCTCCAGATGCTTACCAAAGAAAGCCCCCTGCCCGATGTTCTATCTTGGGGGCTCACTAACGCACTGGCTGAAAGGTTGTGTGCGCTGCCAGCCCACGCCGTAAGCTATGTCCTTTTGGGCCGGCTTCATGGCCAGAACTGAACAGCTGAAGATCCTACATACTTACTGTGTCGGGGTGTCGGTGTCAGCCCTGAACCGTCTTGTGTGATGCCATGTGCTTGTTAGTGGTAAGTTTGTTGTTTGTGAGATCATTGTTCACTGTTTGTTGCAACTTCTCTCTTGATGATCTGCTATCCTTCGTGACCGACGATCAACGCTCGTCATGGAATCCGGCGCAAAAAGGTGAGTGCGACAAGTCTCTCCAAGGACTCAGTCAGTCCAAGTTGTATGAGTGTAACTAACAGTCCTCTCCAGGAGACACATTCCACATTGGCCGCCCTTCAAACAACCTTACCAACAACTGGGGTCTGCAGAGAATGTCCAACTAACTCCACTCCCTCCCACTGGCGGCTCGAGCCTACCGAGTGCGAACCTGTTCAGTCCAGATTTCAATAGCAACACAGCCTACACCCCCGACCCTCTGGCCAGCACACCGCAGCCCCTCCTCAAATCACCGAGTAAGTCGAACACCGCGCGGTCACAACGGCGAAGAAGAGGATGGAGGACAAGCTCGCGAATAGCGTTGGGTTGCGCCGTGTTGGTGCTGGTGACAAATGTTTGCTTGACGATTGGGGTAGTAACAGCGGGCATGGACATGATGGGAGGTATGTTCGGCTCGAATGACGGTTCTCTTGCCTCGGACTGCTATACTGACACAAGCCAGGCATTTACATGGTCTATGCCGGGAGTTGTACGAAGACCGAAACGAAGGACAGCTGGGTCCATCTTGCGCTTAACGTGGTGGCCACCGTCTTGCTCGCGAGCTCAAACTACTGCATGCAACTGCTCTCGTCTCCGACTCGCAGCGAGCTCGACAAGGCCCATGCTAAGCAGAGGTGGTTAGATGTTGGCATTCCCAGCATACGGAATCTCGGCTCGTTACGGAAGAAGAAAGTCATCCTGTGGTGGCTTCTGGGAGTTTCATCTATCCCGCTGCATCTGGTGTGAGTTCGATTCAAGGATGTCAGACACAATTGGCAATGTGCTAATGGTCTCAGGTACAATTCCGTCTTCTACTCTGCCCTTGCTACGAATAACTATAGTGTCCTGTACGCCTCTGAGAGTTTCGTGCAGGGCGCCAGCTATGACAAGAACGAATTTCCCGACACCGAAGAATGCAATGTTACCGACATCCAAGCCCGCGCCAACAAGGAGTTTGTCGTGCTCAACAACGAGGATTGCATCCACGCGTATGCGCGAGATTTTGTCGAAGACCGCCGGAATGTGATTGTAGTGGTCAAAAATCCTCCGGCAAACGAGGGTTCACTATTCAAGATCGCCGACAACGAATTCCCCAAGGTCATCACCAGCAAGTACAACCCTTTCGCGTGGATCTGCGACGATCCTGATGTTGTCAACCAAACACATGCATGCTGCGAGAATCAATGGGGGTTTGTCCCGTGCTCCAAGATTACGCCGAAACTGGTGGACATAGCGGATCAGTGGTCCACCGGCGGATTTGAAGTCGACCATTGCCTCTCGGAACCGGTCGAATCCCAGTGCCATTTGCATTTCTCCCTCATCCTTATGGGCGTGGTTCTGGCTTTTAACATCCTCAAAGTCATTGCGATCGCCTACGTCACCTTCTGGTTGGGAGAGTCGCCCCTGGTAACAGTTGGGGATGCACTGCAATCCTTCCTGCGCCATCCCGACTCGACGACTGAGGGAATGTGTCTTGCCAGCCACTCGAGCATTGTCGCCTCCTCCAAACTTGGCTACAAATCCATGCCCATGAGATATGACCCCCAGCAGCATCGGTTTTTCGAAGCCGCGACCTGGAAGCAGTGGGCTTTTCTGCTCGGCTTGTTCTCGTTCGTGGGCGCAGGGACCGCGATTTGCCTTGCACTCGGAATCGAAAATCTGAAGGGCGATAGGACTATCCAGAACGCGTGGTCGATCGGCTTGAACACGGTCAAGCCTCAGAACCTGATCATGGGCTGGAATCTGCCCGGCTACGGCAACAGCTCCATCGCGATCTCCACACTCATCGCCAACGCCCCGCAAGCATTGTTCTCCTTCCTCTACGTCTGTTACAACAGCCTCTTTACGGTCATGTTCCTTTCGCGTGAACTGATGCGTTTCAGTGTCACAGCCGGTCGCGGACGGAAGTATCTACGTGTTAGCGAGGCCAACGGCGAGCAAAAGTCGACATACTTCCTCAACTTGCCGTTCAAGTATGGCCTACCTCTGCTCGTCGGCTCGGGCTTGATGCACTGGCTGGTGTCACAGAGCGTCTTCCTTGCAAATATCGCCGTTATCCCTCGCGATGGGACAGTGCCCATGCAAGACGAAATCACCACGGTGGCCTATTCGCCGATAGGCATGCTCTTCCTTCTTTTTCTGGGCTTCGTCCTCCTCGTCTTCCTCCTGGCCACGGCGCTTAGAAAGCTACCCTTTGGAATGCCCATTATAGGGAGCAACTCCATGGCGATCAGCGCTGCGTGCCATCTGCCGCCTGGCATCGACCAGAGCGATCGCGACGAGATAGTGCTTAGGCCATTGAACTGGGGTGCTGTGCCCGGCGCGGGCAAAGTCATGGACTTGGGTATCCACGGCCATCATGCCCATGGCTTTGAAAATGATGATCTGGACGAGAACGGAACCGGCTTTGGACACTGTTGCTTCAGTGACCGAGCGCTGGACCCTCCAGTAAAGGGCAAATTCTACATCTAGAAAGGGTTTCCCTGAACGTCTATTGTCATGATCATGCTTTGTTCGGGACTATCTCAGGCGCAGAAAGTCCAAAGGCATATGTTTCTCCCTCCTTGCGGCATCGATTCGGCTCATTATTGCAAGCGCCTCTATCTGTTTTCCTTTTATCGCAACTTTCCCCTTCTACATGCACTCGCACGGCTTTCACGAAGCATCGGTCCGTCATGATGAATCAACTTGTGGTTTTGGTTTTCTGCATAGCGCTGGCGTTTTTCCACAGAATGGGAGAGGGAATCGGTAACATTTATTTTATTTTATTTTATTTCCTATTGATACACCCAACAACCACGGCAAGAAAAGAGGGAAACAAAACTGTGTTCTAGGGACAAGAGAGTTGCTCCGAGAGCCTCTGTTATGAATGTCCTCTATCGTCAGACTCTATGTCAGAGTCAGCGGGATCGGAAGGGTTATACTGGTCACGGGACACGTAGAATATGTGGTACAGGAATATATGGATACATTGATATACGTGTATACATGAATGAAAGGGAAAAGTCAGGGCCTTTTTTGAAGGAAAATCAAACCCCTTTTGAGGATGGCGAAAGATCTTCCTTGTTCATACATGTATTGATGTGTCACTCAAAACAGAACAACATGGAAAGCCACTCGACCAAAATGGTGCTTTTCTTCGTCTTCGTTGGAGAAGAACGCAACAGAATGAATTCTGAAGGGGGTATCATCGATCTATGTGTCTTCATTTGTTGGTCAATCCCATTTCCGGTCATACGCATATGTTCCCCCCTTTTCGACGGATATCGCTATGCTATCGTTTGTGTTACGCCCACATATACCCATGCCTTTTGTCCCGTAATGCAATGCCAACACAGTGCAGGGAATACGAAGCGAGAGATTGCCCGGCGTGAAAGGTTTGCCCTCGTCCACAAATCCCGCCCTGAGTACCCCATGCACCACCCACTCGCACTTTTTAAAAACCGGCAACGCTACATGCAACGACCGTCTCTGTCCGGCTCGGTTTGCCGCTAAGAGTGCGGGGCGACGCTGATGGAAGGCGTCGAGCCGTCGAAGACGACGAACTGGGACTTGAAGAAGACGTCGCCGTAGATGGCGAAGGGGAGGCCCTGGTTGGACTGAAGACCGCCGAAGCAGACTGCGTCGCATGAACGTGTTAGTGGTCTCATTTTTCCAAAGAGAAAGCGAACATATCCAGGCAATTGGTTTACACTTTGTTGGGTATGCCTGGATTGCTATGGTGGAGGATGACGAGGAAATAGACATATTCGGGAAGGGCAAGGTAACGGGGCAAAATGGTCGGTCACTTACACTGCTCCCCCGTCTCCGTGTCCGCGCCCACGTTCGCAAAGTTCATCCCGTCCCCCTGGACCGTGGCCATGTGGTTTCCGATGGCCACCTGCAGATCCGGCAAGGATGTGTTGCATGGAAAGATGATGCCGCCCGCGTCCTGCGAGACCTGCGCCCCGTCCACGGTGCCCCAGTATGCGGTGAGCATTTCATCAGGCACGAGCATCAGCGAGGTGCCCGTGTCGAGAATCGCCGTGCCGCCGGAAATGTCCACGGTCTGACCTTGCACGGCGGCGCTCGTGGAGTCGACTTCCCAAAACCCACGCGACGAGTCGACGGGCGCGGTGGCCAACTGGCCGCTGAACGCTGATGTGTCGATGTTGCCAAACTCGTAGGCACCTACGGCGCCAGATTTCAGTTGCGCAGTAAATACGGGGAGCGTCAGGTCTGGGAGGACATTGTCGAAGAATGTCTTTTGCTGAGTGGGTTGAATGGTGTTGAGTTGGGAAAAGGCAAGACCGACAAGGCCGTTTGACGCAGAGTCTGTCACGAAACTGTCGGCTACGTTGTCCGGAAGGCCGATTGCTTGAGCAGATACGGTGGCGCCGCCAATGTCGACTTCATCAACACCCACGGGGCCGGAGGCAGAGGAACCATCGCCATAGGAGACGTTGAAGGTACTACCCTGCAGCGTGTTTTGGAAAGTGGGCGATTGGTTGGGATCGTAGATCGTGTGGCCTTGTTGAGCACTGGCAGGGAGATTGGTGTTGAAGACCCATCTGTCCGTCGATGTCTGTGTCAGTAACAATATGTCATGAAAACAAAGTTTGAACATGGAAGGGAACATCGTACGTGTCTGACGAGCCGCTGTCAAAGTTCATGACCAGAGTCTGTCCCCCAACATTCACCGGAGACAGGAATTGAGCGTCATTCTGCGTGGGCGAGGCGCTTGTCTCGCCGTCCTCACTTGCCGTGCTATCAAGCTGAGCCTCAGTTGCTGCCTTGATTCTCGTGGCCACCTCTCCACCAGGTAAGAACTCGATATCGCCAAATCCAAATTTGAATAATGCCCTTCGGTATGCAGCTCTGCCATTTGGTCTGTAGTTATGTTGTTGTATCCGAGGGACTTTGAAGGAGCGTTTCTGTTTTATTTGAATGGGAGTCGCAAAGGCAGTTGTCAAGAAAAGAACGACGAAGAGAAAGTGGTGGGCTTGAAGCATATTGATTGCAGATGTTGACCGGCGACTCAAAACAATGCTAATGACGAAGTGAAAGGGATGAGTGTAGATCAGGCCCAAGGGCACAGGCCTGTCAAGTTGAACTCTGAGGGCAGTTGGAGGAAAGAATACAATGAAGGGCCTGCCCTCGATTTGAACCAAATGCAAAAGGATAGACTATACGAAAAGAAAAGTGACAAGGCTGGAAGGAAAACAAGGATGGGAGGAGTGTAGAAACGGACTGGATGCAAACATTTTGAACAAAATGGAAGTGTAAATCGTATCTTGGTAGAATTACTCCGCAGCGCTGCATACATGCGCGGCCTCGTCTCGAATTGTGCTAGACAGTCTTGGGCCACGCCATCTGCATGTCTCAGGATCGTGATCAACAGGTCAACGATGGACCTGGTGAGCTCTCGATTGAGGTCTGGAGCCAGGGAGGGGATCTCGGTGTCAAAGAGAGAGCTCTCCACCTACGGCATAAGCCTGTGACTGGCCAGATCTGAGGGAGCCAACCATTGGGGCGGACAGGAGTGCATGGTGGTGGCAGTGTGACGTTGAGGCGACTGGGTGTGGATGCAACTTCGGCTGCTCGTCGAGGCTGAAGAACCGAAGGCCTTCAGAACGGGAGCCCAGGGATGGGATTCTGTGGTTCTCAGCTGCGCCGATGAGAAAGGATGGGGTTGGAGGGAGGAATAGGGGGTGAAGGTGAAACTGAAGGCGCAGAAGTTTAAGTTTCATCTTTCGTTCGAGTTTCCGCTGCGGGACTGGGACTAGCCCGTTCTGGCTCCAAGTGGCTTGGCGCGTGCCTTGTCCCGATTTGGTCCAGAGGGAAACATCCAGGAGTGCCTGGTGCCATTCTGCTCAGTCGCTGTCCACAATGCCCAGGCTCAAGTCTGTGTTGGCATTGCGCCTTGCCTGCGCAAAGTTGGAGGATTGCGAGCATGTCGTATGACCTGAGACCAGAAACGCACGGCATCATCACACAGTCCCCAATCCGCCCCCAGAACCTCCCAGCTTCATCTGCCGCCCAACAATTGACCCCACCAACGCTATTGCTCAAGTGATGCGCTGCGTGGGAGTCCTGGATCTGGTATCCTCACAGCAGATCACAACAAATATATCTGCGGCTCCAAAAGCTGTTATGGCTGGTCTGCGGGACAGATATGAGGGTTCCCCGCCACGCAAAGTTGACTTTTTGCGTTGCGCCAACCACCGCAGATCGAGCAAAAGAACTCTCCCCTCCAGGAATAACAAACAATGGATGGCTGGGCTGTTATATTGGTCCGTCAGGAAGAACTTGATCGGGATCCTCTCCTATCATCTGGCCCACGGATCTCACTACTTGTCGTAATGCCTTGCAAGCTGGACTGTCGGGAAAGCTATCCATAAAGCTTTCACCAAAGTCACACGCCATGCCGATCCGCGGGTCGAGCGGTACTGATCCCAGGAAAGGTATGCCCATATCCTGGCATAACTTTTGCCCTCCTCCCGTCGTTGCCCGGAAGATCTGAGATTCGTGCGTGCATTTGGGACAGACGAACCCCGACATGTTTTCAACCAGCCCCAGGACCCGAATCCCTGCCTTTCGACAGAAATCAATCTCTTTCCGCACGTCCAGCAGAGACACCTCTTGTGGCGTGGTCACCACCACCGCACCATCCACGCCGGACTCTTTCAAAAATGAGTTAACTGACAGATGTTCGTCTGATGTGCCCGGTGGTGTGTCGACAATCAAGTAGTCCAACTCGCCCCATTCGACGTCTTTTAAGAATTGTTTGATTATACCATTCTTTTTTGGCCCTCTCCATATGATTGCGTCGTCTCGGTTGGGTAGCATAAACTGAATGCTCATAACTCCAAGATTGTCTGTGACCCAGACGGGACTCCATCCGGCATTGCTAACATGTATTGTTTCACTCTCGACGCCCATCATTTTCGGTATCGACGGGCCGCAGATATCTGTGTCCATAATGCCCACTGTCGAGTCTGGGTTGGCTGCAAAGGCGTGCGACAGGAGCGACGAGAATGTAGACTTGCCCACTCCGCCTTTTCCTGAGAGCACTAAGATTTTGTGTCTTACTCCAGCGAGTCGTTCGGTAATAAGAGGGATGTCTGGGTCGGGGCCTTTGGGTGCAGAGGCGCAGATGGCTTGGTTGGGACAGCCATTGCATGCGTCGCCTTTGCCCGCTTGCTCCGATTCAGGACCGGGACAATGTTCTATGTCACAAGTCAGTAAAGACGACGTCAGATATACACAACAACGTCGGCTTCTCACCTGGCTCTGGAGCGACAAGATCTGGCTTCCGCTTAAGTGGGTTTTCAAGTGCTTCGGCGACGGGCTCTTCGAAGGAGGGCGCCATTCGTAGGGACGAGGGAGGTTCGGCAGAGAGTGAGAAATGGAACCTGAAGGGATATAGGATAGCGTTTACGAGCGTTCGGGCAGGCGTGGTTCTGGCAAAAAAGTATGGAATACTGTAGATGGATTGGTAATTGCTTTTGGGGTCGCCGATTGGCGGCGCGGCCAACGGACATGGCCTGACCTGCTGAGCAGCCTTGCCACCCACCCCTCAGCCTCGTCCTCAACCCCTCTCATCCTTCCCCCACGGACCAGGGGCATTTTGGCCGATTGTCCTCCCCTTGAGCATCCCTGTATACCGGCACATGGATATTGTGCGCCTTCTTATTGCATGTGGATGATGTTTCCGGACGACTGCCGCAACCCGTTGACTGCTGGAGGGGACGTCTTGGGCAAATGGGTGTCGTCATTTAATTGGGGGCACGCTGCGGGCATCAGCGATTGGACACAGCAAATTACAGCAAGAAACCATCTCATCCGGCTGGACTTGGGCCAACCTCTGCCTCTCTTCACTACACATGGTCGACTGTCACTGCCTCTCCAATGCCTGCTTCAATCCCGCGTCCGTGTAAGCATTGGCATGGATCCGCGTGAAGATACAACCAACTTACCTGTCACTCCTTTTTCCGCCCTGCGTCGCTCACGCTTGCAGTGCGAGAATTCTTCTCACCATCAGCGGTGAACAACCACCCTCAATGACAGAAATCATGGCCAAACCGTCCACTGAGGATTCCGCCACCGAGAACCTGCGGAAGCGGAATGCTCCTATCAGGGCAAATACGCAGGAAGACGCCAGAAAAGCCGTGCTGGAGTTGAACGCTCTTGAGGAGAGGGAAGCTAAAGATGAAAAAGATCGCAAGACTTTTGGCCGTACTCCGGATGGCACTGGTATGCATATTGCAACCTCTCGACCTTTGCTCTTGGAGGCAGTCTCTCACGTTTCCTTCTAGTGTTCACTGTCCCACACACCCATGACATGGTTTCCCAGCTACTGTCTCCCAAGGAGCCTAAGAACTTGTCAGACATCAGTGTGCTATTGATCCTGTTGCTACACGCTCTCTTGGCATGGTCTCTGCCCGCAGCCCTGAGAAAACCAGTTCTTGCAGTCCTCTTCTTGTGCTGGCGAGCCGGATACAATATCGGCATTGGCTACCTCCTCCACATGCAATCTCATCACAAGCTGCTGGTCAGGTGGGCCCGAAAATCGAAGCTGTTCCCCATTGCCTCCAATGGCGAAAATCCTCATCCCAAACTCCGCGCGTTCATCAAAAGAGAATTAGAAACCAAAATTCCCAAGGACTATGATTTCGACACCGCTCCTCTCGAATACAACACTTGGTTGGTCTTTCGCCGCCTCGTCGACTTGATTCTCATGTGCGACTTCACCACCTACATGCTCTTTGCTCTGTCCTGTGCTCATATTCCTGCCACCGAACCCGCTCCCCTAACAGCACTTCGTTGGATTGTTGGCATGTCCCTGTTCGTCTTTAACATATGGGTCAAATTGGATGCACATCGCGTGGTCAAAGACTTCGCTTGGTACTGGGGCGACTTTTTCTTCCTTATCGATCAAGAGTTGACCTTTGATGGGGTTTTCGAGATGGCGCCCCACCGTGAGTATTGATCCAGCCATGACATTCTCATCCTTCTAGGCTGCGAGCTAACACCAAGTCGCAGCAATGTATAGCATTGGCTACGCCGGCTTCTACGGAATCTCCTTGATGGCGGCTAGTTACAAAGTCCTCTTTATCTCAATCATTGCTCATGCTGCTCAATTTGCTTTCCTGGTGATGGTCGAAAGCCCTCATATCGATCGCACCTACAACTCTCCGCCCCCGCGAAGGGCTATCAATGAGTTACCAGCAGCAGCGCAGATGGAAAAGTCTTTGGCCGAGCACAGCTCTACCGGAGAGGTGTGGCCCAGTCCAGCCCACGCGCAACCGTCCCAAACGCACAATCTGCTGGGTATCCACAATATCGATCTCTATCGAACCACAGACACAGCGGTCTTTCTTTTACAATCCTACCTGTTTGCCTTGACCGTCCTCACGCCCAATACAAGATTCTACCAGACACTTTTCGTCGTCAATGCCACCGTTTGGCGGATTTGGTACTCTGTGGGTATTGGCTATTTGTTGAACAGACAATCGTCGAAGAAGAAATGGACCCGTCACTTTCTGAAGTATGGTGAGAGCACGGGCGAAGCTTGGAGACAATGGAAAGGCATCTACCACATGAGCATGACTCTCTGCTATTCAAGTTTTGCAGCTGCTGCTTGGAAGATGTACCGTCTTCCCTTGAACTGGGACGGTGGGATGGCACTTCCCAAGCATGTCATCGGACTAGGACTGATTGCTCTCCAATTTTGGGTTTCATTCAGTATCTATGACCAGCTCGGAGAATTTGGGTGGTTCTTTGGAGACTTCTTTTTTGACCATTCTTCCAAGCTGACCTACGGTGGCATCTATCGCTTCCTCAATAACCCAGAGCGAGTTCTCGGAACGGCGGGAGTCTGGGGCATAGCTCTGATTACGAGCAGCAAAGCCATGTTCTGCCTCGCCTTGCTGAGCCACACTCTGAGTCTGGCATTTATTCAATTCGTGGAGAGGCCGCATATGCAAAAGCTCTACGGCAGGAGCCTTCGACAAGATGCTGGACTGGTCAGGAGTCTTCGCAGATCACTTCCTCCACCTCTGCGGCAATGGCAAGACGGAATGGATAAAATGCTGGGCGACGCCTTTGATGTCCTGGAAGAATTCTTTGATGCGGCCAAACCGAAACTTGCAGCGGGCGTGACCAGCATTGTCGAGGATACTAAGAGCTTATTGCCAAAGAACCCGCATCGTTTGACCATGACAAAGCTGGAGCCGGAGATTGCTGGGTTAGATCCGAAAGACTACAAGCTAGAGATCGAGGGCACGCCGGCATCTGCCCTTGCTCATGCTCAACGCTCGAGTGATAGAGAGTCTGAACAAGGCAGACTCCCAGCGGAACGCACAAACGATTTCAAAGCCCTCCTTTTTGAATATGGTGCCCCCATCAAAGTCAGATGGACTGCACCGCTCAACCATGGGAAGAAGGACTGGATCGGTCTGTACATGGTGTCAGACAACAATTCGCGTGAGGTGACAAGACTATCATCATCGGGAAGATGGATCGCCACCAACCGCGACGAGTATGAAGTCCTCAATTCCGAAGTCGGCATTATATCCAGCGACGTCAGGAGCACAATGACTACTGAAACAGGCGAAATAAAGGAATGCTTTAACGGGGAGATGATCTTCTCAGGCGACAAATTATGGTGGACTCAAGGTGTCTTTGAATTCCGATATCATCACAATGGCAAGCACAATGTCATGGCCATCTCTCTGCCATTCGAAGTACGCATCCCGCGCTTTAGCGACGATGATCTCGAGTCCTTCGACACCACGTCCTTGTCGACCCCAATGTCTCTTCAAAACGATGCAATGGTTCGCCACACCATTGAGAGCGCTCTGTTGCCGATCGTACAGAATTGCTTCGACCGTGACCCGGAGATTGCGCCGCGCACCGTCAAAGAGCCATTTGGGAGCCTCGTCGATCGCGATGGAAAATATGCCAAGCGCGTGGTGTACATTATCCATCAGATGTTTGGGATAGAGTTTGCGCCGGAGGTCGTCAAAGCGGATGGGAAAGTTGAGAATCTGGCATGGCGAATCTGGGAGGCGAAGAAGGTATTGGCGCCTTTTACTATGTCGAGATCGAAAGGGCCCGGAACGCCGGTTGAGGTTGAGGTTCAGGTTGAAGATTGAAACATTCGTCGAATGAGTTCGCTCTATCGTGATTGCTCGGTGGTCACCGAAGGGAACGGCAATGACTGGTCCCTTGGGAATCGTTGTCCCAATCCTTTGGATGGGAACAATATCCAACATTCCAGATTCAAAAATCTATGTGTGGTACCAAGCTAGGGGGGTAAAAGCAAGTCTGATGCGATAAAGACCCGAAGACTCTCGGATGGACAGCAAGGCAGGACGGCGAGTCCAGGCAGCCTCTATCAAGAAACTCCTCCGCTGATGAATGTCCCTCCCAGACCTAGGATCCCAAGTCCGTCCAATGCTCTAAATAGTGCGAATCACCTAGTAGAATATCGACCTTGTCCGATGGTGTGCCAACAACTCCTCTATCTCACCGGCCGTCTCCATTTCCTTACATGTATCGTACAGAAAAAAATCTATCAAGATGGCATTAACCTTGCCTTTCGCCTCGGGATGCTTCCGCAAAATCTCCCTTCGAATCAACTCCACGCACCAGATGCTGCAGCCTCTGATTTCGACCTCCATCTCTTCCCCCGCCTTGAGCATCACCCGCCGGGAGATCCTCGATTCCAGACGGGGGGAGTACATCAAGCAGTGCAGCCCTTGTAGCATTTGTGGGATGCGATAGTCCGCAAACATGGTCAAGGAGTCAATGTCGGAGAAGGAGCCATAGGAGGCGCCCTGGAAGCAGGCCCAGAGATCTGCCACGAGGATCTGCGCGCGCTTGTAGAGACGCACCTCCTTCCCCTGGAAACTGGCGACGTCCCGGAAGTTGGGGAAGTATTGAACCAGCAGGTTCACCAAGCTTGCCGCGGAGCCGTCTGCGCGGCGGATGATGTTCGCCGGCTTGCAGCCGAAGTGCTCGTAGAGGATCGCCCCGGCTTCGCGAAGGATGGCGATCCGGTCTCGCAGCAACGGTATCGCCTCCTGCGTTGCGGACCGGAAGATGTGTTCCAGGACACTGTCCGTGCAAGCATCACGGTCCTGCCAGAAGTCTGGGGTGGTGATCGCATATCCCTCGTTCAAGGCTCGCTGCAGTGCCGCGATCAGAGACCAGTACCCCGTCCACCTCCGGCCCTTGTACTCAACAGCGAACCTCTCGCCCTCGGGCAACTCGGACCAGAAGGAGAAATTCAGCAGGTTCATGGTGAATATGAAATTCACCGTTTCCTCTTCGCCGTGCTCGGAGAGTTTGGGGTGGAGTTCGTGCGTTGACCATGTCCCTGTCGAGTAACTTTTCGACTGCATGAGATGGTAGATGTGCTCTGCTGCTTTCTTGGTGCCGCTGCTGGAGATGGCGACGTCGATGGCGTTGTCGTAGATGTATTCTGCCGAGTCTAGGACGCCCGTCGATGGCGGTGCGGTGCCATGTCCCTGGCTACCCAGGCCTAGGGATTGCCGCAGGAGGGCCAGTAGTTCGGGGTCGGCTTCGTCGTCCGACATTTTCTTTGGGCTGCTCACCGAAGATCTGATCACCTCCGGGTAGAAGCCTAGATACCGTAAGTGATGGGCAGTAGACTCTTGCAAACTTCGAGGCTGACAGTATATGATTCTTCGGGCCACAGTCAACCCACAGCACCAGAAAGGGCCTGCTATTATTGCTGCATTCCATCGATGTTGGTCATTGCATGTGAGGTTCTATTCATCTACCGCTGGCTGAGGATGCTCATTCGTGCCCTGTCGGTGGCCCTGGCTCTTGTCGATCAGTGTGTGCCGGGTAAAAAATTTTTGGTGGCTCACCGGCCCAAATGGAGACACACGGAGGCTTCGATCGCACGCGACATTTTGATGCACGACGTATGACGAGATTGTGCAGTTGGGCGGAACCCTCAGAGCGCCCTCGCCCCCTATTCTCTCACTAACCCAAGCCTCTCTGACCCTAGCCCAGGCCCTAAGCCGCTAGCCTGAGGGGCACCAGGCGCCCCCAATCGCGCGCTCCAAGCTCCCTCCAAGCCGCCCCTGATTGGGGGGAGCCCCGAACGCCCCATTGCTGCAGGGTTCAGCTATCACAATCCCATCGCAACACCAGAGGTCATTGTTGCTTGCGCCTGCGGCCTGCAGCGCTGCGGGCTTCAAATGTTGCCCATCCTGGAGTGATCAACTCATCTCTTACATCCATCTCCTCCTCCTAGCAATACAATTGCTTTGTTACTGGGCTGCCCTACTGGCGTCAATGAGCGTTCAATTTCACGTCACTTCGATTTCTTTCTTCCCTTTCAGCCTTGTCTTCACTCTAGTGTCATAGTCCCTGCCTCATGGTTGCTCCTCATCAAAACCGCTTCGTTCTCTAAGCAGGTCACTCTCCTGCGTCCCCACTCTCAATCCCAACCACTCTGCAACCCAGCGCAATGCCTCGCGACAGGTATGCCCGCCAGTCTCTGGGTGCAACCCAGCGACTCGTGAAAGAGGTGAGATACAACTCCAAAATTGGCCAAAGCAAAAGCAAACTGGGCCTGACTTCCCAACCAAACACAGTCCCGCGTCCTCCTAGTCGGTGCCGGCGGTATCGGCTGCGAGCTGCTCAAGAACCTCGTCCTCACTGGCTTCGGCGAAATTCACGTCATAGACCTTGACACGATCGACCTCAGCAACTTGAACCGCCAGTTTCTCTTCCGACACGAACACATCAAGAAGCCCAAAGCACTGGTCGCAAAGGATGTGGCTCAGAAATTCAACCCGAATGTCAAACTGTTCGCTTACCATGCCAATATCAAAGATAGACAATTCAACTTGGAGTGGTTTTCGGGCTTCAATATCGTCTTCAATGCGCTTGACAATATGGACGCCAGACGGCATGTCAACAAGATGTGCTTGGCTGTCGATGTGCCCTTGGTCGAATCCGGCACCACAGGCTTCAGAGGCCAAGTGCAGGTCATTAAGAAGGGCGAGACTGCTTGCTACGACTGCACTCCTAAGACTACTCCGATTTCCTATCCTGTCTGCACAATCCGATCCACTCCGAGTCAACCGATCCACTGCATAGTATGGGCTAAGAGTTATCTCCTCCCGGAACTATTCGGCGTGAGCGAAGACGAGGCAGCTGAACTGGATTCTTCAGAAGATACGGATAATGCTGAAGAAATCAAGAAGTTAAAAGAGGAGGCACAGGCCCTGAAGAAAATCCGAGCCTCCATGGGTTCAAACGACTTCGCAAAGCAGGTATTCGACAAGGTATTCAAAGAGGATATCGAGAGACTGGCGAAGATGGAGGATATGTGGAAAGACAAGAAACCTCCAGAACCGCTTTCTTATGATGAACTTGAGCAACAAGCAACTATGGTCGACTCGGGAGTAGCTCGAAATGGCCAGGGAACATGGTCCGTTGTCGAGAATTTCGTCGTCTTCAAGGACAGTCTAGATCGTTTAGTGAAACGGTTATCACAGGAACAAGCGGCTGCGTCGAAGTCAGGGGAACTGCAGCCCTCGATCTCTTTCGACAAAGACGACGATGATACGATGGACTTTGTTACCGCAGCAGGTAATCTACGAGCGATAATTTTCGGCATCGAACCCAAGTCGAAATTCGACATCAAGCAGATGGCAGGCAACATCATTCCCGCAATCGCCACCACAAATGCGATGATTGCCGGCCTTTGCGTACTGCAGGCATTCAAAGTATTCAAAGGCGATTATGCTCGGACTAGATGGCTCTGGCTGGGGATCGGTTCACTGCGCACTGACCAGTTGGATTTACCCAACCCAGAGTGTCCTGTTTGCAGCGTTGCTATGGCAAGAGTGCAAGTTGATGTTGAAAGAGCCACGCTAGCAGATTTGGTACAAGATATTTTGCGGACGAGACTGGGCTATGGAGAAGAAGTGACAGTCATGACTGAGGCCGGCGTGGTATATGATCCAGACCTCGAGGACAATTTGGAGAAAAAGCTTTCAGATCTGAACATTGGTGACGCAAGTTTCCTTCTCATCAAAGATGAGGATGATGATCCCCGAGTCGACCTCCAAATAGCCATCGAAGCGAAGAAAGCAGCGGACGAAACCAAAGTGGTTCTCCTTGAGAAGGAAGGCGAAAAATTAGAGATTCCCCGGAAACCGAAGAAGCAATCGGCCCCCGACGGTGGGCACGCCGAAGACGACGACGCGAATGGCATAATTGTTACGAACGGCACATCAAGCTCCACAACGCTTCCAAGCGGCAAGCGGAAGCGGCCTTTGGATGATGAAGGAGACGAGAGTGCTACACCGGCAAAGAAATTGCAAGTCCCGTCTTCGGAGGTTGTGAAGAATCTGGATATGCAGGCAATTGTCATTGACGACGACGACGGGGCGCTTGTGATCGCAGATGATGAATAGATCGGTCCAGAATTGTGGATGGCTGCATAAGCGCCATGGGCGATTTATGTTGGACAGAGATCCGGAAGACTTGGGAGGCCATGTCGACGGTCATTGAAAACAATGCTTGGGTGGCTTATGAATGGCAGTGGAACGACATGTGCCTGGACCCAGATCTGATGCATCCTTCTTACTGCACACAGAAGACGAGCTTTTCACAGCACTTTACTCCTGTACTTTAGACTCGAGGACACACCTGTCGCTCGCATTATGAGAGGAAGCCGACGGGCTTGACGGATCTCAACATGAGCTTTTTGGAAATCGAGCTCTTTTTTGGGAAGAGCTGACTTGCTATTGCAACGAATTAAGGAAGGGCGTGACCTGCCTTACGAGAGTTAATTCAATAGCAGAGACATGAATGAGAAGGAACAAGCGAAGATATGAAGATAGACAGATGTAGGCCACAGCCTGTGATGGTAGACTGGAGTCTCGATGTTGGTCGATTACTTGCTGCTTTAACGGCCCCGCCCCATTTTGCCGTCCTTCACCGCCAATCCATAATTCATCTCATTTCGCGTTGTGCGTGTTGGCTGTTTGAACCTCCGATTTTCAGAGACTGCTCAAAGAGCACACTGCCACTTCGGTCTCAAAGTCATCGGTTGCAACTATGGCTGCCAACGGCTCTCCCTCACCCTTTGTGACGCTGGTCTCGTCAGATGGCTTTGTATTCCACATCCGCCGCTCCGCCGCCTGCGTGTCTCCCACACTCAGGCGCATGTTTGACATGCAGAGTATGTTTCATGTCCAACGTGTCCCCCTCTCCCTCCCTCGCTCATCCGACTTCGAAACGGTGAAGCTAACGCCCAAGTCCTCCGTGTAGACAACTTTTCCGAAGCGCAGACGGGCATCTGCCACCTGGAGAACATCAGCGGGAGCGTCCTCGAGAAAGTCGTCGAATACTTTTACTACAATGAGAAATATCGAGACAGTGAGGGCGTGCCGGACATGGACATCCCCTCGGAGCTGTGCCTGGAGCTGCTGATGGCCGCCGATTTCCTGATGTTGACCCCTTGAATCATGCCGATCTGAGTGACGATGAATTTGTATGGAGTCGACGAGTGTTAACATGGTGCTTTTGGGTGGACCCCGAACGCCCGGACAACACGCACAGTTCCTGCCTGAGATCGGACATTGGAAAACCTACTGACGACCTGACCGTGGCACGATTTGCTCGGCTCAGGAATATTGCTGTCTACGAATTCTTCAGCGCAGTCGATGAAAACAGAGGTATCGCTGCTCTGGCTCCTACGGCCTGATCTTGTCAGTGCTGCTGGAATATAGCGGCTAGGAAGTTGCCGAAGCTCGATCCAGCCTGGAAAAGGACCGGAAATGGGCCGGGGCTGGAATCACGGTCTTGCCACCCTGTCCTAACCCAGCCGTTGACTTACTGGCAACCCGTTTCACGACAATTCTAAATCACCAACCAGGGGACTGAGGGCAGAAGGGAACATTCATAAATGGAAGATGAAGTGCATCTACAAAGAGCTCCAGCCATGTCGAGTGCTGCATGCCGTGGTCCCCCAGCAGCCGGAACACGAGTGAAAGGGAAGGAACGGATTTGCTCTCGAAGCCTTGTGAGACTCAAGGAAGTCGAGGGAAAAAGGCACAAGTGACTCAATCCTGTCCCAAGATCTCCCACACAACTCCTCCCAACCACTCCCGAGACACTTCCTTCCAATACCATCAATATTCAGCTGGTTTTCTGTCCCCCTATCCCCTGCTCAAGATACATCCATTGCATTTCAGCACATTAAAGCCCCTTCTCATCCTCCCCAAAGTCCTACCCTCTACCCCCTATTCCGACAACCCATCTCAAGCATATACGTCGCGACTTTAGAACCTGCCTACTCCCCCACAGGCCGACGTCTATAGAAGATGGAAGATCAGAAATTCCCTAGATCATCAGGCAGTCCGCTCGCCCTCTCTTTCGCCGTGGTGAAACGCGGACGTTCTCTCACGGGGAGACAACATTCTGAATACACCTTCCTCAACTTTGCGCTTTCTTGAGATTTCTGTTCCATGAGTCACAACGGCTCTCAGATCGTATGCTGGGTGTTTCATGTAGTGTATTTATATCGTTGGATCAATCAGCAATCAGCAAATCGCGAAAGAGCTAGAGTGCGGGTTTTGCTGGATTCGTCTCGCGTTGCTTCATCTAGTCATCGTGGAAACGCCGTCTATATATCGTCATTCGCTGGGGTATCATGTCTAAAATGTCTAAGAGTCCATCCCTGTTCCGTCGAAAATCTTTCCAGTGTCCCCAGCAACAGCATGGCGCATCTAGTCATGCAGCGGCATTGATCAGTAAAGCCCTGTTTTCACCCACGACTCCTTCTCCATACGCCCATGGCCACGGAGCAATTCCTTTCCGGAGAAGCCAGGTCTTTGAGAAAGCCACCGCAAGTCCATAACAAGCCCGTAATCCACGATGAGCAATTCGCTTACTTCCGTCCTTGTCCCTGCCCCCGGCTTTGGCCCTGTCCTTGGGTTCTCCTGGGTCGACCCTTGGTGCCTGCCTTGGTCTTCTCCTCGTATAATTTGTCGGCTCCAAAGCACGCGTCGCTTAGCCTCAGATAGCTCACAACACCCATGTCCACCACCGCAAGCAACACGTTCCGTCGTCCATGTTTGAGCCTCGCCTCTAGCCTGCCCGCCTGCGCTTTGGAAAGAGAATCCTCAGGCTGACTGTCGAGGAGAGGGCCGATTTCTGACAACGACGGAATTGACGGCGTCGACCGTGCATCGACCACGCAGATTCGATAGTCCTCTGGAGGCGGAGAGGTCTTCTTGTAGGTGGCGGAGACGTTGGGTTTCCAGACGTGAAAGTGGATGCGGTAAGGGGCTTGGGGCGCCCGGGGTCTCGGAGAGGACACAGAATCCGAGAGCTCAGTTGTGTTGGCGCTAGAGGGCTCGTGGTACGGGATCAACGCCAACGCACGGAATATATCAGCGTAGTTCCTGTACAGGCCCGGAGCGACCAGGGGCCCCAGTGAAGAACAGTACGATCCTTGATGAGGTTGGAAGAGCCACGATACCAATTTGTGGACCAGAGATGCGACTGTCCCTGGAGATTGAGATCTGCCGGATGCTGGTGTTGACGGTGCAAGCGGTGAAATGAGGGGGCTGAGGCCATGGTGGCCGTGCCCGTTCGCTTGAGGGAGATCTGTATCGTTCCAAGTTGGCGCCCGTTGGACAATGTATCCCGCTCTCTTGAGCCCTGAGTAAACCGTATATCGCTCCAAGGTCAAGCCATCTTTGCCGATGAAGCTGGCGTAGGCGCCTTGAAGACTCATTGGGAGTTCGCCTAGGGAAGGTTCCACACTTGGATTCGTTGCAACATCAACCTCCTTCTCTGGTTCAAGAGTCCGCGGCTCTTGAGCATCAGGATCTTCTTCCGAGGCGGGAATGCTGTAGGCTCTATCCTCACTCCCACTTGGTGTACCATCGCCATCCTCAGTCTTGACATCTGGCCATCGGATATCGAGATTTCCTCTTTCTAGCAGAAACAGAGCCTCTTCAGGCAACAGCCAAACCCAATTATTCCTGTCTGCTTGGCCCATCACCTTCAAGTGCGGGCTCTTGAATTTGTACACCACCACGCACCGGCCATGTCTCCCTTCTGACCCGTCGCCGTCCCATCTCCAGTCGTCTTCGTTTGGGAGATACTGTCCCACGACGTGGTTCTTGCCCGTTTGTATGCGCACCGCGCTGAGGGCGGTGTGCATTGCCAGGCGAGAAGCATCGAGGGCCGAGGCCTGCGATCGCGTGGGATTCGGTTCGAAGTCCTTTGTACCGCGCTTGGGGACTATGGCTTGCCCGGTCTTTGACGAGGACGTCAACTGGCTGAGGAAGCGGAAATCTTGGGTTTCGTCTTCGAGGTCGTCGGGACCAGACACGGAGGTTGGAGGGATGACATCCTCATCCGCGTCCGCCATGGTGCGGAGGGTGTACGGTCCCCGTACGTTACTCGGAGATTCACAGATTGCGGACTTTCTACCTGGAATCACGATGCAGATTCATGGGCTGAAGGGCTGAGCTGAAGCACGTCACAAAAACACGAGTCATTTACCCGCAGCGTCGCGAGTCAAGCGGCGATGGCCTTGGCGAGAACGAGCAGCTTTCTCTCGCTTTTCTCTATCATGTACGAGGTAGCTCCCTTCACAGCTTTCGCCTTCGATGTTTGCACGATCGATTATTGATCGATCTATCAGGAGTTGTATTTCCTATGTGCCTCGAAAGTCAAGAAACCCGTTGCGATGGCTATCTCTGTCCCAGGAGCATTCCCTCTGTGCAAGAGCCTCCCGACCGCTGAATGTGGGCCGCGGAACTGATGGTGCTACGGGAATCTGGATTCCTTGAGAATTCTAGCCTCGAAGTATGAGTGCTGCCAGTATTTTCTAGATCTACTTATAGGAGCAGGTTATTCCGAAGTCTCTTTCGTCGTCCAAAACTTCAACGTCGGAGCTCGTGTCTCGAAAGGGAAATTAGCGGCGAATGATACTCCAAATCGCCCTACCTACGACTCTTCAGACATGTCAGGGCATATAAACATGCACCTACCCCGTGAACATGGAGTTCCCCAGTCTCCAGATCTTCCCACTGCTCTGTCGCATCATGGCGGTGTCCGACCAACATCGGGTTACTCATATTGTTCTGTTTCGTTATCACCCCTCAGTGCCATGGACCGAACTGGAGCACCACTTCGCCGACTTGGCCAAACTGAAATCAACATGTCTCAAGCCCGCTGTTACAGGGAAACCATATATGTTGTCGATGTCCATGGGCAAAAACACCAGCTGGGAAAATTTCGGAAAGGGAATGACGCACTGTATCGTCCTGGAATTTGCCAGTCTCGAGGACAGAGACTTTTATTTGCTGGAGGACCCAGTGCATCGCGCTTTTAGCGTAAATGCTGCCCCTTTGATCGAGGACTCGGTGGTTGTTGGTAGGTCCATACGAACTTCCTTCATGGACTAATGGGTCTATATTGACATTTTGCCCTATCGAAGATTTCGTGGACGGATCATTACTCGGCCCTTCGCCCCAACCCCAATCGGACAGCGTCAACTACAAGTCATACCGAGGTGCATGTCAATGCGGGTTGATCGACTTCTGCATGAGATCACCCACCGGAAAGCCACCCGCCCATGTCATTTGCCATTGCGACACATGCAAAAAGATCTCTGGAGCACCCTACACATGCAACTACATCATCCCTATCGACGATTTGGTCATCTCTCAGGGCCGTGAACGCCTCAGGGTCTATGAATATCAAGGGGCGAGTGGCAAGAACGTGTCATGTTACTACTGCGACAAGTGCACGAGTCACATCTACCATGTGCAGCAGCGCGATCCAAGCAAAGCGATTGTGCGGACTTTGCTTCTTGAGTGTGGGAACGTCATGGGTGCAAGCGGGGAGATTTTCAGCGAAGGGGCGCTGGGATGGGCTCGAGACTTGCGAGCCGCTCTGCAGACTTGAAGGAGGCCAGGGGGACGCAGTCAAGAAACTCGGGAAAGGCCAGCCCCTATGGCTGCAAACAGAAACGGTCTATGATGGTGCGACTGGCGGCTGCTGTGCGTATACAGAGACATGATCCAGAGCAATGGTATTTGCTGGACTACATTCAGAAAAGATCTCCACGTTTTGGGAGATATTTTCGAGGCCAATTTGCATGGAATCGAATCAAAAGCGTTCTAACTGTAAGTTTACCGCTTACTACATTGACATATCTCCAGAATCTTTTGTTCTAAAGAGGGCAACGCATTCGGAGACTGTGGGATACAATTGTGCCCAGGAATCCATTTGGGCCACCTTCCAACCTCCCCATTGCCACTGGTACTGGGAAAGCTGCTCTTTGCAGTTTACATTCTGCTCGCCCTCTGGTATTCTTCTCGACCCTGGTCCGAAATGACGAAGTGAACAAGTTCAAAGTCACCTCTCTGCCACTCCTGGGCTGACCGCCCGGTACTCACGTCTACACACCCTTTCGCTCAGGTCTTTCAAGACGAAGGCCGCATACTTGCAATCCTCTAGATCAAGATATACCGTGGCGGACAGGCGGGCCCACCAGGCGCCTCGATAGAACAGCAAAAAGAAGAAAGTCCCATATCTTTCCACAAACTCTTTGTTCATGAATTCGATGATGGCCGAGGCGTCTCCTGCGGGCACATCGTATCCAGCCCCCTGCCCAACGGATATGGGCAGTCGAACGTGCGCAAAGAAAACTCGATGCGTCTCCGGGATGTCGAAAGTATCTGTCCCCAGAGTTTCAACCAGGATCTCTTCCGCTTTCTTCGCAAGAGAGGTGCAATATGCTCGAGCAGCTGCTTCGCCGCCACAGACCTCGTTGCGAAAACGAATTGCCTCCTCGATGCAACAGTAAGCGGCTCCGTCAATGGTGCCAAAGTACTCAAACTGCTTTACCATTGGGTTTGTCTCGTCCGAGGTGGGCATCGGGTCATGTATTGTGCTGGTTCGTTGTGGCTGAAACCCATGCGATGTCGGGAGCGTCGTGTGAATCAAGTGCTGGTTCCTTTTCGGCACGAAGAAGGCCGCGACTGACCGGGGCACGAAAAGCCACTTGTGGCAGTTGGTTACCAGGAAATCCGGGTCCAGCTCGGTGAGGTCGAGAGCAATATGGCCCACTCCATGCGCCGCATCTACCAGGCTTAGCACACCTTCTTGACGACACAGCTGCACTAGCCTCTCAAATGGCACCCGCAGCCCAGGCATGCTGACAATCGAGTCGAAGATGCCCAACCGAACTCGTCCTTTCCCAGCTTGCTCACACTTGAGCTTTTCTTCCGTCAATGTCTTGCGGAAGAGCTCTACGATCTTATCGTCGCTCTGAGGCAAATCCAACTCGACTCTCACGCTCTCCGCCGGGGTTGTCTCGACGATATACTCAATGGTCTTCTCCAATGCCCCATAGACGCCAGAGGTATAGACGATCTTGTCTCCTTCCTCCCATCGCAGGTTCTGCAGTACCGTGTTCGTGGCGGTCGTGACATTGGAGCACAGAACCAGTTCGTCGACGGGACAATGAAGCATTTCCGCGAGCAGAGCTCGGCTCTTCCGCAGCAGTCGTGGGTAGGTGTAGCGGATGAACTTGTCGGGTTCCGCCTCTGCTGCTTCTTGATAGTGGCGTAGGGCTTTCTGGACCGTGCTAGGATAGCCGCCAAAGGAACCTACAACAAACTCAACTGTCAGGAGGGGGAAAAATGGTGGACCGGAGGTGTCTCCAGGGCCAAGGGGAAATAGACAATACCGTGATTCAGATTGGTGTAATCCTTTGCGAACAGGAAGTATTTGTCCCTCATCGGTTTGCCAAATTCGGTTCGAGCAAGGTTGTCGTGGGCGCCCTCGCCATTGCAGGCAGCTAAGACTGCCGGCTTCATGGTGAGCTTGTCCATGTTCTCACCCATGTTTAGCATGTTTAGTTTGTTCCAGAGAGGGAGGTTTTGAGGACTAAAAGATCCTATAGATGTTCTTCCTACCTCCTGGAGAGGACAATGTTCGTAACAACCGAAAGCTCGCCTGTGAAGTAGAATATCATGAACAAAGAACCCTGTGCATCTACATAAGAGAAGGCCAGACAGAGAGTCACCAGCGAATAATGTCGAATAGGAACGATGTCATCCTATAATATGACCAATCGTATCCCCAAAAATGCTCTGGGCTATACGCAGTGGGAACGCGTGACTGACCAATACGCACCCTCTGAATACGCAGATGATGAGCTCTCGACCTCCCTGAGAGGAATCGTGCCTCCTCCTCCTGTCGAGTCAGGTGTAGGGCAAAAAAGCATGCAGAACCATTCTGGAGGCCCGGCTGGTCAGGATTTCGGCAAGGAAAGTGAACGAGAGGTTCTCTCCAATCCAAGATATTCGTTGCAGGTCGTTGAACCTCGAGGCGTGCAAAGTAGCAGAGAATGGCTTAATGGACGTAACTCATGGCAGCCCGTTATCTAGGACTCCAAGCACTGCGCAGTCTTTGGGCTCCTGAGATACTATGCATACTAACCGACGTCCGGAGTCTACGATGGGATCAAGAGTACTTGAGATCACCAGCTTCAGCTTTTGAGGATTTCCAGGTATTGGAACTGTATCACCTATATACTCTAGAGACGGAGGATATTCGCCAGCATCATGCAGGATTTAGCGACGTATTTGACTCCCCCAGAATATCGCAAGAGCGTTAGTTACTCTGATGCCCTCGGACCAAAAGATGGAGACTCTCTCCTATTCTTATTCGTACTACGCGAGTAGTCCTCCATCGACACTGTACACGCATCCAGTGACAAAGCTCGCATCATCTGACAGAAGATATGCAATCAACGTTGCCACTTCTCTCGGCTGTCCACGTCGCCTGATGCACGCCGTCGTGGTGGGTTGCTGGTGACCTTGTTGCCGCTCCATTCCTACCAGCATTGGCGTTTCAATGGCCCCTAACCGGTGGGAAAAAGTGACGAGTGAGCGCTGTAGGAAGCGTGGAAGTTAATTGAGGAGAATCAAGCCGAGTACTGACCAGGTGCGACTGCATTCACCCTGATATCAGGACGGTCACGGGCCGCGGTGCGTGTGAGTCCATTCACCGCAAATTTGCTGGCAATGTAGCTACCTTTTCCCGCGACGCCCTGTAATCCACCTGCGCTGCATGCGTTGACCTAAAAGACGCGAAGAGCGGTGTTATCGACGTTGAAAACCTCTCGTGGCCGCACAATAAAAGGGAGATCTGCGGGCACATGGTTGAACTTACAATGCTCGCGCCTGCATTCATGATCCTCAACTGTGCTCGCAGGCAGTTGAAAACGCCTTTCGCGTTGACGTCCATGGTCCTATTCCAGCCCTCGTCCGTCTCCTCGGAGATCGGAACGTGCCCGCCAACCAAGATACCAGCGACGTTGGCAGCGCCATCTAGCCTCCCGTGCTCGGACACTATCTGCTCGATCCACGAATCCACTTGTTTGCCGTCGCGGACATCCACAATCACCGCGGAATGCTTTCTCTCGGTGCCTGGCAGGGCTTTCAGAGCGTCGTCGAGGCCGGCTTGATTCGTGTCGGCAAGCGAAACGATCGCGCCACGCTCGGCCAGCAGCTTTGCGGTTGCGAGACCAATACCACTTGCTCCGCCGGTGATGGCGATCTAGAAGAGTATGGACGGTTAGTGCCTACGATCCGATCTTGATTCATGATTCAAAGGAGAAACGGTTCGCGCTCACCACCTTGTTTTCTAAGCTCGCCATTGTGGAAACGAGGCTAATGTCCGTTGCAGAAATCGGTGACGAGGCTGAACGAGATCTTGAAACTGGGAGGTGTATAGATTAAGAATGGATCTTCTTCTTATTTTATAGGTCGCCTTTGACATTGGGATTCAAGTCCCTCAGATCCCGTGCGAATGAGGCTAGCTCCACGACGGGTGTATAAACCTGGTTTCCGGTTCGGTGCTGATGCAAACCAGTCTGTCCGACGGGTTTCAGTCATAACATCTGCGCCCTCGGATAAGTCAGGATATCAATTCTCATGGTCTCGCTCCATAGATCCGTGCCCAGAGGCATGCCTCAATGAAAAAAAACCAGGAAAGATGCACCTTAAGCAGGTGACACGAAGACTTTGCTTGACATGCTGCATTGCAGCTCTCTTTTTATGCTAGCCTACGGAGACATGAGCAGTGTCAACACCAGCTGCTCCACTTGCTCGAGAGTCTGATTTTCAATGCGAATTCAATAAGACCCCCGTGTCCTCAACCCTGTAGTTTGACGAGACCCACGACGATCAGTTGCTTGTATCACTCTCGACCTCATTTGCTAACGATCAAATCCAATTGGACCGTCATCTCAGGCATATGAAATTCCTCACATCACAGAACTTATCACCGTGGTCGGGCTTCAGCTGACTGTTGCTATTCTTGTAGGACCTCTTTGACCTTGACCTTCACGCTCCATGGACCATCAGGCCCGTATGGAACCATATAGTCTGCACACCACCGGAGGTCGGCGTCCGTGGTCTCGTGGATTTCAAATTCAAACCGGCGAGCGAACAATGCCAACGCCAAGTACAACTCTGAGTAGGCCATGCTGTGAAATTTGGATTAGAAACGCTTCACCCGACGCCTTTGTATCTTGAGAAAGGAAGCAAAAGACCCCCCATAGACTCTAGGACTCACTTCATTCCCAGGCATGCCCTACTTCCCCTGGAGAAGGCAATGGCGTATCTTGAGAGCCGTTCCCCTTTCTCGGCGGCGTCGATCCAGCGATCTGGATTGAACTTCCGAGGTTCCGGGAATATGGAAGGGTTGAGTAAGGTGAATGGATGTGCACTGATCATCGGGGTCTGTTGTTTTGAGCGCTGTCAATACTTTTGTAGCAGTGTGATTGGATTTTTGAGATGCCACTACTCACCCCGGACGGAATGGCGTAGTCTTTATACATAATAGTCTCGCGCGCGACGCGGCCGGATCTCATGGTGGAGCCGAGGGCGAGCCGTAGCGACTCCTGCACAACTGCCGTCTAGAGGAATCGCGTCAGTGGCTTGTGGTATTTCTGTTGGATCACACGACATTCCTGAGTCTCTGGAAATGTATTTTGCCGACTTACCAAGTAGGGCAATTGTTCCAGCTGGGACCAACTGGCCTTGGAAGAGGGCGTCGGCATAAGTGTCTTGAGCTCTTCCCGCAGCTTCAGCAGCACGTCCCGGTTCTTGAGAAGATGATACGACGCGACGGTGAGGGTGTTGGCCGTGGTTTCTGTGCCGGCACCCAAAACAATCACTGCTTCCTGCGCGAGCCGGTCCACGGTTCTCTCCTTGGGTGGGAGGCTGGGATCCACGAGTGCATCGAAGATGGTAGCCCGTCCCTCTCGCTTACTTTGTTGCTGGATGGTCATTTTGGCGGCTCGTAGAAGCTTCTGTTGTAATTTCACGAAGGCGTATGCGGCGGGATCCAGGGACTTCACCAGAGACGACGGTAACTTTTGCGTCAGAGACACCAACAACGGGAAGAAGTAGAACAAGTGTCCAAAGTGGCCGAGTCCGGACAGCCCATCCTTGAGATCATTGTGAGGCCAGTGATCCTCGAGGTACTTTTCGCTAACACCATAGCAGTAGTGGCTGATCACGTCTGCGGTCAGTCCGGCGTAAGCATATTCCAATTTGACCACAGCGCTAGTCTGCTGCGCCTCCACCAGACGGCCAGCGAGGAGGTCGATTTTCTCCTGCATGATGGGCTCCAGGTTGACCACCGAGCGCTTGGAAAAGAACGAGCTGAGGACCGACCGGCGGATGCGGTGGTGTTCGTGCGGAACAGTCGCAATCACAGATACCGGGGCTCCGAACTTGGGGACAAACGTGGGGTCCTTGTCTCGCTTTTTGCTGCTTGGTGCATAGATCTCGTCATAGAAGTCCGGGTCGTTGATGTGAACTTGATGCGGATTGATCCGTACGATAGGACCTGAAGAGCAGGCACTTCAGTACATAATTCTGTCGAGTTCATTGAAGAGACAAGCCACTCCACGAACCGTATTTCTCGTGCATCCGTTCGATCTCAAAAACATACTTGCCACCTTTGATCACATCGTAGTAGAATTCCAGAATATACGAAGCGGCCGCCAGCTTCGGCCCGGGGATATGGCGTATTGGGTGAAGAAATAGTCGGTAAAAAGTTGTGAGAAGACCGTATACTGAAACAAGAGCCACCAACAGCGCTGCAAGAGTTGTATGATCCATCTCCCGGGCCGCTGCAACGGCGAACTGTAGTAGATTTCCCATACCGGTGGCGAGAACTAGATGACCAGACCCTACGGTGTCGTTTTGCCCAAATCGAATCAGGCCGTGATAAACACAGAATTTTGGGTATCTTCTTCTTTTCTGAAGCTCATCCTGCTAATATAGATCATTACTGTGGAGATAGCTCCTCAAAACCGCAATGGCAAATCGGATGCTTGCTCGTTCAAGTCCGTCTGTGGAGGGACGGCCTGCCAAGAGTCCTGGTACCGGCATGAAATCATTTCAAAAGGAGACGGAGATGCATTTGCCAAACGAAAGCGAATCTCCATACTCCATACATGAGTTTTCCGGGTCGAAAAGAGCCGCATAATCCGAGGTCTGGGGATATTTGTGCCTTCTCCGAGAGGCCTGATGATCTGATGATGTATATATGCAAAAACCTCCAGGTCTGCACGAACGAAGTATTAGTACGCAGGTAGTTCTGCCGTCCCACGCTGTTGTACCCGCCGCTCCTTGTTGTTCTTCGCTGTTGTTTTATATTTCTTGTGAACCTACCTCAACAACGCAACCAAGTATCTGGAAGCGAACAATGTCACTCGAATCTCTAAATGGGAAGGTAATCGCCATCACTGGCGGTTCATCTGGCATTGGACTTGGGGTGGTCACAAAGCTCCTCAAGATTGGAGCCAAAGTAGCCATCGCGGATCTGAATCGTCCAACTGCGGAGGTTCTGGACAGCTTTGGCAAGGCTGACGTCGACTACAAGTTTACAACACTGGATGTATCTGAACGGGAGGCCGTCCACCAGTGGGTCGAGTCAGTCGTCCGAACTTTCGGCCGTCTCGACGGCATGGTTCCCAACGCCGCGATTTGTCCAGACGAGGAAAACTATTGGGGGGATAAACTCATTCAGCAAATGATCGGCGTCAATATCATGGGAGTCTGGCATTGTGCCACCGAAGCCTACATGCAGTTCCAGAAGCAAAACGGTCCTGGCGTGATTGTTGCCACCACCAGCTGTCAAGGCATGCGGGGAGGTCCCAATGTCCCCGGCTACACAGCCACTAAGCACGCCGTCATCGGGCTGGTGAGGGCATTGGCGGTGGACTGGGCACCTCAAGGAGTGAGAATAAACGCAGTCGCTCCAGGTAAGAGCTCTTTAGCCTGTTCTACCTTGCTCTTTGCCTGGGATTCTAACCGGCAGTTCGTGTACCGCAGGAGTCATCGACACTCCACTCCAAAAAGCGAGATCAACTGATCCAGAGCAGCTTGCGTACTTCATGTCAAAGGTACCACTGCGTCGAGTAGGAAAGGCCGACGAAGTTGCGGATAGTTTTCTTTTCCTCCTGTCGGACACTTCCACCTACGTGACTGGAACGGTACTATCCTGCGACGGAGGACTGACAATCTAGATGAAGAAGTCACACTGAACAAAGGTTACAATCAAAATGTTCTTGGGTTCAGGCCCGCAGCTGTCGTCACCGACTTCTTTCCAGCACCGTGCAGATGCTTGAACGTGAGATCCAAATGCTTCTGTGTTTCCACTCTGACTGTCCTGGTAAATACTCGAGATCAACAGGGAAATAAGAGCTCTCGTTCACAGGCCTGCACAGAAAGATAAATTGCTCGGTAATATGCCTCTGGACTCGAGCCACTCGACGCGTTCAATCTCTCTGGTACCTTTCGCGGTCAACATTATACCACAAGTCATTGGTGAGACTGGGTCTAAGGAATTCAATGGTTCGTAGCACGGATCGGTGAACGGCTTCTCCACAATATAACATGAGATCTAATTCAAAGCGTTATGTAACGAATAGAAGGTCGTGAAGACAGGTACATTCAAGTCGAACCGTCAGATAATTGCACCGCGATCTTGCCATATCTCGCACGTCGAATAACCTGGCGACCATCGCAAGAAGAAATGCGATGGAGCTTTCGTAGAAATGAGCTGCCCAATAGGAACACCAAGTTTTATCCGGCCGGTCCGATATGGTTAGTGCGAAGAGACATCCGGACGCTTTGGGAATTCGGGCTGATCATTCGCTTCTCGCACTGCGTCCCGTAGCATCATGCCCATCTATTGGTCCAGTCGGCCTCCCTGATAGTTATGTTTTGCATGGGGCCAGAAGCAGGAGATCCGATTTGCAACATAGGAAAATACTCATTTTCTACCACGGCTGAGGGTGGCACATCATTAAGTGCTACCAGGATTCGAGTGGATCTTTGAGCATTACTTATGCAACAAGGGCGGAAGGAGTTGAGGATGATGGCTTAGCACTTGGCCGGAATGCTGTCAACTGTCCTGTTGACACTCTCCACGCGTCAAAGTATTGCAACATGGGATGCTGGAAGGTCTCACCCCAGCCAGGTAGCATTAATTCATGATTTGCAATGGCTATATTCAATATTTCAAAGCATCCCCCGCTGACCCCAGGGGACTCCTGACAAATCCCGATGCCTTCTGACATATGATCCGGCCGGGTGAACAAAGGCTGAAAGTTATATGAACCACATCTTGAAGTGTCCTATTTCCAGATCAAGTGTAAGAAGACGTCGAAACAAGATTGGAAATTCGTTCATCGTCACGCCCATTCTGGCACACCGACTCCTCATTTCGTCCCAGGCAGATACCACGATAGCGCGACAATGTCGGGCTCAACACCAGTCAAGATAGTCTATGGCTCCGAACCCCTGGCAAATGGGCCCCCTTTCGACAACCATGCCTATCTGGCCGAAGTATACGAAATTCTCCAAAAGCATGAGGTCACCGAAATCGATAGTTCCCAAATCTACGGAGAAAGTGAAGCAATGTTAGGTGCCACCAAAGCTGGAGAGACTTTCACTCTGGACACCAAATGGCTGGGTGGCGGTCAGCCCGGGTGGGCCACGAAAGAGAACATCGTGAATTCAGCAAAGGAGAGTCTCAAGAAACTGGGCGTGGAGCAAGTCGACATCTTCTACATCCACCTTCCAGATCCTCAGACGCCCATCGCCGACACGCTTGCTGGTGTGCAAGAGGTGTATCAACTCGGCCTGTTCAAGCGATTCGGCCTTTGCAACTACGTGCCGGACGATGTACGACAGATCTACAATCACTGCAAGGAGATGGACTACGTGCTCCCCACGGTGTACCAGGGGATCTACTCGGCGGTGGCCCGCCGCTCGGAGACTGCTCTCTTCCCCACCCTCAAGGAACTGGGCATCTTGTTCTACGCCTACAGTCCGCTGGCGGGCGGATTTCTGGCCAAGACACCCGAGGAAGTCGCCAGGGGAGCCGGTCGCTTCAACGACGCAGCGTATGGTGGCATGTACAAGCAGTGGTTTGTGAAGCCCGCGTACCTGGAAGCGCTGAAGGAGTGGGGGGCCATCGCCAGCGAAGAGGGCTGTTCACGCGTCGAGCTGGGATACCGCTGGGTGGTGTACCATTCGCCCTTGGCGCAAACCGCGAGGAATGGCATGATTGTGGGTGCGAGAAGCAAAGAGCAGCTGGAGCAGGCACTTGGCGGCATCGCCAAGGGCAGGGTGTCCGACAAGGCGTGCGAGGCTATCGATGGCATCTGGGAGAAGGTCCAGAACGATGCGCCGTAGATTGGACCGCGTTCTTCTTCTCGTAGACTCCATATAGGATCCATGAAAAGCGTGGAGTCAGATCCGAAACCGACCCACTTTCCCAATTACATATTTGGAGGGTCTCTCTTTTCCTCTCGCTTGAAGATGGCATTGTAGCAAATATAAGTTGCCTAAGCAGCCGTGAGAAATCAGAAGAATGGATGCTAGGTTGGCGAATGACACCGACGTGGACAGAGATCAGCTCGAATGAGTTCATGTCTCCATCGTGGACACCCTTATCGCCTAATGTTCAAAAGCTTGTGAGCATTTTCACCTTCGCGACCGGCCCAAGGGCTTGATGAACTAAAGTCTCACAGGTCCCCCCTAAAACCCCAGGTTCGACCCTGATGGGAAGACGGAGTCCTCCGCAGTGAATAGCTCAATCTTGTGCCATTTTTTTAAGGAATTACTAAGGGCGTTCGTCCGCCGGGCGGGAATTCTCGTGTTCATAAAGCACTAGCTACTCCTCCCCCCTTGCGGTTCTCCACCACCTCCCCCTCCCCCAAGTCGCCCCAGAAATCGCTAGGCCAAGGTTCTCAGTCACATGCGGCCAGGAAGACGGGCTGCTCGTCGCTCAAGTATCCCTAAAATTCTCCCCAGCCCGGGGAACGACATTACTCATGTCCTTGGAGCTTTTTACCCCGCCCTGCACGGTCCATTGTTGTCGTCGTGCGTCTTTCGACACCACTGAGAATTCCTGACCACGCGCGATGCATAACTCATCCGAACGGCGGCCCCGTTGTGCTACTGCCTGCAACTCGTGCAGGGTGAAGAAAATCAAGTGGTGAGTGTCCCAACACAAATAAGGCGCTTCTGAACTATTCACTGAACTGTCATCAGCAATGGCGAACAGCCATGTACGAACTGTATCGTATGTTGCACCGGGTCGGGAATCTGATTCGATTTAATCAGCAAGAAATCCAGGACTACCGCGAAGAATGCATCTTTGCAGCCACGCGACGTCGGAACAAGGACCGAAGCGGCCACAGTCTTGAAAGAATCCAGGCCAGACTGTCGCGCATCGAAAACTTATTGCCACGGTCAAACAGATCGTCACCTGCTCAAATGCATGAGAGGGGGCCAGAGCAAGGCTCTTCTCAGGATGGAGAGATGGAAAATCCTGTTCAGCAACTCCGATCCCCCTTGCCGGTCGACGAAGTTGCGGTCGCGGTTCACGCGCCATCTGCTACCCCAACGGCGCGGATTCTACCTGGTGCCAGCGAAAATAGTGCATGGCTCCCACCAACACCCTCTATGACCACGGCGCAAAGCACTGGCGAGGACGATGGTAGTTGTTGCGTTCCGCCAGAAGAAGAGGTGCGTTCCCAACCAGTGATAACCCTCTTCACGGCAAAGAACAGTACTGATCACACCTTGCAGATGAGTTACGAATATCATGGTACTTCTTCGACTCTGCAGGCAATTGTCTTTGCCCGGGCCTAACATGCCTACTTAGGAAAAGGTTCTTTCTTGTCCATATGTTCGAAGTCGGGAATTGAGTGGGTGTGCCAGAAGACAGGGAGCTCCGACTTCGCCAAAACGGCACGACAGTTTACCTACGAGACTTGTCGACGGCTGAAGTTGGAGACGATACAAACCCGAGATCGAGAACCCGAGCCTGCCCCCGAAGACGCTTGGAGGTATACACAGGCCTTTTTTGACGAATGCGCCGAGGGAATGATTGGCTTGATCCACCGTCCCAACTTTGAGGCCCGGCTCCGGGCTCAGTTCGAGCAAGGCCAGCCATCGTCTGCAGACCAGGACCCCGCCTGGTACGCACTACGAAACGTAGTCTATGCCACAGGCTGGCGGCTACTTTCATGGAAACATCGGTTTCGCGGATTTCGCTTCGACGAAGGCGCGGGCTGGAAGTATTTCCGCAATGCTCTCTCGGTCCATTCCGAGCTGTTGTATTGTAGAACCAGTCTGATGGCGATACAGGCACTCGGTTCAATGGTGATTCCCTCGGCTCTGATGTTTGTACCAGACTGTCACTGACTCGGACATCGCCTAGAGCATCTATGTGGAGTCCATTGGAACTCCTTCGGTTGACTACATGCTGTGTGTGAATGCGATGAAGCTGGCAGAGTCGAAAGGTCTCCACCGGCAGCCTGCCAATGCATGGAACTTGTCTCCAAGCGCCGTCCGGCTTCGCAGCCGATTGTGGTGGGCAATCTACATCTACGAGCGACATATCGCCTTTCGATCTGGCCGGCCTTTGGTATGTGGTTTCAACCCTTTCTGGCAGATCACCCCCGAGTTTGTAGCTGCTGACGACGATGATACAGTCAATTGAAGACGACGAGATCACCTGTCAGTTACCGAGCGGGCAACGGGATGATGATTCGGGACACCTCGAATACTTGTGCTCCGCCGCTCGACACGCGCAGATATCGGCACAGATAGCGAGAAGGTTGAAGACCCTGAAAAACTGCAATCCGACCTTTGAGGACATCGTCAAGACCATGGGCGAACTGCAAGAAACGCTCGAAAAGTGGTTCAACGACTCCCCGGCGTCTGTCAAGATCGACCCCGTCACCTCGACAGTCCCACCCGATTGCCACCCCCATCTAGTTGTGTATCTTCTGTTTGCGTATTATGGAAGTCTGATCTCCATCCACTCGCTCCTGGTCCACCCATGGAATGCCATACCGCTGAATTTGGGCCCTCACGAGAAGGAAAAGGTCCGAAGCCAGGTCCACAAAAGCACGGAGGTCGTTGTTGGGGCATCACGCAACATCATTCGCAATTCGCGCCTCTTGCACATCTCCCCATCCTCACCAAAAAGGTAAGCATTGCGTCGATTTGCGCTGCTACTTTAGCCCTTCGTGAAAGCGAATCATGCTGATTGGCGACACTCCAGCCTTGTCTACGTCTTCCCTCTATGGGCCCTGATCAGCCTCTTTGTGCACGTCTTGCAGTACCCAGAGAGATCTACAGTGGACTCAGATATCGAGCTCATGTACATGGTCTCAGGGAGACTGAGTTACTTGGAATTCGCCTCTGCCGATCTTCAGTTCCCCTTTGCCCGAGATCTTACAAACTTGGCAAGCATGGCAGTCGCAAAGGCCAGAGCACACAGAGGTGCTCTAGAGAAGTCCAAATCAAAATCAGACCACGAGACTGCCGGACAGACTGTGCTTGATATTCAACCGTCGGACCTGGGGCTGGATGCTGGACTCCCTCCGCTGGAGGATGTAAGTAAAGGACCGACCTCTTATTTGGATGACCCGCTGAGCTGCAACTGACCACGACTTCTCCCCAGACCGCACTCCTCAATCCGATGGACTGGGACGATGAGAGGTGGGGCACCCTACTGTGCTGGCCCGATTCCGGCAACTCCCCTCTAATCGATATCATGGCAAATCTCGACGGAGGGGCAGATTTTAGTCACTATGTTTGATCCTCACCCAGTCGTGTTTCTACGAAAAAGTTTTTCATGGTGACAAGGGAATTAGGGAGTTGGGGGCGGCGAGAGGCACCATACCGAACCACATTTGAAGCTCCCCCGAGTATTTATTTGATTTGTGAATGTCAAATACACAGACGAATGAGAGCAAGGATTTATGGCCTACTTCTCCTTCGTTTTGCCCCAGCGAGCATTGTATCCGTGGTCTATCGGAATTCGAAACTGTGATCGTTTTTGTCGTTCGTCACGGATAGACGGCAGAGCTTCGGGAAGCCTGAAAGAGTGGTCGCTGACACTGGCTCAATATCAAATTGAAAAGCCAGGGCCTATGAGTAGTCAAAGCAAAGCTCGGCGAAGTGTCGGAAGGAGCCTCCCGATGCCGAATCGATACATCTTAGCAGTAAGAAACACGGCATAGAGGACTATCAGCTTTAGTTCGAATGCTATATGTCATACAACTTTGTTCAGTGCCACTCTACTTGTTCCAACCTCCTACATCATTCTTCTTCCCTCATCGTCACCGCCGCCGCCGTTACCATTACCAGGAGATTTTGAGACGGATACAGCATGTCGGAGCCGATCTTCAACCGCTTGGTTCGATTCAAGACCGCAGCCGGGAAGGTATTCCTCGGCGAGGCAGACGAGGACGCCACGCCCAACTTGACCCTCACCAAGGAGGCGCTGATCGGGAAGACTGTGCGTGTTTATCGGGGCACATCGCCTCTGGACTGCGATTTTCAATTGTCAGATGAACGAGAAGTCATTCATGAAGTAAGTCCCCGATATGTGACTTGTAGGGATGATCAAGTGAAAAAGGTTGCTGATATCCTGGCCTCAATGAACCCTGCACGAGCTGACGGTAACGGACTTCCTCAGGTTCTCAGCCCACTTTCCGAAGTACCAATTTTCTATGGAATTGGCCTGAACTACAAAGCCCATGCCAAGGAGGCCAACGTACGTTATTTCCCTTTGTCTCTAGGACAATTGCAGAGACGCCCGTTTCTCCGGGCTTTCGAAAATCGAAAGGACTGGCTAAAACACTGAGTAGATCCCCACCGGTGATTATCCCACGGTCTTTACCAAGCCACCGGGTAAGAATAGCTTCAGAATTGGCACGTCGTTGAAGGGAGGCTGACTAAATCTTTTCTCCTATGCAAGACTCTCTCGCGGGACCGTTCGAAGATATCTTCGTCAAACCAGAAATCCAATTCTTGGACTATGAGGCAAGCAAGCGGTCTCTTTCTCCTTTGGACCCCGCAACGGCCGGTCCTGTGTCGGTTTGTTTCTTCGAACCATCTGTTGATATACATCTATACAGGGTGAGCTCAGCATAATCATTGGGAAAAGTTGCAAGGATCTTGCCGAAGACGCCGATCCCACGCCGTTCATCCTGGGTTATACCGTTGGAAACGATGTCTCGTCGCGCTACTGGCAAAATTCTCTCCGTTCCGGAGGTCAGCATGGCTCGGGGAAGGCCTTCGACAAGTTTGCGCCCATTGGTCCCGTAATCGCCTCTCCCAAGGCGGTGCCCGATCCTTCGGCTCTGTCCCTGACGACGAAAGTGAACGGGGAGCTGCGGCAAAAGACTGGCACAGACGACTTGATTTTCGATATACACGCCATCTTCCGCCACCTCAGTCGCGGAAGGACTCTCAGGCCCGGAACGGTCATCATGACAGGCACTCCCAGCGGCGTCGCCGCCTTCATGAAGCCGCCAGAATGGTTGAAGAACGGAGATCTGGTCGAGATAGAAATTACCGGCCTCGGGAAGATTGCAAACCGCATGCTGGTGGGCTAGCATCTATACCTTGTCGGAACTTGTTTATCCTGTCTTCTATTGTTCTCGAGCACTCGATCGTCAAAAGCGATATGTACCCCAGAAAGGCCTGAATGCAGCTGGGAAGCCGTGTGTAGAAACTGTTTGGATACTAGGTCCTTGGCGTCGTGTCGCACTAGCCGAGTTGGAACGGGATTAGATGCATTCTTCGATCCAATTGGACGCACTCGCTCGAATTGGATAAGACCCGCGGAGCTCTTCATTACTAGCTCGGTGCTAGTATCCATTAGCGTTATGCCAAAAGGCAAAATGATCAGAATCACAGAGGCATCTGTGATGAAATTGTCGTTCCTGCTCACACCTAAGTACCTCAGGCACGAAGGTCTCTGAGGCCTTGCGACAATGGCCATGGCAGCGATGTCCAAGACGAAACCACGGCTCCTGTGGACGCCTCCAAATCCGTCGGCCACGATGACAGACAGACTTCGGCGTCATATCAATGCGCGACGGTCCCTTTCACTGAAGGACTACACGGACCTTTACACATATTCAATCAGTGATGGGAGCAGAGATGAATTCTGGGTCGACCTGTTCGTTTTCCTGGGGATGAAGGGAGACAAGGTGCCCAGTATAGGTTTTCAAGAACACGTATGATGCGTGGCCTTTCTTCAAAATGTTCATTCCACAACTCATTCTGCTGACAAAACCCCACCAGGTTCAACATCTCATGTTCCCAGTCCCGATGTGGTACCCGGATATCAAGCTGAACTTCACCGAAAACCTCCTGTCCTGTCAAGATCCCACCGAGATCGTTATCCACGCCTGCACCGAGGGCGGTGAAGATATCCGGGACGTCACATGGGGCGACTTGCACTCGCAGGTGGCCCAACTGGCTGACGCAATGCTATCTTCGGGTATCACGGTGGGCGACCGAGTCGCGGGCGTCTTGTCCAATCGACTGGAGACCGTGGTGGCATGTCTAGCTGCGCTATCCATGGGAGCACTCTGGTCCACCTCGTCCCCCGATATGGGTGTCGAAGGCGTCCTCGACCGGGTTCGACAGATAAGGCCGAAGCTTTTTATCGTCGAAAGCGACGTCTTCTACAACGGCAGAGTGCAGGATCAAATGGACAAGAACCGACAGTGTGCCGGGGAGCTGCTACAGACACCAGAGTTCGTGAATATGGTAGTGATACCGAGAAGAACGAAGGTGCTTGAACAACGCAGCTTGAAAGTGATTACGTGGAATACTTTTCTCGAGCGCGGAATTGGAAGGCCCTTGAAGTTTGCAAAGCTTCCTTTCAGCCATCCAGGTTTTATTGTCTACTCCTCGGGCACGGTGAGCTGCACTACATCTCTCGGCTATCGAAGTGAATTGAATTAATGGGATTCGTCTAGACAGGGCCGCCCAAATGCATTGTACACAGTGCCGCCGTAAGTCTCTGTCCTCTGGCCATAACAATCCTGTTGACAGGCCATTCAGGGGCTATTGCTTCAGTCGAAGAAGGACTCGGTTGTGCATTTCGATGTGCGGCCTGGGGACAATATTCTTCAGTATACCACGGTAGGCACCACTACAATTTGTGTGTCAATAGTTGAATGACTAGGGCGCCTCAGACCGGCTGGATCATGTGGGGGAAAGTCATATGTGGTATCGGATATGGCGGACGTACCGTCCTCTACGATGGCTCACCGTTGAAGCCAGACCCGCTGGTTCTTCTACGCCTCGTGTCAAAACTCAGGCATGAAGCTCCCCTCTCTCGGAAACGGTCGCTTTTCAAGTGTTAACCACTATCATCCGTAGGGTCACCCATTTTGGCACCTCGGCAAGGTTTCTGACCGAGCTGAAGAATTTCGGCCTTGTTCCAAGTACGTCAAGACGTCTTCCACCAAAGATGTCTGTCGATTTAACGTCTTCATTCACAGGAGATATGATCGATCTCTCTCGACTTTGCGGCGTTCCTCTAACTTGTGGGAACTCCCAGTGGTGTCCGGAAATCCCACCTTGCCACTTTATGCCGGCGAGATACAAAGCGAAAGTTTGGGGATGGCAACGGATGTGGCAGACGCGGATTCGCCGGACGCAGTCTCCGTCAAGGAGAGCGGTCGAGCCGGAGAACTTGTCTGTCGGAGATCGTTCCCCAGTCAACCGGTCTCCTTCTGGGGAGAGGCTGGGACAGAGCGGTATCGCTCATCCTACTTCGACCGCTACGGAGGCGAAGTCTGGTATCAAGGAGACTACGTGGCCATGAATCCGAGAACCAGAGGATTTGAGATGCTCGGAAGATCGTGCGTCTTTTCCACCCTGTATTTTTCTTTATGTGTCTACTGACCAAAGCGGAAGAGACGGTGTCTTGAATCCTTCGGGAGTACGTTTCAGCTCGGCCGAAATCTACGAAGTGGTCGACAAGATCCCAGGGATCGCGGATTCGCTATGCGTAGGGCAACGAAGACCGGCAGACGAGGATGAGTCGGTTTATCTTTTCATCAAGATGCAACCTGGTCGAAAGTTGACCAGTGCGCTGAAAACGACGATACGACAGACCATCCGGAAAGCCAGGACGCCGAGACACGTTCCCAAATACATTATTGAGGTCCCGGATATCCCGTACACGGTCAATGGAAAGAAGATCGAGTTGGCTGTGAAGTTCATCATTTCAAATGGCACATCCAAAGCGAACGGAGCGGTGGCCAATCCAGGGTCCTTCGAGTACTACAGGCGATTCTACCAGATCGAGAAGGTCTTGGAAGAAGAACAGAAGGCTAGGGCAAAGCTATGATTCGAGGTTGATTCCCGCGTGGCCAAAAAGTATAGATAGTGTCAGGAATCGCCTGCCTGACAAGACCTTTACCTCTATAGTGCCTAACAATTCGCCACTAGGGGCCAGATATTCCGTCTTTTTGCTAAAAACAAGGGATTGAGGTACTATCCTGACAGATAGATTCAGAAAGGATATAGTAGTTATTCGGGGCAACATAGAACTTTTGGCAACCAGTCTAACTTCCGAGCGCTGGAGATGTCTGAGTCTCCTGCTGCTTCTGATGCTCTTCTACACTGGCGATGGCAGCCTCGACCTCGTACGAGTCCATGCCTTCCTTGAAGTCCGTGATCATCCCGTCCGCGTCGACAATGAACCTCATCATATAGGTGTTGGTGTAGGCTTGATTCCCCGGTCCTCTCCCGCGTACGGATCCCTCGACGAACGCCGTGTCGCCTTCAGCCACGAGATTCACGATCCCGACCTGCCACGACTCGAAATTCTTGGTGAAGTCGTTGGAGAGTTGTGCCCGCTCGGGTCCAGGCAGCACTCCTCCCCAGAACGCCCTCGCCGGTTGCGCGATCACGGCCCAGGTCCCACCGGGCGCGAACAGCTTTCCCAGGTCTTCCATCCGGCGATCACCCAACGTCGTCATGAACCGCTTGGCCGTGGCTCTGGTGATCTCTGTTTGACCGGGGCTTGACATGTTGCAAGTTTCGAAAGCCGTGTTTGGCGTGTGGTGCGACGGTTTAGGGGGGTGCAGGAGTCTGCCTCCTTGTATTTGACCGGGATAGCGCCCTTTCCAGTTTACAGCTCTCCCCTTCGAAGTTGTCTGCACCACCAATTGTTGGGGATGGAGAAGATATATTTGGTTCGGCCTATTGAAATCAATGCCTTACTGTTTAGCCGCGGTGCAATGGGATTAGAGTTGGCAGTCCGTATCCATTTGGTTAGTAGCTCATCGAAGTCTCAGTCCAACTTCAGGCTGCAGAATAGGTCTACTGTTCGGCATATCGCGGCTTTGTCTATGGCAAAATCACAAATCATCTTTCTCTCTCTGTCCGAAGTATCCCTACAGCCCACGACCAACAAATCCGAACCCCCCAGCCGCCAGTTCAACGTTGCTCTGGACGAAGCACTGGTGCCATTTCATTTGCAAAGTCGCGCGTTCCAGACCTTTTGATCTGAACGAGTATTTCGGCCAAGTTCCCATCGAATCCAGGCAGCGGATTAGAAACCCGTGAGTGCCTTGAGAAACTTGGGGGGTGGTCCTGCTGCGATGACCCCAGCTGCAGCCAATTCCTTCGCCACAGGCGTCGCTAGGTGCTTCTCCAGTGCTTCTCTCCCGCTATATCGCTCAAAGATGTGAAAATGGAGCGGGTTTTGGTCGTCGCGGGAGACCGAATATACCAACGTGCCGGGCTCGTCTTTTGCCAATGTCACCTGTCTGCGAATGAAGTCTTCAAGCTCGTCGCCACGCCCTTCTTTGGCGTAGATCTGTGCTTGGATCAATCAGTCCGTCTTGCATCTATACCTCGAGAGCCTTACATCTGCATAAACTTCGAATTCACCTTCGGGAATTGGAGGAAATTTAAACTCCATTTTTGGAGGTATTTCCACAGGGGCCGATGGGGGAGCGAAATGGCGAAAACGTATAGGTTGTTGCGCTCGTGATGTGGTTCTGATGATATTAATGCTGCAGGAAGAACCACCGTAGAAGGAACATCAAATGCATCCGAACCATTCCTCATTCTTAAGCCCCGCGGATGGTTCTCCGGTTCTCCAGCAAAGTACTCCGTATATGAGTACCTCCGCAAAACGGATATACCTATTCCGTGGCTCGTGTCAGCCGTATGATCCAATTGGTTGTGTTGGGTTGATCTAACTCTTCAACGACTCGGTACTACTACTCGCGTATCCACCGAAGTTGTATAAGACGAAACTGGCCCATGATGAGTTAATGCCTCATTTCTCGCATATTGGAAACGCCTGAACGAATTACTAGGGTCGTTCTTATCACGGACCACGCGCCCAGAGCTTCGGAGCAATTCTTAGCCGCACTCTTGCGAATCAAGCTGGTCGAAATCTGGACAGAAAACCAGGCGATTTTGCCAGTTCTCAACTCCACTCATCATGTACGACGCCGAGGCAACGGAGAGAACACGCACCGTCGTCACCAAATGGATATCTGCATTCGCGGATCGCCGCCTGGACGAACTCCACAGCCTCTTCGCCCCGGGTGCGAAATGGATCCTCGTGGGCAAAGCCGACAGAGCGCCCTGGGCCGGCGTGGCGACGGGTGCAGCTTTGCGGCAGAAGACCGATAACATGGAGCTCTTTGACAAGTGGGAGTACACACTTGAAAATCTCATCGTCGAAAACGACAAGGCTGTCGCAGAAGGGGTCGGGACCGGATCGGGACCAGGAGCTCTTTACTACACGAACACGTATCTGAAGCGATTCATTGTCAACAAGGAAGGGAAGGTCACGGAGGTGAAGGTCATTTTGGATGCATACGAGGTGGAGGCATTTGGGGCTCTGTACGAGGAATGGAAGAAAACCCAGGGCACGAAACCTGTATGATGTGACTAGACGACATTGGACTGGCATAAGGCGGTGACGAACATCTGCGCACTTAAGCTAGGTGGCATCTTAGAGCGTTTGCGTCTATTTTGAAACTCAAGCCTCAGACGCTGTATCTTCTCATCAATCGTAGATAGGCCGGTGGAGAGGGAGTGCTAGTTCCAGAGTCATCTCGCCACTTATTCTCGAATCCGAGTTGATGAACTCCGTGGGCTGCCTGATGAAATATCCGATCCGGGGTGCAATCTCAAAACAAGCGCCCGAGACATCGTTCGAGCCCAGGAGATTCTTCACCGCCGCGAGATACTCGCTCATTGGGATCAGCTGGACCCCCGCTGCCTCGACTTTATCGAAGGCCCCGGTTGTATTGATGTTTGTCCGGATCTTGTTCGGGCAGATTATGTTCATGGTGATCTTGTCCTCGTCGAGGAGGAGCTTGCCAAAGGATCTAACGAAGCCGACGGCGGCACTAAGACAGAAGGTCAGTGGAGGGGGCGATGCTTGGTAGGTGGTGTGTCACTCTCACTGTTTTGCTGCCGCACACATGGGGATGCCAGGATGATTGTAAAAGCCGGCCACCGAGCCCGCGGCTATCACTGCTCAGGATCAATAAATTTTGTTAGTCAAACATCATGTCAAAGAGAAAGTGCTGGTGGCAAGGGAGCGTAAATCGATGATAGATGACATAGAGGACACGGACACTTGACGCGTCTTACCTTTTCCTCGAAACCCGTGCTTGTTGGGTTCTTGTCGGCGGAATTGCTGCAGAGCAAGACTGACTGTATAGAGAAATCCGTTCATGTTCACCTCGAATTTTGTGAGATCGGGTTCTTGAAATCCCACTGAATTCGGTCGATTGGGAAACGTCCGCCCTTCGCCCACCCCGGCGATGGGACAGACGTAGTCGACATGCTTGCTATCCAAACGATCCAGTGCAGCCTCGAATCCCTTCCGCTGCGAATCCCAATCCGCCACATTGACTTCAAGTGGCCACACCTTTTCACCATGCTTGTTGAGCTCTTGGGCTAATCGTTTTGCGCCTTCGATGTCAATATCGGCGATAAAAACCTTCATGCTGTTCCCCAGAAGGTACAGATAGTGCGTCAGTCTTTCCCGATGACCCATCATATGAGCGAATGCGATCGGGCATACCCAAGTTCTGCGAAGAGACAGACCATGGCTTTACCAAGTCCTCCGGCACCGCCTGGCAGGAACGTCAGACATTGGAAAAATGGAATTCATGACTTCAAAGAAGGCTGCTCCCAGAAGCCAGGAAGCCAACATGCCTGTTACGTATGCTACTTCTCCTTGGAACGCCATGGTGACTGATCAAGTTGAATGGTATGGAAGCATACACGGCTACTTGTCGATGTTTTCCATTCGCAAAAGGTGGCAGTGGGGACTTCCTTTAGCTTTACGAACACAGAGGTACACTTGTTCTTCCGCCGAGCGTTCATTGCCCTAGCTATACCTCTCTGTCACTTGCGATGTTCCTTCAAGATTTCCCTTTGCCAAGTGTGGCATGTTCTTCCGTGGCAATAAGATCTTGATAACCCGATTGGTCGTCTCGTACATGCCTGAATCTGACTCTACCGAGGCCATTCTAGTGCGGAGTTGCTGCCACACTGGGGTTGGCATGTCCCGCCCCGTAACAGAGGCAGGCAAGAAGGAGTACGAGACAGGGCCAAGCATTGAGAATAGAAGTTCGCATGCATAGACCTTCTACACTCAAAACGGCCGGGACGCTTCTCTCTTTTATGGTATGGCACGTGCGTTTCCATGGGAAGTGGGAACTATGACTGCATTGCAATTATACATAGACGTCGTTTGAGATTTTCATCCGCTGCATAAAGACGTCTTTTCCTAGAAAACGGCCAAAGCGTTGGGATAGCATCCTATAGCACCTAAAGGTGTTTCACCCATGTTAGCTTCGAGCATCGGGAAGTATGGGGCTCAAATCGCGGAGACGCACCTGAGATATTGGGAGGCGAGCTCGAGAAAAAGAACTCCCAGCGTCCGTGCTTCTTACACATCTGGGAAAGTGCCTCTAAGTCAAATAACTCGCCAATGCCCATCCCCCACAGCGGGATGATGTGCATATGGAGAAAAATGTCACTGGTGGGCGGGAGACATTCAAAGCCGGGTGAATCTGCCACCACAATGCTGAAGTAGTGGTTGTGTAGAAAGTCGAGCATCTCTTCGGACTGCTCGACTCCGGCAAAGCCCACCTCGGTCGCGAAACTGCTCTCGGCGACTCTCTTTCGCTGCTCGTGACCCAACTGGTTATATTTGTGGATGAACCCGGTGCGGAGGATCAGGATGTCGCCGTACTGGAACTCGATCTTTTGCTGAGCGGCGCATTCGAGGATGCCGTTCGCTGTGATGGCGTGTCGGCTGTGAGGATCATACGACTGGTTCTTGAACTCAAAATAATCGATGAGTACACCTCTGCCAACTGGATTTCTGTCAGACTTGGGTCAAGTGATGCTGGGATTTGTCGGGAAAGTGGTGCCAGACCTATGCCTCTCCGAGACCATGCCTGCAGACCAATGCGAGCCGTGGTGTCAATGTCTTCCTGCGTCGTCTAGGACTGTGGTCAAATTGTGTCCGAGCTACCGTGCTGAAGGCCAACTCAAACCTACATTGTTGTAGTATATCCTCTTTCCTCCATGCTTGGTGCTAACCTGCAAACGGCCATTATGCAACATGCTCGAACGAATAGGAGCGTGGGCATCTTACGTGCCGCAAGCCGTCCCACTGCCAGGTTCCATGAGCACATTTTTCATTGATCATTGATCAGTCAATGCTGGCCTTACCTGCGAGCTACTTTGAGAGTTTATCTCAAATATGTCGTCGTTGCCATACTCGGTTATGGGATGGATCTTGTGTTTGAACGGAGCTCTGCCGAACATAGGAGGATCGGGAAGATGGATTGGCCAACTGCACAATTGAATCTATCGTAAGCACTGGAAGAATTTGTAGGGAAGTCATACAACGAACAACTAGGAGCTGCACTGACTTCAGACTCACGACCTCGCCTGTGTCGATGAGCTTTGATGCTGCGGCAGTACGGTCGGGTGTCAATAAGTTCAGACGACCAAGCTGTGATTTTTAGACCGTATTCGAAATAGGCCCCATCTTCGCCTTTCATCAATCGCATACCTCGTCGTCTTTGCCCCAAAACCACGAGGCCCCAGGAGGAGCCCCAGGAATTCGGGGTAGCTCAGAGCGGGATGGGAGCTTGGTTGCCTTTGGATCGAACAAATCCATGGTCAATGGATGGTCCAGTTTCGCCAGCCTTGTCGATTGTTGATCGTACACAGAGCGGTACCCGAATCAGAACAAGGGAGAAACGCACGCTCAAGCAGAGTGCAGCGAGCCAGGGTGTGTGTATGTACCTGTGAACACTTCGCGATTGTTTCCACGACTGTGATCTAGGTTGGGGCAGCCAACCGGATCGCACTGTGTGCCATCCGTTCCAAAGCGGATCAATGGATACAGCACTGCTTCCAGCAGAGTCCCTCTCACCATTCCGGTGCCATCTCCGTGCGGCCTGAATCGAGGGCCGTCTAGCTGACTATGGGATCTCTGCTTGTTCGTATCATAGGCCTCCAACGTGAAGTAACACGATTGGGGAAGAGGGCTCCATTAGCTCCGTGACGATCATCCTCACCCGAACGTAGCTCCAATACATGTGGTATATGAACTGAGCGTCGTGTGCTATTTGATATTGTAGAGTCCGTCATCTACCTCTAGGACCCTTTATCGACATGGCCAGCACGGATGACAAATATGACGACGACGGCGAGCACGTCTTGAGTCCTGCCTACTTTGCTCATGTGGTTTTACGTACCGCGAATTTCAAGCCTATGGTCGACTTCTACAAGACCTTTCTGGGCGGCCATGCAACCTTCGAGACTGAGAGACTGTCATTCATTACCTACGACGAAGAGCATCACCGGATCGCCATTGTGAATGTCCCCGGAACAGGGCCTAAAGTGACGGAGAGTTCAGGCCTGGGTACGGTAAACTCTACGGCAACCAAGCTAATACCACGGGGCAGATCGGCTGACTGCTATTGACACTCGCAGACCACGTCGCCTTTGCGTACAACAGTATCGAAGACCTCGCCGTGGCCTATCGCCAGCGAAAAAAACGGGGGATCCAGCCTTCTTGGTGTGTGAACCACGGACCAACCACGAGCATATACTACAAGGACCCCGACGGAAACAAGATTGAGACGCAGGTAGATAACTTTGACACGGTGCAGGAGGCCGGGCAATTTTTTTTGACCAAGGAGTTCGCGGAGAACCCGATTGGGACCGACTTCGACGCTGAGGATCTCATTAGACGGTTGAGATCGGGAGAGGATCGCAAGGCCATTCTCAAGAGGCCGGAAATCGGTCCAAGGACGGCGTTCAAGCGAGACTGATGGCTCCCTTCGACTACTGTTGGTGCAAGTATCAGCATTGTCGCGATATATCTAGGTATCTCGAAATAACAATGGCACGAGGCCCAACGATCGGTGCCCCTTTATCCGGCTGGCCTTCACCGACATGCACAACATGCTACTTCTGAAATTCTCCGATCTGTTCCATGTCGAATTCGGAGCGTTGGGTAAACGTCCCCGTGGTTGACGTGAACTTTCCGGGCTTCTCGAGAGACGATGTCCCATCCATCTTCTGTTGTTGTCCTTCCTGCGCAGCCACATCCACAGCTCCTCGACGACCAGCCACCGTCGCGATAATTTCGGACGCCAGTTGGGCGTCATCAATCTGATCAGCTCGCCATGCCACATGTCCATCCACCCGTACCAGCACCATGCGCCTCTCCCAAACGCTGTGGGCGTGCGCTTCGTTCTCGAGGATGACGTGTTTCAGCGGCAGCCATTGCTCCTGCGCCGCGCGAACCAGGAGGCTTGCACCTGAAAGTGAAAGGTCGGAGACATCCCGGAACTCCATCAACGTGTAGTACTGTCCATACAAATCAAAGATCGGGGTACCGTCTCTCAAGAACACGTGTGGCGCTCGGGAGCCCGGCCAAGTGCTGGCCACCAGGTCCTTGGTGCTGAACGGTGGTTCATCTGTGCCGTCAGGAACAACGACGCCGGACCTGTACCGGTATCCCATCTCAATCCCAAGATCCCGATTCTCCCCATCATGCTCCTGGTAGTATTCATGAGTCAATTGTCTTGCCCTTACACCTTCTTCACTGGCGTCATCGAGTATGTGCGTGTTCCCGCCCGTGATTTCAGCCAGCTGGTTGTGTACCTGCATGTGGACTCCGGAACGTTCGATGCTTACGAGAGCGACGGGACGGCGTTCCTGCTCGTAGGATTTGAGAAGATCTTGATGTGAGAAGCCATTAATGACGATAGCTAGCTTCCAGCCCAACTCGAAGGAGTCGGCGATGCCCATGTTCATGCCATATCCGCCCGTGGGGATGTTCTGGTGGGCCGAATCTCCCGCCTATGACTTGTCAGCAAGAAACGACTTCTACTGTTGTGGCGAAAGAGGACTGGAAAGGAGAGAGATAAATGACACCAACCAGACCTACCAGATAAACCTTGCCATTCATCCCCGAGTACTGGCGAGCCACGGCAATGTTGGGTCGGAAGGTCGATCGTACTAGTATTTCATCGATCTTGATCTCGTACCGGCCATTCAAAGCGCCCAACGCACTGTAGACACATTCGTAGCTGTCGATTGTGTCCGGATGTGTCTCGAGCGGTAGGAACTGGTGCACCGTCCAAGTATCAATTTCATTCTGGGCGATGATGGCCGCCCCCAGATGGCTCTTACCGATAAAGAATATGTGCCAAAATCGTCCTTGCTTGTGAAGCCGCGTGAGGTCTCTCGATTTGAAATGGACCAGAAGCGCGTATCGTGGTCTGTCAGTTTGTCGTCAGCCCAGAGACATGGAGAACATGCAGATGCTATACATTGGTCCTCCGTCCAACGGAATACCTAGACTCCGACGGACTCTGCTGGATCCCCCGTCGCATCCGACCACATAACGAGCCAAAATGGTCTTTTGTTGACCGGTGGTGAGATCCGTTGTCAAGAGTTTCACTCCTCCGTCACACTCTTCAAGCGACTCAAACTTCTGACTATAACGCAGGTCGATGTAAGGAATCTCGTCACAAAGTTCCCGAAGCCATTTCTCGAATATAACTTGGGAGAGCCGCTGGTAGGGCTCAAGCGGCATCGTGCCATCGTTTTTGGCCGCGATTCTTACCCTGTACTCGTCGACGCTCGGGTGATCCCATTTTGTCACAGGTTTGTCCGCGCCCAGGCCCGTGGACACCAATACCGGACATGGGATGTGGGAAGCTACGCCTGATGATCGGATTCAAAACATTAGCAACAAAAGCCTGTGTCAGCGGGAGCGAAGCCGCTCACCTCGTTCTCTGAGCCTCTGCGCAAGTCCCAGCCTGCGGAAAAGTTCCATGGACCGCGCGTTTGTCAGATCCATTTTCGGCCATCTGGTGGTTGTTTCATTGCGCTCCAGGACGATTGACTTGACGCCGTATGTGGAAAGCACCTTGGCCAGACACAAACCGACTGGCCCCCCACCGATGATTGCAACACAATCAGAAGGGAGCATTTCGGTCGCTGTTACAGGAGGAATACTTTCTTTGATACCATTCACACCGTTCTGCCCGTTCTGGTATGTGGAGTTCTCACCCATGTTGCAAACTGTATCCTGCAATTTGGAAAGCCAACTTCTATGGGTCGTTTTGCAGCTGGATAGAGGTGGCAGGCTCGAGAAGCCTCTTTCAAAGAGAGGCTAAAGTGTTGATCGAAATACTTATGCCTGCTGTCAGGTGTGCTTGAAAGTGCAGCAAACACCGGAAGCCTGCGAAAGAAGGCTGCTCGCCGCCAGCACCTCCCATCACACATATTTGGCCAACACTTGATCGTTTTGGGTCAACGTCTTCCATTATTGTCCGGAGCGATGACGGGAACAGCCCCAGCCGAGGAATACCGCGTAGAGGTTATTAGGACCCCACTGTGGGGGTCCTGGGCGTCTTCCACGGAATACAACAACTCCGGATATCCTCGAGGGACTCTGGTTCATACTGAAAGCGTCTGGTGAAGTTTAAAGGAGAGTTGGCACGATGGCCCGAGTGATTGTAAAGAAAGGCGCTCGTCATCTGCTGTAGTAGCAAGCCTTTTGCAAGCACCGTGGAAACAATGACTGAACCAGTCGCACTCTCAACAGCTGCGGCGCTGGAGACCCCGACCAATGACATCAAATCCTACGCTCAAAAACATGGGATCACACTTGATTTCGATCCCGATTTTCTCAAGGCCAAGTATGCGTTAGAAAAGAAGAAACGTGACAATCCTCAAGGTATTACGCAATACCAATCAGTCAGAGAAACGGACTATCTCAAGTCGACCACGAAAGATCTATATGCAGATGAAAGCTTTGCTCGTGACCCAGTCAAGAAGTTGTACGATGTGGTTATCATTGGTGCAGGCTACACGGGTCTCCAGGCAGTTGCTTTCTTACACGAGAGAGGTATTACCAACATCTGCGTTATCGAGAAAGGCAACGGCTTCGGTGGTACTTGGTCAGCTCCATCTGTGGCCCATGTGACGGACTTTCGGCTTACCATGACACCAGGTACTGGAACCGCTATCCGGGAGTCCAATGCGACATTGACGCCTATATTTATATGCCACTATTAGAGAATGTGAACCATATCCCAACTGAGAAATACGTCCGGGGCCCCGAGTTGCTCCAGCATGCTGAAGCGCTTGCAAAGAAATATGAATTGGAATCCAAGACTCTTTTCCAGACCGAAGCACTCGAATTCATCTGGCACGAAGAAAGTCTCCGCTGGAAGGTCAAGACTAGTCGCAACGACGACATTGAGGCACAGTGGATCATCCCGGCCCCCGGCCCCCTCCATGTACCAAAGTTTCCGGGGATTAGTGGCATCAAATCTTTTAAGGGAAAGCATTTCCACAGTTGCCGATGGGATTACCGTTACTCGGGTGGTAGCTTTAGAGATCCCAAGCTCACTGGTCTCACTGACAAGAGAGTTGGAATCATCGGGACCGGTGCCACGGGCGTCCAGCTTGTGCCTCGTCTCGGCGAATGGGCCAAGGAGCTGTATGTCTTCCAACGTACGCCTTCGTCGATAGATGTTCGTGGAAATAGGCCCACGGACCGAGACTGGGCTCAGACCTTGGGCAAAGGTTGGCAACGCAAACGACAAGACAACTTCAGCATTTTGGTCAACGGCGGGCTCGTCGAGGAAGACGAGGTGAACGACGGGTGGACCGATGTCCTCCGCTCCTTGCCTGGATTTATGGCCGGGGCAGATAAATCCAGCGATGGCCAGAACCTGCTCGCTCGCATGCAGATTGCCGACTTTAAAAAGATGGAGTCCATCCGGAAAAGAGTGGACACGTTGGTCAAGGATCCCAAAACGGCCGAAAGCCTCAAGCCGTGGTACAACCAGTTTTGTAAGCGACCTTGCTTCCACGACGAATATCTACAGACATTCAACCGGCCGAATGTCCATCTCGTGGATACCGACGGTAAAGGCATTGAGAGAGTCACCGAGAAAGGCATCGTGGCCAACGGAAACGAGTTCGAGCTCGATTGCATCGTCTACGCTACTGGCTTCGAATGGGCGACCGACTTGAGCGCGCGCATAGGAGCCCAGATCATCGGGCGCGGAGGTCAGACCCTGACTGACAAGTTCAAGGGCGGCATCTCGACGTTTCACGGCTGGGCTGTCCGAGGCTTTCCCAACCTCATGACCCTTACCTTCCACCAATCTGGCTCGACGCCCAATTGGACTCACAACATGACCGAGGTCTGTAATCACATCGCGTACGTGGTTGCGGAATGCAAAAAGCGAAACATCAAGGCGGTGGAACCCACCGAGGAAGCGGAGAAGGCATGGGTCGCGAAATGCGTCGACGCCGCTCAGGGACGCGCTGCCTTCTTGAGAGATTGCACACCGGGCTACTACAGTGACGAAGGCACCATCGACGACAAGCTGCTGCGATCCCAGCCGTATCTGGCTGGAGGACCTGTATTTTTCAAGTGCATAGACGACTGGAGGAAAGAGGGAAAGTTGGCAGGTCTTGAGCTGAGATACTCATAGGGCTGCTAGGCTTCCTATGCAGATCGGAATAGAAAATCATTCTCTCTATGCGTTAAGTTGACCTACGGACAGATCTGGTAGCCCCATCACCCTTCCCGCAAATGGGTCTGATTAACCCTTGTAAAATGGCAATAGTGAGACTCCACCCCACTCCGCGGAATACTGTGTCAATTGATCCGGAACTTCGGAGTAGGTTTGGAGACTCACAGCGTTCTATCATTTCCAGGCCATCCTAAAGACTCCAAGTCTACGAGCCCAAAGGGTCTTATCCAACCGAGCCTGTAGCTTGTATATAACTAGGCTTCCCGAGAGCGATCGCGAGGGCACCAGCCCTCCGGAGGTTGGTACAGCATAAGAACGCAGCTCTATCGTCTACTTATTGACCTAACCATGTGTGCATCAGCTACCGAGACCACACAATGGCCCGCCACGCCCATTGCGGCCAAGATAAAGGACTTAATCAACCTCTTCTTCGCTCTGGCCGAGTCCAAGCACGCCGACGCCGGGCCCCGACTGGCTCATGAAGTCTTCCACCCGGATGGAAAATGGCTGACGCCTCTTGGGGCACACACTGGCGCAGAAGGTGCGCTGTCCCTTCGTCTCTGAAGTATCATCATACGCTCCGCTAATCTACCTTGCGCACCTCAGCAATTAGCAAATCGCGGAACCGGGTGTGGGAAGGTATTGCCTCGCGAAAGCATAAGATCGTCAGAGTCTTTGCCAGTGATTCTGCTGGCGAGGACATCTTCCTGTTGGGCGAACTCTCCGTGGTCCGAGACGACGGATCGACGTCCGTTTCGGACTTTGTGGCCAGGCTGATGACACAGAGTGCGACAGAAGAGGCCAATCCGAGAATTGTCCTGTACCAGGCCCAAGCATGGGGAGTCAGGAAATGAACAATCGGCACATGAGGCGTTCCCTCACAGAAGACAAGACGGGCACAAAGAGTCTTCGGATATTCAAGACACTTTAACGGTTAAGCAGAGCTTGTTTATGTCTGAGCAAAATGCAATTGTAGACACTTGTAATCGCCCCTTTCCATGGAGATAACTAGGTAGAGCTATTGTAACTCGGTACAAACTCCTCATCTCACACACCGCCGTCCGCCATCTTCTCCTCGAACACTTTCGTTTTCTTCTCCACGTCTTCCATCGCCGCCTTCATATCGACCAGCGCCGCAAACTTCCCGGCGCTCATAAATTCGGCCGCGGCGTTCGAGTACGGAAGTACTGGCCGAAAGTGGATTTCCCGAGCGCTGCACTCTGCGGCCTGGCCCGTCAGGGACTGGTCTTCAATGAATCCATTGACGGCTCTGACGATGGTTGAGACGGGCGTAATCATCTCCTGGGGGAACGCGGCCAACAATGCCGTGTTTGCAAGAGGGGTCGGGACGAGCCCGGGGAGAATACAGTTGACCGTGATGGGTTCGCCCAGATCCTTCATTCGTTGCGCCAGAGATCGAGTGAATCCGACGACCTACCGATTGGAGGATTAGTTGCTCATCTCTGGCTTTCTTGGGAGAGGAGAGAAAGCCCCCAAATAAAGCTGACTTGCCCCTGTTTTAGCCGCGCCGTACAACGGGGCCATGGCCACGGGATATATGCCACCCTGACTCGACGTGAAAACGAGATTCCCTTTTCCGTTCGCATTTTTGCGGAAGTAATGCAGAGCGAGATAGGCGGCATATATCACGCCATATAGACAGATGTCGACGGCCAGGGTATCTGGTTTCGCAGGTGCGCCGTTTGCCATTTCTTTGCCGGGCGCTGTGATGTCCATGCGGTCAAGGATTCCCTGAAAACAACGTTCTCACTTAGATGTCAAAAGAGAAGATCCCGCGCTGTTCGGGGACGTACAGCATTGGCCAAAACTATGATCAAATAAAGCGAAAGTCAGTATCTGTAGCGGACGCCTCCGAAGGTCAATCCGGGCCGGTATATTACCAAGATCAAGTCTTCCCCATTGCGCCCACGTCTGAGAGAACGCCTCTGCCTGTTGATTGTAGTCGGCGACGTTGGCGCGGATGAAAAGGACCTGGGTTCCCAGCCTTTCCTCCGCAGAATGGCCCATTCTGGCATCGACGTCGACAATGGCAACGTTCCAACCCTTTTGCACTAGGTCTTCCACGACACCCAATCCCATTCCCGATGCTATTGTGTCGTCTATCAGCAAGTTCCCAGGACGGGAATGGAAAACTTTACATACCCCCTCCTGTTACCAGCGCAACCTGGGCGCTTGAACCCATGGATGGTTATGTGGCCAATAGTCGTCTCTGCGTTGTGTCTTTGCGGAGAAGGGCGAACTCTTCGTGTTCTTGCTGGACCCACACTATAATGGAAGTATCAGGTCTGCTGTAGTGTATAATGACGCTCGAGCACAATGGACCAGAAGGCAATTAATGTGTTGGGAAATCAAGTCTCCGACAGTTCTGTCAGTAGTTGCTCTTCCCTACATAGTCGAGAGCCATACACTCAAACTGTCGGATCTGATCCTGCACTGGGGTCCTTTTCCTACCCGGCTCGGTGGACAAATTTTCGCCCAGCAAGACCGGGCACTTAGCGTGCCTTTAGAGCGACCGTCCTCATTCATCCGGACTTTTGAACCCTACCCGTGGCGCAATGAGGGGAATGCGAGCGGCAGATGATCGATATGTTGCCCACGATATCTGTTACAGACGCTCTGTCCTCTGTTGTGTTTTGTCAAGGTCGACGTCTGGTAAGGTCGACGCCATTGTCTCCCTATCACGAAACAATGGCTTCGGTAGTGGGATCCATATTTCTGCCCGCTGTGATCGCTGGCCTGGTAAATAAACCCAGCGGTGGGCTATTCAGATGCACAGTGGGCTAATCAATCCACTCAGGTGTCTCACGCAGTATACAAGCGATATGAGCCTTCCGTAAAGTGAGTGGTCCAGTGCAGAGTTCCCGCGGGTACAGCAAGAGCTGAAGGTCGACCAAGCGCCTTTCTACGCAACACAATTTTTCTTGCGGCCGCATTTATGGCGTGGGCATTCTATACACAACGAGAGATCAAGATCGTGTCGATACTGGGGCGTACCGCTCTATTCAGTGTCCTGCAACTGTTGATCCTGTGGTACGTGATTGCAGCGGCGTGCTACTTGTGCTGTGCAACCCTGACCTCTCTTAGCCTGAGCATCTCGGTGTATCGTCTCTTTCTCCATCCTCTTAAGAGATTCCCTGGACCATGGCTGGCAAAGTTGACCAAACTAGAAGGCCTGTACCGTGCTTCTGATGGTCTGTTTCATGACCACATGGTGAGAATGCATGAAAGGGTGGGGTTGTCCCTCAGGCTCACACTGTATCAACGGCTAAGCGATCTCGGTACAGTACGGTGACATTGTCAGGATTGGTCCGAATGAGCTCTCCTTCCGCAATGCCAGTGCCATCAAGCGTCTTCACGGAAAGATGAATAAAGGGCCTTACTTCGAAACCAAAGTCTATCAAGAAGGCCAAGGCACTTCTCTCAACTCCTTGGTGGACTACGACATTCATAAAACCCGCCGGAAAACTTGGGACCAAGCATTTAGCCAGAAGAGTCTCAAATCATTTGGACCGCTCTTCAATGGACTATTAGATAAGCTGTGCGATGCCATCGTCGGATTTGAAGGTACCGCACTTGTGTCATGCACATTTGGATGAAGTCTCGCTAATTACCACTAGGTCTGGAAATCAACTTCGCTGACTGGTGTGACTATTACGCCTTTGACGTGATGGGCGGCCTAGCCTTCAACAAAGATTTCGGGTTACTCACTGGAGGTGCGTTCCTTCCCCTCCCTTCCTGGTGCTCAATAATGACTCCTGTCGTTTTTGAAGAGGGGCCGAGGAACTACTCCAGCTTCATCAGGAGTGGGATCAAGATGTTCTACCTGGTGGCGAATATTCCCTGGATCTCGCCGCTGGTGTTTCTGTTCCCTATCCCAGAAGAACTGAGAAGGAATACAGCGAAGTTCACGGAACTAGGGTCAAAACAGTATGAGGAAAGAAGGGCTCAAGGAACAGAGCCCAATGACATATTTTCATTCCTAATTGCAGCCAAAGAAGCCTACGGGTCAGTTGTACTCCTGAGGGAGCATGAAGAGAATATTTAATTGACGACGAGACAGCTCCACCACCACAGAGGAAGATTTACGAGCTGACTCACCCATTCTTTTCATTGCTGGGAGTGATACGACGTCAACCAGTATGGCGTATGTATAAACCACTAAACTGTTATGGAGCTATGCTGACACGTCAAGCAGCTTTCTGTTCTATTTCCTAGCTCGCGATAAGAGAGTCTATGAGAAGCTGCAACGGGAAGTCGACGCAGCTTGGGATGGAAAGTCACCCCTGGATGCCGGCATGATAGGTACAAATGCAGTGTCCTAACAAGCATGAATCTTTCCTTCTGACAATTGTCTGCAGGAGCTGAAACATGTCCATACTTGCACGGAGCTATTCAAGAAACACTCAGAATCGTCCCGCCAGCTCCTAACGGTATGCAACGAGCTGCTCCAAAGAATGGGCTCGCCATAGACGGAGTTTACATCCCCGGAGGTACACTTGTAAGTCTCACTCCTGGATATGCCGATAGTTGACACTTTTCTCGGCTTACAAGAGTAATTCATAGATCTCTGTCCATGCGTATTCTGCGCAGCACGATCCAAGACATTTTACAAATCCCCTGCAATTCGCGCCCGAGCGCTGGAATGACTTGGAGCGGAACCCTAAGTGGGCACACGTTCCCGTGGCGTTCATCCCGTTCGGGCTGGGGAGTTTTGTTTGCATAGGACGTGGCCTCGCAATGCAAGAACTTCGACTTATTGCCGTCAGGCTCATTCGCATGTTTGATTTTGCGTTGGCCCCCGGTTTCGACCACGACAAGTTCTGGAGGGACCTGCGCAGCTGGCAGGCGATTTTCAAGCCCGAGCTTCCAATGATTTTTAAGAGGCGTCAAGCCGGATGAGAAGCATTTATCGGATTCAACATGGCACGCATTCATAGAGGAGAAGTAACCCTTGTTCATAAATTGTCACTGCTTTGACTTGTCGTATTGGTGTGGCCACACAAGCTAGAGTTATGTTTCCCCATCCGTGCACCTTGACGATAGATCACAATAACCCGTCCATTGCGGATTCAAGCAACAGCAAAGGCACGATTTGATATCAGTTGCGATTGAAAGTTCTATGTAATGACCACGCGCTCGTCAAGGGAGTGAAGCACTGTCGTACGGCCAAGTGTCATCAAGTGGTTGTTTTGTGATCGCCAGTCGCGCGGTGGGACCCAAGTCCAGAACGATGGCAGCATATTGGACGCATCACTGAGGAGAAGAACCCGGCATCCCTTGCCCATCCCGTCAGAACCCGAGGCTATTTGCTCTAGACCGTGAACATACCTTGTGCCCCGGATGAGTGGTTCATCCGGTCGCAATAGGTTAGACCGTCGTCTATCCCGCTCTATCTAACTTAAAATAGTAACCCGCTAACTTAGTTCTCGTTTTCTGCGGGGTCGAATTCGGGGGCCGGGGTTCTTGGATTTCCAGACTGCTCCCTTCCGAAGCCTGGTTGGACGTGTGAAACTTCATCAGCTATATAGCAACCCTATTGCTGGGGATATTATAGATGGGAGACCAACTCTCCTTTTCCAAAGGAGTTCGCCAGCTGCTCTCCCATCTCTCATCCCAGCGCGATAGCATCTGTCCACGATGTCGGCAACCAACGAGAAAAGGGACGACTCAGTAACCACATCAACTGTCGCTTCTCAGGGGGACTCTCCGACCGCGGACCACGTGGATGATATCAATGTTGTCAAGAGCGTCCATGTAGACGGCACCGTCGACCTTTTGGATAGAAGGGCAATCGGCGGTGACCTCGACGAAATGCCCCGCGGGTATTTCCTGAGTGCGCATTTTCTAGGCACGGTTGCTGTAAACAGGTCCGACACCGCTTTCAATGGAGCCACGCTGACCACGTCCAGGGCGTCACACTGGGAAACATGTCTGCAAATCTGGGTTGGGTCATGCCCGCCAACACGCTGTACGCATGTCTATCGTTGATATTGCGGTGTTTGATGTTAATCGACTGTTTCAACCAGTGCCATTATGAACGCAGCTATCGGCCCTTCCCCGAATATCAACTGGGTCGCCACGGCCTGGACTCTCTCCTATGGCCTTGGTGTCCTTCTCTACGGCCGTTTGACAGACATCTTCGGCCGTAAGTGGATCACAGTCGGCTTGAATTTGCTCTGCCTCATTGGATGTGTCGTTGGAGGTACTGCACAAAAGGTTGAAGCCTTAATTGGAGCCAACATCTGTACCGGCCTGGCGGCTTCCGCACAGTTGTCCTCCCCTACGATCCTGGGCGAGATCGTTCCCAACCGCCAGCGAGGCCCCATCATTGCCTTCGTGTTCTTCTGCATGACTCCCTTCGCCGTCTTCGGTCCACTTATCGCCCGCCTTTTCGTTCTCCACACCTCGGCCGGATGGCGCTGGAGTTATTATCTCGGCATCATCATCTCTGGGCTTGCCACTCTCCTCTTGACGGTTTTCTACAAGCCACCACGTTACGAACAGCTTCACGTCCACGGCAAATCGCCCTGGCAGCAGGCACGCGAGCTGGATTGGGGTGGTCTCTTTCTCTATACTGCCGGACTGGTTCTATTCCTAGTTGGCTTGTCCTGGGGCGGGCAGGTATATCCGTGGAAGAGCGTCAAGGTCATTTGTACCATCGTCGTCGGCGGCCTCACTTTGGTTGCATTGGGTTTCTACGGTAAGTTCAGCCTGAATTTCACACCTTGACCTCGCAAGATATTCAAACAAGTTACTGATGATTTGCAGAGCAATATGGGGTCAAGGGCCACGGTGTCCTTATGCCCCCTCGACTCTTCAAGAACTTGGGGTTTGTCGCATTAACGATGACATCCGCCATCGGCGCCATGGTCTACTTTAGCATGACAGTCCTATGGCCAACCATCATTGGGGCGGTCTTTACCACGGATAGCATAGTGATTGGTTGGCAGTCGTGCGTGGTGGGAGGCGGCACTCTCCTCGGTCAGGTCATGAGTGGTGTCTCTCTCACGCATGTTCCGAAGGTGAAATGGCAAGCAATCACAGCCTCAACCTGTGCTGCGGTGTTTTTCGCCTCTCTTGCCAGCATTAGCCCTCAAAGACATGCATCGACCATCGCCTTGGGGGTCTTGGCCTGTTTCAACGTCGGCTTCATCGATAACATTGGCTTTGCGGGTGTTTCGCTCCTGTTCGAGCCTCAGGATATCGGCCTGGCCTGTGGCGTTCTCGGGTCGATCCGGACGATCGGCGGCGCCGTTGCACAAGCCCTGTACAGTTCAATCATGTCGACAAAGGTTGCCTCCTACCTCCCTGCATACGTTGGTCCTGCAGTGCTGGAAGCGGGATTGCCAGAGTCATCGCTCGTGCCACTCCTCCAAGGCTTGGCCACAGGAAACCTGACTGGAGTGCCGGGACTCACTCCAGAGATCATTGCGACGGCAACAGAGGAGGCAAAACGAGCCTACGCCAACAGTTTTCGGATTGTCTTCTATTCGACGATTCCTTTCGGTGTCATCTTGACTTGCTTCTCCTTCTTCGTTCCGAACATGGACAAATATCTACATCAGAACGTGGCGAGGAAATTGCAATTCTCCGCAGACAGGAAGGATTCCACAATTGAGGTTAGCAGGAAGCCTGAGACGTCGGTGTGAACTAGGAACATTTTAGGAATTGGTTGATGTGTGTATATAGCGGCGACACAATAGTGCTGCTCTTTGGGAATGACGAAAACCAGACTGGTCGGGTTTTGTGTCGATTCTGAGCGCGCATATGGGTCGTATGTGTATTGTGAGACCCACAATGACATCTAGCCCCACCATGCACAGTATAATATTCCGCATCGGGCCTTTTCTATACGTTTCAAGCAGTAATCTCCATCACTTCATACACTTTCAAGGTCCTAATAATTCGTGTATTTACGGTTCAAAGTTATATAAATGGTAAATTGACGACTATTCGCGGCTAAGACTTGACTTGATAGAGCTGAGTCAAATCGATGTGCTCCGTAAGAGCTCATACATCCTAGTCTATGCAACGAGGCCGCCGTCGCAGGTCAGAATTGTACCTGTAATGAATGATGCAGCGTCCGACAACAAGAAAAGATAGCACTCTGCCAGCTCCGCCGGCTGCCCGATTCGACGCATCGGGGTTCTGTCCATGACAAATTTCATGACTGCGCCCGCCGCGACTTCGCCTTCGTTCGCGGTCCGTTCCAAGTCTCGCTGCATCCCTGTCCGGACAATCCCTGTTGAGAGGAGCGTCGTTATCGCAGGAACTTTTGAAGAGTGATATCGAGATCGGACGTGAGGCCTCTTACCTGGTGCGACCGCATTTACCCGAATGCCCTCTGGAGCCCAGTCCAACGCCCAAGACTTCGTCAACCCGATAACAGCGAACTTCGACGCGTTATATGCTGCCGTACCTGGTCCCACACGTATGCCATTGGCACTGGCGGTACTGCACACGGCTCCAGATGAACCCTGCTTCTTGAATTGGTGGTATGATTCAGTGGCACAATTCCAGACCCCCACAATGTTGACTGCTATCGTATGCTGAAGGCCTGCGTCGTCACCGATCGGCCCTTCTCGGTAAGCCACCCCTGCGTTCGGTACCATACAGTCGAGGCGACCAAAATGAGCGACGGTGGACTCGACCCATTGATGGACGGCGTCTCGCGAGGAGACGTCGACCACCGTGTAGGTGCAATCTCTGCCGCTTTGAACTCTTTCCACCAAGTCCTCGGGGGAATCGCTTCTCAGATCTGCCACGGCAACCTTGGCGCCTACCTCCAGTAGTTTCTTGACTACGGCTAGTCCGATGCCTGACGCTCCTCCAGTCACCGCTACAACCTTCCCTTTCAAGGACCCGTCTGTCATGACTTCCCAGAGTAGCACAAAAGGGGGAGTTGAAACCTGGAACGAGGAGCAGAGAAATATGGTTGGAATGGCCTCAGTCTCTCGGATGGTTTGAGCAAGGTAGTGCTTCAAGAATTGAACGATTCTAATATCTTATGCGACGGGATTTACATAGCTGCCAACAAGCCACACAGTCCCAAATTATAGCATTAGATCTAGTGTCCTGCAGACACTCTGGGCGCCAGTTCTTGATCCGACATCCGATAGGCTCGGACAAAAATCCTCAGTTATGTACCGGCGAAAACTGGTTTAGTGTTCCCTCCCCGGATCTGTGTAGTTCTCAATGCAATGACTAATGGACTTCTGGCAAGCCTGAGAACCGAAAGTCTCGAGCCTCGAGTTTGTGGTTGGGCGATTATCGTTTTGTTAGGGCCAATTGTGTCGACGAGATGCCTGAATTAATGCCATGTTCGTCTGCTCAAAGCGCGTTTGTCTGTTGCAGCAAGAGTAGACACGGAGAGATCATGAAAGTATCGTGCCTCCAGCCCTTGTTTGCAGTATATCTATGGACTTTGGGATTATCTACCTATCTATTCACCAGGGGGGCGACTTCGGGATGAGGACTCGGCAAGGCTGGCTATGACTTGTGTGGCCTCACAGGTTACACTCACTCTCCCACTCACCCTTAATCCTAGTCCTTCTTTTACGCCTTTCCCCCTTTTAACTATTTCCCCTACTCCTCGCTCCATTAGCCAGAGATTTCCTTCCAATACGGAAAGCCCGTCTATTTCAGAGTATAGGATAATATCGCTAGTAATATCGCTAGGACAAAGGGAGGACATCCTTCTTTGGACAAATGGAAATTCCATTAGTTGTGGGGACCTACTTCTGAGATTTATTGATTTTCAGAGACACAATGTTGCGTCATGCTAGACGCGCTGTGCTCAGTTGGAGGAGTAAGTACTCTCTCAATCGCCAAGTAACCGGCGAAGACTCGCCTTCAGAGCTTCCATCTCCTCCAGGCCAGCTTGATTGGACGTCTGTTGATCCTGCATGCGCTGCTTCAGGACATTATTCTCTCCGGCCAGCAGTTCGTTGCTTTTTCTCAGCTCGGCAAGCTGCTGGTTTAGAGATCGGATTTCGGCTTCCTTGCCAGCAAGGGCCACTCCGCTTGAGCGCTCAAGGGCCAGCCGACCTTCCAAAATCTGCCGCGCTTGCTCAGCGGCTCTGACCCGGTCCTGAAGTACAGCAATGTCTTGTTTCAGAGCAGCGGCGGACTCCAGTTCACGATATATAACTGTGAGCGCTTGATCCACTTCGTCAGGCATGGTTTGATACCTAGACTTTGGCCTGCTCGATCTGGACGCGGCACTTGTTTGATTGAAAGTACTCTCAGTGATTATAGAGGGTCGAGGAGATGACACAAGGTGGTCTTCTCGTATATCATCCAATGCAACTTCCCGTCGTTGTCGGGCCGTGACAAGTGAGCCTGAGGAAGTCGTGGTTGATTGATTATAATCGTTTCCAAACCCTGGAACGAATCGCATTCGGTTGGGGGCTGGGGTACACGCTTCAGGAGCAGAGCCTTCACAGATCCTCTGAGAGTCCTGGCTCGGCAGGACAAGATCAACGCGCACGCGGTTTCCCTGCTGTGGCGCTGTCACCTGCTCTGACTGCTGGCGAATCTCTGCGGCGGCTACATCTCTTGCGTTTGAACTTAGCGGCGCCGGGCTGGTCTCGCGAGAAGAGGCCGGCGTTAGCGGTAAGATTTCCGGCGGAGGATGCACATTCCAACCGCGCTCGACACAAGTCGGGCAGTAGAATGCTGTTGTCGTATCCTCTGGGGGTACTTCTTCGCCTAGGCAAGCCGAGTGATATGATCTCTTGCATGTTTTGCACCCCATAACATCACCCTCTTTCTTGCACTCGAAACAGAAAGTGACATTCGGGTCCCCAACTCAAAGTCAATGTGTCAGCATATCCCCGCTCTTGACTGTTCATCCAGAGTGGCACCTACTCCTCCAATGCCGACATCCAGGCACCATCTCCGATACCAGCTGTTTCTTGCCCTCTGCATCGCGCACAACCCACAGCTGAATTGCGCCAGGTCGGAAGGGCGCATCGGGAGGAGGCACGATCGGCACCACCTTGGACGGCCGTCTCGCAGGAGGGGATTCTGGCAGACTGGCTACCTGCTCGACGTGGGACATTCGTGCATCTGACTGCTGAAGTTAGCAGGGAATCCTTCGCGTCATTGTTCAGTGCTCAGACAACCCTGCTTTCTCCGTCTGGTTGGGCTGTGGTGGTTTCTGTCGCGTCAAGCTTCCTGCGCTTTGCACTGTGTCGACGTTTACCACTGCTTTCGGGGAGCATGGCCGTGCGCGTCTATAACCAGGAGATCACGGCAGGGACGATCGGAGAAACCGAGTATGGGCTGGGGGAACAGTCGTAACTGCGGATGTCCAAGTTTCGACTGAACGTTACCAGGATTTATGAATAGCCGGTAAGTCGAATGTTTCCCGCAAAACTGTGATTTGTCAGCTTCCATTTTCTGCCGAGGCTTTTCTCCTTTACATCAACAGCCTCGTCAAACTGAATCTACTCCAACCTGATGATAGGCGCATTTACCACCGTCTACTGGAATATTGTCGTCGTCTTCTGTTGGATATCTAGAACTGCAATTCTGACACTGTTCCACCACGACCCTGATTTCTCAGAGGGAACGGGGCCGACCCCTCGACTCGAGCAAACGTCGAAAGCGCTACTTCCTCAAGATCAACCTACAGCTAACTGAGATGGAAAGGGATTGCGGCACATCTTCAGGTATCATTGCTGATATTGGGAGCCTGACCAAATGATATCAAAGACGAGGGTTGCGTGCACCGACTGGGAACACCGAGACTCACAAGCTGACAAATCAGTAAAGAAGTCGGGTCTGACTCCGTTCGTGCAGTAGTCGCTGTAGTCTGCTCGGAGCTGTCTATGCTAAGATTGATACGGGCAATGATTTGAAGGGTCCTGTTGAGTCATGGAGCTATCACCCGAAAGATGGTGGTACTGCGCATAATTGGCCAGGGAAATTAGGTCGCTTCACCAAGTACAAAGTCACCCCGTCGGGCATAAGAAGCTGCAAAAACGCTTCAATCACCACGTCTCCAATAGCTGCCTCGGTAACTTTAGACTTGCTGACATACTAATCATCTGAAGCGGAGTTGAATCTTCTTTCGCCCACTCACGCGGAGAATAAGTTGAGCGCACCAACGTAGGTCTGCGCAAAGACCTAGACTCTTGCATACATATCACCCCCATTCAACACCTTTGGATCTTCTATAAACCCCTACCCCCTTTTTATTCTGACCAAGATGACTCAACGTCGAGCTTTAGTGTTGGTTGACCCTCTCAATGAGTTCTTACATCCTCAAGGCAAATTGTATCCGTTGCTGAAGGAGAGCCTCGACACAACAAATACTTTGGCCAACATTCGCCGGCTTGTAGAGGGTGCCCGGGCCGCGAACATCCCCATCTACTACGGCCTTCATCAAATTACGAAAGATGACACCTACACCGGCTGGCTCCATATGCGAGCCTCGCACGTTCGCAACCGAGACAAGAAGACCTTCGCTGGCTGGGGGGCCGAGATCATCGAGGGATTGGAGCCCGACGTCAGCAATGGAGACGTGGTCGTGAGCAGGCATTGGAATGCCAGTTCTTTCCGCAACACGGATCTCGATTATCAGTTACGGCAAAGAGAGATACATCAGCTGGTCATGGCGGGCATGGTCGCAAATACCTGCCTCGAGGCCACGGCCAGAGAAGCCGTTGAGTTGGGCTATACAGTCACCATGCTCTCAGACTGCACCGGGGGCTTCAGCAACAAACTCAAGAAAGCCGGGGAGGTTGTGTGGCCGACGCTCTTCGAGGAAGTCCTCACTCTCAAACAGTGGCTGGCGAAGATCAAGGACCAAAAAGAAGCAAACTTGTGAATTGTGGGGGAAGCCGCCGGGCATACATGCATAGTAGCTCCCCTGTGCTTATGAGAAAACACAACGGCATTGACATGCCTTCAATGAGATGGTAGTTGTCCTCATTACTGCTTCATTTCTGCTGCTTGTTACCTTAAAATATCCTCAAGAATAATCCGAGAAATCTTGGTTGCTCTGCTCTCAAGAGCCAGCTAAACTTACAGAACCTCCCTATCCCGCTTCTTTGAATCTACTACTTGTGAGATGCCTGGATCGCCTGTATAGCCGCGTGCAACAAAGAGGGGAAATGCCGGTGCCGATGAACAGCATTGATGCTTATAAATCAGTTGTTTCGACGGCACAGACGGCATCTTGGGCCAATTGGAGCCTGATTACCAATCGCTCTTGTGACAATCACAGACAAAGATGCCCTCCCTGTATGTACCGGTCACTTCCCTGATCTGCGATACTAATCGTTAACGACGCTTCACCGAGACTTTGCCGACCTGCACCGCATCAACGTCGTAACCGTTGCCGAACCGGTGTTTGAGCGGGCGAAGGGCACTTGCTAGAATGTTAGTTAACAGGCTGTCAGGGCCGGGGGCTGGGTGTCGATTCATTGAATTCTTGGATTTCACGTCCCTGAACAGAAGCATACTTGGCACGGCAGCTGCAACGCAGTCTCTAGGCGCACCGAAGGCTAGAAGGGCGTCAGTGCAGTTTCGCCATGGACGTCAAGCCGCCTATCGCTGCGGGCCCGGATGACCAACAGCGAGATCAATGGAGCGACAGCCCTGCAAATCCGAACAATTGGAGCCTTTGCAAAAAGCTCTACCATACCAGCATCTGTGCGACATATGCCTTCACCATGTAGGCGCATCCAACCCCAGCCAATACGTTAGGATTGTCTAACCCCTGTCTCAGTACCTTCATGTCCTCGATCTACTCTTCCGGCTACAAGCAAGTCATGCAGAAATACCATGTCTCGTCGACCGTATCCCTCCTGGGAGTGTCACTGTTTTGTCTCGGACTGGCTTTCGGACCGACCGTTGCGGCACCGTTGAGCGAGACAGTCGGCAGGCTGATCATCTACCGCCTCAGCCTGCCAATCGCCGCCCTGTTTCTGGTCGGTGCTGCGGTGTCGGACAGCCTTGCCTCGGTGCTCGTCTGCCGGTTCTTTGCCGGGTTCTTTGGGAGCCCTGCTTTGAGCGTGGGTGGCGGGACAGTTGCAGACATATGGGAGCCACGGTACAGGAACCGGGCCACCGCAGTTTTCGTCATGGCACCAAACCTGGGGCCGAGCTTGGGTATGTCTCGCAGTAGCGAGTTGACAATCTATCTGCTGATATGAGGGTGAAAATGCAGGTCCGGTCATAGGCGGCTTCGTCCAAGAGCACAAAGGCTGGAGGTGGCTCGAATGGGTCTCTGTGTTCCTCGCACTGCTGACGTACATCTGGGCCTTGGGAATGTCCGAGACGTACAAAAAGGCCATATTGAAAAAGGTGGAAAAGACACAGGTGGACGCGGATCCCGATGCCGCGGTGGAGTCTATCCAGACCTCTGATATTCTCAAGGCCGTCAAAGCCTGGATGTCGACCACCCTCGGCAGGCCTCTCGAGATGCAAGTGACCGAGCCGATCGTTCTTTTCCTTAGCCTTTACGTGGCCCTTAATTTCGGCATCTTGTACAACTTCTTCCCTGCGGTCCCTTGGTCCTTGTCTAGGACCTACGGCTTCGGTCAGGGCCAGTCAGGGCTCGCCTTTATTGCCATCACGATTGGCTGCCTCTTGGCCACTGCCACGGGCGTCAGCATAGACTGGGTCCTGAGAAGAAAGCGGAAACTGGCTCGAGAGCCGCGTCCGAACCAGCTCGAAGATATTCTCTGGCCGGCGATATTCGGCAGCGTTGGGATCCCGATCGGCCTGTTTTGGTTCGCGTGGACGGTCAGGAAGGATGTCCATTGGGCGAGTCCAGTCTGCGCACTGATCCCCTTCGCATGGGGCAATCTTTGTATCTTCGTAAGCAGACACTCTATCCGTGACGCTCGACAGAATCTGACATTCCTCTCTAGGCCTCGGCCATCAGTTACCTGGTCAACATCTACGGGCCTATGTTTGGTGCCTCGGCCACGGCCGCGAACGCGTTTGCGCGGTACGGGTTCGCGGCAGCTTTTCCTCTTTTTGCCGTGCAAAGTAAGTGTGTTCACAAATCGAAAAGACCAAGAAGGTTAATATTTGTTTTTTATTGCAGTGTATGAAACCCTAGGTACGGGTAAAGCCACCAGCATCTTAGGAGCGTGTTCTATCGCAATGGTTCCTATTCCCTGGGTCTTGTATAAATGGGGACCAAATATCCGCAGCCGGAGTCGCCGTGCGCTCTCCTTGAGTTCGCAATAGACATAGATACTTGTATTTTCGGTTCTGCTGAGAGTTGACACCAGAAAAGATTCACTCACTGGTAGATAGAAGATTCTTCGTGTCGACTCAACGGAGTGATCATGCAGCTGCGCCATGCAGCCCCTTGTCGGGTGTGGATGCGGTTATTAGACGTGTTCAGAACGATCTGGTAAATAGAGGATGGGGAGCGAATGAAGAACAGTCATTTATTCTGAGGAGTTCGCCATCATTTCGTATTTAGAGGAGGGGTCGCACCGTGTTGCAAGGCTGCGCCCCTGAACAGCTGTGGGATACAGGGCTGACTCAGCCAGGTTACCTAAGCATGCTCTGTCGAGTTTCCACGAGCTAGGTTTCTTCTGCATCGCTGTCCATGTCATTGGGGAGTTGAGAGAAAGATTCAATGTCTGGGCAGTGATTCAAAGAGACCTGGCTTCTACGAGGTTGGCAGCCGAACAAGAGGAGTACGAATACGACGCAACTACACCCCTCCCGGCATAGTCTTGAATCGAAGCTGAAAACCCTGAACGTTGTCCGACCTCCGTGAGACCATCTTCTGAGGAAGCCTGAAAATCGAAGAAGTCGCCATTAAGAAAGGGACATATGTGTGAAACCTCCGGCTACTATCATCAGTTATCGCCTCCCAAAGGGTTACGGCAGCCATGCCAGTCTCAACACGCCAATCCGTGCGTCCCAAGCCCACGAAAGACCTGCCTTCATCCGACGTTGCGTCTCCGTCTCCAACTCCATCGTCGCCTATTTCGAGACTCTTAGAGATGAACACCTACAAGCTCACCACTCCACTCCTTGTCTTCTTCGCGACCACCCACACAATTGGCGGCCTCCTCCTCTCAAACGACTTTGGCGTGGAAGGCAACGCCCTTTTCTCCGCCATGCAGACCGTGAGCTTCGACTTCATGGGCAGCAGGAGGACCTTGCATGATTTCTACATGGGGTTCGGCCTAGGCGTCACCGTGTTTTTGTTCATGAGTGCGGCATTGTCGTGGGCCTTGAGCGTCTACTCTAGTCGCGCTGCCGCCGGCACGATGCTGCTTTCTTCCCCTCGGCGGGAGACGAAAGCAGAGGCGAGGAAGGTAGACGATGTCCACGGCAATATGGCAATCGGGAGTAAGAGCGACTTGAGTCTGGAGGAATTATTGAGCGCATTGAAGTGGATTCTGTTCCTCAGCAATTTCGCAAACATGCTACTTTGCTATGTGTACTTTTTCATTCCGCCCATGGTGGTGAGCACCGTGATCGCGGCGCTGTTAGGTTGGGAGTGCTTCAAGGACTGGGCATCCTGATCACAGCGATCAGTGATGGTGAGATCTGGGGCCTTGTCAAAGGAGGAGACGGTATGTTGGAACGAGTCTCTGTCGGGTACATTGTGGTGATATCGAATCGATCCGTCTCTACGAAGGGAAATGTCTGATCTCTGGCACTGGTGTGATACTCTTAACCTTCACAGTTCTTTTGTATCTGCACTGGTATGCTTTGCTTTTCTGTCGCGGTCTTCATTTCTAGGTTTGTGGGTGATGTTGAACTTATTTCGCCACCGCGCTTCAATACGGCGGCGACAGCAGGGAGACATACGCCTATACATCACCTGTGATGTTTTGCATTCCCGTCACAAGTCGGCATACTCCCGATTGGCCCCAAAGATTGAGAACAGATGAATACCGTCCATCCAGACGAGGGGAGATCGCCACCTTGGCTGACTTCGTCGACTGCTTCTTTTCACCGGGGCTCGGCATGGTGGGATGTGGAATGTCTTCCCGTAGGGCGATTGGCCTCGGGTGCCACCGTGAGCATTTTCAGTTTGGCCGAGCGAACCTAAAGAAAACTGACTCCCGAGCCGTGAGGGATTCCTAGCCCAGGTGGACACCACCACTTCTAGCTCCAGAGCATCTACTCTCACTCGATGCGGGGTGCTGGAATTCTGGGGTTGGGTTGGCTAGCTACCTTCGCATAGTTTGGGGGCAAAGCCGAGAGGTTTCTCCTTCCGAAGACGCTTCACAGCAACTTGATAGACCACTTCCACTAGGTGTCTTCCCTGGCCCTGACGACAGTATGTCAGCCTCGCAACGACGCCCTCGCGATCGTGCCAGAGTCGTCTGCGAGAGGTGCCACATCCGAAAAGTGAGGGCGGGAGCTCAGGCGGTCTCTCACGACCATGCGCGCTGACGTTCGGCACAGGTGCGATGTGATCTCCAGGTGCAGCCCAGGGGAGTATGTGGCCAGTGCCAGAGAATCAACCAGGTCTGCAAGTATGTCATGTGTCCTCCAACTGAGCGACTGGAAACTGTTTTAGCTGATTGTTCCCTGCTGGCCACGCGACGACTATCGAATGCCGCTTCCTCCTACACGGTTGGTAACGGAATCTGCAACAACATCAATGGCAATCCATTCTCTTGACGAGTTGGCCATGCCGCCGTCAAAGCATAATACGATTGACCATGCCTCACTCACCACGACCTTCACTGCTCCCCCAGCTATGGCACAGCGGACCACAAATGGAACCGACTTGCCGCGACCGTCCACGACGGCAAGCCACCAGAGCTATCTTGGTGAACAGTCTCTCATGTCGTACTCTTCTCCATCTGCCTCGGTTGCTCCAAGTCTCAACGACTCCTTCGCAGAGATTGTCAATGACGAATTCATGAAGGTCACTGGAGCCGCCTCGCTCCCACCGGAAAAGAGGGTGGAAGCGTACGCCGAGGCATTTTTCAAGTACGTCTATCACCGCATGGCCATCATCGATCGAAGTGACCTCCAGACGGATCGTCCCTCCCTCTTGTTATCCCAGGCTCTGTGTCTAGTGGGGACGCTCCTCCGTCATCCACGGGGGACTTCGCCGCTCCATTCCGGGGAGATTTACTATGTCAGAGCAAAGACGTTGCTTTCGGTCAACCACGAGAGGGACCATCTCACGATCCTCAAATCATTATGCCTTTTGGCCTGCTGGAACGTCACGCCTGCCACCATGGTCAGCCTAGATGGCTCGTGGCATTGGATTGGACTGGCAATTCGGCTGGCTCTTCAGATTGGCATCCACAAAGATGCAACATGTTCTCAGCTCCCTAATGCTGGCGTAGCCCGACGAATAGCCTGGTATCTCTTTGTACGCTGGTGGAATCCAATTGCACATGGGAGATGGTGCTGATTATCACAGTCTCAGGATAAATTCCAAACCGCATATTTTGGCCGGCCCATGTGTATGCAACCCAAGGACTTTGATGTCCGCCGTCTGCGTCTGGAGGATTTTGAGACTCCCGACGAGCAGGCGGAGATATTCATGGAATATACAAGACTTGCATCGATTTTAGGAGGCATGCTTGAAACTCAGAGGCCGGAATACGTTTCGTCAATGGACAAGGTACGTTACTTGAATACGCCGTCTGCTTCACATATCACCCATTACTTGTGGCGCCAAAGAGCACTTTCACTTGGAAAACCCAAAGCATGCGCTGTGTGCCCGGTGCAAAAGGACGTGGACAGAATTCATGAGCTGACCTGATGGCTCACCCACAGGATCTGGGCATCTTGGAATCGCTTCGCAATTGGGTGCATGAGCTCCCGCCACACATACAGCTGTACGACACTCGCGGCCGCAAGGTCTACCGGCGAGACGTCTACGAGATCCACATCATCTACTTCGTCAACATCATCATGTTTCATCTGTGTGTACCCGCCGTGCGATCCACCGCCACATCGATTGCCGCCCTGGTGGCCTCATCGTGCCTGGCGCGCCTGTACGAGGAGATCGAGTGGCGAGACGACATCAACTATTTCCTCTCGGTCCACCACTGGTACGTGATGGTCGCGTGCGTGCCGCAGGCCCACTACAGCGCCAGCCTCTACGACCCAGACAACCTCTGCACGGAGGAACTCAACATCTTCATCAAGATCCTGGAACAGATGCGCACCAAGTGGCCGGCGGTCGAAACCCTGCTGAAAAAGGTCGAGCGGCTGCGGCAGTCTCCGCTGGGGCAGATGGACAACGGCAGCGGGCACATGGGGACTCTCCAGGACGGCACCGCGAGCAGCGGGAGCGTGCCCATGTCCACGATTGCCGCGCTGTTCCCTTTCCCGAGCTCGGTGTGTCCGCGGATGGGCCTCCTGGAGGAAGACATTACGCAGCAGGGGGATTTCAGCCTCATAGCCGCCCAGGCATTCAGCGATGAGGACTTAGACCGTTTCTTTGCGGAAATCATTCAATAGCAGAGTAGGCAGATTTCTGAATCCGGCGGTTTTTCATGCTCAAGCTTGTTGAGACAAAGGCTACAGTGACCTGATCTTTAGCCCCTGGCTCTCCTCCCTGCCGCCTGGTTTTGATTTCTGCAACCAGGTCATAATGCAGCTCATCTCCTACGAAGCTGCTTTGCTGCACTCCATACAAAGCCTATTGTTCCTTTCCTCTGCTATAGGAGTTGCCTACGGGAAGTGACGTCTCACAAAGTATATTGGAAGCCCTGCAGCTTCTCAATCACCATCTGGCCTGCTTTCGCATGACGATTGCACGCCGCGAAGTAGGCCACCATACCCGCAGTCAGACACATTGCCAGCAGATTACACCTGCATGCAGACCAACGTCAGTGAAGCGCTTCTTTTGCTGACAAGCAAGAAAAAAGGACCAACACGGTGGAGAGTGAGAGACTCACGCAATACAAGCCCACAGGCCAGGGATATATTCGGGCGCGTCCTGGGATCGGAACACCAGCGCACCGGCCACGCCACCGATGCCGCCGAAGCTGAGCAACATGGCGCTGCTCATGGCGCGCTTCCACTGGCCGCGGATGTTGTTGGCCAGCCAGGCCAGGACCGTGGGCACCGTGGCGTTACACCCGGCGGTGAGCAGGAAAACGCCAAAGTACATGACGCCGGGGGACTCGACCCAGCCCAACAAGGCGAGGCCCGTGATGGCGATGACGCTGTTGAAGAAGATCCAGGGGCTACGGATGTGGTATTTGTCGCCCAGCCATCCTTCCAGCCACATCAGGAGGCCGCCGAGGACGTAGGGCGGGCAGGTCAGCAGCTGTGCATTCGCCAGCGTGAACTTGAGCCGGCTGCGGAGGATGATGGGAAGGAAGAACTGAATGGCATAGGCCACAACCGTGGTGCAGCTGGAAAAATGAAGTGTCAGTTGATGCTTGAACATTATGATCATTGATCAATTTGGGTTCTCAATAAGATGACTTACAACCACAGCAGACCGTAGATCCACAGTTTGAAATCTTTGCCTGATGCCATGAACGACTTGAGCTTGAAAGGCTCGAGCTCGCCAGCGTCGGCGCGGTCTTTCTGCAGCCGCCGGATGATGAACGCCGCCTCGCTCTGCGTGAGGAAATGGTTCTTGGAGTGGGCCTGCTGTGGGAAGTCCACCAGCATGAAGTAGCCGATCACACCGAGGATGACCGTCAAGATGCCCTCGAGCACGAAGATCCATCTCCATGGAGCTAGATGGCCACGGTAGCCCACTTGCATGAAGATGTATCCCAGGATGCCGGACAGAGACGATCCAATGGAACTGATGATGTAGAACCACGAGTAGCGGACGTGGACATCATCTACCCCAGGTTTGTGAGCCGGCAGGTTCAAGGACTCCCGTGCCGCAAAGAGGGCTGAACTTACACCGTGAATACCACAAGGACAACAAGTAGATGGCGCCCGGGAAAAGACCCGCCTCGAATGCGCCGATGATCATTCGCAATGGAATGAGGCCGGTCCAGGTTTGGACGAAACCAAGGCACTGCGGGCTGTGAGTCTCCATGGCGCCACTGACGGATGACACAGTCACTCACCAGCGTCAATATTCCCCAAAGGATCGTAATCCCTGGCAAGAACGTCTTCGGACCCAGTGTCCGGACAAGCCATGCTGAAGGTAGCTGCAGAAGGACATAGGGGCCAAAGAAGATCAATAGGACCAGGGACTGACCAGACTAAGTCAACTCGAGGAACTCTCGCTGGTGGATGGATTAGGGATCACTCACGTAGCGCGTTCCAACGCTGAGGTCCAAATCAACCGTCATCCTAGTTGGCACAATCAGAGCCTGCATTCCGGCATTCTTGTGTATTGGACCACCTACCCCGCAATGGCAGCAGACCCAAAGTTCGAGCGGTCGAGCAGGCTGATGGAGAAGAGCATCCCGAGCGCAGTGACCAGGCGGCGATCAATCTTGTGGATGATCTTGCGCTGCTGTGGGCGGGTAAACTCCTCGTCTTCGTCGAGGGCAGCTCCGGTGAGATTGCTCTCGGATTTTGCCTCGGGCATCTTGGTCTCCTCCACTTCCTGAATGGTACTATCGTCCTTCGCCCTTTCAATATCCTGAGAAGAAGTCATGGCTGTGGTGGGAAGATGTAGGCTGTAAGATCGTGTTGCTTGTATTAAGGCCAGACAAATCGACTTAAGATAGAGAAGTAGAGTCAGCCGTGCTGGGTGCGAGATGGGTTTGAAGTCTGGGATATATCACCTGCTTCGAGGACTCTCAGCCGGGTTACAAGGCTGGACAATACGAGATGTGGCCGTATTCTGGTGCCGAGATGGCTGTAGACGCGGGATCCGTTGCCTGAGGGACTCCTATAACTCTGGGGCCCCAGAAACCGTCGCCCATTGCCGCAGTCCAGTCCGGGGTTTCGGTAACAAGACAAAGCTGACCTCCATGACGGGCCAGAAGACATTGATGTGGTCGTCGCCGAGGCAGAAAAAGTCTATCGCTAGCTTCACTCCTGCCGAACTGACGGCAAAGACACCGATTGGGCCAGGACTGGCCCCGCTGACGCCAAAGATATGTCTACAATTGACATTCACGCCTTGAACAAGCGATAAAAGGACACGAGGGCGTGAATAACATACCACTGGCTTGAATCTGGCCACAATCTCGTGCTCGCAGAAAGGGAAACTTTAATTCACATGAACCAGCGTGAAAGAATCAATAGTAAATGCGGCAAGGAGCAACGGCGAACCTAGCTCTCGATATGCATAGCGGTGCTGTTTCCTCCCGATCGTGTCTGAAACAGATAGATGTCTGCATTGCTATCAATCATCTTGTCGCCACTGTACTCTGCAACGGTGGGTAGAGAGCTTGACGACGTTGGTAAACCCAACTTGATGGATAGGTCAGCCTTAACTCGCAATGGATACCCAGGATCAGGTTGCAACCGTGGTTACTTGCGGCAGTTGACAAAGGATGAGAGCAGCGAATTCTGTAGCCACGTAAATCCATGTAAATTCTGATCGCTGGACTCTCTATCACAAGCGGCGGTCCAGAGAATCTGACCCCTCAGGCTTGCTTCGAGGCTAGACCCGGTTCTAGAATTCGGAATGGGTCAATAAATATTGATTCATTCGCCCAAGTCACTCGCGGCTAGCTTGTGCTCGTTTGTGCTTTCATTAATAGACCTGTCGCTCGTATTCATACGGGACAAAAGAGGAAGTCCGGCTCCACCTCATTTGGTGGGCGAATCGGTGGGCGAATCGGCAGCTTGCCGCTTCCCACACAAACGAGTCTCCTGCCTAGCGATCTGTCGAGACATTCATGGCTCACCTCCGTGGTAAGTTGGCGTGAGGTGGTCTCCGCGTCGATCATCTTGAATTCATTCCGCTACCGGGCCATGAGGTGCCCGGCGTCCATGGTATGCTGTATTATGGCGTACAAGTAATATCGCCGCGAGGTAACTAACAACGTCGGGAGACACCCAAAGTCGAGCTTTTTCTCTTGCCAATCCCCGTCATGGAGAGCCCATTGGCGCCTTCGGCTCGCTGCTTTCACATTCCGGCACCTTGCCATTCTCTCTGCAAATCACCTTATAACCAGAAGGATATTCACCAATTGAATATCATCGGCCCGGGTTCCTCGTGGTGTAGAAAAGTGACACAGTCCTAGGGGTTCAAAGGATTCGTCCAAGCTTCCTCCAGCTTTTCGCACGATTGACTGTTCTTACCACCCATCGGCGTACCGAGACAAGCACAATATTCCCCATACGCACATCATTGGGATACTGTCATCATGGGCTCCGTAAGCATTCCTGCGCAACAGCAAGCTGCGATCCGTCAAGGGTCAGGAGAGACCGCCACAGCACCCCTGGGTAACATCGAAGTTCCTCAACCGGCCCCGGGTCAGATCCTGGTAAAGATCAACTGGACTGGCCTGTGTGCCTCGGACAAGTCCCTGCTGCACGATGAGTGGCAGGACTTCGGCGTCGCCATGAAGTCGGAGACGAAAGGGATTGCTGGCCACGAGGGTGCTGGGAATGTGGTTGCGCTTGGTCCCGGGACCGAGTCACGGTGGCAGATTGGTGACCGCGCGGGTGTCAAGTGGATAGCCAGTGTTTGTGGAGAATGCGAGTTCTGTTTGAACGGCGTTGATGAAGTGCACTGCATCGCTCAGATGAACAGTGGCTTCTCAGTGCCAGGTACTTTCCAACAGTACTGCCTAGCGGACTCACGGTACACCAGTAAGATCCCTGATGGCGTCAAGGATGAAGAGGCGGGACCGATCATGTGCGGTGGTGTCACAGCATACGTCGCTTGCAAGAGGTGAGTTCCGTTGTCTCGAATAGTTGAGTCGGCCAATCCTGATTGCTTCCCAGATCCTCTGTCAAGCCCGGACAATGGATTGTCCTGCCCGGCGCTGGTGGCGGTCTCGGCCACTTTGCAATTCAATACGCCCGCGCCATGGGTATGCGCGTGATTGCCATCGACGGCGGCGAGGCTAAAGGGAAGCTGTGCAAAGAATTAGGCGCCGAGGCCTTCATCGACTTCCAGACCACCAAGGACATCGCCGCCGAGATCATGAAGATCACACCCTACGGAGCTCACGGTGTGATCGTTACTGCGGCCACCAGGGAGGCTTACGGCAGCGCCCCGTCGTTCCTCAGACCCAGTGGCACCGTTGTCGCTGTCGGTTTGCCCAAAGATGCCACGGTTGTGGCTGGTGCTCCGCCTATCATGTTGGCGCTGAGACGACTTAACGTGGTTGGCAGCGTCGTTGGCAGCATGAAGGACGTGGAGGAAGCGCTAGATTTCACTGCGCGCGGTCTTGTCAAGGTGAGTTGCAAACCATGCAAGTTCAGTCTCCTGTGCCTTATCTTGACTAACACATTATCTTCTAGCCTATCCTCACTCGAGGCAAGCTGGCGGATTTGGATCAGTTTATAGACAAACTTGTGAAGGGCCAAGTTGCTGGTCGGGTGGTTCTAGAGGTTGCTGCGTAGGATGATGGCACACGTATATCTCCATCCGCCGCATATGTTATCGTTGAAACCTAAACACATGTCCTAGCTTCATTTGTGTCGTTGTGTTCATGGGAAGACAAAGCACGCCGAGTGGCACATTACCGTGGCAAGGTCGCCCATAATCTGCTTGCAACGGCATCCGACTAAATCTCGTGGGTCAAAATATCGAACAACCTGCTTTTGACTGAGGTAGAGGTGCATTATGAGAAGCAATTCGAAAGTCGACGAATAGACCCCATGTCTACCCTAAGTCGCTAAATATCCAGGCGTTGGTAGTCCTCAACTACGAGGCTGGAAAGGGGCACAACCATGACAGAGGAATAGGATGGTTGTGAGGGATCTAGGTCCTCTACCGAATGCCCCCAGAGCTAGACCAGAAGTCATTGTAGGTCACCTGATAGTATATAGCCTGAACAGAGGCCTAGGGAATCGATCATGTTCCTCCATGTTGTGCACGTAGGTATCCAGTTACGTGATGAAGCCCACTAGCCTTGTTCGTACGGCATTGCCCCACAGTCTTGGCGGCTTGGGGCTCGGCGGTGATGCCGCAACCAATCGGCATCGTGCCTCTGTTCCTTTTTGGGATCACAGGCTTCCCTCTCACAGCGGCCCCTAGCGGCAATCAACCGGATACTCTATGCTGCAGGGATCGGTAAAGAATCGACCATGGCATTCAGACCATTCTGTGGAGTGCCTTACGCAGGGTTCAGCAAGTGTAACCGGCACTAGGTTTATACGAGAAGCTGCCTTGGCTATTGAAACCAGTCCTGGAGATTAGGGACAGTTTTCGACTTTCCTTTTCAACCTTCAACCTCTCGACATATCTAGTGCGTCAAAAGCTCGCACTATAGCCTGCTTGAAATCTTTGTTTCACTTAGTTTCCAAGGCAACACCAGAAGAGTTGCAGAATGTTGGTGCTTCCTTGGCTTGGTTTCCTTCTCGCCACGATGCCGGGGGCGGCGACGGCAGCTAGAACCTCCTCAAAGAAGCCCAATATCCTTTTCATTCTCACAGATGACCAGGATTGGCACATGGAGTCCTTGGTACTCTCTCACAGCTCAAACGGTGCTCCGGACGCGTTACTAATCGTGCCTTCCAGCAACACATGCCTCTGCTCCAGAAATACCTCTTGAACGAAGGCACGCTCTACGCCAATCACTATTGCACTGTCGCCATCTGCTGTCCTTCGCGGGTCAATCTCTGGACCGGGCGTGCGGCTCATAATACCAACGTGACCGACTTGTTCCCACCTTATGGTATCGTCGCTTGTCTCATGCAGTGCGGTTCCAGCAGAGCTAATGCAGACCAGGAGGATATCCGAAAGTGGTCCGCGAAGGAATCAATGAGAATTATCTTCCGGTGTGGCTACAAGAAGCAGGATATAACACCTACTACTCTGGCAAGCTGTGGAACGCCCACAATGTCGACAACTACAACGCACCATATGTCCAGGGCTTCAACGGCAGCGACTTCATTCTTGACCCAAACACTTACCAGTACTTTAACTCCCGAATGTCTCGCAATGGCGGACCTCCGGTCAGCTACGAAGGCCAGTACTCACCAGATGTCACTGCGCAAAAAGCCTATGACTTTCTGGACGAGGCCTTGTTGCACGACGATCCGTGGATGCTGACGGTGGCACCGATCGCACCACATTCGAATTGCGTACTAGGTTCATTTGAAGACTTTTCGATCGACCATCCTCGATACGCAAAGCGCCACGCCCACTTGTTCAAGGACTACAAAATCCCACGAACGCCCGAGTTTAACCCTGAAAAGGTTTGTTGGCATTTCACTCTTGCGTCTGAACGACTGATTTTTTGCTAATCCTTCGACTCTTTCCTCTCCAGCATCACGGTGTGTCGTGGATGAAGGACCTTCCGCTCCTGAACGACACGGTCATCGAGTACAACGACGAATTCCAACGGTCTCGTCTTCGGGCTCTCCAGTCCGTTGACGAGATGGTGGAGAACCTGGTCAAAATGCTCGACAGGAAGGGAGTGCTTGAGAACACTTACATCTTCTACACAACCGACAATGGGTACCATATCTCACAGCACCGTAATTAAGAAAAAGAACTGTCCAATTCTCCGTGCCCAACGCTGACAAAGAGCAAAACAGGTCTCCATCCCGGCAAAGAGTGCGGATACGACACGGACATCCACATCCCCTTGATCGTCCGGGGCCCTGGGATCGCAGCAGGTCGCGTGACCGAGATGGTGACCTCCCACACCGACATCGCACCGACGCTGATGGGCCTCACGGGCGTCACGCGCGAGGACTTTGACGGAGCCGCCATCCCCTTGAACCGAGAGGAGACGCTGCTGCCATCGGCGGCATCATCCCCACGCTCCGAGCACGTCAACGTGGAATTCTGGGGCAAGGCGCTGCCGGAGGGGTTGTGGGGCAAATACGGCGACGAACTGGATCACCACATCGGCATGACGACCGCGGCGAGGAACAATACCTACAAGGGGCTCCGAATAGTGAGTGACGAGTATAGCCTCTACTACTCTGTGTGGTGCACCGGAGAGAAGGAATACTACGACGTCAAGGTATGTTATAAGGCATCAGAGTACGGCAAAAATGCAAATCAACCTCGCTGATCCGTCTTCTTCTTAGCTCGACCCCGGCCAGCTGGACAACTACTTCCTGGACGAGTCGCTCACGGCCGCCTATTCGATCGCCGGCCGGCCGTTCCAGCAGATCGTGGCGCGCCTCGACACGCTGATGATGGTGCTCAAGTCGTGCAAGGGCAGGGCGTGCACCGACCCGTGGGCCGTGCTGCACCCGGGCGGCGGGATCCGGTCTCTCGCCGACGCCCTGGGCCATCGCTTCGACGCGTTCTATGCCAGCCAGCCCCACGTGGAGTTCTCCTCGTGCGAGCTGGGTTACATCAAGGAGGTCGAGGGTCCCCAGCACGCCAATGTCCTGGTCGACGAGGACACCAGAGAGGTGGAGCATGGAGACGCGCCGGTCCAGCGCACGTTCCAATACCGGGGACCATGGAGTGCTTGGACGTGAGAGGGCAAGAACCGCCATTTCAGATGGGCAAACATCTTTGTGCAAATGTACTTGAGGTGAGGAACATGAGGACACCTCAGTCATATGCCTCTCCGCGAGCCCAAAAAAAACATCCTTGATACCGAGGGACAAGGTAATACAAGTAATTTGTACTCCAATACTTAGGATGGTGCAACACGGTAGAGCCAGCAATTTTGAACCTTGGCTGTAGTAGAGAAAGGTATTCCAAGTGCTCATGAGAAGACACTCCTCAAGTTTCTTCCGAAGTTGAAACACCCTCACGCGGGCATTACAGGAAAATAAAAGGGAAAGAGGAGATAGATGTTCAAGGCTTCAGGTCGATTCAAGATCAGGATTTCCCAATGTGTATGCACATAAAAAGCGAGAGACCAAGGATATTGTCTATCTATCTAGCCCTCGGCGCTCGTAGTGAGCTGGCCTCCTATAACTCTTATACTATGATTTAAATCTAGCATGCAATAGGTCCTCTATATGCTATCTTCTCCCTCTACCTATCCTTGGTGAGCGTGGCCTACTTAAGTTGAAGCCTAGTTTCTCGCGAAACAAGACCCACGAGGAGTGCAAGTGCTGAACATGCCATTCCAAGAACTGTTCCAGGTTAGTCTCTGGTCAAACCGGTGATCGAGGAGGGGATACACTTACGAAACACCCCTTGGAAACTCGCAACGTATGCTGGAAGCATGGTCATTCTGATGTCCGCCGACACATGTCGAATGTAAGAGATATCTACCAGGGCTTTTCGTATGATCTTGAATGAATGCATGGGTCAGAACGGACGATCCATTCACATCTCGAATTTCAAGAGTGGGTACTTACCTGTTCCTTGGACGGGAAATCCTGTAACACCTTATTGAGTCCGAGCCGCAACGTTGATTGGTAAATGGCATTTCCCAGACTGACTCCAGCCACTGATCCGATGTTCGAGCTGAGATACAGCCCAGAACCGGCAATGGCAATGTCTGCCTCTCCGACGCCTGCGCCAAGGCCAATGAAGATGGCTCCGTGTGCTACTCCAGTCGCCAATCCGACGGGAAAGATGAGGAGCGATTCGAGAAAGGTTGTGTTGCCACGCCACACAAGAACAAGTGCTGCAAAAGCTGCCATGGAAAAGAAAGAGCCAATAATCTGCGGCATTTTGTACCGACGTGACCTGAGAGGAATTTAGTTTAGGAAAATAACTGGGGAGTTACAAAGCAGGCGAGATGAGCATTCTATCACTCATTGCTCTGCTTGAAACGAAAAGACAATAGAGAGTAGAGATTTCGGCCATACCTCTGAATCCAAGCACCTGTTAGAAGGCCACCAATGGTGTTTCCAGCTACGGATGGCACAAGATATGCTCCTGCCTCCCCTGTGCTGGCCAGTTTGGTGACCTGAAAGTACATGGGGACTATCATCATCATCTGTTGGTTGCATTAGCTTGTGCAGAATTTAGAACATGACTTCTCAAGACAACGTACCGCAGTGACCGCCACCATCTGCAGACAGAGCATCATATAGCAGGTGATGACCACATAGTGACCAATAAGTCGAAGCGGGAAGATGGGTTCGACAGCCACATATCTCTCCACTAAGACGAATGCAATCATGCTGAAAACAATTGCGCCGCTGGAGATCCAGATGATGGGGTGATTCCAGGGGAGCTTCTGCCCACCCACATCAAGAACGATCAAGGCACACAGGATGGTCAGGCTCATCAGTGCTGCGCCCATAAAGTCGATGCGCTTAATTTTATCAGATATGCTCAGGTCGTCGCCCGACGTCTTCTGCTGTTTCGTCTTGACCTGCAGCTTTCGCTGAACGAGCAGGATGGCTACGATCACAATAGGGGTCTGACCCAAGAATGCCCTTGCACAGTGATCAGCAATTTCATGAACCCCAGAACTATTCTCGGGTGACGAGCACTCACCACCTCCAGCCAACGGTCTGAGCGATGAAGCCTCCAATGACTCCACCACAACTGCGCCCGGCAGTCTGCACGAGATTGACATAGCTCCTGTATACGGCGACCTTGTGTAGAGGTACGAGATCCGTGAGGAGGATCGAGACCATACACACCATTCCTGCACCTCCCGTACCCTCGATAACTCGGCCGACAAGGACTTGAGACATAGATTGTCCGAGTCCGGAAATAAGAGTCCCGGTAGCGAAGAGCCCGTACGAGACTTGAAGACAGCGCTTCCTCCCGAAGATATCGCTAAGTTTTCCATACTGGCTCCTTGTCAGAGTAGTTCGGGAAAGAGGGCATCACAAAGTCTTCACCAATGGCTGTGCCACGCACTGGGCGAGCATGTAGCTGGAAAGAAGCCAATCTCCATCCTGGAGTCGTTGAAACTCCGATGATATCTGACCGTAAGTTGCAAGGACAAGGCATAGATCAGCCTGAGAGACGAAAACACCTTATGAACAATGGTAAGATGCCCACAGCCGCGTTGAGAGGAATCATTCACTCGCCAATGATAAGGACCGCTATAACACCGGCCACTGACTTGCTGTCCTCAGGATCGTCAGGCGATTGTCGAGCATCTGGCTGCTCTGCGTCTGTCGGAGGAAAGGGTCCCTGTTGGCTGTGATTAGAGCCTTGTCAGTCATGAGCGATTATCCCTCACATTTTCGACCCTGACTGCTGCTGTAGGAGATTCTGATAGAAGAGGTGTAATTTCATCGGCCGTCTCTACCTCGCGTACGTTGGTGAAAGATTCGTAATGTGGTTTTGAGACTCCCATTTCACCCTTCATCTGCCAAAACATAATGATCAAGGAATGAATATTGTATGAGCACACGAGCGTCTCACTTTGGCCTTGCCGTGCCTCAAGAGACCAACAATTCTGAAATGGTTTTCTTTTGAAGAGGCCCAGCCGATCGCACCTGTGCCTAGGCACTAACAATTACCGTTGCCGTCGAATAGCCTGAGTTCCATATCCACTTCAATCAACGAATCGGTGTGGAGCGGCAGAAGTCGGCAGCTGCCGAGCATACCGAAAGCGGCATACCGAGCAAGTCGGCGAGCTATTCCAGGAGAATTCAGGGACGTCTCGCCCGCCAATATCTCAGGCAAGGGGAGCTACCGTTGATCTTCCCTAGAAAGCCTTTGCAATTAAGTGAGCAAGTCGGAAGCGTCTTTAGGCCTTGCGGTCAAGTGCCCAGAGCAGACTCGGCTCCCACACAAACGCTGGGGCCAGAGGAACCTTGTTGCCGACTGTATTCCCGAAAGCTGTGATCGAATGCCTCATCGGAGTGACGGTAGAGAGATGTGTACGACTGTCGAACCGATGTCTGACAGAGCCCGGTGTCTGTTAATACAGAAGCGCCCGCATAAGAGTAGGAGGTAGCTGCATTCGCATGTGTTTCAAACGCTGGGTCGCCTTCTTCTGCTTCTACATCATGTCTCCGTCGATTTCAAACAATGTCGGTCCTTCGCTGGACTGGACAGTGTTCCACAACATCATCAACGGTAAGCTTTCCACGGCAAGCCAGACCCGTCATAGTATCAATCCAGCAACTCTTGAGGCAAATCCGGAGGTGCCAGTCTCCTCAAAAGATGATGTTGAGCGAGCAATGGCTGCAGCCAAGGTCGCAACGAAAGCCTGGGCCGAGACCCCTTGGGACGAGCGAAAGCAGGCTCTAATCGCCTTCGCTGATGCACTCGAGGCCGAGAAGGAGGGGTTTTCGAAGATGCTGACCCAAGAGCAAGGAAAGCCGGTAAGAAAGCGAGAGCTTCAATTACCTTCCTTTCGTCAAGTCACTCGGCTCACCATCTTGATCACTATAGATCATGTTTGCGAGAATGGAGCTAGACTTTGCTTTAAATTGGATACGAGGAATCGCAGAGCTGAAGCTGCCGGTTGAGAAGGTCGAGTCAGATGACAAGACCATTGTCGTGCGATACACCCCTCTGGGTGTTGCTGTCGGCATCGTCCCTTGGAATTACCCCATCCTGCTCGCAGTGGGCAAGATCGTACCGGCAGTGATCACAGGCAATGCCATCATTGTCAAACCATCGCCATTCACTCCTGCCACCGGGATCAAGTTATGCGAACTGGCCCAACGGTTCTTTCCGCCAGGGGTTATTCAATGTCTCTCTGGTGACGACTCTCTCGGACCGATGCTCACCAGCCATCCTGTACCGGCGAAGGTTAGCTTCACCGGCTCAACATTCACGGGCAAGAAAGTCATGGAATCTTGCAGTAGAACATTAAAGCGAGTCACTCTTGAGCTGGGAGGAAAGGATCCAGCTATTGTTCTTGATGATGTCGATATTCCCGAGGTCGCATCCAAGGTCAGCACTTTCGAGGCGATCCAAACTTGACTCGAGATATACTAACGAAGTCTCAGGTTGCCACCCTGGCGTTCCTTAACTCGGGCCAGATTTGCATCGCTCTGAAGCGCATTTTCGTCCACGAAAAGATCATTGACCAGTTCCGTGACGAGATGGTCAAATTTACCAAGACCCTGCAGATGGGCGAGGGAAACCAAGAGGGTGTATTCCTCGGTCCAATCCAGAACGAAATGCAGTATGAGAAGGTGAAAGGGTTTTTCGACGACATTACGAAAGAAAACTGGACTGTCGCCGTGGGTGGTGAAAATCCTGAGGGAAAGGGATACTTTATCACGCCTACCATCATTGATCGGCCGGATGAGAAGTCGAGGATTGTAATCGAAGAGCCTTTTGGTGAGATATATTCCGTTGATCTTCGAGATAAGGAGCTGACACTAATATTTTCGTCTCCCTATAGGCCCAATCGTCCCTTTGCTATCTTTCAGTACAGATGAAGAAGCTGTTCAAAAGGCCAACGACACGCTGTACGGCTTAGGGGCCTCGATCTGGTCGGGCAATGTGGCTCGAGCGAACCGTATGGCTGAGAAGATCGAGGCTGGAAACGTCTGGGTGAATAATCATTTCGACCTAGATCCTAGAATTCCATTTGGCGGGCACAAGCAGAGTGGGATAGGAGCGGAGTGGGGGATCGCAGGCCTGAAGTCGTACTGCAACGTGCAGGCATTGTATTTGAAGAAAGAATAGAGAGATGAAGATGTAGTTCGGGATCCTGATGAATACGAGGCACTGCCAAGGAATTCGAGGGCCGGAACCCGGAACATAGAAACGCCGCCTGCGCATCCCACTCTACATTAAGAGAATTTCGATGTCAAGTAGTTGCACCAGACAATCTTGTCACCATGGATCTTGGTGAAGCTGGAGCGGCCCCAGTCATCCTGGCTGACTGGCTGGATCGCCTCTTGATTTACTGGCACGAGAACCGTGTTGTCTTGTCAACCATTCTCGGGCTATGCGTTCTCGCTGTCATTCTGCGGCGCAGGCATGCCCACCACATAGCACAGCGCGGCTCTCCAACCTTGGAGAAGGCAGAGTGGCTCACACAGAATGACAATGCTCATGCCCAGGTGGCAAGGGATGAAAAGATCCAGACTTCTTCCAGAAGCAGCCCTTCGCTCATATCTGGCCAGGCTCGAAAACCTCGAACTGCAGCCGCTGCAACCCGTGTTGTGACTGGCCGCAAGCCGGCGAGTTCGAGAGGGGGTCAGGCGGCGCTGCAGAGACGACGAGAGCCGTCTCGCATACAGCCACTGATCTTCTTCTCCTCCTTGACTGGAACTACTGAACGCCTTTCGAAGCAGGTAGCGGCGAACCTCGAGGAAGTCTCGACTTCGCAGCCCTCGATCCTGAGGCCTCAAGTATATGACATCTCATATGTTGATCTCGACGACTATTTCATATCAGGACCAAAAACGCCTGCGCCGAATGCAGATGTCTTGTACTTCTACCTCCTTTTGATCCCTTCCTACGATATCGACACCATTTTGAACACCTTCCTTGCCCATTTAGACGAGACACACAATGACTTTCGTATCGATACGGCACCACTGTCCACGTTGGCAGGCTACACGATATTTGGTATCGGTGATAAAGAAGGCTGGCCCACTGAAGAGAAGGGGTTTTGCTCCCAAGCTGTCGAGGTCGACAAGTGGATGGCTAAATTAACTGGCCGGAAGAGAGCATACCCCTTGGGCCTCGGCGACGTGAAAAACGGTCTCGACAAGTCACTGAAGGATTGGGTAGGTGGCGTATGCACTGTTCTCAGGGAGGTTAGCAAGACGGGTGCTCTGGGTGAAGGAATTCCCGGAAGCGGGGAACCCGTGGAGAGCGGTGACGAGGATGAGCCAGAGGAAATGGATGATGAGGTTGAATTCCCCGATTCTGGTCGCAACAAGAGGCGAAAGCTTGCAAACACCACAGATCTCGAGGATGTGGGTGGGAAGACTAATTCCTATGCGTCTCCAATCGCCATCGACTTTACAACCTACAGCTCTCGGCCGCCAGCACCACCGACCTTGAAGGCAATGGTTCCTAAAGAATCCCCGACTCACGCGGCTTTGACAAAACAGGGCTACACTATCGTTGGCACCCACTCGGGAGTGAAAATCTGCCGTTGGACCAAATCCGCCCTTCGAGGGCGCGGATCCTGCTACAAGAACTCCTTCTATGGCATTGCGTCCCATCTGTGCATGGAGACGACTCCATCACTCTCATGCAGCAACAAATGTGTCTTTTGCTGGAGACATGGCACCAACCCGGTGTCGACGACTTGGCGCTGGCAAGTTGACGATCCCCACTTGATCTTCGAGGGCGCGAAGGAAGGCCATTACAAGAAGATCAAAATGATGCGTGGCGTCCCCGGCGTGCGCGCCGAGAGGTTCGAAGAGGCTATGCGGATACGACACTGTGCTTTGAGCTTGGTGGGCGAACCCATCTTCTACCCGCGAATCAATGAGTTCGTGGGACTCCTGCATGGAGAGAAGATATCGAGTTTCCTCGTCTGCAATGCCCAGCATCCGCAGCAGTTGCGTGATTTGCGCCGTGTCACACAGCTGTACGTCAGTATCGACGCGAGCAACAAAGACAGTCTGCGCAAGATCGACAGGCCTCTACATCGGGACTTTTGGGAGCGATTCAATTCGTGCCTGGACATTTTACGGGAGAAGCGTTTTGTGCAACGCACAGTGTTCCGCCTTACGCTGGTCAAGGGGTTCAACGTCGAAGACGAAGTAGAAGGGTATGCCCACCTGGTGGCCAAGGGGCTACCCTGCTTCGTCGAGATTAAGGGCGTCACAGTAAGTTTTGCCGAACCCTCTCGTATGATTTGTTCAGAGACAGGACATTTTTGCTTCCGTTCCACGTCGATCTCCGGCACGTACTGATCAATCTTCACCTCTGCAGTATTGCGGCACAAGTTCTTCCGCCGGGGCCGGCCTGACGATGCAGAACGTCCCCTTTTACGAGGAGGTCGTGGCGTTCGTCGAGGCGCTGGACAAGGCCCTCGCGAAACGTGGGCTCGAGTACGGCATTGCCGCCGAGCACGCCCACAGCTGCTGCGTGCTGGTCGCGAGTAAGCGCTTCCTCGTCGACGACAAGTGGCACACCCTCATCGACTACGACAAGTTCTTCGACCTGCTGGAGAGCAGACGGGACTTTGCGCCCGAGGACTACTGCAGGGAGACGCCCCAGTGGGCGCTCTGGGGCAATGGTGGGTTCGACCCCCGAGACGAGCGGGTGGACCGGAAAGGAAGACCGAAGGAGAAGAAAACCGGCGACGATGTTGGTGAGGATAAGCGTGGATCAAGACCAGGAGAGGACAAAGTCGAGCTGGACTTCTGAAGCGTTGCCCTGAATACCGCCGGGAGGACTATTGATGTGAGAGCATCATTATGAAGAATGCGTTATGGCTGCTATGCTTGATTGCCCTGACTCTACGTGCTTTCCGGTGTAGCCGAGAGTGAAGATGCGAGACTCCTCAGGATCAACTACTGAAGGTGAAAAGCCACGAACAACATCTACTCGGAGCAGAATTCCCAAGAAGAAGTGAAGAGAGAGGGCGACGTTGCTCGCTGAGATGGTTGCTCGATTCTTTCTACCGTCAAATCGCGAGGCTCTCTAAACCGTTGACCATCATATCAAACAGACCTACCTACCTACCTTTTACTGCCGCATCCCTCCATCTATTGTCTCGTTTGTACAATGCCACACAATCCACCCTGGTCTAGTATTCAATGAGAGCCTTGAACTTCGAAAGGACGACTGGTGTTGCTGGTATCGCGATGGTTCGTGTCAACGGAGGCCCCATTCGAGGTTCCCTTAAAGTTGCTCCGAATATCTATCTCTTCATCGTTGACAGAAAACTCCGCCGTCCTCTTCAACCACGTGAGCTGCTTCTCTTGCTGGGTTTTGGACTGGGAATCGCAGCCTGCGGGACGATGCATTGCGTGGATCCCCTGATTGATCTCAGACTGGTCACTCGTAGACGTCCTTTCCACGGGTGCGTACTAATAACCATGGCCCTCCCATTCCTCTACAGTCGTGCTTTCACTTTGCCTTCGACCTCCTTCGCGTCCCTCTTGGCCCATTCCTTCATCAGTTTCCGCACAATCTTGCCGCTGGCCAGCTTGGGCACTTCATCGATGAACTGGACGCCGCCGGCCAACCGTTTGTGCCTAGCCACCTTGCTTGCCACAAAAGCTTTGATGTCCTCCTCGGTCGTCTTGCCCTTGGCCCGCTCTTGCAGAACGACATATGCTCGCGGGAGCTCTTCGCCGTGAACAGTGATCCCGACAGCAGCTGCATCTGCGACGTCATCATGCTCAAGCAGAACGGCCTCTAGTTCCGCCGGCGCCACTTGCAAGCCGTTGACTTTGATAAGCTCTTTCTTCCTGTCGACGATCCACCACTTGTTGCCCTTGCAGACGCCGACGTCGCCGGTCTTGAACCAGCCGTCCTCGGTCTTACTCTCCTTGGTGGCTTGTTCGTTTCTCCAATAGCCAAGCAGCATCTGTGGCCCCCTCAGCCAGAGCTCGCCCGGCTCGCCTTCCGCCGTCACCTCGTTCCCTTCCTCATCCATCAGCTTCGCCTCGGTGTTAGGCAGCAGATACCCGATCGAGCCGGTTAGATCCTTGGCCATTCCTGGCATCATAATGCCGGCACATGTGGTTTCAGTCATGCCCCAGCCCTGGACTACAACCACGTCGAATCGCTTCATGATCTCATTCTGCAAATCACTCTTCAGCGGTGCTGCGCCACAAAGAATTTGTTGGAGGCTGCTAATGTCGTACTTGGCCGTTTCGGGTCGTTTGCTTAGCATGACAAGAACGGGCGGGACCAGTTGAAGAGTTGTGATTTTGTAGTTTTGGATGTGCTTCAAGAAGTCTTCGTATACGAACTTGGGCATGACATAAACCGGGACTTGTAGACGGCAGGCAATGTTGATGGTCCATAACTGCGAATAGGCGTGATACAGTGGAAGGAACGCAAGCCAACGTTCAGGGCCAGGATCTTGTTCGGAGTACTGGGTGCCCTCGTATTTGTTGAAGATGGTTTGCGCAGCGTTCGAAATGAGGTTGCGATGCGTAATGCACACACCTTTGGGCAGGCCAGTGGTTCCACTCGAGAAGTTGATGGCAGCAACAGTTTGCAGGGCAGCGTCCCCTTCAAGAGGATCCCACTTCCAGGATTCAGCCTCTGATTCTGAGGCGACCATTGACCGCCAATCCCTGATGCCTTTCGTGGTTGGAGATTCGGCATCGGAGAAGATGAAAAGCCTGTCTAGAGGGATATTGGCTTGTTTGGCGGCAGCCACACCGGTATCGAGCAAGGAAGGATGGATGAACACAACTGCGGCCTCGATTGCCTTCATCTGGTGGGCGACCTCGTTGACCGTGTAGATGGGATTGGCGCCCGTAAAGAAGCGCTTGGACCCGGCGGCAGCAAGATACACCATTGGAACAAAGAGATGGTTCGGCGTGAAGACCATGACCGCTTGTTGCTGTTTGACGCCCAGTCTATCGAGACCAACTGCAAATCTCTTGACCCAAGATAGCATCTGGGCTGGTGAGAGGCTGTTGGAGGGATTCTCGGCATCTATCCATAGCGGCTTGTTGGATGGCGTCTTCTCAGGAGGGAAAACGTAGGAGAGAATGTTACATTTTGGAATATCCAACGGAGGATAAGGGGACGTGTAGGGCATTTTTGCTGGCCGGCTCTTGAATGAGAGTAGATCAGTTAGAAATGCTGCAGTGGTCCAAGATTCGAGCGAAGTCGAGGAGATGTCGGAAGAATATCAATCGTCAGGGCGGCATCCAGCATAAAGCCGAGTCGTCCGCGCTCTGTCCAGTCGATGGGGCGGGCTGGAGATAGACATCCACGGGCCACTCTTCTAGTCTGGGGGGCGATAGGCATTCTTGAGGCCGCAAGAGAAGGATAATGACTTCCGACATATAACCTCGGTCGAAGCTGAAGGAGATGGGGTTGAAAATGTGGAGGTTGGAGGCTGGAGGGCGGGATGCCGGCCACATGGCCGGAGAAAGACGGGCGCAGTTTGTGCTTGAGGGATGAATCGCCCACCGGAGGCGTCGGTGGTTCATGGATGTCCGCAGTGCGTAGGGGTTCGCTGGAGTCGATGGCGAGGAGAGGGTTAGTGCTGTCAAAGTCATGGCAGGAGAGGACCTAGGTGCGTATGTAGAGGTCAGTCATGCGTACCGTGGCATGGTACAGCTGGTAATGATTTCTCGATTCTTTGTAGATGGAGGAGCAGGGTGTCACGACCTTGGCGAGTACTTGGTGCCTTGTACCCTCCGAGGCTAACAAGGACCCCTGAGCTGCACCTTGAGCTATGAGGGGCGCCTAATCGGGCTACCAGTGAGATCTCTAGGTAGAGTACTCGGTACAAACATACCTACCTAGGCACTGTAATCTCTGTCGCGCAGCTCCATGATAACATCCCTGTCTTCCTGTGAGTTGCAGTGTCAGCTAAAACTGACTGATAGTGGTCTCGTCGGAGAAGAAGATTTCCACCTACTTGGGTCAATCGTTGCGGAATCTCAAATACGTATCGATCGTTTCTGATCTGAAATCCTGGAAGTCAGTGTCGAATTCTCATGCACAGGCGCCATCAGTGGGAAGCATTTCTGACTTGTTCACGAAACACCAAACCAGGAAACCTCATCGTGAGATACTTTTCCAAATCTACCCAGAGAAGGTTGTAGACGGGTATGGACTCCGCTACAAGTGTCCCTCGATCGTCGTCGTGTCTTTGGAATGGTTGGGTTCTTCGCCGTCGAGGGAAGCCCCAGCTGGGAGGTTCTCTCTTCTTCTCATGACCCGTATACGTGGGCTGAATGGCAGAGAGAGGCCCTGCAGTGCTTGTACGAAGCGTCACGCTGTCTGCACTGAGGGCTCCGGAGCTCTTGGACAAGATCTCATTCAGCTTGGCCCAAAGCAGCCTCGACGTTAATCTTTTCTTCGCTGGTACAAGGACTGATGAGTCCAACAGCTTCAGGATCTCGGGCGTCACGGTATCGCGCCGTGCGCTCAGAGTCCGTCGGGTCACTGCCGTGTTTGTTAATCGTCGGTGCCACTCTTTCACCTCCTCCAAGATATTTTCGCCGTCATGAAAGGAGTCAGTCTCGAGGTTGCCTTGGTTGTTTCCAGCCGCGCTGAGTCTTGCCGCGTGAAACTCCCTCACGCCGTCGTATCCCATTACCACGAAGCTTGCGACGATGCTCAGAACGCACCCAAGTGACCAGACATCTTGGGCTTGGGCTTCGGGTAGGCCGATCATTTTATCTTTGTGAAATTGACTGGTTTCTGGGGCACCTGTGGTGAATCGGCCATGAGCTAAGTTCTCTTTGCTTGTCTTGAGGTTACAAACCGCAAGTGAGATTTCCCACCCATGCTTCCATAGTGACGGGAGCCGTGTGTTGCTTGGTGAGCACTGCAAGGCCAAAGTCGCACAGCTTGAAGAGCGGTTTGCGTTCAGAGTCTGCAAAAACAAGAATATTTGAAGGTTTTATGTCTCGGTGGCATCTGTAGGATGAGACCTTTTCAGCATGCGACCCTGGGAGGATTAGATCATCTCACCCTTCAATGACCAACTCGCCCTTCTGGAACCGGTGGAGCAGCGAAAGAGTATGGGCGACCTCAATTACTCTTTTCCAGAAAAATGTAATGCTTTCGGGGGAATCTGGGGGAAGCGTGATTTCCAGGTAGTTCTCCAAGTCGCCTAATTCGGCGTGGTCCAGGAGCACGCTGCACAAGTCACCCTGCTGGACTATGCCGAGACAGGGACAAATGCCCTCATAGCCATCCGGGAACTCTCTCATAAGACGGTAGGCCGTCAGTTCCCTTGCAGCTGCCTGCAATCGGGGATTTTCGGACTCAAAGGCCACCGTATGCGCTATAGAGTTCCACCGTTCTGAGGACGCAACAAAACCCTTAAACGAGTATGTTTTCATCACCCAAAATTTCTGCCTGTGTCAGATCCTTCTCCTTCACACTCGCAGGAATCAAAAGTGCGCAGATACAGACCTTTGATTGAGAGTCGCTCCCTCCTTTGGATACGTTGTATGCTTCATAGCCCTCTATCCTCTCGAGCCGAACGCCCCATCCCTCGGAAAGGACATGGAGCCTGCGAAACGGCAGAATGTCCCTGGCATCGAGTATGGAATCGCCAATCACGGGTCGAACCAAGAAACGCCACTGCTCTTCAAAAAAGTCTGGCCAGAAATCGCAATCTCTCAAGGGTTCTGGACACGAGATCGTGAACGGAAGGCGAGAGTCCTGCAGTGATATATGTCCGACGAATAGATGTATGAACCCCAACTCGCCAATGTTCAGAAGGATGTAGAAGACCTTTAGATACTTGTTCTTGATAAGGAAAGGATCGAGGCCAGGCGGTATAAACCCTGTATATGCATACATTAGCAATCGATGGATGAGGGAGTCGTCCCGAAGCATCTGGTCTTCGAGAACAGCATCCGGCACAAAGCTACAGCCCTCTCCTCTGGAAAGGCGAATTCCACCCAGACTCTTTTCGGCAAGTGTACGTCTTGTTGTTTGGCTAGTATCGCAGTCAGCAAGAATGAACTGCGATCCTTCGGCGGAGTCTTACAGTTCATAAGCGTTAGATATGAAGGGTTTGAGTATCGGGTCAGAAAGCTGTTCCTCCATCGTTGGAGCACCAAGAGGGTCTCTGAGAGCATCACCTCTCTGGATCTTTGTGAAGACAGGAGCCCAGTCATGGTAGGGGATCTCCTCGCTGAACAGAATTTCGGAGTCTGAAACAAACATCTCCGGATCGACCTGTTCATCAAGCCCCGCGACATCCTCAGCAGGAGAACTGAGCATGAAATTCTTCACAGTACTTCGACTCCCGCTTGCTAATGCTGAATCTGCAGAAATGCTTTTAGAACGGTCACCGTCATCTTTCGTAACCTCGAGTGGCCCATCTGGAAGTGGCAGAGACTTGAAAGCCACTTGCTGAAGATGCTGATTGACGTGCTCCTCTATGTTTCCAGACGTGTGGCCGCAAAGGGGACAGGAATCGAAGATCTTCTCAATGAAGAAGACACTGTTGTTGGTGATCAACCTCATCTGCGATTCTGTATACTGCCCCGGATGCTCAGTTCTTAAATGCGACTCGAATTCAGTCGCTGTTTCGTACATCCCACCGTGGGCTCTTGTATTGCAGCTCCATCGGAGTAAATGCCGTGCACGCATGTGGTCTTTCCAGTCCTTGCTATTTGCGTACAGCACATCACCACTGTCGCAATTGTCGAAAAGGCAGACATACGGCTCGGCATCGTGCTTGACATGCTCGCTAGGGTGTTAATGGTCAGAACGTTCACTTGCTGCTACTGGAACAAGTGGATGCTCACTGCCAGTCTTTCAAGTCTTTGAATTTACTCGTAGGAAGAACAAGACAACAATAAGGACACTCAAAGTCGCTGCCGTTCATCATCGCTCGAGGTGGGGGTACGATCTCCAGTTCATAGCTCCCAGCAGGCATTTCCGAGATTTTCGTAATGCGTGAACGAGCCATAGATTTGCGGAATTTCTCTGGATCTGGAGCCGTGCTGGATAGGCTGCTGTACGCGACGCTCGCAGGATGCCTAGGTCTATCCTCGAGTGGCTCTCTGGGAAGGTCACTTCCACCGCTGCCTGTGGGGTTGGCAAGGGGCGCCTTAGCCTGAAGAACTGCGTTTTCCATATGATAATCGAAAAGGCCCCGCCGTTTCCCTTGGTTTGCGCGACGGTGTTCGATGCGCAGTCGTCGCTGTATCATTGCCGCCACCAAGCGTTCGAGGAGCAAGCGCAATGATTCGTCCTCCGGGGTTGGTCCAGCTTCACTATCACTTGAGTCCCCTTCCGTACGAATGGTTGCAATATTACTGCCAGCCGGTATCTCAAACTCACCTTCAGGCGCAGCACCTTTGTATTTTGTTTGCTTGGGGCGCAAGGCTGGGAAGTCGCGGAGGATCCAAAATTCGAAAAGATGCTTGAGGGTTCTCGCATATTCATCTTCTAGGGACGGCTGAAACCTGCTGACGTGACTTCCTAGACATGCCCTTCGGATAATATTCGAAAGTCTGTAGAGCCAGCTCGTATGGTCATGGATTGCCCTGAATGCCGGTTCTGTCTCGCTGAGAACCCTCTGATGTTGATCTTCGTGGTCAAGCCAAAGTGGAGATTCATAAACGGCACTGTCCTTTAGTCTCTGGATTACTGTCTAGAGTTAATGGGGACGTATCTGCTTCCGTGCTCTTGGCTGACCTACTCTCATTGAGTCTGTCGGAGATTACTTCGAGATGATCCAGTACCAGCTCTTGCGCCTCCGGGAGGTCTTTGAGACGATAGTCTAACGATGCGTGAATGTGTGGTGGAAGAGCCCCGATGTTCGACGCCCATAGTCTTAGTCGCCCGAGTTCATCTCTCATTTGCGTCCATGCAGCCTGCTCTTGTGCATCCTTTAGTACAGTTAGGGCTTTCTCAAACAGCACGAAGCAGAATTGAGCTCCTTGAAAAATAAGGCGTTCGTCAGGATGATTGTCCATGTCGATGCAAATATCGCTTGAGGAGCCAGCAGCGATGCGAGGATGCCACCCTCTCTCGCTGCGTTTGGAATATTGACCTTTGTTGAATGTGCTATTACCGAAGAGTTGATTTATTGTTCTCAACCGCGGACCTGGCGTTCACCGCGCGCCCATCCTTTCGATTCCTGCTTCCACAGAGATAAGGCTTAGAGACCAAGTGAGGCTGGTTGCAACTTCTGGCTGAATAGACAAAGCCAATGGGGTTTAGCTGGTTCAAGTTTGCCCCTCGCCTGCCGTGATCCCGATCGCTATGGAACGGCGCGTAGCGAGCTGTCCAAATCACTCCGCTTCAGCTGCATGCTTGGGAACAGCAGCCAGCATAACTTGACGAAACAGACTATGCCTTCGACAGAGTCTGTTGGTTCGGCTCATTCCAAGTGAAGCAGAGCACCCTCTTTGAAAATGCCAGCTGTCTTCTCGACTGAGAGCGGGGGACGGGACAAGGACTTCAAGCCTTTAATGTTCGACAATTTCGAAGCCAAGATTGCTTCTTTATCCGCAGTTCTCCACGACTTCAAACAAGTCTGCAGGATCTTTCGATCAGCTACTCGTGAGGGGGAGCAAGTGGCTCGAGAGTTCTGGACCACCTTAAGAAGCGCTGTTGTCATAGCGCAAGAGCATGTGTCGACGTTGGCAAGCAGTGGGAGCAGCAGCGGTGGTGGTGTCTGCGCGCTGGTAGACCGTATCCTCGATTCCCTGGAGAACATTTTTGATGACAACAATGTCGGTAGCAGAGCCACGGCACTGGCTGTATGTTCCTCATTCTGCTCTATCCTGGAACAGCTGCTTATGGTTGGCTTAGTCGTCGGGAACGAAACGATATAGTCGCCTGGAGATTGTCCATCACCATCTCCACAACGTCGACTCTCCCAATAAAAGCCTCGTGCTTCTCTTGTCGGTGCAAGATCTTCTGGACTCCAAAAAAGCGCACCAAGTCAAGCAGAGTATTGAAGAATGGGTCGACGACTTGGAGAACCTTGATGATGATCAGCTGGAGCCCATCCTCCCGCCGGAGCAGCCGCCTCGTATCAACCAACTCGGCAACGTCAGCGAATTGGCCCAGTTGACCTATACAACCCTATTTGGGCATCTAGAGAATCTTGCCACATGTCACAAGCATCAACAGCACGCTGCATATGCCATGCTCGCGACCTATTCCGAGTTGGAAGAAGACTACGAGGACTTTCATTTTGACTTGGTCTTCTCCGTGGACGGCAGCCAGGCATATTGGGAAGAGGTGAGAGTCCACAGTTTCAGAAGCGAGTACGTCTGTTTTCTGTCATGCCTGATGCTAAACGTCGGCTCTCAAGGACCGGCCACCGTTATGGTCGTTTGGCAGTCTGCTAATAGGGGTGTAGTGCCCAGAGTGGTGTGCGCTGGGCTCGAATAGGTCCGGAGTCAAAGAGAATCAAGGACTGGCTCCTTCCCAGACCGATGTCAGTACGCCAGATTTGCCACTCCCTGGGAAAGAAGGATCTCTCAAGGTCTCGCCGTCGGAACTGGTTACAAAAATCCACCCAAGGCTCACCAATGCATGAGATATGGGATCACCAACCGACGAATCGACAGTTCTTGCCATATGAACACTACCGACTGATCTCCTACGCAGACTGTCTCTCAAACGAAGTGGGACCGATGGTTAGTTTCTCCAAGCTCGTTCTGGCTGTCATCCTCAGTTACTCCTTGTTTTATCTTTGCGAAGGTCCATGGCTCCCGAGTCGCTGGCCAAGACATGGTATCAAATTCTTCCGGGCAGGCAGCACAACGTTCCTGCGACCGCTGTTGTACGTACCTATCTTTTCTGGCTATCCGGACACTGCACAAGCTTATGAGACTTATCACCAATACCCTGTCCTGGTGGGATTCGCGACAACTCTTCTAGAGATTCACCAGGGGCGGACGCTACAGTCAATCTTAGACTTAACGGAAGATATCACTGATGTTGACGACGAATGGGCTAGAGCTTGTGAGGCCTACGACAAGTGTAAAAAGAATATCTCAGAAACACAATACAAAGAGGTCATCGAAGCATGTTTGAATGCACGCTTTGAGCTCCAGGAACTGTGTGAGGGCCAGGAGTTCCAGCAACAAATATTCCACAAGATAGTGGCACCTCTCGTCACCTTGCTGGAAGAAGCTTTTGGGAACTTCAGCCCCATGAGTGATCTCGATGCGCAAGCCTCGCGCCTAGACCTAAGCACAGGTCTACTTGTCACAGAGGTCCAAAAATCGCAGGATGCCCCACGATACACCTTGTACAAGATTGATCGGTTAGATTCCTCAACCAACCCCATTTTGACCGCACGGCAGGGTAAGGCGTCAGCCTCCGGGACGACATCTCAGACTTTGGTGTTGTCGGATAGCCTCTATGGGGAGGAAGAGCCACTTTCAGAGTCATCTGCTGAGTAAGTACTTCCCCTTGCAACATTGCACGATGGTTTGGTGTCTTTTCGTAGTCGGTACCGGCTGTCGGAGCCTTCCAGACCCCAATGCGAACCTTTTTTAGGTAGCTTGACTTTGATGCTTACGCAAAACAGGTGCTCTCATACCGACCGGTGGTTCGACGCCTTGCATGCCGCCGACAGTTTCAGGACCCTGAAGCGCCTCAGTCTCGACGACACAACTCGGGTCAGAATTGCAATTCTCGATACCGGCCTGGACCGCAACCACGGGCTTGTGCGGGAGCACAAGGAACGAATTAGAGCCGTGTGCGACTGGGTCGACGGTGACGGTTCAAACGACGATGACTGGAGCGGCGACGAGGTCGGGCACGGCACGCACATTGCATGCATTATTCTTGCCAACGCACCGAATGCAGACGTGTTTATAGCTCGTATCAGCAAGACCCGAGCCCTCAGACATAGGCATACGCTGCCAGTTGCCAAGGTGAGACATAACCCAATCTGAATTGCCCAAGATGATGCCAATCCAAAATCTAGGCGTTGCAAAAGGCCAGAGACCGGTGGGAAGTCGACATCATAAACATGTCATTTGGCTTTCGAGACGCATCTCCGATAATCGACGACGAGTTGAAAAAGGCCATCAACCAGGACATCCTCGTGTTTGCGGCCGCCTCCAACGCCGGGGGCAATCTGCCACGCTCGTATCCTGCGTTTCGCGATCAAGTCTTTGGGATCCATTCGACAGATGGTAGAGGCAATCCATCCAAATTCAACCCCACGCCGCTCAAGGACGGCAACTTCAGCACTGTGGGCGAGCTGATTGACTCGGCGTGGCCGAGTAAGGATCGGATGGGCTCTTCAGCAGTTTCCGTCTTCAGCACTCGGAGAATGTCTGGGACGTCGTTCGCGACGCCAGTTGCCGTCAGCATTGTCGCCCTCTTGTTGGATTACTTTGGACAAAACATGCAGGATGAGGTGACGATCTTGAAGATGAAAGAGTTCAACGGCATGAGAAGAATTCTTGCATTGATCTCCAACGAGAGGCAGGGGTTTAACTACATGAACCCTTACACCTTTTTACAGCAAAGCCAGGAGGACATTCGGCGGAGTATTCGTAACGCATTGAATATGAAAACGCTTTCATAGAACTAACGCTTCAAGAGTAGACAAGCTTTCAGGGAGAGAAAGAGCGAGACCACGTCGGAGAGTCACTCACTGCTTTTCCAGGCAATCCACTCTCGGCTAGTCAAAAGCTCAATCCTCTTCGAAGTCGGTTGATTTCATGACGACCACTTGTTCCTGGTCGTCAGCAACAATTTCCCCAGAGCCCCGAACGTCTTCTGCAACAAAATCGACATCTTCCTCGGCGGAATCGTCGTCCTCGGCGTACATCGCCCCAGTATCGTAGACCTTGGAGTCGACGGCAGAACCGTCTTTCACGCACAGCTCCAGCACTCTAAACGCGAAGACGAAGTCATCCGAGCCCTCCCAGCCGTGGCTCTGGCTTGTGCGAGACGTGGGGTTGATCCTGGCTCCCACCGAGCCGGGCACGCCAATCGCGGGCGTCGCGTCGACGCCGGCATCGAGACTGAAGCCGAATTCCGCAGACCGGCTGCTTTTGGCGCTCGGCCCCGTCACGGTCTTGACGCCGTTGATCATGAAGACCCTCTTCCGCCGGAAGCGCCTGTGCTTCAGGTAGCTGCGCACGCGCGGGTCGTTGAGCCTCGCCCGGAGATACTGCTCGGTGGGCCACAGCTCGACCGTCTCGAGGGCCTCGAATTGGAACGACGCGGCGTCGGCGCGGCCGAGGTCGACCCCGGCGTCGACGCCCACCCCGGCGATCTGCTGCAGGAACTTGGTGTAGATCCCGAACGCGCCCGTCGTGGCCCTTTCGTGCGTCCATTCGACCTTGGTCTTGCCCGCCAGCTTCGTCACGTCGGGCAGTTCATGCGGCGCGACCGCGACGAGAGGCGGCACGGGGTCTCTCGGGGAGGTTATGATGTTGCCCAAAGCTATGGGTCCTCCTGGCGGGTAGTCCCAGCTCGGGGGGTAGAAATACTTCTTTTGCTGATTGGCCATTGCTCTTCGCAGAAGGGATAAAAAGGCTATCGAGCACTGCGAGAGAGAGCGTGGAAATACGTCACGAACCTAAGGACCTTCATGTACACCCAGTCTACAAAGACTTCCGGCTGGATCGCAGGCACCGCAGTCTGCCTTTCAGCTGCGGCTGAAGAGCAGTTGAGCCGCCCTGCATGGATCAGCGTAATGATATGATGCGCTGTCCGACTTTGGTTGGGCGCAGGTATCGACCAACGTGACGGTCACCTGGTCAACCACGCTAGGCCAACTCCACACGTGCATCTTCACGTGACGCCGGGGAGTTGCTCGCTATCACGTGATGGCCAAAGTGGTTCAATTTTTGCTACTTGGCGAGGCTATCTATATAGGTGGTAGATAGATATTCGGTAGCTTTGAGCTTGTAGTCAGGGTAGCTGCCTCAGACCCCTTTTCTCGTCAGACTGTGCTATTGATTTTCCAGTCGGCTGGGCCATTTGTAAGCTTGTCGTTTGTGGATCTCCCTGCACTCCTAAATCTCAAGCCAATCGAATATTGCCCTTGCATGCCCATATCGGGCAGTAGTTCTAAATGTCGGCTGCAGGGGCTCAATTGCAACGTCAGAGATGCTCTCCCAAGGCTCGATCATGGACCTGGCGGGCGGGCATTCTGCATGCACGGGTTTTTCAGATCTCGTCGTAACAGCGTCTGGACGTTGATGAGGCATCGTCACCGTCCCGTGCCGTTTGTGGCGCCAGAGCATTCAAATCGCCGCTGACAGCTTGCAGCAGGCCCCGCTGGTAGGCATCGAGGTAGGCAAAGCGTTTGAACAGCTTTGCAAGCTCATCTTCCCGAATCGATTTGTGCGTACCCCAGCAATCCGGACGCTCCGTCTCTAGAATTGCTGTAAGAAACCACCTGCGATCGCCTGTCTCGCAAGACATGGCACCAACGAGAAGCACCCACAGGTGGACATCTCCATATCTGTTCCAGTCCCCCTGTTCAATGCCTTCGAGTCGACGCTTCAATTTGGACGCGAGGACTTTGCATGTTCGCCTGCGACCAGTCACGGTCATTACCATGAATAGCCATATGATCAAGACGATCCTGATGGCGTCCGTTTTGCCATCGTCAATTTCGAGTTCCAAAAGTCGGTGCCTGAGTGCGCTTGTTCGCAGAAGGAGCCAGTGAAGGGAAGCTTTAGATCCAGCAGGGGCATTTCGATCCGAGGCCTCTGATTCAGACTGCCGTTGCATGGTGTCGACAGTCGCAGCCAAATCCAGAAGCACCTGGTGCATCTGGGGTGGCAGAATCTCAATATACTTCGGCTCTTGAAACCATTTCGTGGTAATATCAGTATGGCTACCAATAACGTCGCCATGTTCCAGGTCCAGGTGGCCAGGGTCGAAACACGAAGCAGGAAACAGTGGCTTCTGGAGTAGTTCTGCTGCCAAATAGCCGTCCCCGATCACAATCCATTCCCGTAGTGAAGGGTCGATTCGCTCAATGCCTCCGATATGCAACAGAAGGCTTCTGGCTGCCTTGAGATGAACGAGAGCCGACTGAAGTTCGTATCGGTAGAAGTCTGTGACGGCCATTTGATGTATGTCGAAAATAAGCCTCTGGTCAATAGGAGGCGACGACCTGAGATACCGGCGAATAGCGGCGATGGCTTTTGTTGCCATTTGACTCGTGGTTTCGTCGTCGCGGTTCATCAGCTCAAAGTATTGCATTTGACTGGCCATGGAGGCCAGCAATGTGTAATAATGCACCTCGTTCTCTAGACATCCCTTGACCAGAGGGAGGACGTCATTCTGAAAGGTATAGGAATGGTCGTCCCGCACTTCGGAGTGCCACGTCCTAGGGTGGGAGACATGGATGAAATACTGAAGGAGACCATGAGCTTTCCGGTCCACATTGACAACGGTCGTTGCAAAAGGGTCAATGATGCGCAACTCGTCTGCCGGCACACGAGGGATGCTATGGACCTCACGTCTATTGCTGGTGCCAGTTTTGATACCCGGATTGACTTGAATGAATGGTAGTTGCTCGCTCTTGTGGATTTGGGCATGAGGCGACAACCGTCGTCGATGCATGCTTTCGATCTGGGCATGACGGTGGATCAACCGCCTCTCCTGATCATCGCTTCTTGAGAATGACTGGGATTGGGGATCTTTGACCACGAAAAGATATCGAGACTCACCCATACTGATCCCCTCTGTGAGACAGATATGTGCGGTTGTGAAGATGGAGCCGTCGGATGAGTGATTGGGAGGAAGTAACTGAAGGGGGGTGGCCTTGGTTAATGCATAGCGGGTGTTTCGTCTCCCTGTAAAAACAGCGGCGCCCTGTGCTTCAACTATCCTTCTACCTATACTGTTAGCTGTCTCTCAATAAAGCGGCGACCTCCCTCTATTCCTCCTCCTCGGCTAGACGTAGGGTACATGGTGTGTCAGACTGCGCCAATCAATCTTCAACTCGGCTCGCCATCGATGAAGCCAGGGACGTTCTCGTGAAAACTCAAGAAATTCAACTACTTGTGGTACCAAGTCATTGACTGGACAGTTGCAATGCAGTACACGCCGTGCCTCTGTGAGTGGAGGGGACAATTGCGAGAAGGTGAAAAGGTGACTTGGAGGTGAAAAGAGCAAAATGCCAGGGACAAGCAGCAACGGGCTGGTGGAGCTGGTGAGGCTGGTGAGGCCAAGGCACGGCTGCGCTTAAGCTTAACCAGGGCGCAGGCGGGTGGCGGCCTAGCAATCACAAGCCTCACCAGCCCAAGGCGCCTACACCAACAACCCCCCGAATACACCCCAACACACCCACCACACCAACCAAACTCCCTTGTTGTGCCTCTCCCTTCTCATTGACCGCATAAGGCCTGCCGCTTGCCTAGCCCGAAGTTGTGACGTACTTCATCGGCGGGCACTGAGCGACAAGATGGCGATGCTCCTTTTACATCTTCTGAGAACCTGTCCTCCTTCGGAATCAAGGTCCAAGACCAGCTCCATCCCCAGCACGGCCCGCAATGGCGACAGTTGATTCAAGACCAGACACTAAACCTTCTCCTCCAGATGTGCGTGCCATTCAGGGCTCGATACCGCAGTCCATGCTGGGCTGGCTGCGCGAGACTCCAAGTGAGACCCCGATCGAAGAGATCCGCCGTCGCCTGTTTGAGGATGAGTATGTCTTCGTCAAGGGGCTCCTACCGCGAGACGATGTATTGAAGACGCGGGGACACTATTTTTCCCAGTTCCAATCCTTGGGCCTGCTGAAGCCAAATACCGACCCAGTGGATGGAATCTACAATTTGGCTGAGGATATCTCGTTGCACAATGGAATTGGCGGTGGAGGTCCAACAGGTAACGAAGAACTTGAGCAGCTGGTGAAAGCCCACGTGCAACGACCTTACCTCGACTTCGTGGCGCACCCCAAGCTGCGCGAAATGGTCCGCCATATCATGGGCTGGGAGGAAGAGGTCCTCGTCAAGAGAACCATGCTTCGGCACAATATCCCCGGAGGTCAAAGCACTGGCGTTCATTACGATCAGCTCTTCCTCCGTGGAGGGCATGCATTCTTCTTGACGGCATGGGTGCCCATCGGGGACGTCACGGCCACAGGAGGAGGGCTTGTTTATTTAGAAGACAGCACCGTCCTCGGCAAGGCCATTGAGGATGATTTTGAGGTGCGCGCCAAAGACTTCACTCTCGAGGAGAAGGTATCTGCCTTCAATCGCAACATGTCCGCCACAGGCGTTCTCTCGATGGATCCAGTGGTTTTCCAGCAAAACAATGAGCACCTCGCCCAGAAGACGAAATACCGTTGGCTTGTCGCGGATTTCGAGGCTGGTGATGTGGTTTTCCATCTACCATACACTATTCACACCGCAGCTGCCAACGATGATCCTGAAGGCCGCATCCGGCTGAGTACTGACCTCCGCTTCTATGACAAGAAAGACGTTGAAGCAAACGCTACAGACGAACGTTGGAACAAATATTGGACACCAGATGATGGGCTTTAGGGATCGTGATGATGGACGGCTCCATAATAGCAATTGACAGAGTGCCAGCACGACGGCGACAGAAGCCTTATTTCCCCCTGCTCCCCATTTTTAGCCCACGGATTCATGTTCGAGACAATCTTCTTCCTACCCGCCGATTCCAATGTCGTACCTGATGTTTTCTCCTAGGACCCTAGTCTGGAGATGACCGTTGTAGCACTGCCCTGGACACGAATACGAGAGTGTGGAGATGGCGTGGCTGAGCATCGTCGTAGCGTGTGTCTCCTGAGGGTTGGGCGATCGGGAACCTGCCAATCGCTACTGGAGAGGTTGCTACAGGCTTTAGGCCCCCAAGATCTTCGTCGATGCTGCCACCATCCAGGATCGATCACTCTTTCACAGCCATGTGCCCGCCTCGCCCCTACTACCCAAGCCCTGCCAGTCCTGTTAGACTACGTCAAGCATAAAAGCTCGCATCTTGCCATCTGCAAACTCTTCTCCGGTCCCCCAAGATGCACCAGAGACTTTCGCGTTTCCAACGGACGATAGTCACGCAAACACAACGAAAATGAAGAATCCTTTCAAGAGACATCAAGAACCAGAAGCAGTCGGATCCGACCAGACGCCAGATGAAGATGACGACTGGAAGGGTTTCCAGCCACAGGAGCCTTTCCAGGCCAGCGCCGCCGACCCAATCTCTGAATCTCGCACGCTGCACATTGAATACAAGGATTATTGGAGTCAGCATACGACAATCCGGGTACTCGACGCAGACAAGACAACAGACGTGTACACGGTGGACGCGAGATACCGGAAACCGCAGATGACGATCCGCTCCAACGCCAGCAATGCCGAAGTGGCTACAGTTGATTTCCATACGCTGTCAACTCGGATTGATGCGAAATTGCACGGGCGGCCCGTCTCGCTCGAATCCTCCGGGCTCACGAGGACGTACTCGTACGCTTCCCCGGAATTGGGCGGGGAGAAGATGACATGGACGCCCCGGAAAAAGATTGATGATTTGAACATGGTGCTCTTGAACGGCCAGGGGCTGGCTATCGCCAGATACAAGCCAAACTACAAGGGTTCGAAGCGGGGAGGCAGCATGGAAATGCTTGCCCCATGCTGGAGAAGTGAGGAGTTCATGGAGGAGGTTATTACCATGTTTCTGGCCGTTATGCACTACAAGGAGAGTCAGAGGATGACTGCAACCATAGCAGCCACGGCGTAGAAAGGCACGTCCGCGCCGTGTCAGTTGCGGACACCTGGGGACCAAGGCGGTCCTGTTCTGATTGTTGTGGTCAAAGTCTTGCGCTCGATGATGCAGGGGCGAGTAACGACGCAGTGATGCCTCGAGATCTATGGGTGAGGGCCTGTATCCTTACAGAGTACCTGGTACTTGGTATATCCTGAGAGGCTTACCTCTGGCGCAATTACATCTTGTCCAAGGACCTCGATTGAATGCCCGAAACGGCGCCGACGACAAATGACGTAGTGGCGCAGAAGCGGTTGATTGTCCGACTAACCCACCAAACGCTCAACACCTTCGCACCAACTGCACCAATCCCCGTTACCTAAAGCTTTACTCATCGTTCGCTGCCGTGGGATCCTGAATCGGGCTCCATTTTTCTGCTGAAAGGGCCCCAAGGGGCTGATGAAGGCTTACGGTGCTCCTCTCGTACAAACGACAGCAAAGAGACAGTAAGTCCGCTCTTCCTGTCGACTTTCAGCATGGAGACGAACAATCCAAGAACTTCCACGCAGGCAGTCATCACCTACCTGCTACCTGCAGAGGTACAAGAGTATTTCTCGGAGACACCCGTATACCACAGTCCACTACTTGCTAACTGTCTCCATCGTTTAAGGGCTTCTGTATTCGACAAGAAGTGTCGAAACCGGGTTCTCCTCCTCGACATGACCAGCCTATATATCCTCGAGTCCACAGACGCTCTAGTCCACAGATTCCTCTTCCGGCCTCAATTCCCTCCTCTCATTCTCTCCCGCCAACTGCTGAGTCAAAGACAACGCCTAATACTTTGATGTGTGGCTGAATTCAAAGCCGTCCTGGGGTGTCTGCCTCGAACGGGTAAACAATGACGTTGACGCGGACTGGCTACCGGCACCAGCAGAGCAACAAGGAGGCCTCAAGCGGAACCCCCGGCGCGCAGATCTGCAGGGGCGTCGAACGCCCGAGCCCAGCAGCGCGAATAGAAAGCGCGTGATGTGGATCATGGGTCCGATCTTCCGCGCCAAAGGCTCGAATTTTCTGCCGCAAATCCCATGACTTATATAATGCCCTTGGCTGAGTCAACGCACGGTTTCCGCTCCCCGTTTAGGGATATGTGCTTTCTTAAATGGAGAGGCCCCCCTATTTCTTTCGAATGTGTGTTCCATGTCTTTGAAGACCGGGAGCGTGTCATAGGTTGCAGCTGAAGGAGGAGACATACGGATTGTTGAAGGGAGCAAAATCAGAAAAAGAAAGCAAAACGCAACAAGCTCACAATGGAGCAAGAAGAGCCAGACGCTCGTCCAGCCACTGGAGTGAGCTGGCGGGACAACAGTGATGGGCTCCCAGTGGTTGATCCAGAGAAACAAATGCTGGGAGAACAAGAACGGGGAGAACAACAAGATTCGAGCGATACTCCCGACAGTGGCACGACCCTGGGGCTGCCCAGCGACGGATTGGAAGAAAAGTCCGACTCAGAGCTCCCAGCGACTGCCGACAGCGATACGCCGGCCAGAGCAACACGACCTGAACTTCAAGGCAGAGCCACCACATATGCCTCATCCACTCGCACTCTCCCACGCTTGAAGCGCAAAGAGACGAGGATGATGCAAAAGGAAGCGCACCCAATGCAGCATTTGGGTATCACGCTTGGACTGCCGGCCATCTTAATATTCGATATCATTGTACCGTGCATCATTTACTACACATGGTACAATTCCCGCAAACACCGCTGGGAGAGAGAATGCCGCGAGCAATTCAACAGCACGCCCCGGGAGTGTCCACTTCCAAAACCAGAATATGACGAAAACATTCTCGGCTACGCCATCATCTCCTTCGGTGCCGGTGAGCTTTGGATTTTGATTGCACGGGTGTACAGACTCTTTGTCCACACCGAGGACTGCGCTCCTCTATTGTCGAGGAACAAATGGGAGCTGGATGCCACGTCGTGGGTGTACGGGGTCGCCATGATCCTGGCCCTGATCCCCTTCGTCGTCGGCAGCTCCTTGGTCCTACCCCATCTCTATCTCTACTCGCCGACCTTCATCATGGGATTTCTGGGCATCCTGATGCTCATCACGGAGATCCTCCCCATCAAGATCCCCATCGGGATCAACTCGCAGGCCCGAGGCACGAAGCTGCGCCCATTCATTTACTACGCCGCCGAGGATTTCATCGCCGTCGACGGCCTTCAGGACCGGGAGTTCCGGGTCCGCTATAACGACCGTTACGAAAACAACAAAGCCTTCCGCCAAATGTTTCGCTACTTGACCTGGTGGTGGTTACTGGGCGTGTGCACGTACATCGGATGCGTGTCCGCCGTCATTTGGACCCTGGAGTTCCACTACGCCTTTGGACTGTCGTTGGGGGTTCTTTTCTCATATATCGCCATATGGGCGGCTGTATCGTACGTGTGGGTCAGGCTCGAGATTGAAAGGGAGCACAAGGCCTTTGAGGAGGGCAAGTTTGACCCTTAGAAAGCGAATCAGCAAAGAAAACAAGAAAAATTTGATATACCCTATGTACAATACCTAATGGTAATGATAATATCAAGGAGGATGGGCGTCTCGCATGCCTCGAACACAAAATGCCTCATCCGGAAGATCCATATTTCTTGCCCACAAGGCCGCTACTTCCGGGCGGAGCTAGGCTTGTTAGCTCGTATAGGTAAGCCTACTTGTAGCTAACGACCCACTGCTCAAGCCTAGTGAGCCCCTATTAGGCATTGATGAGACCCCTAAGGGACCGAAGCGACCCGGCACCCACAAGTACTCCGTACCTGATTGTTAGTGCCTGTGAAGTTGACGGCTCTTCACTGCAGGGAACGTTTCTCGGGCTTCCATGCTTGGGAACCTCCTCTGCAGCCTTGAATTCATATCTTCATCACCTCTCGATGTGAGACCGGTTGTCATGTCCTCCCGATGGATTATGATATGCGCGATGTCCTTGTGCCTCGCTCCTTGAAGAAATGCATTGAGCGGACACAAGTACACTCCTTCACTGCTTTCCCTGTGAACCCAGTTATCAATCACCGTCCGCCCCGCCATAGCTCCCATGTGTGCTTCATCCTCTCCCGAACCGCAGGCTGAATCTTGACCCCTTAACTGCACACACCTGGATGCTGTAGGCTCCCAAGGCATTTCACCTAGGCTTTCTCTCTCTTCCGACACTCGATACCAGACTCTGAGAGACAGACAGCGAAGCCGAAATGAAAATGGTCAGTCGGATTGACCTGACAGGTCGGCTCGTACCAGGAGAGAAACACTGATATAAAGAGATCTTGGCTTTCGAAAGACAAAAGATGAGATAGTCGCTTACCATTGCCAATCCAGTACTTCCGACGAATCCTCACTCGACGAGGTGGAAGTGGAGGAGGCATTCAAGAGAAGGAACCTCCTTGACAACGGATGGTAAGCTGGGTTGGAACTCATTTGAACACAACGATACGCGTGCCGAGCTCTGCGCAGGTTCCTCACGCGAATACGGCTGGCGACTTTCCATCGAACACGACTCTCATCTAATAAGGTCAGCAAAAGATCCTACTGCATGAAGATATCGATGGAGGGAGGTGTCGTGCAGTCCCAAGGAGCCGAAGACAAATGTTGATCTTAGCCTGGTCAACCCCGTGAATCATACTACATGGATGGCCCAATATCCTCGGCGGCAGATGCCAGTATGATGCTAGGAGCGCAGAATATAACACGTATCACCTCCGACGGTTGGGAGACATGCGGCAGCATGGATATGCAGGCCGTTTTGACGAGGCTCTGGGCCACGCCTTCCTTTACGACTAGGTGAGCAAAGAATCAGAGGGAGGCGCTTGTCCTTGTTCACTTGCCTGCGAGACCGTCCATCTCTCTCCTCGAGATCAATCCTCTCCGCTTTTGTCAGTCTTTCGCAGCCAACTTCACATCACGATTACTTGCATATTCTCATCTTTAGTATTTCATTCCCATCTGCTTTCCATCTTTCTTTGGTCGCCCAACGTCATGGCCCGGCGATTTCCTGCAGAATTGTTGCGCCTGGTGCTGCATCATCTCAAGGTTGACCTCTATGCGAATTCTTCCAACGCTCTGCTCAAGACGTTGCGGGTTTGCAGGCTCTGGCGTGACATGGGTTACCAGGTGCTCTATACCGACATATCAATGACAGCATTTCAACTCGCAACGTTTGCGAAATCCTCGCCTATTGGGCAGACGTTGACTCGGACGCTTAGCATCACCATCCCCTGCAACGATCCCGTACGTTCAACTCCATACCCCAACGATTTCGACATCCCAGACTCCATTGCCTTGAAGTACACTGAGTATATGCAAAAAGCGATACGCTCCATACCTCGAATTGTGCAGGGCATGTTAAGATTGGAGAGTTTCAGTGTGGTGGTTCCAACGCGTCCGCCAAAGAACTGGACGCTGAGCAAAGCCGTGCAAAGGGCGATCCCGGAGATCCTTCAAGCGTTACCGGACTCGCTGAAGCATTTGGAAATTGATGCTGTCGGTTCTTCTTCCTTTCGGAGATGCATGCCATTCACGCCACACTACTGTCCTTTCTTGAGGGAGAGAATGTCCTCGTTGTCCAACCTACGTCTCAGGGTCCCTGCATTATGTCGAGGGCTTTTTCGAAGGAGCCACCTCGAACACCGAGACGAACCAGAGCCCTCCCCAGGAGAGGGTGCAATGCAGTGCACTATACTCATCAACACCATGGGTTCCGATTCCGATATTATTGACCATACGTTGTATTTCAGACGTATGGTAAACGGATTCCGGAGCAACGGCACTGTTGAGAGGCTCGCTGAGGATGCCCAAGCTGCCATTGCCAAAGGTAGATGTCCAACCCCGGAACGACTGTCGTTCTTTACAAGGTATCGGGGAAACAAGGAAGGTCCGTTGTTTTCCGCCATCAATGAATTGGTGTTGGCTCCAGTCGTCAGGACGTTAAGATCTCCATTCCGCGAAATACGAGACAGGACTGGAATCTTTTTACGTTACCGGGAACCTGATGGTTCGATGGGGGAAGCCTGGGGGACTTGGAATTGTCTCATGGATACCGCAGAGGGCTCAGTCTGGACCGAGACAGTCGAAGGGTACAGGCTGCCCAGTATCTATTTGAAGCAGCATTCACGGTTTGATGGGTCTGTGGTCAAAAGGACTTCGTTGCTCAAAAAGAAGCAAGTGGGGCCTCGAGCCCATGGCGCATTATTTGCTAAAGAGCAAGCTGAAGGTCGTCAGCTTCTACGGGTGCAGGAGATCCAAGGCTTGGAGGTGGGAGACGTGAAGCGGGATCCTACAAGCAAAGAAGTAGCGAAGGCAATCGAGGCAGGGATCAAAAATCCTGAGTCCGAGTGGACTAACTGGGAGGACCCGGATGATGTTGCACTGCTGACTTCTGAAGACGAAGGCTCAGACGATGCGGCGTCAACAGGGTCGTGGCGCTGGGATTGACAATGAGGGCTAGAACGAGAAGGTGGCAGAGACGAGGTAGATGGGCCGGTGAAGAATGGCATTTAAATGGCTTGATTCATACGAAGAATACGACTGGGGGTATCTTATCAGGCAAAACTGTGCTGTCCCCTCCTCCTCTCCCTCCCTGCTCTGGCGCGAGCCCATGGTCTGTCTGTATATCTATCCCCCTTGTACTTTCCCGGCTCGGACATACACATGCCACACATGTTGCGCCTGGCTCCGACTGGCCGTGATACCAACCCGACATCTAGGGTCCCAGAAACTTGAAACTTCCACCGTAGCCTCTGCTGGTAAGGACAAAGCTCTCCGTCAATCACGTTCCAGATAATAGTGGCCGTCGTGCCGAGAGATCTGCTTCAAGACCACGCAAAGGACAGGGAATATATTGAAACAAAGTGTGTAGCGCTCCTGACGAAAAGCATCCGCTGAGAGTTTAGAGATCAGAGTCGTGAACGAAAACATCATGCCCAGCGCCGCCACGGACTGACTTCTCTTCGCCTGGCCAGCTTGAGTCAAACCTTGGTCGTCTTCACCACCCTGGTGTCGATGCCATGGCCCCAGCCAAAGAACCGACAGTCCTCGCCATACCAGCAGCCTGACTCATCTGGCTTGTTTTGAGGACATCGGTGCCCATAGATGCACTCGGGATCCGTACAGTCCAACTTGTAATAACAAGGAGTCATGCGGGCAACTTCCCGCAACACGTTGCGCTCGCCCTTTGAAAGAGGATAAGTGTGCGAGTGAGAACAGTTGTTGGTTGTGCAATATGAAGTACCCTGGAGGTAGAAAATGTTGCAAAGCTTGAGTTTCTTGATGCGCTGAATCTCGTGATTGGGGATGGAACAGTCAACTTTGTCAATGCGTTGGCCCTGCCGGTTTCTCTCAATTGTCTTGCTCACAGGCTTCGCAACGACAGCCTCTGGACTTTTCATCGAGGTTGGCGTCGACGTCCGCGTGGTGCTGGGCGCTTTCGAGGCCGGCGCCGAGGGTTGCGCTGTCAACGAGGCCCAAGTCAAGGCCGGTGTGCTTGAACTTGACGTCGACCCGTTCGTACCATTCGACTCGACCCGCGAAAGAGCGGGCAAGGTTGCCGTGACTGCTTGTAGTGGCCCTTTCGGCATCCCAGATGTAGCAGCCAGCTTCGTGGCCCGGAACACATTGTCAAACTTTGCAGTCTTGAAATTGTCCTTCAACGTGGCGACGTCTTTTTCAAATGGTATGCCTTCCAGTAAAGTGATGTGACTCAGCACGGTGGTATCCTTTATTGTGTCTTCAAGCAGTCTCGCATAACGGCTGTCGCTCGAACAACCAAGAATGACTTGGTGACAATGGCAATCATAGAGATTGGTCCTGAACTGGTCAAAGACCTTTTCTTTTGTACCGTCAGGTCGGGTCCCGGCGTCGACAAAGTCAAATGACAATTGAGTGCTGTTCATGCCGCGCACAAAGTCTTCGAACAACGACGGGCGTTCGATGATTTTCATTTTCGTCAAGGTTTCGGACATTGCTTTAACGTTGGCATAAATTCGTGTGAGAATCTTGGGGGAGTCGAGGTGATGGAGATGTTCTGCCGTAAAGGCCGTCGCAGCATCAAAAATCATATTTGCCGCCTCTTTACCACCCTTTTCACCCTTTGACAATAACTCTTTTGTGAAAATCATACTATCACCATCGAGGAGGACTGTGACGAAAGGATTTCGGTCCTAGAAGAAGTGTTAGCGGATTATGTCCAGGAGATTGACATCGCAAGCCGCACCATAATTGTCTTGACCTGAATCAGTTGTTCATGAAGGGTGGCTTCTCGCAGATGACCCTCTCTGTTATATTGGGCTTCTCTGCTGTTCTCAAGCTGCAGTCGGTCGAGCTGAATCTGAGTACTGTCAAGCTGGTACAATAGTTCCTGATGGCTGTCGTTAGTCTTCTGTGGCTACGACTGCCAACATGGTGCACAGGTGTGTATATACCTCGATCAACTGATTTCTCTCCGTCTCCAGGCTGCGCAGCCGTTTATTTCGTTCACGAAAAGACATTTGGTTTGTGACATCACCAAGGTCTCCATTGGGGCGACTGGATCTCAATGAGCCGTTCCGTGAGCTGTAATCAGGACTGGAATTCAGTAGAGGATGGTCGAAAGTAGGTGAAAATGGATCGTAACGCGCCATGTCGGGCATTTGAGTGAAAGTTCAAGCCGTTCCAGACCAAAATGGCTGGGGGTCAATGTGGTGAAAACGTAAGGTAGGACAAGAAGAGTGAAGGAGGGAAAGAGGTGAGGAGGAGCGGGAGGTTTAAGTCGTGCAATTTGTGCTGCTGTGTTTGTTGGCGGTGAATACAAAGCAAAGAAACCTGTATGGTCAAACTGCAGCGAGGCGCATGTCAAACTAGACACTACAGGCACATACGGACCTTTTTTTCCTGGGGCGACGCGTTGGTGGGCATCTCGGCATGTTCAGTGGGCGCACTAGGCCTCCCTAAGAAGGTGGCACTGGCGGCATGAGCGCTGAGTGGCCACCCACCTGCAGCAGGTGCCTTTGGCGTGAGTGGGCGCTTAGAAAGGCTCTGGTCACTTAGCGCGGCGGCTGGATGACCACCAGACTGGCGCTGGCGTCTAGCCGCCACTAGAGGAACAAGCTCCCTCTGCCCCAAATCCAGCCCAATGGCAAAAATACAACTGTGTCTCTTTTCTTAGCCACCGGCCACCTCTGCAACCATACTCCCTCTTCCTCTTGGACCTCTCTCTGCACATCGCTACAATGGGTCGCTTCTTGGATCTCGCTCTCCTCCTTTTTGGCTTCCAGGCTGCAGGCATCTTCGCCCAAGCAGATGCGGTGAGCTCCCGAGCTGCGCCCCTCGCCACCAACCCATTGGACATGGCTAACAAGGTTATTCTTAGGAGGTGGAAGAAGAGATCGAAAATCCCTCTCAGTCTCCCGCCCTTGCCGTCTCGGTCGAAGCGACTTTCCCTGACGCGGAAATCTTCGGCATCAAGATCACCAATGGCAGACCCTACGAATCACGCCTCGCTTTTCTGAACGAGGAGCCCGAGCCTGTCACGGTTCAATTCGTTGGTGGGAGTCTGTGGACATTCGAAGGCACGAATCCTCGCATTGTTCGAAACCTCACTACCGCTCAATATGCTGTTGAGATACCCCCGGGTGAAAAGCAGACGCTGCCCTACCGTTTCCAGACGAACCTTCACCCACAGGACTTGAGACTCAACTTGGCTGCGGTGATTAGCTCGCAAGACTCCTTCTATACTCTGCAGGCGTTCAATGGTACTGTGACCGTGGTTGAGCCAGACGCGAGTATCTTTGACCCTCAACTGTGAGACTTCCCCTTTTTAACGGACCGGTTGCATTTGTCTTGACTAACACTTGTTGATTAGTCTCTTCCTGTACTTCTTCCTGCTTGCCTGCGCCGTTGGAGTCGGTTACTTCTTCTACACTATCTGGATCGTCCCCTACTTCCCCAAGAAGCGCAAGGCCGTAAAAGGCGGCAAGAGAAGCGACACGGTCAAGAAGGCCGATACTGGCGTCACTTCGGATTCCGAGGGCCCGGCTGTTGCAACCGGCAAAGCATACAACGAGGAATGGATCCCGAGCCACCACATCCAACGACCTGAGGCAAGGAGGGTCAAGAGCGGCGCAAGACCAAAGAGCCGTGGCAAAGCCGAGTAAATACGCGCTCGCCGAGAAGCCTCTGGGTCTAACCTTTATTGCCCAAGGGTGACAGAGCTGAGCCGCCTAGGCCTCGTCGAGGTACGGCTTTCGAAGCATTGGGTGGACAATCGAAGGAGAAAATTTACAGCTTCACAAGAAATTAGGGACCGTCGGCATCACAACGAAAAGCAGGCATTGACAAAAAAGACTTTTTGCATATGGAACTTCACATGCTGTACTAGTATTACAGGGGAAAAACTGCATTTTGCGCTGATGCTGGGCCTTTGACGCGCGCAGACGATTTGGGGATTTCCGAGACGCACGGACGTGGAGACAGGGTGCCGTCACCAAAGAACAGAAGGACAGGAGCATGGTGAATCCGGCGTTTTCAACATCTTGAATGCCACCGCCGTCTCGCCAGCCAAACGGATATGACGGACTGGTTGAGAGCGCGGCAGGAGCCCGCATCAGATTCATTATACAGAGTAGAAAAGCGAGAATACAAAGAATTCCTCAAGACTGTCAGGCCAGCACACCGGCGCCCGCCGGTGTAGCTGGCTACATAGCTAGCTATCCAGCCATCGCGCCATGAATCTATGTAGACGTATAGAGCATACAGCACGCGAGTCTTCCTGGCATAAAGCGCAATAGTACGTCCCCACGTAGACAGGTAGAGAGACTCCTTTTCCATCCCAGCAATCAATCGCCCATGATCTCGTCGTCGTCACTCCCACCATCTGGTGAACCTTCTCGCGCCTTCGGCGCACCATCCTCATCCTCGTCACTGCCATGGTCCTCGATCTCGTCTTCCTGCAATTCGCGCTGTCGTTGCGCCTCGTCTTCATCCTGTTCCTCCTCATTCAGAGGTGCATCGGGATCATCGATGTCATCATCCTCCAGCACCATTTCTACCGAGATTGCTTTCTTGCCGGCTTTGTCTTTCTCCTTATCCCCTTTCTTGCCAGCCTTCTCCTTTTCTGAAACGTCCTTTGCCTCCTTCCTATCTGCTGGTTTCTTCTTTTCATCCAAATACCCCACCAAGACAGAATAGTTCTTGCCCAGCTTTGTGCGATTCAGCATAAGTCGTTCCCGTACAGCCTTTTCATTGCGGATCGTACCGCCCACAAGCGTAAAGATGATTTTGCTCGTCAATTCGCAGAGCTTCTGTTCGGTCAGGAGGGCAGCTTGTTTCTTTGCACTCCTGCCTTTCTTTCTCTCCTCGTCCTCATCCATCTCATCCTCGTCCTCTCCGTCATCTGATCCATCTCGTTCCTCATCCGAATCTTCAGGCGGTTTCTCAATATCCTCTTCATCTTCCTCGTTCCCACCGGCCGAACCTTTTGGTTTTCTTTTTTGACTGATGGATTCAATCTTCCGATGCGTCTTCTTCGCGAACGATTGCTCCATCTTTTCGTACGTGATCATGACTTCCTTGACAATATCGTCTGGAATATACGTGATCAGACTCCGCAGATTCTGTTCTAAGTCATCATCCAGGTCACCTTTCTCAGGCCTCATGTTTCTTATCGTGGCGAAGAGGGCGAAGAGCTCTAGCACACTCAGGATAGCTTGGTATCGCACTGGGTCAAGAGGCCTGCGCATTTGAATCACAGAGGCGATGTTGTCCACGAATTCCCTCCGTGTCCTGGCGAACTCATCCAATGAGGTGGTGGACAGCTGTGCCTCGTCGTTGGTGTTGATCGCCTTTTTCAGCCCGAACATTTTCCAGCGGAAATAGCGCGAGAACAGCTCGACGACAGCAGCGCATAAGTGATCTTCGAGCTCCGCAAAAGCAGCCGTGGTGTCCTGGTCGGGTACACCCCTTTGTAAGAGTTGCAACAACAGGCTGAGCAGAGTTGGCGGGCTGCCTGTGTTGCCTTTTCGTTTCCTCGACGGTCCAGGCCCAAATTTCCCTTCAATCACATGGCTGCAGTCATGCACGCCTGCCAGCTCAGCGAGCCGAATGATGGTGTTCACAACCTCAGCAAGTGAAGGCTTGTCGAGCGTGCCTCGTGTCCCTATACCCTCACCTTGAAGAAGATTCGCCAACGTTGTGACGGATTCAGTCCAAATCTCCTGAACTTTCGCATTGGCGGCCTCTTTACTCGGTTCGTAGCTCCGCGCATTCCGCAGAGCTGCACTGGCCGCTGCGAGAACTTGCTTGTCCGAGTGGGACGTGAATTGTTTCGTGATATCGTCGAGGATTGCCGAATAGCTGGCTTCGCCGCTCTGTAACTCATTGATCAAGCCCATATCGAGCAGCTGTTCAATACGGAGGATGGAGGACGCGGCTTGTGGCGCACTGCCGAATTTGTTCAACAATTGAGGAAGCAGGGCCGTTAGATTCTGCGCTGCCGATTCTTGTTTCTCCCGGATCTGATCTCTCATGGCATTGGTTCTGCGTCCGGCCGGAGGTTCTAGTATGGACTGCAGATATGATTTGACGGCTGCGTGCAGAACGTCTAGGAGGATGGTATCTTCGCCCGCACTCAGCTTGTATGCTTGCTGAACCTGGAAGTCGATGTCATCATCGTCGCCCTGCGATGGGATGGAAGTGTGATCGTAGAGGAGATAGCCTGCCAAGTTTTCCCACATGTGCAACTCTGTCATGTAAGGGAAGATCGACTGTGTGGCAAGAGTATACCGCGAGTCTGAAATGGATTTCATAGCCAGAGGCTGAACAGTCGTCCCATCCAGTGATTCTTCATCGTTGTCGTATCCAGCAAGGACCGACCCCAAACACTTGAACTTGATCCAGGATTTAGTGGGAACCATCAGCTCCTCTACGTCTTTCGCATCCGGAAGCGCCGCATCGTACAGAGTCTCTTCGAAGTCCTCAATCGTTGCTCGATAAAGGTCTTCAATGTTGGAGACAAAGAATTTGGCGACCGCTTTTCTGATTCGAGGCTCACTGTCGAAGATCAATCGTCCAATGGTGTCGATATCATCGGGTTCCAGAAGTTCGGCATCTCGGAGTCGGTCGAGCAGCTCAATAGCCTCCACCCTTACGCTGGTGTCGGCATCCCTCGCGCCCATTTCCACCAGCCTTGACCGAAATCGATCGGTGAAGGCTCTCAGAGCGGCAATGTTGTTCTTGTTGTTGAATAATTTCTTCAGTTGCTTGATATCCTCAAGTCTGGTACGGGCACTCGTGTCGTTCAGGACCCAGCCGAGATATCGCAGATACTGGCCTTCGAGGAACATTTTGCGGTAAAGCACGATCCAGTTTCCCAGCGCTGCAACACAGGGAGCACGAATTCTCTCTTCTACATCTCGGTACCTGTGGACGTAGACCGTATCAAAGGCGTCTCGCAACTGAGTGTCGATAGCGTCAAGCTTGATCTCGGCAGCTCTCTGACTCTCTTCAATGGTCTTGATTCGGCCCTTGTTAGGGTTCTTCTTCTTCTTCTCGGCATCAAGTTGGGCCTTTGACGTTGCCATAATATCCTGCAACTCTTTTGCCACTTCGCAAAGAGCAGTGCTCATAGCCAAGGAGATTATCGTCGCAGTGTGTCTGAAGGACTTGTAGTTTGCACCTGACATTGTGGCAACCCAGACGTGGATGTTGTCGTAAATTTCGGGTTGGTCATAGAAGGCAGAGGACGTATGCAGTACTCTGATGATAGCCCTGAAGAATTCCTCCAGGACGCCCTGAAATCCTGCGTAATATTTGTGCTTTGAGATAAGTGGGTAGTCCGGGGGCTTTTGCTGTTCGTATTCCTGAAGAACATCGTCAAGTTTGCTCGGGACTGAGTCCAGATCTTGAATATCCTGTTGCTCGACTTTCGAGTTACAGCCTATGCATTGGAGGATAAAGTTGACCAGGTCTCGCAACGCTCGGACACTGTCCTTTTGTGCCGCTTCAAACCACGAAGAGGCGGCATCTTCGGGCGACTGTCCCCTCCCGAAAACTTCGGCGTAGAGTCCTTGTTGATGCGCCTGGCTGGGTCGGGCACGCGCTTTGCTTGATTTTGAGGCACGTACAGCAGGTTTTCTTTGAATGTTAGCTGACCGAATGGCCAAGGCTGTGCTGGTCCCGGAGGTTGTCTTTGCGCGCTTAGTTGCAGGCTTTGCAGCGGCTGCTTTTGCTCTCTGCGCTCGTCGTTGGGCTCTCACTTCCTCCTCGTCTGGCTCACCCTCATCCTCGTCGTCCTCGTCGTCCTCTTCTTCATCCTCTTCCTCGGACTCGTCGTCTTCATCATCGTCTTCTCCGTCAGGCGATTCCGCTACTCTTTTTCTTTTGCCAGCACCATTCGTGAGCACACCATTGTCGCGAAATTCCTGCGAGTAGATTTCGGGCTTGCGAGCCACTCTGCCTGACCGGCGACGGGATTCTGGTGGGTCATTCTGTGCGCTATCGATGAGTTCCATGATTTCCCACTGGCGGGGTTGGTTGTGGAAGACCACGTTGCGAGGCTCGAAAAGGGGAATGTAGACAGTGGCGGCCTGGTGAATGGCCCAATTTCAACGAATTGGAGGTCAAATAGGCGGAGGAGCAGGAAGGCGCAAATGCGCAGAGTGCGAATCAAGCAGAATAGAATGAATTGTTTGAAGCCTGTCTCGAGAGCAACACGCAAGGGAAACGCGTGACGCGCAGGGTGGATTGAAGTGGAGTTTTCCAGCGGTGGAGGTAGCGAGGCAGCGACACCAACGATCCCTACCGGCACACACTGCCAAAAGGGAAGATTTGGGCGGCACGGGCGACTCCGCGCTTGGCGGGGTTGCTTGCTACCTCTGTGCACCTAACTGGCAGCCTCCCTCTAAGCACGTTTTATTAACGGGACGCCCTCTTCTCGGCTGCCTCATACCTACCTAGGTACTTAGTTAGGCTCGCTGATACAGCGCGGTTTAGGGGTTATTTGGGGCCCATCTTTGCAAAACGGGCTGACCTGGTGCCCGGGTAGAGGCGCCCACAGGGAGAAACCCCGCCATGCCACTTCCCGTGGGTTCCTGCACAGGTTCCCCAGCCCGCACGAAGAGGCTGGTTGCTTTTGAGCCTTCTGACCTACCAGTACTCGATATCTCGTACAGACTTGGGATTCTTGACCTGGAAGACGCAGCCGATCAACCACCAACTGCCCCCCTCCAACCATTCAGGCACTCTGCCACTGGATCGGTTCATCCTGTCGAACCTCGGCGTCCACCAGTATCCAAGGCTGTCCCACAGAATGGCACAAGTACTGGTCTAGTCATATCTTGTCGTAACCGTTGCTGGATGTGCAAGGCATGTCTCTACCGATCTCGCCGTTCGCAGCTTCATCCTCGGTAGCAGGAAGCGGCGAAATCATTCTGGCCCTCCTCCCACCAGCGAGGCAAGTTCTTTCGAGATGTACATACCAATATCCTCTCAAACTTATTGCTCCTGACCCTCACCATTCGAGCGAGGAAAAGCACGTGACGGTTGTTTTCCTGCTCACCTATGGAGGCGGTTTGGTGGGAGGTGACCAGATCAGTCTCAAAGTCGACCTGCAAGATGCTACGAGGCTTGTCCTCGTCACCCAAGGAAGTACCAAGATCTTCAAGTCACCCCAGAGATCAGTCGTCAGCAGACAAATTCTAGACGTCAGGATCGGATCTCATGCTTCCCTGTGCTATCTACCAGATCCGACTCAGCCGTTTGCGGAGAGTGTCTACGAGCAGAAGCAGACCTTTTATGTGCAGCCAGACGCCACTAGCAGTTTGCTGATGCTTGACTGGGTGAGTGAAGGCCGCCGCGCAAGAGGCGAGAGCTGGACACTCTGGAGTTGGAAAGGCAGGAATGAGGTTAGAGAATTCGACGAGCGATCAAAAGGACGACTGCTACTTCGCGACGCAGTAATGCTCCACGACGATGGACTTGGAAGTACAGGATTACTAGACAAATCCAACAACATGGGCATTTTTGGGACATTGATCATCCATGGTCCTATCTTCAGCAAACTCGGGGACTTCTTCATGCAGGAGTTCACAAGCCAACCGCGCATCGGAGCGAAAAATTGGACGTCAAATGATGGCATAGCTCAGGGTAAGGCAGTCGACCAGATCGAGCAAGCTAGTCAACACGAAAAACAGGATGGTATCCTGTGGACCGCAGCGAAGACAAGAGGCTTCGTCCTGGTGAAATTTGGAGCAAAGGAGGTCGATGGCGCAAAAAGATGGCTTGGACGACTTCTGAGACACGAAGGCACGGTTGAACGAAGTTTTGGACATCAGGCACTCATTTGCCTCAAGTGACAGGGTGGTCCTTTATTCCCGGCGGCCATCTAAGAGAGGGTGACGGTACGACGGCTGCCACTGGTACCGAATAACTCTAGGGAAAATGAAAGCTCTTCCTGGGTCGGCAAATCCATCAGCTCCCGAGGCGAAACTGTCGACTCCTGCCCGTCACTTTCCTATGGTCAGAAAAAGACGATCACCGACATCCCCAAGGCCCGGTTTAATCATGCCTTTATCAGTCAAGTCATCGTCGATGCCGCCCGCCCATACCTGTGTGCCCTCTGGCCATTCCGCAGCGGCTCTTGTTATACCTGGGATAGCTCCCAAAACGCACAAAAAGATGATCTTCTCGACACCCCAGTCCTTCAGGCTTTGGATCGCAGCGCATGCTGTCGCACCTGTGGCGCAGACGGGGTCGACGACAATAGCGAGCTTCGCCACTGATTCCGGGGATTGAGGGAGGTTGTTGTAGTATTCAACAGGTTGCAGAGTCATCTTTTCACGGAATAGGCCGAGATGGTGGATCGAGACGGAATCAGGCAGGAGAGTTTGTATTGCTGCGATGAGCATCAGTTTCTGAGGTATTCCCTTGAGACCAACTAGCACACCTTCGACCATACCGAGTCCGCTTCTCAGGATGGGGACAACGGTGAGTTTGGTGCAATCAATGGCCTCATAGGGGTACTCATATCCGATAGGGGTCTCAGCCTACATCAAACCAAGGGTCAGTCTGGATCTCAATCAGCGCGGATGCTCCCAAGGACAAAGGAGACGGACTCACTGTTCCAACCGAGTCGATATCGAGTTGCGCAAGCGCCTCGGCCCCTAGCAACAGGGTAATCTCATGAATAAGGGTCTTTGTCTCGCGAGCATTGGTACTCTTGGATCTCAGCTGGCTGAGCTTTGCGCGAAGACAAGGGTGTTTGGAAAGATGGACATTGGGTGGTAGAGACGACGCCATATCTACGGAAAGGACGGAGGTGCGATAAGAGGGTGTAAGAAGAATAGAAACGCAAGCATAGAGTGGTCGAATGCGACGTTGACTCTGTATCTAGAATTTGGAGTCGGATGCAACAACGGCCGCGTTTCTTGTCGACTATTATCTCTGGACTGCGCCAGTGTCGATTGAAAGCACCCGCCACAGACCCCGAACTTCGAGCTGTGCCAGCCTAGTAAGCCTATGGTGTCAGTGGTGGGGGAAAGGACCAGGGAGGGAGGGGCACCAAAGCACATGTGCTCTGCTGTAGTAGTAGTGGTGGTGTTCCACGGCGGATTCCGATCTCCAGTCTTCGTGTTATCTTCGTGTCTGCTCGCCATTGTTGCAGGATGCCCGTCAGAGAGAGCACAACTCGGGTGAGAAGTTGAGGGTTCTAGGACTCTGCGAGAAGTTTGGTCAACCCAGTCGGACGCGCATGAATACACAGTGAAGCTAAGGTAACCAATTGGTAGGAGGCGGCTGAGTGCGCAGACTCTGGCGCAGATGCTGGTACCGAGAAAGAGTGCGTCACTCTCAATAATGGGAGGTGTTCCGGTTCGAACGGCAATTTGCTCTCGAATCCGCAGTTACTCCGCTGCACCCAAACATTTCTCCTCTCATCACTCACGATTCTTCGAGGAGCATGGACGCGATGATTGTCCCCTCCTTCTTCGATCCTCCTCTGTCATGATTCTGCTATTGATGCAGGTGTGCGTGAAGTGCCTGCGACCGCCCCAGATCTCAATTCTCCCTTGACCGAGTCCGATCGGGATCGATACGATCAACTTCACGGTACCTCTCTAAAGATAACATATCGAACGGTGCGAGAGAAACTGCAACTACGGCTCAGGGCGACAAAAATGCACGATCACCATCGAGCATGGACTGGAGAGAGGCGGAGGAGGGGAGGTGATGAGGAGGAGCTGACGGAGATGGCTGTCCCGCCCCCAGCTCAGCCAGAAGACCCCAGACGTCCTTCGCTAGAAGATGTTGAACGCCGGCTAAGTCGACACTATACAGCAGATCGAAGCGAAGCACTGGGCGAATTGGCGGCACCTGAACCCCTTCCGTCAGGTGAAAAACCGAGTGATGAAGAAAGTGGAGCTCATCGCCCAAGTCTGGAGGAGGCGCAACAAGAGGAGGAGGGCGAGGAGGGCGAGGAAGGCGAGGAAGGGACCAAGGCCCTGGAATCCACCCATTCATATATCGCGACAGAGGTTTACATAATCTCTTGGTTGGTTTTGTTTTCGCTCTTTGGGACTTTGGCACGATTGGGAGTCGAAGCTATCACATTGTATCCGAATTCACCTTTTGCCAGCCGGGTACTATGGGCCAACCTGGGAGGCTCGTTCTTCCTTGGCTTTCTTACGGAAGACCGTCAACTGTTCCGAAACGAATGGGGGTCAGGGGACCCCAGTGCACCAGCATCGGACCATATCAAGGTCAAAAAGACCATTCCACTCTACATCGGCCTTGCTACGGGTTTCTGTGGCTCCTTCACGTCATTTTCCTCCTTCATCCGCGACTGCTTTTTGGCCTTGACGAATGATCTCGAGTCGCCTTCGCCGACCTTACCCTACCACGTGGACCCGGTTATTGCGCATAGGAGTGGCGGTTTTTCATTCTTGGCCCTCCTCGCCATCTTGATAGTTCATCCGGCCATCTCTTTGGCAGGGTTGATGGTGGGTGCACAGTTAGCTCTGGTGCTTCAACCGGTCACGCCAACGCTACCATTCGCATTCTGTCGCAAAGTCCTGGATCCGTTGGGTGTCATTCTTGGCTTTGGCTGCTGGCTTGGAGCAGTCTTTTTGGCTATTTGGCCCGCGGGGAATGACATCCACTGGAGGTTCCGGGCGGTTTTTCCGCTGGTGTTCGCACCACTGGGCTGTCTCCTTCGCTTCTACGCGTCCAAGCACATGAACGCTATCATACCATCCTTTCCGCTGGGCACATTCGCTGTCAATATTTTTGGAACAGCAATCCTAGGCATGGCGTTTGATTTGCAACACTCGAGCACCATCGCCGCCTCCGGGTCCAACGCTTGTGCGGTGCTTCAGGGGGTCATGGAAGGATTTTGCGGGTGCCTCACAACGGTCAGCACGTGGGTCGCGGAAATCCAGGGACTTCGTCGAAGACATGGTTGGATCTATGGTGCTGGCAGCGTGGCTGTCGCATTGGCATTACTGGTGGTGATCATGGGGTCGATGGGATGGACTGTTGGCTTTGTCCCACCGACTTGCAGCTGAGCATACATGTTTCACTCCTGGTCAGCGTCTGAAAATGTACAGTGATGTGCGAGTTCGAAGTCCTATTTGGCAAATCAAAAAGGGTTTTGAGGACAAGTCGAGTGGATTCAGATTACTTAGACGCCCTACTAGAAATAGTCAAGCGCAGCGCCACTGTCCCACTTCAAGTTACAGGAAAGAAGAATACAAAACATGTGTCATTTGAGACTATCTTGCGCGGTTGTAACCTCCAATTTTCTCGATATGTCTCTCGATACGATAGACAGTCCTTTGATTGTGTTGTACTGTCGTCGACATCGTGCCTCTTCATGCTGCCATGCACGAATAGCTGATAAGCGGCGCAGAAATATGCCTAATGCTCCTCCTCTTGAACTTCCGAGCATTGTTTCTCACACATTGTCGCCAACCACCTTTCTGGCATTGTGCATATCGGCGCGAGGACAGAAACCGACTACCATCGTTTCAATGTAATTGGACAGACTTAAGTCCACGCCAATCAACATCGATGTCCAACTCTGAAATGTACGGAACAGGCAGCCTCCTCGGCCATAGATGCCTGCATCCTGGAACTCACCAGCATGTGGTTGCTGCACGACAAGGAGGGGGCCAATAGACCTCACGCAGCATACAGAGGAGGCAGCCTGAAGATGCCAAACGATACCAGACGAATCTAACTGGTACTGTGCGGCCGGGGCCATGAAGGTCTAGAATCAGTCTGCTTTTGCATGCATTGTGATTTGGGATTTCACATTTTCTGCAAGTGGCTGGCTTGCTCTGGAGCTGGTCGAACTTGGGCTGGCTGGGTGTTGAGCTGGTTAAACTTGGGCTGGCTGAGCGCTCAGCTCAGTTCAGTTGATGGCTTCTTGTGTAACACGAGGGCAGAAGCGTTGAACATAAAAGCCCGTCCTGCTTCTTCCCAGATTTTGACGAAGTTTGGGACCAATTCACCACTCGACTACGACAAAGAGCCTTGAACATTCTATCGTGCATACGAGCTAAGTGAAACAACAAGTAAGTACAGCCCAAAGGCCTTGACTAGGGCAGAGAGCGAATGTTGTCCAAGGACGACAGAGAAGACAACTTCAAGCACCAGCATCGTTGGCGACTTGACTTACATCTTTTTCAACAAACCTTACACGACGTATATTGACTGAGCGCGATTCCTCACCCACAGATTCTTTGTGGATTTCAGGACATGTATTTCGCTCACCACTGTATCCAGATCATCTAGAGAAACAAATGTTTGAACTCCATCTGCTTTGCAGCAGAGTGCTCAGCACTTGGACATTGGCACGTCGGCATGTATTTATATGCATTAGTCTATATATGGCTTAGTCTATACTAACGGAGTAACCACCTCTCTTCTGGCATTGGCTACATCTTGATTGGCTGACCGGCTTGTATCCCAGGGGAGCCAATCGGGGCTAGTGAAGCTTGAGTCCGACTTTTCCTGCTTCCGTCCTCCGACTCTGTTACTTTTCTTGATTGCCCGGCCTCCTGCCACGCGTCAGCATCAGCACCGCTCCTCTTGGTTTCTGTACAGCCCTCGCTTGTCGTCCTGCACGCCTCTTTCGTTCCCCTACCAAGTTGCATCTTTACTGCTCACAGGGTCCCTCACCAGCAGCTGCCGACTCTCGTTTGGTTGGATGGCCCCGAGCAGCTGTTAGCCCCCAACCCGAGTGTCCGTATCACCATATCGCGGTGCGCCCCCCGAGCGACTGTCTCCGACCACCATTGAGGCTTTGACTGGAATTCAGCCAACTCCTAGTCGAGACTGCGACATTGCGAATCGCCTCTGACATTGCGCCGCGAGTCTGATTGACATATTCTTGGGCTGGACTTGTTCTTCGCCCGGCCTACTATCGAGGATACCTATCACAACGTGTCCAGCGCAGCGACTGTCCTAGGAAAGGGCATGTTGTGAATCGATACACACATAGCGGATGTGATTTGCAGCACGGCCATCACCCATACTTTGATACCGACGACATCGCAGCCGTGTTCAGCACAATGTCGCCGAAGACCGTCACGACCTTCCTCCTCTCCTCCCTTATCTACAGCACCACCCGTGCTTTCGTTCCTCTGGATATCCACCCACCCATAGACAATAACGCTTTACAACCCGTACCGTCTGATCTCGACACAGTCCATTGGGTTCCTATCGCAACCCTCGAGCCTATTTCTATCACGCCTTATCCTGCATCCTCAGTACCCACGCCTACTCCGTCTCCTCTTGAGGAAGAAAATGAATACCATATTCTCCCCTTGGGTCTCGATGCCAACGCAGTCCCCGAGCTGAGAGTACGGCAAGTAACAGGCCAGGGTGCAGCCGCTGCCGCTCCGACGGCTATCAATCAAGTTAGTCCGATCACAACATACTACATCAACAAGGAGATTGCGCCGGGTCAAGTCACGCAAGTGCCCGTGGTCTATACCCAGACTTTCGTACCCATTCCAGATCAATGGTCCAGCGCAGGTGCAGGAACGATCGGACTGGGGACCATTTCGGGCACTGTGGGACAGGTGAGGAGCAAGAGAAGTCTACCGACTCAGGCTCCTTTGGCAGGGGAGAAGCCCGTGCAAGAGGGCAGTGTTGACGAGGACGTTCGATCACCCACTCCAACCCACACGGACGCCGTGCCTCTCGCGGGCGAGCAGAAGGCGGCAGACTCACCGGCGTATGCCAACGATGCGCGCCGCGCTCTCCAGGCAGGAACGCTGGCTGTTCTCGCCGTGGGCATTGCGACGATGTGCGTGAGCTACCTGTAAAGGCCAAAAACAGGGCGGGCCACCGATCTGGTCAACAACGTGGTCAACAATGCGACAAAAGTGTAGAGAACGCCACCATGGACGGCAAACTTATGTATATATACCACGGTATGCTTAGCCGTGGTTTTTTTGTTTTGGGGGAGGGGAGTTTATTGTTGAAAACATGAAGCCGAACAATTGCATATAACGCCCAACAGGTCTATTTCGAGGGGCGAAATGGAAACCCAAAGGAGTTGGATGTGGTGGGAATCAGCCGAGGAATCTGCGCTTGTGTGTATATGGAGTATGTAGAGCTCTGGACATTCCTATCCTGGCGAGGTCAATGTATACGGGCTTTTTGGGTACAGGCGAGCCATGGATTCGGGCACGATGGGGTTATATAGACGGCAGATACGTCTTCTAATGCGACTATACGAGGTACACGGGATCTTTTCAATAGTCGTGAAGCCATGAATTATGCGGCTATACGCTTCACCGGCCCGACCTAGACGTCGAAGGCATCCTGATTGTAATTGCGCTTCGACTGGCTCACTCAGCCCACCTCAAGGAACCTACTCCCCACGGCCCCAGTTCACATAGAGCACATGCCATAAACAAAGTCGCTACAAGTGATCAATAGCTAATATAGTTAAGACTAGAAACTAGATATATAGCCTCAATCACGCCCGAAGCTCCTGGTGTCTATTGCCCACTGAACAGGCGTTCCAATCATCTGCAATGTCGCCATAGACTGAAGGATCAGTCAAATTCTGCTCTCGCGTCCGTACCTGAAGTCGAATCAGTCGCAGTTCAAGGTGCTCTCTGAAAAGGCCAAAATTCACGCAGAGGCATATCAATGCCTGGCCCGCATCACGGCGACGCTTCGATGAGGATGCCCGGCCGAGTATTGTTGAGGTACAGTAATCCAGTGACTGCCACCCTCACCCCAACTTTGTCCTTGCCGGGATATCGTTTGCCGGGTTACCGGACTACCGTCTATTCTTCCCCGTCTCCATTACCGTGGGAGGTAATGTGGTACCACCTGTGAATTGCACTTGGGGACGCGACCTTGCCGTTGGGGACATGGGGTTGCCGTCAAACAAATACCAGCAAACGTCTGGATAAATATCAACGCCTTGGTAGCGTTCGTCCTTCGATTTGCCTCCAGAAAACCTTTGACGAAGGCTCTTGATCGACTTAGATCTCTTGTGTCTACCGAGTACTTTCCTTCATTCTTCGAAAGGCACGTGCCCTGCATGACGCCTTCCATTGTATTCGAGGCCGAACCAGGCAGTGCTCGACTCATGGAGTGTAACGTTGCCGCTAAGCCATTGGTGGTAGATGGGGGCATTGGACACAAGACAGGCGTTGCAATGGTGCATCTACCAGAGGAGACAAATTCAAACCAACAAACTATCGTTACAGATCCTGACCAGCAGTTGCCGCACTTGACCATATCAGAGGACTACACGGTTTCTGAAGAACCCTTGGGCACAATCCGTCCAGTCCGTGTCATTAGTATTGGTGCCGGAGCTAGTGGTATCAATCTTGCCTACCAATTTACAAAGAACATGCAGAATTCGACATTGAATATCTATGAGAAAAACCCAGCCGTCGGCGGCACTTGGTACGAGAATCGCTATCCCGGGTGCAAATGCGATATCCGTAAGTGGAATCCTTGCCTGTTTGTTGAAACGATAACTCACTATAATGCTTAGCCTCGCACAACTACCAATTTTCATGGGAACCCAATCCAAACTGGGCTGAGGTATTTTCTCCGGCACAGGAGATTAAGGATTACCTTCAGCACTGCGTCGATAAATACGACCTTGCCAAATATATTCATCTAAGTCACAAAGTCATTTGCGCCGAATGGAATGAAGAGCGTGGCATCTGGAATGTGAAGATTGAGGACACAGCCAACCAGTTGATTTTTACCGACTGGTGTCATTACTTAATCAATGCCGGTGGCATTTTGAACAATTGGAAATGGCCTTCTATTCCTGGTCTTCATGAATATCAAGGAAAGCTAGTGCATAGCGCGAACTGGCCAAGCGCCTGGGATTACAGTAATCTCAAGGTTGCCGTCATTGGAAATGGGTCAACCGGCATCCAGATTGTCCCAGAGATGCAAAAGACGGTCAAACAGCTCGTTCATATCATTCGCTCACCAACATGGGTGACACCGGGAGCGGCGTCCAGGTATCCATCCCTTCGAGGAGGTTCCATGCCCGACGTCTTCACCGAGGAACAGAAAGAACACTTCCGCAATGAACCTGAATCATACCTGGCATTTAGGAAACAGGTTGAACGAGAGATCAACAGCAAGTTTCAGATGCTGATCAATGGGAGCGCAAAAGCGGCCGAAGTTCGACAGGCAGCATACGACAGTATGATATCCCTCCTTGGGCCAGAGGGTGCTCGCAAGTATGCCGAGAAAATTATCCCTTCGTTCCCGGTCGGCTGCCGAAGGATTACCCCAGGAGTCGGATATCTGGAAAGTTTCACCAAGGAGAATGTTCGAATCATCACGGACGCCTCCATCTCGAGAGTTGACAAAACTGGCCTCGTGATGTCAGACGGAGAGCATATTGAGGTGGACGCTATTGTGTGTGCAACTGGGTTCGATGTGTCCTTTTCTCCACGCTTTCCTGTCATCGGACGAGACAAGATCAGTCTCAGTGATGTTTGGTCCAAAAACATCCCGTTCGCTTATCTCTCCATGACGATTCCAAAGTTTCCGAACTATTTTGGTGAGTCTTTCCCTTTGCTCAGCTACTGTTGAGGTGATTACTGACCTTGCACAGTCTTCCTTGGCCCTAATGCGCCTATTTCGCACGGCAGTATTCTTACGATTACCGAGCAATGTTCCAAATACGTGATGCAGCTCATTACAAAGGCACAGACAGAGAATATCAAGGCATACGACGTCAAACAGGCAGCCTGTGATGATTTCCTTACACATATCCATCACTTCATGCCTCGTACAGCCTGGGCGGCTAAATGCCGATCGTGGTTCAAGAACGGAACTGTGGATGGGCCTATCCTAGCCATACATCCAGGCAGCAGGATACACTGGTTCCATTCGCTTGAGAGGCCGAAATTCGAAGACTTTGACTATACCTACTGGACAAATAACAGATTTTCTTACTTGGGCAACGGCTTTTCAACGAGAGAGATGGATGGCGGCGATGATACATGGTTCTTAGAGCATCCTGAGGCGGCTTATCTCTATTATTGAACTGAATTTTTGGGATTCAATGAATTTTTCTGACGATACACCGAAGTTTCGAAAAGAGAAATTGGCCTCGAGATGCCGATTGACTTTGAAATATAGACAGATTTGGAGGAGCAGAATTCAGCGTCCGCGCAATCTTATTACCCCAGCCATTTGACTCTCTTGGCACGGGCGCCCCTTTTCTGTCACTCGAGTCCATGAATTGAGCTATAGTCACTCACATAGATGCAGCTTACGCTTGCAATTGAGATGCCTCTATGTATTCATACTCTGTTTTCCTCCTTTCATCCAAGATGAGATACCGAGAACTGCTGGGGACTCAAGGTGCTGAACAGCAGCTTCTTTCATGGCATTTTCCATCCCGATGATAGACATTTCTAAGGTGGAGGACGTGTGTGGCTCACTTGTGTCCTGACCTGTCAGCCTCGAGCGCTGCATGTACATCAGCCATCCCTTCCTCTTTCCTGCTAGTATACGCATGGGCACCTGGACCGGGATCGTTAAGAAGGAAGACTTCCCTCCAACGATCTGGATGCGTTACCTCAAGTACCGTTCCGGGGGGGAACTTACCCTTGTCGAAGCACACCGCCATCATCCCGCGACCAATCTCGTCTGGCTCCGATAGCTTATCCTTCTGCGGATCAACGAACCTGAGAGCCTCAGCGTGATCGTATATCATCGGCGACATGGTTGGTCCAGGGGCAATAGCGACCACGCGGATGCTTTCCATTTCTTGAAGCCTTGCCATGCACCTGGCAAAATTACTGATTCCTTGCTTCGCCGCTCCGTACAGCGGAGTCAGCATGCTTGGTTTCTGGGCTCCAGTGCTCGACACAAGGACGATATACCCCGGCTGTGCTGCTTGGACCCATTTGCGGATTGCAATCCGCGACATTTTCAAGGGATGTTCAAGGTTGATGCGTAGCATTGAGTAATGGGTGTCGTCTCGGTCGTTCCAAAAGTTATTGAACGACGGCTCGTAGACTCCTGCTCCCGGACAGAGAATATCGGGAACACCGCCGAAAATCTCAGCATAGTGCTGGAAGGCTATTTCAAGCTCGTTCCACTGAGACACATCGGTCCTGCGGAATGCGACACTGGGGCCGCCCGACTCTCTTTTCCATGGACCTGTTGCATTCTTCTGAATTGTGTCGAGCCATGCGATTGCCTCACGATGAAGGGATAGATCGCAAATCAAGACGTCGCACCCGGCGGCGTACAGCTGGCGGACGAATGACAGGCATATCCCTACAGTGACTTCTCAGCTGGATGGCCTCAAGTCTCTCAAGCCAGACATTTACTTACCTGAGCCGCCACCGGTGACAATTGCCCCCTTCCCCTTGAGGTCTATTGCAGCCATACTTGCGTCTGCTCTCTGGTTGGTTTGACAGGAGAGGGGGAGAACTCCTTATGGGGGGACCAATGTAGTAACGCGACGGCTAAGGACTCGCTTTACTGCCGGGTTACCGGGCATCACGGATCGGCTAATTACAAGGATTTCGAAGTCTGAGACAATTGAGCCAAATTATGTGGCAGTCAGCCCGCCTTAAACCCCTTTGTATTTGGGACACTATCAAAGCCGCCGCCCTCATGTGCTCCTGTGGTCGAGAAGACGTGCCGGCCCTTTACCATCCCTCTCAAGGCGTAACGAATCCTTCAACTGTTGAATGGGATAAGCACTGATCGTGGATGCTGAAAGCATGGAGATTCCAAAGCTCACGGACCAATTTACCGCAAACTCTGGATGATCTACGGTCAATATAGAAGCAACGTCTCGCAATGTCTTACAGCGGCGAGGCTGGACATTCGATACGCTCCAATACCCTTGGCTCAATGGCAAGCCGCCGTTACAGCTTGGTCGTTTGTCGCCTTGTGAGTACAAAAATGCCCTCCCCCGTGGCGAGCTGATCACCTCTTTCATCCGTGATGTCTGACTCGACTTGGAACCTTCTCCCCTCCTCGCGCCGTATCCAGGAACGAATTACCACCACGCTAGGAGTTGGTGCTGGTCTTAGAAACTGTATTCGAAGCTCGGCGGTCAACTGTGGTTCGGATCCGCCTCGACTGCGCACACAATATTCTACTGTGCTGCTCATAATTTCGTCCAGCAAGGTTGAGATCACGCCGCCATGGCAAATACCGGGCCAGCCATCGAGGCCGCTGCTCAAGCTCAGAAACATGCGCATTTCGTACATAGATGAAGGCGTGCCTTTCTTTCGTCTATATTGCGCCAGAAAGTGTCCAATAGTGTCGCAGGTCTTGAGCGTCCGAGAGAAGAGGGCATGCCTTGTTGACGTTGTCTTAGGACATCTCAGTGGAAGCTTGAGCACCTCGAAGTCTTTGTCGGCCAATAATTCACGACACCAAGGTAGGCATTGGAAGAAGTCGTCGTCGTCGTCCGTTCTCCGTGTAAAAGCAGCTGAACTGTCCTCAAGTTTCGGTGAGCCATTCATGCCTCTGTTGCCATCCACCACGGCACCGCCCCTTGCTGTGCTTCCCATGGTGCGATGTTGTTGAGCAGCAACATTTAACTGTGACCAATGGTCTGACTGTGAGGGATACCTTGGGACAGTTATTTCCGGCCATCTGAAGCAAGCTTTAAAGGCAAGGCTGTAAAGTCATGTTTAACAGAGATCGCGATCTGCTTCGTCAAAGCGCGGGCCACATGGCCAGATGCTCCCCTGTCTGGTTCCACAGTCAATCCTGATAATGTCCTCCGATTCCGACAAGTGATTCAATCGTCCAAACAATGATCTCGGATTGACAAATGACGTTTGGAGACTCCGAGAGACCCGATCTTCCACAGGAAAACCAAACGGGCTCCCAAAGAACCGATCTTTAGCCTCGTATCTTGTAACCTGAGAAACGGAACGGTTAATTTGGTTCTGACGGCATTGTGAATGATGCCGCGAAACCTGAGTATGCCTACCCGTGAAGAAAGGACCATTGGGCCGACTCCCCAACTTTGAGGTCGTTCTAGACGAGGGGAAAAGGCAACGCCCGCAGGCAGTAGCATGCTTACCAGCAGGGCCAAAATTTCGCCGAGGTGTTTTCTTCTAACGGCGGGAGGCTGTGTACTCGCCGAAGCTAAGCCATAGCAAAGGAGATGATCCCCAGTCATTGTCACTGTCCATGTCCTGCACCACTGTCAACTCGTTGGAAAGCCACGGATTCTCTCTCGGTAATGTCAAAAGTGGCAGGAGAGACCTCCCGAGTTGTAAAACGGAAGAACTGAGCTCGTCACATCTGCTGCGAGGTGAGCGGGTGGTATTTGAAGCCTCATTGCCAGGCTATTCAATGACCAATCATGCCCTGCGCGCCGAGTGCCTAGCCCAGAAATCAAAGTCATCTGCCACACCCTAACACGACTTCTAGACATCAGACTTACTCCAGGACTCCTGTCTTTGTCTCTAAACCCTCTCTGTACAGCTCAGATTCCTCGAGGCTACCATTACGGCACAGCGTGGAGCGACGACCATCTCTTGGCTCAGATCCTTTCTCTAGGATGCGAGTCGGCAATTCTACTTTCTCAGCAGAAAGACGATACAAAAGAGCCACTCAGGTGTGCGTTCGATGCCACGACAGGAAGGTTTGTCGCTCCTCGATCTACTATGCTCTGTCAATGACATTAAACCCTGTCCAGGTAAAGTGCGATGTGCAATTCAGTGACAAGGCCGATTTTCAATGTAGCTATTGCCGCGCATCTGGTTCCCTCTGCGTGTAAGTGCACAGTCTTAGATCTTCAGTCGACGTAATTAACTGCGCAGACTGAGAACCGCAAGACGTCGAGGCGTACCGATGGGTTCACGGCGGTCGGAGCACGCTCGGCAGAGTGCGCCACTCCATACAGCCTCCTCGATACCTGTTAGTGTCAGCTCAGAGAGCCCGGTTGCTTTCTCAGCCTCAAACACATCGCCGTCTGGAAATGATAGCCAAAACCGAAGTGCGCTTTCTGAGACTCGAGATGAACTCATGCTGGCCGACACTGCAAGGAAGGGGGACGGCGAAGCATCCAGGTTCCGCCTTCAAAATATGACGGATGAAACGAAGTCCATTGATCGAGAGACCTATCCACATGGCGAGACAAGTTATTTGGGAAAGTCTGGTTTCTTATCCATCTTTATTCATGTCCAAAATCAGAACCCCAAAAGGGATAATTCTTCGGACTCTGCAAAGCCCGAGCCAACCGTGCCTTCACCATCAAGGCATCTGTTATTCAGCTTTATGGACACCTACTTGGAATTCTGCTACACGTGGTGCCCAATCTTAGAAAGAGAGGATATTCTCAAGGATCCTGGATTGGAAAGCTCCTCGCTTCTTAAACAGGCATTGGCACTGCTGGGCAGCCAGATTAACCCACCCCTCCTGAAGCACGAAACGCCGGCCAAGTACTATGAGAATGCCAAGTCTCTTTTCTATGGCAATTATGAGCGGGATCCTCTTTGTCGCATAACAGCCGTCATGTTGATGTACTGGTGGAGTGCCGGACCCCCAAACATCGTCAGCATGGACTCCCAGTTCTGGTGGACTGGGATCGCGGTGAAGCTCGCCCAAGAAATCGGATTGCATCGAGATCCTTCTAAAGATCAAGTGCTGAGGCCTGGAGAAACAGCAGGTCTTCGACGCCGCATTTGGTGGACGTTATTTGTATGCGTACCTCCCTTCTCCCTTGGAACGTGGTTAGCTCACTGGTGTGGACAGGCTCGTGAACGTCTTACCTCAATCTGTCAGGGTCGACCCTGTTCTATCAATCCTAGTGATTGCAACGTCCGTCCACTGACGCTGGAAGATTTTCCGGCCGGAAAATCACGGCAAGGGGAAATATTTATTCACTGGGTCCGACTTTGTGAGATCGTTGGCCGGGTGGCTCGACATCTCAATTCCCGAACCGACTGGCAACCGGTCCCAGGAGACATCAGTGAAGACCTTGTAGCTTGGGTAAATTCGTTGCCCCAGAACATGGTGCCTCCATTCCAACCGAATGCTGGCGCTTTTGACCGCGAGGTGAATCAGCTCTTCTTGCCTTATCTGTCGGTCATCACTCTTCTCTACATGAAACGGTTGACCCAACCGTTACCCAAAGCATACACAGCTGGAATCCTCGCCGCTTCATGTGTTGCACGTATATTTGAGGATTTCCTGGCCCGTGGGACCCTCAGGTTTCTGCAAGGCGTGGCGGGTTGGTCGATTGCGATTGCCATCTTGGCTCTCCTCCATGCTCGTCGTGTTGAGTGTCTCAAAGAGCACGCAGAACAACACCTGGAAATCTTATTCACAGCCTTGAAGGAGATGGCAAATCACTGGCACTCGTCAAAGATGTTTGTCGCCGGATTCGAGAGTTTGACGGACAGCGATTCCTTCATGTCAACCGCCAAAGGCCGCCCAGACACTCATCCACCTCCAACGCGAGCAGAACTTGACGACTGTCAACTAGACTATTTAGTGGAATGGGACGGCGTGAGCTACCTCGACTATTTTCCAGGCGCTTCTGCCCACACAAGCGCCATGTTCAACATCTTGTTAAAGTATGACCCTCCTAATCTATTCTCAGACATCCTGGTCCCGAACGACGTCAGTATGCAGTATCAAGATCTTTTCGACGGTGTCTGGTTGGAACAGTCTTATGACGTGGAACAGATGATCTAATTGTGTAATATGTATCGGAGTCTAAAAACGGTGGATGCTGGTGCATGTTAGGATGGCGCAGTCCAGAAAACCTCCTTTGTTATCTCTCCGTCATGCTTGAAATAGGTTGCAAGTCTTATAACTTGCTTGTGGGCTTCCACACCTGGACCTCGGGGATGGAGCGATAATTTTCAGGGAAGTAGAGCGGGCCCAGTGTTTTCTTGACGACTTTGTTGGTCACGCTCTTGGGCAACTCGGTATCGATGACTCTGAGCAGAGTTGGAAGCTTGTATCCGGCCAAGTTCTTGCGCAGATCGGCCCTCAAGTCATCAAGTTTCAGATTCTCGATGTCCTGATCACTTCGCAGCTGCACCACGGCGCCAATTCTTTGACCAAATTCATCATCAGGTACCCCGACGACGGAAACTTCCTTGATGTATGGGAGAGACAATATTTCTCGCTCGATGTCGAGGGCGGATACCTTGTACCCACCCGACTTGAGGATGTCAACAGACGCGCGCCCGAGGATGGAAAAGTAGTTGCCACACCTTTGGGCAAGATCTCCCGAGACGTAGTAGCCGTCCGGGTCGTGTGCTTTGGCCGTCGACTCAGGGTCATTCAGAAACCCTAGGAATGCGTTGTAGGACTTCACTAGGACCTCTCCAGTCGTTCCTTCTGAGAGTTTGACATCGACACCTGGTGCTGCACAGCCGACAGATCCAAGAGGTATTTCACGTTGCTCTAGAGGATCACAGGGCATAGTCAACACCATGCCAGCCTCGGTTGAACCGTACCGTTGGACGATACGCTTGCCGCCTAGCATGGACATCCAGAATTCATCGACCGGCCTCGGTAAGGCGGAAGTGCCACACAGACAGGCTTTCATCTGAGCGGTACTGGCTATATACTGGTCCCGTTCTCCCCCTGGTAGCTTGGCTAGACTGGCTTGATAGTGATGCATCATCCGCATGTAAATGGTTGGGACGCCAGAGAAATGGGTGACTTTGCGCCGCTTGAAGTAATCCCATGTCCACTGAGAATCGAAAGTGCCAGACTTGAAATGCACGCAAGCGCCTCGCAGCAGGAAAGGAAGCAGAGAGATCCAGATCCCCGTGGCATGGTGGACAGGGAGGACGTGAAGCATGGAATCAGACCTCGTAACCTTGAGTTGATCTGCCAGTGTAATCGTCCCTTGATCCAAAGAGCCTACACGGATGACAGCAGCCTTCGGAGGACCTGTCGTACCGGAAGTGAATATCACAAGCCCGGGCGCATTTGGATCGCGAAAACGATTCTCGATCGTGAATTGAGACCAGTGGAACTCCTGCAACCCCAAGCTCTGCTGGACTGGGATACATGTGAAACTTGGGTCTGTGGTTTTGGAAGTCTCACGGGCCAGAGCCTGAGCTTGTTTGAGTGAAGTGGTCGCCGCGATAACTGCTCGGCACTGGGCCTTTTGGACATAGTAGCAGGCTTCTTTCAGCGGGCAGAGATGACTGATAGGGCTTGCAACTGCTCCAAGGCTAAGAACGGCGAGGAACGCGACGACAAATTCGTATCCGCCGGGGGCGACAATGGTGAGATACAGTGGTAGGCCATCTTGAAGCTGCTGTAGAGCTGCAGGCGGTAGAGCGGCACGAATCACTTGTCGCAGCTGGACCACGTCTGAGAGGAGCTGGATGGCGGATCGCTGAATACCCTCCTTGAGATCTTTGATCAAGGGTGTGGCAACAGCTTGGGTGGCATGATTCAGAAGCTGAATGAAGAGCAAACTGCCAGGAAGTTCCAGATTCACCGGCAGGCAAGCTTGGCCGGCGTGCGAGCTCATGGTTGAGAAGCATTGCTCGGAAGCTCTTCTATCAGACCACCAACGGTGACTAAATATAGTGAAGCTGGCACGGATTGTCGCGACGGCTATTAATCGGGTGTATAACTCTTTTACCGACACGGCGTCAGGTCCCACAGGTAGGGTGAACGGGTAGAGTGATACAGGCCCGAATGCCGCTCCGGCCGTATCTCTTTAGCCATGCCCTCTCCTTGCCATGGGCGATAAAAAGATCCCCTCTGGTGCTGTTGCTACCTTAGCTTCTCACCCTTTGTAAACACGCTTCATCATCTAATCTGCTACTCCCAATATCAGCAGAAACCCGCTGAATCTTCCAACATGAGAGATTTCACTGCAAGCCTTCGCCCTGCTCAACCAGATGGCCCGACTATGCTCAGTCAAGAGCGAATGCGGTCTGGCATAAATTCGGAGCAGCTGGCACAACACTTGCTGGCTAAAAATGGTTTCCTCGAACGACAAAAGAAAATACTCGACATCCTCAATAAGCACTCGATCTTTATCAAACAAAACCAACTCAATCTCGCTCGACCGGACCGTTACTATCTAGCACTTGCGCGAGCTAAACAGATTCGCCGCTTGGTTGCCGAACACAAATGGGATAGGCTCGACGTGGACATGGCCGAGTACCTAGTCGATGAAATGAGCCCTTTTGCACTGAACTCGACCATGTTCCTAAAGTCCATGCAGCAGCAGTGCAACGAGCAACAGCGTGCATATTGGCTTCCAAAGACCAATTCATTTGACGTCCTCGGCTGCTATGCGCAAACAGAGCTCGGGCATGGCAGCAATGTCAAAGGTCTAGAGTGTGAAGCAAGATGGGACCAACAGACCAAGACCTTCGTCATTCACAGTCCAACACTGACGGCCTCGAAGTGGTGGAATGGCTCTTTGGGAAGAACTGCAAACCATGCGGTAGTCGTGGCGCAATTGCTACTACCCTCAGGCGCTGGATTCAAGAGCTACGGGCCACACCAATTCATTGTTCAGATACGCGACATGAAGACTCATCAGCCTCTGGACGGTATCGTCATCGGTGACATTGGCCCCAAGTACGGCTATACTACTATGGACAACGGCTATACTACTATGGACAACGGCTATATGCTTTTCCAGCACCATCGAGTGCCTCACAGTGCTCTATTATCAAAGTATACGCAGGTCGACCCTAATACTGGGCATATACTAAGCCACAAGTCCAACAAGTGGTCTATGGGACCATGACCGCAATCAGGGCGGACATTGTGGAGCATGCTAGACTTATCCTAGCTCGCGCCGTCACCATCGCGATCCGTTACACTTCGATACGGAGACAGTTCAAAGATCGAGATGAGTCCAACCCCTCGGCGCCAGAGCTAGTCGTCCTGGACTACCCAACGGTTCAAATGCGACTGTTCCCCCTTCTGGCGACGACCTTTGCCTTGCACTACACCGGACTAGCAATGAGGGCCTTATACGAAAGCAACCAGGAGACTATCAGTCGCAATGATTTCTCAGCGTTGGCGGAGACCCACGCGTTGTCCTCCGGTCTCAAGGCTCTTTGCACAACGCTCGCAGCAGACGGCATAGAAACCAGTCGCCGCGCTCTTGGAGGACATGGTTTCGGTGGAGGCAGTGGCATGATTCCACTAAACAGTGATTATTTGTCGAAACCCACCGTTGAGGGCGACAACTATATGATCACCCAACAGACTGCAAGCTACCTGATCAAGGCCATGGGGAGAGCCAAGAGACAGCCTTCCGCACAGTGCGATCCTACGCAGCAGATGTATCGAGAATACCTGTCTGGCGGAACAAAAGCACCCCTCAAACTTCTAGACGACGACGCCGCAATTGTGAGGGCATTTGAAATCCGAGCTTGTGTGGTAGGACACCAAGTGTACCAGGCAAGGGTGGAAAACGGCCGCGGCTGGACAAATCTCATGGTTGAGCTCCACGAGCTCAGCATTATTCACTCGGAAATGTTGCTGGTGCGCAATTATTTCACAGCACTCCAAACCCGATCGGGGCCTCCTTTGTCAGATCAGACCTGGGATGTGATGCGGCTGATGTTCCAACTCTTCTCTCTGAAAACAATCCTGACCCGTCCAGCCGAGTTTTTGGCGTCAGGATTGATTACCGTTGACGAAATGACCAGGTTAAAGGATGAGGTCGCCTCCATCATGGCCAAGTTACGACCACATGCTGTCAGCCTCGTTGATGCATGGAAAATTCCCGATTATCTTCTGCAAAGTGCTCTGGGCAGTTATGATGGCGATGTCTACAACCGCCTGTTCAAGCAGGCCCACGAGATGAATCCACTCAACAAGCTCACTTTCAACCCAGATTGGAGAAGCAAGGAAGTAGTGCTTGGAGAGGGAGTGCAGGCATCTCAAAGGAAAATAGAGGAATTGGTCTGGGGAAATGTGTCACCTGCCAGCAGGTCCAATCTTTCGAGACTCTGATTGAGTACCACAGCACCTGACCACCTCTTGCACGGCGGCGTTACAGTCCTGTGTACTTAGAATTCGAGAAATTTTTCCGTATTCGTTAGAACTCCATAGGACTCTCATTGACAATTTCTCACAATGGAGCAGAATCTGCCGGTAATAGCAAGACCATCAGGCTTAGCGTCAACCAGCTGTTCGCTTTCCACCCTTTTCTCCTTTGTGGTCACGAAGCACATATAAAGGGAATGTGACAAAACTGCGAAGGCCAGAGAGTATTAGATTGATCATTTCCCTCCGCCCCCAGTGGCATTCCAACCATCAACTCATTCTGTCGACCCTCCATTGAATACCCAAAAATTACCGAATAAATTGGTCGACGAAGTTCTCCCCCAAGCCAACCCTCTTGTAGTGTTCCTTCGCCAGTTGTAGCTTGCTGAAAACGTCTTCGACACCCTGTGGCACTCCATCCGGGTCAACATAGATGTACGCGCCAGTAACGTGAAACAGTGTGATCATTTCTTTTACACCGTTTGGCACCTCGAGAGTATGGATGTCTCCCGGTGGTTCGAACGCATAGCTGCCTTCCTCCGCCCACCAGTCGTGTTCGAGATAGTGCCAGCGTCCTCGAAGCGTCGTGGCATGCACGGGCCCTGAGTGTCGGTGTCGCGACAGTATCCCGCTCTTCCGAACCCGAAGTAGATTGACAAAATATCCCTGACTGACATTGAAAAGCAGAGGGCGGAACCAAACATCCTTTGTCTGTGGTACCCACAAGTTCTCGTCGCAGTCGAGTTTTAGCGTATTGAGAACAACAAGGTCGTCCGAGACATTTGGCAATGGTTCGCCTCGATATGCGACGTTTTCGGCTTCCGGTCTGGTGGTGGCTGTTGAATCCATCATCTCGGTGTGTGAGCGTGCTCGTGAGACGCAAAGAAGACTAAAACTTTGTTTCGCGTAGGTCTGGAAGGTCGCAAATGTTGAGGTCGCCGAGAGACCTTCATTTAGAGAGCTCGTCTACTGCTATTTGTTGATCCTGACAATGACGCAGCCTCATGATCAAATAGGACTCCCGCTGGAAAGGCCGTACTAGGAAATGGCTCGTCGAATCATCACTGATTAGCTACATGGCGATTGGCTGGCATTATTTTTGCCGGCCCACGACTTCTTTCGATCTTTATCCCTACAGTCTCTGAGTCTATCCGGCGGAATATGGCAAATGTCTCAGACCGAGGCTTGAACATCACCCTTTCGGTACAGAAGGCCTCCCGAAGTCGGCGAGAAAGACGGTGGCAAGTCACGACGCAGAAACTTTCGAGGTAGGCCCGACGGCGAATATAGAAAGAAGATTCGTGGAACTAGAGCGAGAGACAGACCAGGAGCCAGCGTCGACATACGATTTCACTGATAGGTGCAATGGCAGAATTTCCAGGAAAGCTCAGCGGCAAAGTGGCCCTCATCACAGGTGGCGGCTCCGGCTTTGGTGCTGGTATCGTTGCAAAGTTCATCTCGGAAGGTGCCCGAGTAGTGATTGTGGATGTCGACGAGACCCTTGCACAAAAACAAGCCCAAAAATATCCTCCTGGATCTGTTGTCGCTATTGGGGGCGACGTCAGCCTGGAAAAAGATTGGGCATCAGCTCTCAACGCAGCTTTGGCTACCTTTGGAGTGCTGGACGTCGTTGTAAACAATGCCGGCGTTCTTCACAAAGCACAGCCATCTACCGATATAAGCGAGGCTGAGTACGATCGGATCATGACAATCAATGTCAAGCAGTTGCTATGGACTACCAAGGTGGTGGTGCCATACTTCACCAAACACCAGAGACCAGGGACCTTCATCAACATCTCCAGCATCAGTGGGCTGAGGCCGAGGCCAAACCTGGTCTGGTATGCAGCGAGTAAAGGGGCAGTCAATGCAGTATGCCCTTCAGCTCACGTTGCGAATGTGTGCGTCTTGAGTGAGGACTTATTAATCATTCTGGTACAGGCAACAAAGGGTTTGGCCATTGAGTTTGCTAAACGAAACCTACGCTTCAATGCCATTCTTCCAGCTGTGGGAGACACCAGCATGTAGGTGTTGCTACCATTTGCCAATGCTGTATCACTGACAACACGTCTTGAAAAGGACACCCCTCTTCCTGGGTCACGATAATAACCCAGAGGCGAATGAGAGAATGATCAGTTCGATCCCTCTCGGTCGGCTCTGTCAACCTTTTGATGTTGCCGGTGCCGCGTCCTATCTAGCTAGCGACGATGCTTCTTTCCTTACCGGCGTCTGCTTAGAGGTAGACGGGGGTCGAGGTATATAATGGAAAACACAAATACACAGGATAGAATCAGAGATTCGGGAAAGCCATCCTGTTGCCGCCAACCGGATTTGGGAGACTTCAATTTTGGGTGTGGTTGATATCAGTACGCGAATAAGGAGAGGCCTTGTGGTTTCCATTGTCTACTGTGTCTGTCCATGATTTCAAGCCTAGCGGATCTTGTTAAATTTGCATTGACTGTGGCAACTGCTCTGCTCGAGCTATTCTACAGGATCTGAAACATTGAACGCGGTTGTTTCCAGCAATTGCGGCAAAGCACAGCCAGTAGATTTTGGATTGACGCAAGGTTGGTCGTTCCCTGCTGATGCCCCTTTCTGGGCTGGAGACGACCGTAGTGAGAGCTCTGGCTGCCGCAATTGACGGTGCATTGCAATCTGATGTATTATCAAAGAGAAGCTAGCTAGACGACAATGCCTGTTGTCGCTCGTTGCTGCCTGCACCGACGTCGTCAGATACACACAAAGGGATGAATGGGCAATGGTGGTTGACATCAATATTAAAATCAGCGGGATATCGTCTTTCCTGGAGGCATGGTGCCTGGTCGGCAGCGGATGAATTGCCTCTGGACCGCAAGCTCAACCGCAAGTTCGGTTAATGCTCGGTAGAAACTGATCACGCCAAAATTGGCTGGAGAACAATTCTCTGGAACATCAATCTATCTATTCACATCATGCTTGACCTTGCCGACGCCTATTTTGTACAGCCACCCTTAAGGTTTATTTCAGCTCTCGTAGGAAGCGATAACCGCGAACGTACCGTCGAATAGTAACTTCGAACAATTGTGGACTGAGGAGACGATGCTAAAGCGGCTGTCGACCCCGGAAGATTACAGAGGGCCCATTATCTTTCTCCTATCGGATGTAAGCTCGTATATCACGGGCGAGGATTTATTAGTGGACGGGAGGTACACGGCCTGGTGATATAGATATGGTCCTTATAGAAGAGCAGCAGTAAAGCGGGTAGATATCGGAGACTCGAGAGGGTGGAAATTGGCAAAAACAAGGTCAGTGCGCCCGGCGGACGAGTGCTAGCCAATTAGATTCTGCCAAGCACAGTACGCAAACTTGCGGTTGTGCGGTTGGTCCGGAGGCATTCTCTAAAATACCTATTCGGGTAGTTTCAGTATACAATATGGTCTAGATGAGATTCGCCGCGTGGCATTTTGTACTGCCCGCCTAATCATGCGCAACGCAGGCAAATCCCTGCAGTCGGTACCATGCGGTCCCTATTGGACACGACCCATCGAGTCTAGTATATGGCGGATTTAGGCGGGTTGTAGAGCTTTCCGTGCCTCACACTTTTCATGGTCCAATCCAGGGAGATCCCGAAAATCAATAAGCTTCTACAACGGGTTGGCGAAGATGATTGGGAGTTCGGCAGTCGGCAAAATAAATAGAGCACTTCTCCGCAAAATCAGCCGTAACCTTGGGACGGGGTATCTCCCCCGTTGTAACTATGGTGCCCATGGGGTACTGCGGCTAATTAGGTGGGTGATCTGGAGGTGCCGAGACTATTTAGAGGGCCCTTCTGGTATCTCCTGACACTGCTACACTCACAACCCCTTTCAGCATTGTGTTTGCAATTCCTCGACCATACTGCATAGCCATGACGCTCGAACAAACCAAAACTCCTTTCGCTGAGCTCGATCACCTTGAGGACTCAAATGATGGCTCACGGATCATTCCTGATGAAAGCCCAGTGCAGATTGATGCCGCCGAGGAAAAGAAGCTGCTATGGAAGATCGATAGGCGCTTGGTCACCATTACTGGCCTGGGATACTGCATGTGTCTTATGGATCGAGGCAACCTCTCTGCTGCCTCTATCGCAGGGTGAGTGTGGGACAACCCTGGATGGGAGTATTCTTGCTTACAGAATCTCAAGCATGACTACGGATCTTGGCCTCGAAGGAAACAACCGCTACGTGAGAATACCAGCGCGTTACAAATCTAGGCTATATCTAATGTTCGCAGAGCATTATCCTCCTGGTGTTCTTCATTCCATATGTCCTTTTCCAAGCACCAATGACACTTTTGACTCGGAAAGTGGGTGCTCGTTTGTTTCTGTCCACAATCACCCTTCTCTGGGCAGGATTACTAGTGGTATGTCCGCAAGCAATCGGCCATTTTCCAGTCCGCTCACCTTCGAAACAGGGTATGGGCTTCGTGAAGGAATGGGACCAACTGGCCGGTTGTCGAGTCATCTTGGGGGCCCTGGAAGCGGGATATTTCCCCGGAGCCGTCTATCTTCTTACGTGCTGGTATTGCCGGTGTGAGTTCAACGACCCGTCTTCCTGCTGATACAGACATCCTGAATGGCCGCTTACACAGTCCCGCAGATGAGATTCAACAAAGAGTGGCTGTGTTTTACATTTTTGGATGTTTGTCCTCTGCGGCTGGCGGTATCCTCGCCTATGGCCTGATGCAAATCGGGGGAGCTGGGGGCCTGCGAGGCTGGCGTTGGATATTGATCGTCGAGGGTCTGGTAGGAAACGTCCCCTACCTTCCCTTTCCCTCCCCCTCCTTTTAAGTGTCATTCCTGTACTGACCATGTCTCCAGATCACAAGCGTGATTGCTTTGCTCAGCTACATTTTCCTTGTTGATTTCCCTGACATGGCCGCCAAGTCGTGGAATTTTTTGACTGATCGAGAGAGTATGCATGTCATCTGGCGGATCAACAAGGACCGTGAAGATGTGACCCCGGAGCCCTTCAATCTTACAAAGTATCTTGCGTGTGGCAAGGACTTAAAGATCTGGGCATTTGCAATGATCTTTTTGTAAGTGGTTCCATCTGTCCACTGGGCATGTTTTCCCCAACTGACTTCCAATCAAAAGGGTCACAAACGTGGTCAACTACTCGATCTTGTATTTCTTGCCCATTATCCTCAAAGACGGGATGGGTTTCAGCACTGCCGCTGCGCAGTGTCTAGTTGCTCCCCCGTACGCCTTTACGGCATTCTGGATGTATGTGACCTCGTGGGTTGGTGACCGATATCGAGTCCGAGGACCGATCATCGTTTTCAACTGCTTGGCTTGCATTATTGGTCTCCCAATCATGAGTCTGGCAAAAACCAGTGGTGTTCGCTATTTTGGCGTCTTTCTTGTCACCGCAGGGTCGAATTCAAATACACCATGCGCCGTGGCTTATCAAGCTAATAACATTCGTGGACAATGGAAGAGGGCGTTTTCCAGCGCCAGCTTGATTGCGGCGGGAGGGATCGGCGGCATAATCTCGAGTGTGGCATACAGGGCGCAAGATGCGCCTACCTATCGCCCTGGCATCTGGACATCATTTGCGTGAGTATCGCCTCCTGTCATCTCTGCCTCCGCACCTCTGACGTCTCTTCTAGGTTCAATTGTCTGAACGTTGCCGTTGTCGCGATCCTGACGTTGTACTTCCGTCGCTGCAATCGAAAGGCTGACGCCGGTAGTCTGGTCATCGAGGGGCTTGAGTCGTTTAGGTACACGATTTGAACCTCTTTCGCCTTGGAAGGTCAGTTTGGTCGTTCACAAGCGTCCACTGCGAGGGGGAGAAAGAAGACTTGGTGCCACTCTGTGCTGTGGGAATCATAATGCCCCAGAGCAAGATGGTATTTGAGGCACATGAAGGTGGTTGGATAGTTTGCCATTCGTTTGATGGTGTGACATGGGATGAGTGGAAAATCTATTACTGGATCTCTTAAAATCGTATTGTTGCAGCCCATGCAACTACAAGAAATACCTATTTTGTTTTCACCCAGTATGCGCATGCAGATCACAGCCCATTTACTGATCTCAAGATCCATGTCTTCGTGATCTGTCAAATCATGTCAACAATACCCAACAGTCACCATTTGTGTTACAGATTCAGGAGGTCAGACAGACCAACCCTTCATTTCCTCACCTTCGCCCAGGAAGCCACCACGTCTTCTCGGAGACGTAGCACGCCGGCCTCGAACTTCCCCAACGCATCTCGCCATACGAACTCGGGTATCGGAGAAGCCCATTGACACACATGGTTGCACTAGGCATGTAATCAATTGCGACTTTTGTGGCACGAACTCTCATTTACCGAGGCTCACAAACTTGGTATACAATCCCGCCTTCTTTCGCGGTCTTACCGGCCCACCAATGGCGTTCGAGCGGCAATTTGCTCGCCCCTTGTGGTTGGAGCTTTGTCTTTGGTAGCGATACAATGTCGTCAAAGTGGATGCCCAAGTTCGTGTGAAGCATGTTGAGATAATGCTTATGATTTGACAATCGGCTAAATGTCAGATATATCGGTTAAAGGCGCGTCATAGAAGGTAATGCCGAACTGTCTCTTGAACTTAGTAGGCTCAAGAGCTCTGGACGCTCGTTTAACTACTGTTGGAGAGGCACAGTGGATAATTGTCTGGCAAATGTGGAAAGGAGTGTCAACGGCGACAAGAAGCCTCCGAGTGGAGAAGGCCTGGACACGAACAGAAATGACTCTGGCGCAGTGCCCGGGTTCTTTTTGCGTGCCGATTTGACAGCATTGCCAACAAGTGGCCTCAGTAAATCAGCGATGTTGAATTTCAAGTGGACTCCTTGCTGAGAGGCTTGGGGTATTTACATTTTCACAAGTAATTGAATTGATGTACGACTCCTTCTCCGACGGACAACGCCCCGCTCTGGCTTTGACACGGCGACTTCAACCCATCTTCGCCTGTATTCTCAGGCTTATCGCGTCATGTTCTTTTCAAAGTGGCCACAATCACGATCCTCTAACCTGATCCTTATCTTGAGCAATGAGCTTCAAGGACGAGGTGAAGTCCTGGAGAAAATGCCAAAAGAGCTTCTCGCGCCATCCCTTCTTTTTCCAGTCGTTAGCAGGAAGAGGGAACAGATCAACTATTCCTCCAAGGAGGTCTGTATCATGTGCGTAAATGAAAAGGACGTGGTCATTTGCGTCTGCCTCTTGTACCTTTGAGATGGTGCGGATAGCCTCTGGAATATCAGTTCCCAGCTTGGGGTCGAAGAGTGACTGGTTTATCTCTCTTAATCTGTTTTTTTGAAGGTCTTCCAAGAGAGCGCCAGGACATACTTGCCTGGGAACGTCCAGCAGACTTTCGACGGCCATTCCTCCTGGGAGTGGGTTGTACTTGGAAGGTCTAACTTCGCCGCCATGGTGGCACAAGTCGCCGCCCATGAAGATGAAAGTGTCCGGGGCTTTGGTGGTGCGTGCAAGCCCTCCGAGGTGGCCAACTGAATGACCTGGTGTATCGAGGAGATAGAAGGAGCCGTCCCCAAAGAAGTCATGCGCTTTGAGCTGTCCCAGGAGCAAGCCGTCGTTGAAGTCAATCTCTCTCACTTTTCGACCCCTTCAGAAAATATTAACGCCTGTTGCCAACTGTGCGCAGGAGCAGAATGCCTAGAGAGAACATACTCGAAATCGGTGTCTCGCAGGAGCGAATTCTGATTAGACGGCCATCCTGGCAGATATTCTTTCACAAACCCTGGTCCAACCACGAGATCGGTGCGGGGTGGAAAAGTAGACGGGTCGCCCACATGGTCCCAATGGTGATGACTGGGAGCCCCGATCAGTACTAAAGCACCGTTTCCTATGATTGACCGAGGACATGAGCAGATTGAAATGATACGAACCTCCAGATAATGACGTTGATAGATTCGCGAGGAGTGCCAGCGTCTTCGATAATATCAGCCACTCCGCGCGTCGAGGTAATTTGCCATCCGTTGGTGCTTATCCTGTTGGAAACAATCGGTGCGTACTCTCTCCAATCGACGGAAATACCGAGGTCGAACAGGATCCGGCTGCCCGATGGATGCTCGATCAGAAAAGACCACGATGGGTGAATCGGCATTGTTAGAAATCCCTCCATTGGGGGTCTCATCAAAAAGTCGACTGAGGAATTTCCAATTCGCGAGGTCGTGTCGATTATCTTGACGGAGACTACCTCTCCGGGGGGCACCTCAAAGAGGTGGTTCCAAGAGCCCATTTTTGGAATTAGGTGGCCAGTGCAAGGAGCGTGGAGTGTCGGAACGAGTGAAAATAAAGTCTGAAAGATAATTATCTTAGAGGACTTATTTCTATACAGATGCTAGAGTAATGGTTCATACCGGGTAATATACCCAAGCTCCAGGTAGGAATGTATTGACCATAAAGACTTCAGAATCGGCCTTCCATTGACTCTGTCGTCCTAGGCCCGCTCAGTGCTCTTTTCTCTATCGTCTTGAATCGTCTCGCAAACAACTAAAATACTTTCGCATTTCGAGCTTGAGGTCATGAAGGCCCCCGAATCTGTCATGGTGCTGGCAAAATCTGGGGAGATCCATGCAATTCAGTATTCGGGTGACTAAGGGCTGTCCAAATGCGGTATAAATGCCACCGTGAATCTATAGGTCAAATGAAAGTGGGCCCTCTAATTCTACCGGCTTGGCAAGGCTAGAGAAGCATTGGAACGCCGGCCGCGGCTATGGACGAGCACGGACATGCACAACAAGGAAGTCTGAGTGAAGGATTACCGATATTTCTTTAAACCGAGCTTCATGCAGGTGAAGTTCCCAGTTTTCCAGACGTTGTGACTCAAGAGCTTCTAGCCGAGTCAGCGCTGCGCATGTGCTGAACCCCTTCAATGTCCATCTTGCTTGTGCCCCAGCACTGTCGGTGAGCTGTGCATCCGTCCAGAGTCTGGCCTGGTAAAATTCGACCGATACAGCATAGCACAATCGTCGAGGATCGGATCAAAACCGCTTTACGGGGGAAAAAGGCTCCCGGCTTGATCTTTGTGACCTCGGTATCGCTGACCAAACCATTGGAAAGTTGTAGGAAGCTGATTGTGCAGGCAATGTATTAGTCATGGTTGCACACCAAGCACTATGCACCAGGCGTTATCGACCAGTCTCTGAATCGCGCGGACAATTTCCTTGCAGAAGGATGGATCGCACAAAGGCGACGGGGTACTCGAGATTTTCGAGAAGCTCTGAGGTAAACTCAAGGTGGTGAGATATAGTTAAAGGCACAATGGCAACCGTCATCATTATATTATACTGGAAAAGCCCACTACATGTTTCAATTAGAGTGTGAGTGAGTGAACGGTTTTGAGCACACGTGGATCCCCTCCCTGACACATTCTGCACGCGTTGCGGTTCATTCTGTACAAAGGAAACCAACAGTCTTCTGGTCGGATCATGGACCTCCAGTAGCCACTCGTCCAGCAGCACACGGTCACCAGTCTCTAACTTTGGTTAGTTTCAGACGTAAGCCGTCTTTCGGCTTCACTGTGATCACTATCGCAGGGATTACTTTCGCCTCTGGCTCGGCCAGTGTCCATTCATACATGCCGATAAAGGCAGCCACCAGCGCCCTCAACTCGGCCCTGGCAAACTGCTGGCCGATGCAGTTACGGGGCCCGTGCAGAAATGTCATGAATGCGTAATTGGTCGAGGCGCCACCGGTCTGATTTGGTTTCCCGGTTTCCGGATCTATCCACCTCTCTGGTTTGAATTCGTGGGCATCGGGACCCCATAGCTCAGGAGAGTTGTTGGTCGCCCAGGGTGCCAATGTGAGTAATGTGTGTGTAGGGATGGGTTGGCCAAGGAGCGTGTTATCTTTCTTACTTTGACGCAACGTAGCCGGCACGGGTGGAAACAGGCGGAGTGTCTCTTGACAGACGCCGTTCAGCAGAGGCAGAGACTCGAGAATTGCATAAACATCGGAATGGGGACTTCTGCCAGGGGCAAAGCCGATAGGTAATGCGTCATGGACTTCTGCGCGAAGTCACGACTGAATATCCGGATGACGGCTGAGGAAGTATGTGATCCATGTAAATGTCGACGAGGTGGTTTCGTGGCTGTCAATCATGTCAGAAACTTGCTAATGCTATGACTACGACAACAGGGGCATAGCATGACATACCCAGCAGCGATGATGGTCAAAAGCTCATCAACCAGTTCATGGTCTGAGAAAACGTCCGCTTTGATCAGAGATGCGAGGACATCGACTGATTCGTCGTCTGCTTGTTTGATGCGCTCCCTTTTCTCGCGCACAAATTTACCGCATAGAGATCGTATCCCACTAACTGCATTGTAAATTGTACGAGAAGCTGACGGTAGGAGGACCTTCGTCCATCGATGACCGAATATCAGGATGGATGCAGCTACCATGCGTGTTCCCAGCGTAGGCGTAAACAAAGTCGCGTATAGTGTGGCCATTTTGTCGTCAGGGTTTTCCAATGTATTGAAGTCTCGACCTAAGCCCGCGACATCTATAATGTCCAGGGTAGCTCGTGGTACCCATCGCTCGATATCTGTAATACCAACGAGCTTTCCTTCGATGTTTGTCACAGTCTCTTGCGGATCGAAGATTTCATCTTCGATAGCTTTTGTCATCTTCATAGCCTTGTCCCAGAACAGGGGATAGAGGTCTTTTACGTGGCGGAAGCTGAAACTTGGTGTGGCGTATTTTCGCTGGAATTTGTGGTATTCGCCTTCGGCGACGACGAGCCCGTCCCCGAGACCCGTGCGTAGAAACTCCCTACTCCTCTCCGGTTTAGGGTAGTCATAAGGCTTATTGACCAAAATCTCAGCCAGTGCTTTGGGGCTCGTCACCAGAATTTGGTCCGAGTTGAATAGGTCTCGGAGACGGATGAGGCCGTCATTCGGAGTTTCCAGGCTGTACTTCAAGTACTCTTCTCCCCGGGTAGCTTTTAATCCAGTGAGGAAGTGACCAAGGATTGGAACGGCTCCCTAGGTTTCCACGCCTTCAGTTCGCGCGCAAAAAGTACGATCATGGGGCCTACGACTTACCTTTGGAGTAGGAAGGTGGCGAATGGGGCTGAGGGAATTTGGATATATAAAAACGACGTAGAGGCTGAATGCGAAGACGTCCAACGCCATAAATGCAGCGAATATGCTCATTGAACCATGTTGCGAAAATAGGTGAGACCAAATTGACCTGAACACAACGGCCTGTATGGTGGCCCCCAGCAGGAGGAGGAGTGGCTTAGGAACATCCAAAGCCATGTTTGCAGTAGCTATAGAACCAACAGAGTGGTCGACAAGTAAGGCCGGTGAAGAATACGTGTTCAATTTCAACTCACTGTGGTAGTATAATCAACATGTACAACACCACGGGCCGAGGTAAGTTAGGGGTAATACGAAATACGGCGCCATAGAACGAGGAGCGACCAGACGTAACCAGTTGGCTGGTTCGTGTTGTGCAGAGAGGTTTCGGCTGACGGTGTTGAGACACTGTCTAAGGATAGCCGGTGCCGAAGTCTAGGTGGACATGCCTCCTGTCTTCCGGCTTCACCTCTGCGCACGGTTTTCCTTGCTCACTTCATAAGCGTTCCCCTAAGCTTTGGGCAGTGTGGTTTTCGATACCGTATCGATGAGCCCGATACAATACCTAGTATAAATTAGATAGTATCGGTATTATAGGAATACTCTTAGCGTTCTCGTCCACCAAGACCCAGTTATATTGTACGGGGATCGAATTCGTTGGCATGCACGTGCAAGAGCGCACAGGGGCCTGTCCAGGGGCCGGTAGATGGGCGCGGTGCTCTGGTCGTGACGCTGTCTCGCTCGCCTGCTAACAACAACAACAACAAAACAAACAAACCAAACGCTGGAGGTCGGCGTGTAGTCGCTGTAGCAGAATCGATCGCAGGACGGTCTGCAGCACGTCGCAGGCACAATAACAAAGGACGAACAGAAGGTTTCGAGCACAACTAGCACTCTGTTCGCTATCTTGAAGTAATGCCGTCTTGATCTGTTGCTGTTACTTAAGGACTATCAAAACTATTGCCAACTCCGCCATTGGTAAAGCACCTTGTACAGTCACGTGACTATACAACTTGACCACCACGCCAGCCCATTACAATATATCGTCATGAATTCATGGAACTCCTAGTGAAATGGTCGGGGGGATCATAACGAGGTACTAGGAAAGTAATTATCTCCGTGGCCCATTCTAGAGATGGATTTATTCTCTCTTCTTTTCCCTGTTCGACACAGAAAATAGGCAACCACACTATCGGGCGAAAAGAACATCGAGCCCACTGCGGGTAAGAGCGACCCATAGTCATGTCTAGGAAGGGATTGGGCATTGACGCTCCGCACACACCGTGGACGTCGAGCACTTATGTGGCTATTATTGACTGGATAAAATAGGCGAACGTGACTGAGCCTCGCAGTTAGCCTCGCATTTTGCCTCTAGAGTCTAGACTCGCCTGCCTGACTATATCCTATCTCGATTTTTGGCTCCTACAGACCTTGTTATCGCAACAAAATTCTGGAGAGAGGCTGTTTGTGGAGAGAGCTTTTTGTTGAAAAATCTTTTTGAACCATCACAACGGGATAATTCGGTCGTGCAGCATACCAAATCTGAGAAACAGTCGTGGTAAGGCTTTACAAGGAGCGGTAAGGCTGAGACTCCTTATTGGTGCTGAAGGCTGCACGGTCGAAGTAGACCCCTGAGTAGGTTCCGAGCATTTTGACGCTACTTTAGATGTCAGGGACCGAGCTCTTTGTCTCTCGTCTTGTACTCCATAGTGCATCAAGCTAGCAATCTCAAGGACTCAGAACCCATCGAACATCACTAGACCGTTTTGGAACCCCTCAACACCCTTCTATCCGTCTCCGTCCCTGACACCAAACAGTCATCCATGAGACATATACGGTGCTCCTTAGGTCTCAGCCGAGTGACGGAAGAGTCGAAAGTTGCCAGGCAGCAGGCTTGGCTGAAATAAATGAGGGATTACAGCTGGGGAACTCTAGCCGAAGCCCAAAGGGAACCCTCTGAGCCCGAACTGGCTTCTGCGAATGGGCATCAGGCAGCACTGCTCGGGCGCGCTCCCCTGGCGCTCTCCCGTGCTCGGCCGGGCGTCGTGGGACTCACAGCAGAGTATGGGAGAGCGCAAGGGGAGCGCGCCCGAGCACTGGCCCCTCACCTCTTACGATCGGCTCTACTCGGCTCTCGGCTAGACATCTGTTTCAGACAGGCGTCAGGGAACGGGAACCCTGGCAGATTCCCTGCCCTTACGCTGCCGCCTACCTACTGCAAGTACCTAAAATTTCCTTGTACAGTCGTTGCAGGAAATGTGCCTGCAGTTCAGGTGGCTGGAGGCGGCCGGGTGTCGGTTGGGTAATAATAATAATATGTGGACGCTCATGGGCCGCAGCTTTTGACGCCGGGACGTGCACGTCAAAATCCTCTCCCTCCTTGCTCTCGGCCTTTCTCCTTTCCCTTTATTCCCTTGGCCGCCCTGGCCTCGACAACTGTCCACTTGTGTCGTTTCACATTTGTTCCAGCCCCCAGTTCTCTACCAGCTTCTCCACCATCCGTGTCTCCCCGCCTGTACGAGGTACCGCATTCTGATAGCTGGCGTTGCGTGGACGGGCTACTTCTGTTGCTTCTTTCCTTCCTTTTGTGCTCACAAAGGATACAGGATTTTTTCACGACCCTGCTATATCTCGATGTCACGCTCTTCCAGGAGATAAGGAGCACCTCGACCTATTTGGTTGCTAAGCCCAGTGGCTTCCTTGGCCTGTCCTTGTACGGGTAGCTAGGCGCAGCGCGTAGTGAATCAATGACATCCTTGTCACCTGGAGTCCATCTTAAGGCTGATACTACCATCCACCCTCTTCCTCGCAGTTGCCTTACTGTGCAGCAAACTGCTATTGACCCCTCTTCAGGCACCCATTTCGCCCCTTGCCATGCCTCGTCGTTTCTAGCTCTCCATCTCCCTCCCTAAGATAAAGCAGGCTTCCTACATTGGTCACCGCACCTGGTGTTATTACGAGTCACTTCCTGCTCGAGGCCTCATTATTGTCTTTTCTTTGTCTTCATATCAACAGTCCTGCTTCCATCCTCGATAGGAGACTCAAGTCATTGACAATCCTCCAGAATGAGTCTCCGCAAGCGTCGGGCTAGCGACGGTGGTCAGCCAACAGCCAAATATGCTCGTACCGAAACTACGGACTCTCGACTTGATCAGGTGAAAGGACTTCGCCTAATATATTATCATCGTTCTAATTTCCATGGTAGGAGACGACTGGATCTTCTGACTTTCCTGAGGTCCGTGGCGACTTCAAAATAGTGGTCAAACTTAGATCCACGTCCAAGGCTGCCCGCAACGACCCAAAACTCACACTGCCTCAACGTGAGCTATACCGAAAGATCCTCTCAGAACAGTCTAATGGAGGACCAGCTACTGCAAGACATCGCGCAGCAGCTTACTTTGCAGCCCGTCGTCTCAAACCATCTCACGACGAAGACGAATCCGAATCCGATAAGCAGTCAAAAACCACCAGTGAGAATGGCGATGCTGGCAATATTCACAAAAACTACTCCCTCGAAAGGGTACCCATGAGCATGGGAGAGACCGGGAAAGGTATCGATGAAGAAGAAAGTCAAGGAGACGATGTCGTGACTTGCCAGCATGGCGAGCAGATCGAAGGTGGTGCCGAACATGAAAGTGAGGACGACGACGAAATTGACGACGGCTACGATGAAAGTGACATGGACGTCGAAGATGACAGTAATGAAGACACTAGCGAGGACGAAGATCGCTCCGATTTTGATCCAGATTATGAGTTCGAGTGGCTAGAACCAATCGTTGTCGAAGCAATTCCTACTGCAAACCTAGACGAACACGGCGAGCCGATGAGGGTTGCATACTGCGATGCGAAGTTGATTAGAAGAGGCCAAATCCGGGATGATTTCTATGGACAGATGGAGCCACCTTCAAACGAGACATCAATGCTCGCGCTTGACCTGTTCGACCGGTATGGTCGACTGAGATCTGAGTTCAAAACCCACCCGGTCATCAAGGGAACTGGTGTCTGGGGTCAGGAACTGGATCACGGGGATATACTCCTCATTGAAGAAGTCTTTGTCAACAAAGACTACCGCAGACAAGGACTTGGTCGAAGAATGATTGAGTCACTGTTGACACGGGCCTGGGAGAAGACGTGGTCTTTCTTTGCTTTCGTCTGGCCAACCTTCTTGAGATTGAACGACCTCCGCCGAGAATGGGACAGCTTACCAGACGATGCGGAAAGACGTAAATTGGAAGAACGCGAACATGACCGGGCTACCATGTTTTACAGGTCTTTAGGATTTCGAAGGGTGGGATCCACCATCTGGTTTGCGTTGGCTCCCAACAACGATCATCCCTCTCACCAGCTTGCCTCAATAGAGGACTTCAACCCCCCAAAGCCGCCTTCAACCTCTCTCCATTCCCTCTTGGCCCCATTACAGCAGATTGCCGACCCTCCTCCGTCCCCTCTCGTCCGAATATTGAACCCGCAGCCTCGCGAATCCCCAGACTTTCTTGACGTGCTCCAGAACTGTATGCAAGAAAATGGCTCAGCTGACGCCTGCTGGACGAGTAAGGATAAGCATGGCAATACAGTCCTTCATCTGACTGCGTCAATATTCAACGTTGCGTGCGTGGAATGGGTTTTGAAGCAAGATTTCGGAGCTCGGCTTCTTGAAATGCGCAACAATCGGGGCGAAACCCCTCTGGAATTAGTGCAATTCAAACTTGAAAGACTCCGCACGCAGAAGGTTGTCAATCAATTGACCATACCTGTCTCCGACCGATTCGAAGGACATAATGATGATGCTGTCCGTTGTTTGGTCTTGCTGAAAGGACTGGAGTCTGTGGAGTCTCTCGGAGAGCTCCACGATCCGGATGCCTTGCAGCGAATAGTTGGCGGATGCACGTGCGGACAATGTCTGGGGGGTTTTTTGAGTCCTAGGATGTCGCACGCTCTCCTATGTCAGGCTCACCTCGGATACGATATGATGAATGGTGACCTAGATCAGTTGCCCGGGCTAGACTGGGTCGAAGATTGGGAGAATTATCTCGGTTACTTGCCTTCGAAGGTGCTGGACAACCTCACTACGAACAAGTCCATGCGTCAGGGCTTTGTGAATCTCTGGCTGCACGTTGGGACCTGTCTGGAGAAGGGGGCCGTGCCTAACACATCCAATGTGTTGGACGTTGTTAGATCTGCTCGCGAGTGGCCTCCTGCTACCAGAAATTTTCTTCAAAGAGGAGGCACCGTGGAGTCAGTGTTTCTGGCGATATGTAGAGAGGCCATCAAGGAGGACAAGTGGACGGGAGGTGGGGAGTACCAGGAGATAATTGGCGAGGAAATTGGAAACCTACCTGAGTGTAGGAATGACTGTGAGTTTGGCTATGTTAGTGGTATGTGCGGTTACAGGCGTATTTGTCTCAGACCGACAGTGGATATGATGGGCAATCGTCTTGACGAGGACGGAAACATTATCGATTCGGGACTGTAGCTGATCCGCAAGCCGGTATGCCAGCCACTTTTGGAAAATATTGTCAACCAGACCACGTAGTAATTGGGAGGTGCCGAAGTGTCCGTCAGCGCCGGCGAAGAAGAGCAGTCAAGAGCACTCCCTGAAGATGACTGCCTCAAGATGTGAAAACCTAGTTAGCGATGGAGGCACTGATGAGCGGCTGCGCATCCCGTGGTGGCAGCTAGGGAGCCCTTCGTAGAACTCCCCCCCCCCCCCAATTGGCTTGTGACGTCCCGCCGATCAGACTTGGTTTGCATGGGCAAGGGAAACGGAACTTTTGCTTGCCGCTGGTCGTAGCGGCGGGCTCATGTTCAGCAAGCTTGGTTCACGCCGCGCGTGCTGTCACAATCACGAACTGGGGTACCGAGGTGCATGGTGGCGTCGTGCCGTTGTTATACCATTGTGGTACCAAGCCATGTTAAGTGGCAGTGAAGCGCCTTGCTGGGCGGTGGCTCGCGGTGTGGTCCAGGCAACAGTCTGGGTTGCCTACAGTACCGTGCTGCGACAGAATCCTGGTGGATTCTTATCGTGCTTTGGCAGAGGGGACTCCCAAAATCGAGGCGCGAGACTGGCTCTGCCGCCCTGGTACTGTGAATCTGCCACCATATATCTCTCATGGCAGATGCAAAGCCAGACTTCTGAACCGAAGATAGTATGTGTCTAGAACAACGGCAATTACTTCAAACGCACCCAACACACCACGATGGATGTGCTCAATTCAGACATCGCCCTAGGTACCTGCGAAGAGGAGCCGCCGCCTGTCAGCAACTACGTCGTCGCCGTAGATTTCGTCACTGCATTCTCATACGTGGCTTTCGTGAGCCACACCCACGAACACTAGCGATAGTACATTGCCTTGAATTATATCGAGCTGGTTGGCGACTATCTAGATTGGGTCGACACCAATGCGCAGATACGAGACGTGCCGACAGAGCTTTGGTACCCAAACCCAGGCCATCAGACAGATGGAACCAACAGCTTTGTGATTGAGGAGCAGATGGCGGACCAGGTGCAATATTCCAAAACAGGCGATGATGGCAATTCATTGTAGTCGGATTCAGAATCTGAGTCCAGCACGTACCATCGCGAGGCACCGAAGCCCCCGACGTCTACCCATACAACTCCAGAGTTGTTTTGGGGATACAGCGTGGCTCATCAGCTGGACATCGCCGAAGCGTTCGACAGCTCCAAACGTGTTGGTCGGTTTAAGCTCTTGCTTCACGATGGGCCGGAATCTGCGAAGGCAAGGGCACTCCTAGAAGAGGCATGTGTCATGTTGAGGAAGAACGGGCTGATCGAGGACGACACTGATCTGATCGCTCATTATCTTGAGCAGCTTTTCAGGCATACTCGCTCGAGATTGGTGGAGGACGGGTACACAGAGGATTCAAAGGTTGAGTTTGTGCTTTGCATCCCTGCAATTTGGAAAGCGTGTGCCTCGAGGAAGATGCAAGCTGCCATGGCACAAGCGATTCGAAGATCCAACTTTGGGAAGCCTCAAAACAAGAGCATCGACAACTTGTTTATTGTTTCAGAGCCACAAGCTGCTGCAACAGCGGCTGTACAGAGTAACAAGGCCCACTTCAGAGTAGGTCCCGACCCGAGATAGTCTATCACGCGTTATGCGAACTCATGCGCCTTAGGCTGGGGAAACGGTTCTCATTCTCGACGCTGGCGGAGCAACGGTAGACGCAGCGACATACACCGTTGGCAATACGGTGCCTCTACGCTTCGAGAAAGAAGTGGTTGAACTTGGAGATCTGTCAGGGTATGGATCGGGTATCCTGGGCCAACAAGATGCAGGTGCACTTTGTGGATCAACCTGCATCAACGAACGATACGAAGAGGTGTTGGTCGAAAAGCTCAATGAGCACTATCTGTGGCAGGAAGGGTGATAGATCCCGATTCATTGACCGCTTAGTTATTGCGTTTGAAAGGATCCACAAGAAGAAGTTGGACGAGATGTTCTCCGACAACATCACTTGGTATCATATCCCAGTGCCGGGTCTTCGGGCCAACCAGAGAAAGAACTTCCTAACCAACAGACTCTGCCTTCGGCGGTGAGCAGGAACTTGAACCGTCTTGGAAAAGCCCGGCATCTCACAGATCTACAGAAGCGAGACCAAGGAGCTCTTCAGAGACTCTGCGGAAAAGTGGTGGAGGTGATGGAGAAATAGATCAGAGCCGCTAGGAGCAAGGAGAGGGATTCACGCTTTGTTACGGTATAGTCGGTGTCGGCCACAGGAAGCCTAACTGCTAATGATTGAACAGCAAGTGGTTTTAATGGGAGGCTACGGCTGGTCACGCTCCCTTGCGGCCCACCTGGAAAGCGTTCTCGCAAAGGACGCTACGTACGACGGGATCGAGCTGAAATACCTAACTTCAGAACTGGCTGGGTCTGGATTAACGGATCACACAAGGAGCCGAGGCGATTGGAGAAGTATCATGCGATGTATCCCACTTGAAGAACACGGATATGGCGAAAATGACGCCTGCGGCTGGTCGGGGCAGGTTTCCGTACTGGAAGGTCTTCGCAAGGCTGTTTGTCATTGTCGATGGGCGAAATATGCGCTATGAAGTGCGACTACGGAACGAGGGCACAGACCTGGCACCGAAAGCCGTGGGCCAAGAGAGCCTGGCTCCCGCGTTTCTGCCAGGCACCGCATAGCCTTAGCCATAACCCCGAAGCAGTAAACAGGCTCATCCGTCAGGCCTGTTTGCCGAAAGATCTGTGTCCATTAGTAGGGCAGTATGGTGGAGCAGAGGAGCCACTTCTAACATCATTGAGTTAGTCCGACACGCTTGGAGGTATCACGGATGTAGGGTCTTTTCATTGCCACGTAACTCCGGGGCGCCTTAGGGCTCGCCAAGCCCGTGCTCAGGATGGCACAGCCACACCTCAGAATGACCGAATCATGGCTGATGTCGCCGTGAGGCTGTGTTCACGGCCTGCCCACCAGATACTTGCGCCTTACCCTGCGTGCGAACAAGGCGCAGCCTGATGAAGCGACATAGGCAAGATGGGGACTGCAGTGATCATCGTAATTGTGAACTTCTTCCCTTGTTCCATAATCTAGTGTGCACGACGCGTAAGGTCGTTGCACACCATTTCTGCTCAGCTTGCCGTCACGGCGGCCGCAGGGTCGACCAAACCCTCACTATGCGCTTCCTACAAGTCACTGACGGTGGAGAGTTGAGCCTCACCGAGGACCTGGGCGAATCTTCTACACCCTACGCCGTCTTATCCCATACGTGGGGCCACAAGAACGACGAAGTCAGCTTCCATGACGTTGAGAACAGGACAGAAAAGACAGAAAAGACAGTAAAGAGCAAGGCTGGATACACGAAAGTGTCATTTGGAATCAGGCAAGCACGAGTCGATGGGATAGACCTTTTCTGGGTGGATACTTGCTGCATCGACCAGAACAGTTCCGCGGAGCTGACAGAAGCCATCAACTCTATGTTTCGATGGTATCAAAAGGCGGCCAAATGCTATGTCTATCTCTCGGATGTACGTGTGGACCCGAACCTCCAATCGTCTACGAGCCGTTCCTGGGAACCTGCCTTTCGATCCAGTCGGTGGTGGAGGCGTGGATGGACACTACAAGAGCTCCTGGCGCCGACTGTAGTTGAATTTTACTCCGTGGAGGGTATACGGTTAGGGAGCAAAGAGACGCTAGAAGCGCTTATCAACGAGATTACCGAAATTCCACTATCGGCTCTGCGGGGCGCGACCTTGGACACATTTACCGTGGATCAACGCCTTCAATGGGCTAAAGGTCGCCGTACGAAGAGATGCGAAGACGAAGCTTACTGTCTTCTGGGAATCTTTGGCGTCTTCATGCCTCCAATATATGGGGAAGGCGACGACAATGCATATAGGAGGCTATTGGATGAGATCGACAGAGCTTCGCGGAACCAGTACAATGGCCGCTTGGGCCCTTACGTGCTTACGACACGGCCAGAGCAGACGAGAACGGCACCCGTCTTCGGCAACAATCTGTTGCCGCTTGGACTTCCCATGGGATCTGGTGTCGACCAGAGAAATAATGCCTTTGCAGCGCTTAAGAAACGAAGTCCGCAGCATCTTTCTTGTGAGGTGGACAAGTACTGGAACTATTTCAAGAAATACAACTACGACAAGGCTCTTTCTCGCGCATCCATTGCAGCCACAGGATCCTGGAACTGGTTCACCAGCCACGCTGATTTCTGCAAGTGGTCATCGTCAGCAGTCAGACCAGTAAAGGATCCTCCGCAATTCTTCTGGGTGATCGGGTCGACCGGGACAGGAAAATCGGCCCTAGCCGCTTACACGATTGAAATCCTGCGAAAGAGGCAGCCCACGTCGTCGAACGGCACACCTCTAGTCCTATACAGCTTACATGAAGTGCCCAACAACCAAAATAGTAGCCAGATGATCTGTGTCTTGATTCACCAAATCTTGGAATGGCATCCAAGTCTACGAGAAGCAGCATACCTGAGGGACATGGGTGCATTTGGTCATCTCACATATCATTGGAACCGACCAACGACACATCTTTGGCCCTTGTTGAAAAGTCTTCTCACGCAAGCTCTGAATCATGTGGACACAATATTCATCGTGTTGGACGAGGTTTACAGACTAGATTTTGAGCCTCAGAAAGAGTTCATCGAGCAGCTAAGATCCTGCGAAGGCGATATCCGAATTCTGCTTTCCTGGAGGCCATCCAGCGGACGACATTCTTCGGACGACACACTTCTCGCCGAAGGCAAACCAAACGCGGTGATTCTGGATCTTGAAGACGACCAGTGTGCGATGTCCGGTATTGACAGTGACCTAGATCATTATGTGAGAGTTGAGCTACAATCAGCAGCCTTCGAACATTTCTCAGAGGCTGTCAAAGTTCAGACATTGAAAAGCCTTAGACAATCAGCTGGCTTCACCTTCCTAACGACTAGCCTTACCCTCGCCTGGCTGTCAATGGCTCAATCGAAAGACACAGATCAAATTCTGGCGCAGCTCTCATGCTTTCCAGTCGACATTGAAGAAATTTACAAGAGGCTTCTAGACGGATTGCGACATATCTGTGACGATACTAGCGTCATTCCAGAAGTTCTTAAAGCCCTGATGTTTGGGTTTGAGTCTTACACCCTTGCAGAGATGACCGCCGTCGTCGACTGGTTTCGCTACGATGCTGGGCATCGCATCTCCCCGAAAGACCTGCGCTTTGCTCTCGGTCATTGTCGTCCCCTGATTACTCTGAGAGGCAAGACTGAGAGAATCCAATTCTGCCATCGCTCTGCTAGATCCTTTTTGCTGTCATATCTCTCTGCTCTTTCCCCTCAAGATTCGTTCTCTATGAACAGCAAATACAGTCACCAACAGCTAGCAAGCATGTGTCTCTCAATCATGGTATCAATGAAGCACGTGAAATGGCCACCTAAGCGACTTTACTACGGCGATCTCCTACAGCCTATTTTCAACCAAAAGCTCCTTTCAGGGTATGCCTTCCGTCATTGGTATCGACATCTGCACGCAGCTTGCCAATCAAAAACATTTGGGGATCTTTCACGGGAGCTTGTTGAAAACGTCCGACAATTCAGTAGGCTTTGGATGGAGCCTGACACCGACACCGAGAGCCTTCGTCATGTGATTATCAACCTCGGCGAAGTGTCTGGCGCTGAAGATTTTCAACGCAAACTGCATCGATTTGAACTGTTCTGCGCCCTAGGTCTCACATCATTCGTCCAGGCCATATTGGATAGCAAAGTCAAAATCATTAACATACCTGTGTTCAAGAAGCGTTTCGAGAAGGCCCTAGCCCTTTCAATCAAGCATGGCCACCTAGAGACCGCTAAGATGCTCATCAAGCGTTATAAAATCACGTGTTTGGATGGCCCGGCTTACAATGGCCTTCTCCTGGCCACTGCTCGGCTGGGTATGCGTGAACTCATGGAGCTGGTCCTAAAATTGCGCAAACGTGAACCCATGGAGGTCAATATGGCCCACGGAGCCGCCGTCCTCACAGGTAACCGGGACGTTTATCAGGCTCTGTCCAAGGGCAAAGCTTTTCAAGGTCAAGGAAGGTGGGGAGAAACAATTCTCCATGCTCTATTCTCAGAAAGGTCCACAAATCTAAGTGGCACAGACTTGTCAGACGCCGCTCGAGTGAGAATGCTCGTCACGCAACAAGGCATCGACCCCAACGTGAAAGAACAATCAATGGGGAATACCGCGTTGCATCTGGCTTGTTGGAATGGGTTTGGTCCAGTTGCTGTAGATGAACTCATCGCCGCTGGTGCCAACACCCTGAGCCAGAACAAGTTCGGCTGGACTCCATTGCATCTGTGCGTTCGGTACGGCCGGTTTGAGACGACAGAACTGCTGATTAAAAAGGGAGGAAGAGCGCTTGTTGAAAAGCTGACAAGAAACCGCAACTCGGCGCTTCACTGGGCTACGGAGACCATGTCTGCGAACACCTGTTTTGACAGTCTATGTTGCCCTGTTCTCTACCAAAGGGAGATCTATGAAGAACAACGCATTAGATCGGTGAAGCTGCTCCTTGAGAATGGAGCGAATCACCTCCTCATGAACGCGAGAGGAGAGCCTGCGGGACGGAAGGCTCTCTCTGGACCCTCGGGTCAAGCACTCCTGAAGAGTATACAAGCATTTAGCAACATTGAGAGGGTCTCAACTCATGCACAGCTGTCCGACTCGGAGACCGTAGGGGAGAGGTCGCCGGGTGAATGGGAACCGTCTCCTCTCATGACCTCTGAGTCGGACAGTGACATCCTCACAGATACTGCTCGTAGCTGGAGCGTAGCTGGAGCATAGCTGGAGGCTGAAACGGGGAGCGGTGCATCGCTGAATTTTCCCTTCTCAGCACAACAGAAAGCGCCGGAGTCTGGATTTCACGACGGCTCTAAATAGGCCTGAAACGGCCACAGGTGATGGATATAGGAGACAGTCTACATAGTAAGGATTCTGACGATGGATATAGCAGGGAATCTCAAGGGCTGGGCTTACGACAGTCCGGTGAATTCATGGTCCTCCGTATACAGCCTAGAACTACACACAGTACAGCCTCATGGCCTGACAAGCACTCCCCAAACACTGCTCAGAGCTCCTTCTAATCGAGGCGGACGCTGCACCGCCCCCCCCCCCCCCCAAACCAAAAAAAGGAAACGCACAAGCGATGCATCCAAGTCTCATATTATTCTATCCCGATTTGATTGGATTTGACGAGTTGCAAGAAGCCATTTTCTGGGCTGTACGGGCCGAGGCCCCGAGTGTTGCGTCCGTAGGCACTAACCAATGGCTTGGATGAAGGAATCAGCAAACCCATCCAACGCGTCACCACACGGATGGTAGGATCGAAAGTTTCCAGGCAGCAGGCTTGGCCGAAACGAATGAGGGGGACGGCTGGACAAGTGTAGCCGAGGGCCCAAAGGGGATCCTCTGAGCCCGAACCGGCCTCTGCGGATGGGCATCAGGGCAGCGCTCCCTGTGGCTCGTCTAGTGCTCGGGCGTGCCCCTCCAGTGCTCCCCGTACTCTGCCGTGGCTCCCTCGATGCTCCGTCACGTGCCCAATTAAAACGGCCTAGCTCCCTTTCCCAAACGAAAATGGTAATGGACGAGGCGCTGTTTGGGGCATATAATATATATGTATACATATCATCCCCAAATCGTCGTCCCTCGCACCTATCCGGCTGACTCATCCCCGGCCGCTTTGCTCTTCCGCTAACGACTATTTAGTCGACTTACTCCCCCGTCCGCTCTCTTCTGCTCCCTTCTTCTCTTTCGCGCTCCCCTTCCACTTTCTCCTACTCGCCCACGGCTCTAGCCCGCTCCTGCCGTTCTCCCTCTCTCTCTTACGGGCTAGTGAGGCTCCCATTCGGGCTCCAGTCTCCCAGGCGCTAATGTTGCGCACATCTAGCCTGGTAGTAACTCTACCCGATCACATCGACAAGGGCCAGTTTCGGCCCTGATGTAAAGTTGGATCCTAGAGAGGATACCCTACTTTGTCGCTACTGGACGGGGTCAAACGAATCCCCCAGTTCTGTAGGGCTACGCTTCTCTTCCTCTCTTCCTCTCACTGTCTTCTCTTCCTCTTCCTCTCTCGGTCCTCATATTTTCCCCTGCCCTCCCTCTACTTCTCGTGCGAATCCCTCCTTGTTCGCGTTTCGTCGTACTTTAACCCTCCCTCCCCAGTCGTCTTCTTTTCCTTCCCCCTCGGCGCTCGTCTTTCTTTGATCTCCTGCTCCACTGCTGCAACCTGGATTCCAGCAATATGATTCGACAAGTCATACGTACAGAACAGTGAGATTGTTCGTTTTGCAACTTCGCTCTTCATCGACTCATCAAAATTTGTCCTTTTGTGTGATAATACATGAGCCAATCCAGCTGGCTTCCCCAAGATTTGTGGTACAGTTTTCTGCCGTCTCAATCCAAGCAAGGAGATGTAAGAATGAATTAGAACGAAAGAGAGCCGCCTGATGCGTGCAATGAGCGCGTTCGATCACGGGGGTCAGGCTCGGAGTTGGCAACGAGGGCTTGATGATAGATATGACAGCGAGGCTTAGGAAGGTGGACGTGGTTATACAGGAAGGGGAGCAGCGATGGGCGCGGACTTCCGGGGGGGGGGGGGGGAGTGGAATAAAAGATCTGGACGTGCAAAAGGTTTACACCTCTTGGATCAGGTATGAATGTCGTGATATTAAGCTGCCGACGGCCACGTCAATTTCAACAACGCCCGTGGCCGTCACGGCATTTCATCGTCGGTGCTTTTCATCAGACACTTCGCAACGGGATCAGTCCCCGGGCCATGCCTATCGGGCTGATGCCTCATCTCCAGAGGTTGCAACTGATATTCGGCGTGCGAGACTTCTGAGCGGCGAGGATCTGACGATTGGTTGGTGCCGAAGTGATCCTGCTCTTCTGCTTCACTAAGCGCAACGGTCTCATGGTCACTGTTTCGCCCGTGATCTGAAACGATTGAGGGCGTGAATCGCAAAGAGGGTGAATGTTCCTCACGGCCCGAGATCAACGGGCCGGCCACTCCTTCATGTCCAGTTGTCTCGTCGCCAGCTTCCTCTTCTGGAGTGTCGAGTTCGTCCTGTGGTACAGACACGAGTTCAATACCCTATTTCAGCGCACCTGTCCTCGTCTTGAACCATCCTAGACGAGTTCGGACTGTCCAGTCCTTCATTAATTTTGTCTTGACCCTTGTTCCTAATCAGCTCGAGCAAGTCTTCACTCGCGACTAAGAGTGCAAGCACGTCCGCAACCGTCTCAATTTTCCTTTCGAACCAACCAATATATGCCTTTGAGACAAGGGCAGTCACTGCAGCTGTTGCAATGAGCCAAAATATGATGACCGCTGATTTCCAGAACGCGGTCTTTGAAGACTTCAGAAGCACAACCGATTTGGATATGCTGAGGTTGGCCACATTGCCTACGTACTTTTGCGTCCTAAGATTGTCGTCGTCGTCTCACTTCCCGTAATTCCCTGGCTTTCCCAGGCCAGCTGGTAAAGTCGAATTCACCTTTTGCCACGTCCAGCCGCCTGTATCATCCGTGACATTACTACTCGCGTAATGTTGGAAGAAAGTCGAAAAAGTTCGGTTCGCAAGCTGACCCAACGTATCGTGATCCAACATTGCGGTCTGATTATAATCCACCATGGACAGCATGGCGTAAGTCATGTAGTCCACATTTAAACCTGGAGAGCGGATGTTGAAAGTGGTGCTATTAGTGTTTTCGCGGGTGTAATCGTCGTAGCCAGTGTTCTCGTCGGGTCCATAGATGTTGCCAAGGTCAGCTGCCGTAAGCAGGGCATCTAGAAAAAGGATGCCGTAGCTGTGAAAGCCGGTCAGTAAAGCTTGTGCAGCGAAAGCACACAGGCCAACTTGCCTTGTTGTAATATTAATCAGCAAGAAATCCTCGGAGTTCGTGATATTGTTCGACCACGTTTTTAAGGCATCTGACCATGCGTGTAGATCAAGCTGGGGATCATCTAGGATGGCGTAAGTATACACTCTCTCGCTAGAAGAGTCGACTGTCACGGAAGAGTTGGCAATCTCAATGATAGGCGCACAGTTTAATGCAGCCATTTGAGACGGTTCGGACCAGATCATATGGGACAAGCCATTGCTGCTGTTACTCTTATACTGTTGTAACTGCGAGCCATGAATCCATTTCACAGTGAAGTTGTAAGGATTTGTGGACGACCAAAGACTCAGCTTTCCAAGCCCCAGATTAGCAGACCAAAATCCAATGGAAGCGGGTCCAGGATCCGTTGACGAGGTATTGACGCAACATTGTACATGAGATGGGTTGACGAAGAAGCTGGTGTAGAAGTCAGGTAGGATGCGGAAATCCCCAGCATCGCCTGGCCAGGACTCTATGTATTCGGTGTAGTCAAGAAAAGCTCCCAGCTCATAGCCCACCTCTATATTGCTTGGATTGGACGAAAGGCTCCAGACACTGCTATTCGTGGGGTCTTGAATACTCAGCCATGTACTGGTATTGCTGACCGTTTCATATGGGGAACATTCGAGTCTCCCGCGTATTGCTTGGGTTGAAACAGTAACGTTGGTGCCTGTGTTAGGATTGACCGCCTGTTCGAGAGCAGATGATAAGGAACCAATGTCTTGGAAAGTGTCATCAGGCAAATCTACCAGATTGAGCGGCGCAAAACTCCAGCCATCCGAGCTCCACGCCGGCGAGGCTCCCTCCAGCGATAACTCAATGGCAGCGCCATAGAGCCAGTTAGTCTCAAGATTCGAATAAAGGCTCTGGAGAACAGTGCCTTGGTAGTTTTGGCCACCTGTTGTTGGTTCTATCTCGCCTTGAGAAACAAATGGGACCTGGCGAAGGACCAGCGGTCTAGCGACTTGGACATGTCGGTCGACACTTCCGTAGTCTCGTTGCCAGAGCGCAGACAAAGAGATCGTCACTGAGAGAATCAGTCAATATTGCAATGCTGACTTCATGGGTTTGCTCACGAATTTGGGTGAGAAAACTTCCAAAACTCAAACATGCCAACACCCAATGTCCTTTATGTGCAGCTTTTAAAGCCGCCCAAAGTGAGTAGGAGGACTAGTAAGGCGAAGCCGCTGCCACATTCAGTGGTGCTGGTGCTTTAGACATCGTGATAAATGGCTGTATCTTCTTCATGTTAGTCTCGATACTTCCCCACCAGAGCGAAATCAGCACGCCGATGAATGTGGTGATGATGGTAATAGCACTTATTTGGCCGAAATGATCCGAGCCTACCCTCAAACTTGCTTGGTAGACCAAAAAAGTTTGATATAACTGGTCTCGTTGAGAGAACGAGTAAAGGATTGTCATAGCCACCAGAACAATAATCAAGACTGTGGTGAAGGCAAGTAAGGCAGGAATCTTTAGTGATGATGGACGCCATTTCGTTCCATTGGCTAAAGCTGGCCCTTGCAAAATTGTTAGAATTGACTAAAACTAGTCGTGTATCATCGCAGACTCACCAAAACGGGACTGGTTCGCTGGAGCCTGGATCAACCGAAGTGAGCCTGATTGCAGCTTATACTTGTCACCTCCATTGGAAGTAGTATCTGGCGTTTTAGTTCGAGTATCAACCTGCTCGAGAGACACACGCACGTCGCTACTATCTTCTGTCACCGGGGCGGCAGTGGTAATGACCAGGGCTAGGTCGTGTCGAAGTTCGAGAGCTCTCTGAGAGATTCGAGTTGCCAAAACACCAATCAAGAGAAGCTGGAGCCCCAGCGTGCCGCCAAGGGTGAATGCGGTAACCGGTACTGCGATTATACGGCGTCTCGTTGTTAACACAGTACCATCCACACCTTCGATCTGCATGACAGCCGAAAGTGCGTCCTGCATGACCTCGCCGAGGAAATTCTGCTTCAGACGAGAGGCCTGGGCTACTAATTGAGGGTCACTCAACATAGCATCGACCAAGTTGTTGTAACGAGCGGCAAGCAATGCCATGGGCCCTCCGTTTACAGGTGAACTTGCATTGGGATTTATGAAGTGGTATGACCAGTTCCTGCTGAGAAACAGATTTTGAAAAGTCGCAGTGTCGAAAAAGCTGGTGTTGATGGCACGGCGGTTACCCGTGTAGTCCGCTTCGTCAAAGGAAAGCAGAGAACTCGCTTGAGTGAGGTCTGCATTAACCGGGACATCGCCTTGATAGTAGCGACAAAGAGTCCCTGCTGTTTGCCAGTGCTTGTTTTCGGAATAGCCATAGCCGATAGTGTCTTGTAGAATGGGATTATTCATGGCGAAGAGAAGCTCGGTGTTGGCGGGGCAATCAGAGCTATTCACGGAACTGCCAGTATGGACAGCAGCGGTGGGGGTGTTTGTGGCGTGATTACCGATGATGAATGACGAGAGAGTAGACCATGGAGTTCCCCCACTTGTTGCAGTGTAGGATAGGTCGCTGTCGTACTTGGTGGAAAATTCAACACCGTACGTACAACCAGAACTTGAGCGTAAGACCACAGACGCCGCCGCAGCACTCTTGTCTATCTGCCAGTGCTTCCGATCCACGGTCATGGGCTCACAGTCCAGCTCAGAGGTGAAACCGTAGTGACAGCCTGCCAGGTTTCGGCGTGGGTTGATAGGATGGGACCAAATGGGGGTGCTTCCAGACCAGCAGGCCAGAACGGCATGATATAGTAGTCATCAGTGATCCAAGCCGAGGTGGACACATTTTGAAGAGTGTGCGCGATAGTGCGGAAGTATGTTGTCGACTTCACCTCTGAGGCAAGTGGGATATTCGTGGTGGAGCCAATGCGTTTGAACGAAGTGGTATCCACAATTGCGACATCCTGGGACGCCAACAACGCAGATGAAAATAATGAAAGGGCCAGTATACCAAATATATATACCAGCGTCGCGCAGAACAGGGCGGCACTGAATTTTCGGTGGTCTTTGCCGCTCGGAAAACTCCTCCAGAGAGACGTCCCCCATGGGCCGGGATTGTGCCGCAAAGTTGAGGTAGCGGATGCCCCCGAGGGCGACGCAAGGCGCGCAAAGGCCTCTGTGCGCTTAACATCATCGAGGACGATATTTGCCACAAGAACATAAGCCACGGCGAGGATGGTCGGGAGAAACCTGGAGGCGAAGAACAAGGCTGAGCTGCCATCGTCATTAACAAGGCCCGAGTTTCTCACAGACTTCCAACAAAGCAAAGCAACTGCAACTGTCAGGCCAATGCCGTCAAATGCAGCAAGGACGGACAGGCGCAACGAATTGGGCTGCCAGGTCGCTTTTAAGCTCCAATCAGAGGTTCTTAATTGGGTTCAAATCAGGCGAATAGGGAGGCCATTCTAATACCTCAATCCCTAGCTCCTCAACCCATTTTTTTGACCTTCTTTGCGCTTTGAATTAGTGTGTCAAGGGGCATAAACGACTGGATTGGCGCTATCCTTCTAGTAAAGACGTCTGCGGGCAAGTGCCCTCTATATATCTACTGAATAGCACTGTGAACACTGCACAAGGAGAAGCCCCTGAGAAAGGGGTATCCCTTGCCTCCTCTATACTAGAAAGAGTGAGACATTTGCCACCAAGGACGCAAAAGAGGGCCAATGTAGCAAATTACGGAATCCTGTAAAGGGGGTGGCAAGCCAGCAGCATCACTAATATATGGCTATACCAGATTCAAAGCCTCGTGACCACGGTACAATCGTTGCTTCCCAACCAAGGGAATTCAATTCGATTCAGAATGGGACGTTCCACTTATGTACCTAAGCTGCAACCCACAATGTACATACATTACCACTTACCTAGTACCCTTGATCCGCAAATGCCGCAAGATTAGCAGCCCCTACTAATAGTATTGCTCAGTGCGAAGGTTTGAAATCAGGAAACAACGTGTTTGTTATGTAAGGTACCTAGGGAGCACACTCCTCCTCGCCTCTGACAAGCATCCGCCCGATTTGCCTCGACTTCGAAGTAGAATAGGCATGAGCACCTGACGATCCTTCTCATCCATCTTCAGGCTTGGGTGCCCACATCTTCAATCACGGCCGTTCGAGGTCCCTCCTTCTCTAAACTTGCGTCGTCGACCTGCTTTGGGCCCATTCCGGGAATAATCTCCTCGATAGTCTCAAGAGCAATATGAGCGCTATCGAGCTCCTTCTGATAAACTATAACCAGATCGTGATCCCCGAAAATGGCCGCGACTTCTTCCAACGGCTTGTGCAGGGTGTCGGGGAAGATAAAAAAGGCACAGAACGCTCCCAAAGCCGCAAAGAGGATAAAGAAGATATAGTACTTCCAACCGATGTGCGCGAAAGCTGTAGGTGCTGCTTGAAGCCACACTCTGGAGAAGTCTAGTGTCAGCACGTTGATGTCTCACAAGAAAGAGGCTCTGGGCATAACACTTACATATTGATCCCGCTATAAAAAGCGACACAAAGCGTGTAACCCTTCGCCCTCATATGCGTCGGCCAGATCTCAGAGTGATAGAAGAACTCGGGTCCATCCAGACAAAGTTCAAAAAAGACCACATAGAGGAAGAAAGCAAAGACAGCGGCGCCCAGACCGGCCTTGTTGTCAGAGTTTAGAAAGTTCGCAGTCAGCGCTGTTTCGAGGATGACAGCGATGCCGCAGCCGCAAAAGCCAACGCCGATTAGATAGTTCCGCTTGACGCGGTCGACGTAGGTCATGGCAACGATGCTGAAACACAGAGCTGTTGCAGTGTAGCCGGTTTGAAAGAGCAGTGTCTGAAGGTTATCGTATCCCAGTTTTGCGTACAAACTGACGCCGTAGTCTGCAAAGCTTAGTATATGCATAACAAGGGAGGAAAGGGGGGAAGGTGGTAAGGCAGTACTTTGTATGGTTAGAACACCCGAGCTCATGACGCAGACCATTAAGATGATCGAGATGAAAGCTCGCTTTCGGTAAGAGGGCCTGGTGAAGATCTCTTTGTACCCCGTGTTCAGGGAAGCGTCGAACTTGATCTGTCGCTGCATTTGATAGTACTCGCGTTTCGCAAACTCATTGTGAGGGTCCCTAGGATCCGAATGTAATCGAGCAATGATTGCCCATGCCTCCTCGTATCTGTCTTTGAGAAGAAGATATCTCGGAGATTCTGGAATCCAATAGATCCCACAACAGAGGATCAATGGGGGAATCATTGTCAGAGCCATTGGGCCCCTCCAGGCATCTTTCGAATCAAAAAAGTAGAAGCCGACCCCAACATATCCAGTGAGCGTGTAGCTGTCATACAAGACGTCAGAGCGAAGCAAATGGTTTGGTCGGCCACCATGCATTGGGCAGACTCACCCGACGTTGATCATGATGGGAGCTATGTCGCTAAGCATGCCGCGATGTGCCGGTGGAACACTACGCATATCCAGTCAGCTCTGAGATATAAGTGGCTGGGAATCTGTTGTACATACATTTCTGCAATCCACATTGGGACGGCGGCGACCAATTGAAACCCACTGGTTGCCAGTCAGAACTGTGTTCATTGACGAAACGAGAACAGGAGCTTACCCCCAGCCGGCGAAGAAACGAAAGACGATGAACATAGCGGGGTTCACAGATCCAGTGATCAATGCTTGAGAGACGAGAACAAAAGTTGAACCGACAAAGATGTCCCACTTGCGTCCATATCTGTCAGCTATCAAGCCATGGCAGATGGCGCCGAAGATGCCTCCGGCGTAGTAGAGACTGTTCATGGCACCAGTCAAGCTGGCCATGTTGGAGTCATTGAGACCCATGGCCACAAAGAAGGAAGGCTGTCCCAGCGTGGTACTGATGATGGCGGCTGAAGTGCCATAGGAACACGTGCCCAGTGACACGAAGAAGACGACGAGGACGGTGTAGAACTTGAAATGACGGCGATGCTCGAAGGCCGCCGCATCGGTGTTGAGCACAGTCATGGCGTTCACAAACTCCAGTCAACCTCTTTGGTAGGGACAATATCTAATAAGTGCAGGAGTGGAAGAGGGGTCTGAGAGATTGAGACGGCAAGGTTGAGCAGGGATCGAAGGCAGGTCGAGACCTGTCGCCTTTATATTCACCGCCCCCCCTAAGGCATCGTATCAGGCCAACCCCGGATGCCCAGCCTCTCTGAGGATAGAGCAATCTGGGGTAAGCCCCAGAAAGGAGGTCGACGTCTCGCGCCGTCTGGGGAACGAGCTTGCACAGGAGTGTGAATGGAGAGGAGGCGGCGTCGCGGAATTTGATATCGCCTTTTTCCGTCTCTCGGCCCGCGTCTGGCCACGCTTCCGATATTTTCTGGGGACCTTCTCTCCTTGGTATAGAGCTGAAAACCTCTCCTGGTCCGGCGTGGGTGCTGGTGTCCTTCTCCACTGCCCATACAACGTCCTTCGTCACTGTACTGTGATCGGCTACATGGCACGGTACCGCCCCATCCTCGCCGAGTTTATCCAGACTCATTCGCTCGCCTCCCTTCTCATGCCGCTCATTTCGAGCGGCCTGGATGTTCATGGGAGGAGCTCTATCTTTCACACGGAGCTCTTGACACATGGGATCAGATATGGAGTCTCCAAGCCGGAAAAAGGCACCTCCGCCTTGGGCCTTCCCGGTACTTCAACCCCGAGCATTCAAGGGATCAACAGTGTTTCTACATAGCTGTCCACTCGGCGTCCTGTGGACACGAGGCAGTAGGACTTGTACAACCGATGAAAACCATCGTTTCATAAAGAACGGCAGACGAATCTCACAGCTTGTCGAAGGTGGATTCTCGCATCTTGGCCCCAGGCATAACAACACAATCCCCCTTGCCCTGCAAACTCTGCAAAAGAACCATTTACGATGGCAATCAACGGAGTAACAAATGGAGCGCCAGAAGGTGCGATAAACGGTGTGGCCCACACCGTAACAAATGGCGCCCTCAATGGAGTGACGGAGGCAGATACCAACAATGCTCGCCGGGAACCTGCACCCATCGAAGCCACAGAGGCATACAAAAAATACCCCCTCGCGTACGAGTTGTCGAAGATGCCCTTCCTGTGGCCACGTCGAATGAAAGTGATTGTCGCCGGAGCTGGCGCGAGCGCCTTGTCATTGGCACATGAAGTCCAAACTGGTGTGCTCAAGAACGTTGATCTCCACATTCTTGAGAAGAACCAGGGTCTCGGCGGGACATGGTTCGAGAATCAATATCCGGGATGTGCTTGCGATATACCAGCTCACGCTTACCTGTTCACCTGGGCACCGAATCCCAGATGGTCGGAGTATTATGTCACGGCGCCGGAGATTCTGAAGTACTTCGAAGAAGTGGCAGAGAAGTATCAACTTAACCAGTATATCACGACCGGACGGAAGGTCGTGGGCGCTGAGTGGAACGACGAGAAACAGCAATGGCTCGTCCACAGCAGGCAGACAGATGGAAGAAGAACCGTTGTTTCGAGTCCTGGAATCACAGATGGTGAAGTTGGCGAGGACATAATCGAGGAGTGCGATATATTCATCAATGCTTCCGGATATTTCAATCACTGGCGTTGGCCTACAACCCCAGGCCGTGACGTCTTCAAAGGCCAACTCCTTCACAGTGCTGATTACAATCCGAAGACCGACCTCAAGGGAAAGAAGGTCGGGTTGATCGGGAACGGCAGCAGTGGTATTCAGATTACAGCCGCCATCCAAAAAGAGGTATCAGAGCTGACTGTCTTCATGCGCAATCCGACCTGGATCACGGCGAGCTTGGGCTCTAGTTTCGTTCCGGCAAATGGGGAACCATTTACGGAGGAGCAGAAAGCGTTCTGGGCCAAGAACCCTGACGAATACCTAAAGTATCGTAAGGCTGTCGAGAAGGAATTGAACGATGGCTTTCCCTTCTTCATCCATGGCACCAAAGCTCAAGCAGACGCGTTGGACTTTACGACCAAGGATATGAAGAGAAGACTCGCGAAGAAGCCCGAGCTGGCCGAGCTTCTGCTACCTACCTATCCTGTGGGATGCCGAAGACCTACCCCTGGAACCGGATACCTTGAAGCACTCTGCGCGGACAACGTCGAAATTGCTTGGGGAGAATTAGACTCTTTCACGGCGAAGGGCATCAAATCCGCCGATGGCACGGAGCGGGAGTTCGACGTTATCATCTGCGCCACGGGGTTCGACATGTCGATGTGAGTTGGGGAGCACTTTTGTCCGGAGCATAACTAACACCTCCGGCAGGGTGCCAAGATGGCCAACGATTGGATTGAATGGAGTGGACCTCCAGAAGAAATGGAAGGAAGACCCCGCAGCGTATCTTTCCGCGATCGCAAACGATATGCCGAATTATTTTGTGTATATGGTATGTATTTCCTTTCCAATTATCTTTGCATTGGCCAACCTCGTCTCTGGATAGGGTCCGGGTGCACCAGTGGGCCACGGCAGTCTCTTGCCCTCCATTGAGCGCGTAACCCTCTATATCGTCGACATAATCAACAAGCTCCAAACCCAAAACTACAGCTCCTTCCTCCTCAAGCCAGGCAAGGCCAAGAACTGGCAGTCGCAGATGCTGGCCTGGCTGGAGAAGACGGTGTGGGGCGACAACTGCCAGAGCTCGTTCAAGAATGGCACAGTCGACGGCAAATTGTACTCCTTCCACGGTGGCTCGCGTCTGCATTATTTTGAGTTGTTGAGGATGCATCGCTATGAGGATTTTGAATGGAAGAGTAGGTGTCCGGAGCCGGAACTCGAATTTGCTTGGCTGGCTAGTGGGTTTCTGCAGCAGGAGTTGCACAACAAGGGAGAGGATAATGTGTGAGTTGGCCCCCAATCTAGGTTCTTTTCCTTCTCAGATGCTGACCCGCTGCAGGTGGTATTTCAACCAGGAGCCAGAGGTCTTGACGTCGTTCATTGGAGAGTGAAGTTGTCATCGAAGGATTGGGGAAGGAGGATGTGCCCTCCATGAGACTAGTGGCTAGTTAACTATCTTGAGCAGGTTCACTCCAGCGTCGAAGTTGATAGCATGCATGTCTCAACTTGTACAGGACTTGTGGACACGATCGTCCTCAACCACTTTCTAACATTGTAGCAATAGTAGCAAGATTGCGAACGTTACCCCAGAGTACGTCCTGCCTCTATGCGGTGTAGACTTCCTGTATCACGCCTGCAACTGCTCGATGTCCATCAGACCTTCTGAGCCACGCACACATCTCGCCAAGAGCCCTTGTCAAGAGCCTTGCCAAACTTAGATCACAACGTCAGGTTATATTTCGAGTACAAGTCGCGGCCCTTGACCCGGAGATATATTGCCGCAATTTATGCACAGCCGCAACAGTGGGCCGGTCAGCTTATACGTCGTTAGGTGACGATGCAGACGTCGAGGCTTGACGCACAGGTTGCGAGATTGAAGTGCTCCTGGATTTCAGATACATGGAATATCGGCCAATGGAGATCACTACGTAGGGGGAACCCCCCTTCCGAGCACAAAGGGTGGTCATTGGTACCCCCCATCGACGTTGATCACCTATCATACAATTAGCAACACCATTGCCGGACGTTGTTCAGGATGCGACCCACGTTGCCTGTGACATAGCCTGCCTCCCCACTGAACAAGAACATGATCACCTTGGACACTTCCTCTGGCTGCGCAATCCGCTTGAGCGCCGTCTTCGAGAGCAGGAAGTCATACACCTCCTTCTCACTTCCCAGCGAATCGACCAAGGGTGTATCGACCACTCCACTGCATCCTCCCTTGACATTAATAATCCCGAATAGGAGGACCTCGTCGGCTTCGGATGGACGCAACTTACGGCGCAACAGCATTCACCCTGATCCCCTTCGCTCCTCCCTCCTGGGCAGCACTCTTCGACAGCCCAATGACCCCCCACTTGCTGGCAGCATAACACGAGTTATACGCGACGCCCATCTGGCCCGCAATGCTCGCAGCATTGACGATCGATCCTCCCTCCTTGATATGATTAAACTGCGCCCTCAAGCAGTTCTTTACCCCATTCAAGTTCGTCGTCAACATGTTATCCCAGTACGCATCGTCCATGATATCGAGCGCGTTGTCTTTGCCATGAAACCCCTGATTACCGACGTAGCCAGCCATGTTGGCCGCTCCGTGCAGGCCACCGAACCGGTCGACGACGGCCTTGACAGCCTCGTCCACGGCGTAGCGGTCTTGCACATTGCAGGCCAGCGAGATGGCCTCGCCTCCGAGCTTCTCGATTTCGGAGAGCACGTTGTCGGGTTTGCGGAGATCGAGGAGACCGACGTTCGCTCCTTGTTTGGCGAGAGCGAGGGATGTCGTCCGTCCCATGCCGCTGGCCGCGCCGGTCACGATGAAAGTCTTGCCTTTCAGGTCACTGTACGACATCTTGAAGATAGAATTGACACTTGACAGAGTATTGCTCACGGTAGAAGCTGCAACGCCAGACTCGCCCTTGAAATCTACCCAGCATGCCTATAAGCTGGCCCTCGACAGAGCCCCGAGCCCAGCTCGCACTTCCTGCCTACTATACTATAGCCTTTCTCCGCGTGTTGCGCACCGGCTGCACGGAAGCAAGCACGGGAAGAATACCCGCTTCTAGATTTTCATTGAGAATCCGAGAGATTGACGACCTCCGCAGGAGGCGTGAATCAGCCTCAGGACGGCTTGAGAACAACGTCCAACGGCCGAAGAGCGGAGATCTGGCATCTTCGTGAGTGTTCAGCCGTTGTTGTCCTCTCGTTCCGTCCGTCTTTGCCGCCCCCGTGCCGGCCCCCTTTTCCAGGACGACTCCAGGGACATGATAGCCAACCACCACGCCTGCGAAAGGCTCAAGGCATGTGTGTTCTATGCCACTCACTACCTATAATTTCACCCCCTCATTCTTAGAAAATCCCAAAGTCCCCCGTATTTGTTCTTACACGAGGTCCGTTCCCTCCTGATCTCCCATCTTGAGCAAACCCTGGTAATTGGTGGAGCCGGAGGCTACACTTCTAGTCATGGCACTTTTCTATGATATTCTCGCCCTTCTCCAGAAATACTGGATCCCCTGCATCATCGTTGGAATATTCATCAGGTTACTCCGCAATCGCTACAAGCCCGGCGTACGCGACATTCCAGGCCCATTTCTGGCGTCTATTTCGGATCTCTGGCTGTTCATCCACTGTGTGCAAAGGAAGTCCCAGAAAGATTATGAGCTCCACCGCCAATACGACACCCCTCTCCTTCGTCTGGCACCGAACACCATCTCTATCGGAGACGCCGAGGCCGTCCGCATCATCTATGGGTGGAAACCGGTGTTCAAGAAGGTAAGGAACGCTCTCTCCGAGGGTCGTATGCCTGGACAAATACGCTGACATTATACGGGCAGAGCCATCTGTACATCTCGCAACACCAGACGAGCCAAGCGGGCGAAGTGATTCACAACCTCTCCTCCGTCATGGACGAGGAAAAGCACGCCCACATCCGCCGTCCCGTGGCTCATGCGTATGCCATGAGTACTGTGGTGGAGTATGAGCCCCTCGTAGATTCCACGTTTCGAGCGTTCGTGAAGCACATAAACGAGCGGTTTGTGGACCCGGGAAGAGAATGTGACCTTTCACGATGGTTGCAGATGTATGCCTTTGATGTCATGTAGGTATCCCCACACTACGACAATCCGTTCTCTTCTTGTCAGGTTGACCTCCTCGAAGCGGCGAAATCACGTTCAGCAAACGTCTAGGTTTCATCGACTCGGGTGAAGATGTTGATCGCATGATGTATCACACCGGGCGAGCGATGGATTACATCGGCATGGTAGGTGCTCCTATGAGGACTCCCCTCCGATTCTTGAACAGCTTCCCTGAGAGCACCCCCAGGTCGGCCAGATCCCCACGGTCGACGAGTGGCTTCGAATCAAAGGCCTCGGGAACATCTTCCGTAAAATCAGACCCGCAGGCAATGTGGTCATGTGGACGATGAAGCAGATCCACGGACACACTGTCCACGATGGCGTCAAGAGCCCGGACTTCCTGACCCGCTTCATCAAAGCACGCGAGAAGTACCCCGATATCATGACCGACGGGCAACTGGCCGAGTACGCAAACACAAACGTCAGCGCTGGCTCGGACACCACAGCCATTGTGCTGCGTGAGCTAGTGTATCGGCTTCTAACGCATGGGGGCAGTTATCGCCAATTCATGGAGGAGTTGAAAGCTGTCTTGAAGGCCAGGCCGCTGGATGAAACCTATGATAAGCCGATCACCTGGACGGAAGGGAACAAGATGGTGTACTTCCAGGCTCTGATCAAAGAGTGTCTTCGGATCCACCCTGCTCTCGGGCAGCTGATTCCTCGTGTCGTGCCCGAAGGCGGCGTCGAACTATGCGGAAAGTTCATACCGGCAGGGACCGTGGTCGGGTGCAACGCCTGGACGGTGCATCGGGACAAGAAGGTCTACGGCGAGGATGCGGATGAGTTCAGGCCCGAACGCTGGCTGGATCCGGACAAGGAGAAGGTGCGATATATGGAGAACTTGAGCTTTGCTTTCGGTGGAGGGCCGCGAGTTTGCATCGGGAAGAACATTGCCATGTTGGAGATCACGAAGTTCATCCCAGAGTTCTTTCGGAGGTTTGAGGTCCACCTCGTGGACCCGAACCGCTACAGACTGCGCCCGGGCTGGCTCGTCGTGCAAGAAGGATTGGACGTCGATTTCCAGAGGCGGGATCCTAAGTCGTTAATTGACTGAAAAAATTGAGCTTGATTCCTGTCCGCCACAGTCCTGCTGGCATTGTCGAGATCACGTTTCCTTTCGCGTCTATTTCCCACCCTCTTTCAGTGCTAGCGAATCATGCAGCATCTGAGGCAGAGATGAATAGGAGAAGGTTGGCAACATAAGTCACTCCGGGAATCAGCAATACAGGGACTCGATGCGTAGCCCCAGTATTATCAGCAAGACTAGACTCAAACGGCAGAGACTAGATAGAACCAGATCAGATCAGTGTACATCCTAACCAATTAATTTCGGGCTCTCCAAAGGGTACCAAGGTATCGTTACTGGACATACCAATACTGCCTCAAGTACATAGATAGTTCATTTCCAGCTCCGTTAGTCTATCAACGTCGGCCTTTTCGAAATCATGGAACACCGACTGAGTTTGGAAGGAATCCAGGTTCAGCAGACTCTCCATGCCTCCGAGCGTAGGATATGTTGCTGTTGTTGTATGATATGGTTGAAAGGCCTGGCGAAGCCCGTATTCATTGACGGCGAGGGTTGGATCAGTGATATCCTCGCTCCCTGAGGAGCCGGAGGCCAAAGAGTTGGTAGGAAAAACTTCACGAGACAGTCTCCGGGCCTCGCCTTGTCGCTGCGAGGATTGCTTATCGGGCATCTTCCCATTCGTGTCACCACTGGCAAGAGGAGCTAGCTCTGAGTACCCGCACCCTTCGAGAAAGGAGGCAATGACCCTATGTACGCGTCCAGCTATGTGGAAGGAGGGCGTTGAATCGTTGAGCGCTTGCAGGCACACCGCCAGCCATTTTTTCTTCTCGTTGCCTTCCTCTTTCTCGTTTGTGTCGGTCGAGATTTGGGAGATGAGAGTTGTAGCTGCAATAAAGATCATATGCAGCATTGAGGAGTAGATTTTCTCGACGCCATAGTGTTCCCTATATGCCAAGAGCAGCTTCGAGAATCGAATTGCGTTTTCATTGCATACCTGTCTCGAGAGCGCCGGAGTATGACCTCCCAAAGACTTTCCCCCATGTCCAATGGTGCCTGATGAGGGGGACATGTAGGCCGCAAACGGCCGATGAAGCATTATCATTGTGGTGTAGAACTGCATGTGGAGAGCGTATACGCCTGGAGGAGGAGGATGTTCTGATTCTGGTTTCCTTCGAATCCAGATTGGTAGAGCTTCCAACCACTGGAGCAGTCGTTGGCTCATGCTTGAGAGGCGGGCAATAGTGCTCTGGTGTCTCAACAAAATTGAAGATGACGGGTAGTTGACCATGTCGATGACATCGCTTAGGATCATGCAAAGATCACACCATGCAGCTCGGGTCTGAAGCTGAGGGTCATCGCTCCTAGTTGATGGCCGCGGCACCGTTGCATCGGCCAGCTTTACAGTACCTGGACGCCCTAGGTATATGCTGTAGAACCTGAATGAAGCATTAGATAGCCTGTTTTAGCCCATCGACAGTCCACGTACTTATCATATACGTAGCAGCCCCAAAACACGTCACGACGCACTTGCAAGTCACGTTCTGAGATGTACCCGAGTGCGAGCAAATCGGTGCCGTCGCGGTTCAGACCGAGGTCATACAGCATTCGAAAAGCAATGCCTGGAAGTAAGACGTTTAGACCCGACTGTGTCCAGCTCTGAGCTGTCACGTACCCGCGTAAAGTAGACATGCCTGAAGTCAAGGTTAGATGAGGTCTTCATGGATCTGACTGCCTTCCACGCACCTTATCATGGCCTAAGCCCGAACCACGATAATCAGCAAAGATGCACAAAGCTTGAATTGTAGATATCGTTGGGTTTTCCATCTCAAGGACGAGCTCCTCTCTCACTCTCTTCAGGTAGACTCGATCTAAATTACGGATTGAGGGATCGTTGCTAAGCCGCAAGGCGTTCAGAAGAACAGAATATAGGAGAAGTTTTGAGAAATACTGCGTCTTCACTCCGACAGCGTAGACAGACATGAATGGTTCTTTCAGCAGCACTTGGAGCAGGGGATCGGGGTACATGAAATAGAGATCCAAGAGATGTTTCTGCACGTCCTTAGAATCGGCCAGCTCCTCAAGAGCTTGTGTTGCTGATTCAAGCGGTTCGGGCGACGAGGGTGGGAGAATAGAGGTGATGTTCAGATTCATGATTTGTCCAGGCTCATCCGCATCAAGCTGACCCATCGCCGCATACAGCTGGCTGATCATGTAGTTCCTCGCCTCAATGGACTTCGGTGGCGCGCCACTGCGAGTGCCTTGATCGTTGGTTGACTGTACGGGGTCCAGGTCGAAAATGTCAAACTGCCAATCCATCATCTGATAGTTCGAGATGCCTGCGAATGGGTCTTGCTCTCTGATCACGTTCGAGCAGCCACGAAAGACGTTGTCGGCGTCAGACGGGGCAGGTATAGCTTGTGTAGGCCCGTCGCCGAGCGAGACTCTGACGTCCTCAAACGTTGCATGAGTGGGATGCGGTCCAGATCCGGAAGAGCTGCCATCGTCGTCTTCCCTTGTGGGAGAAGGATTGCCCTGGCTTCCCTGCAATGCCGCAAGGCGATCTTGGAGGCGCTTTATGTAGGCTTTTGATGTTGAGCTGTGTCTGCGTTAATCCACGACCATATGGTGAGAGACATGTGCTCCTTACTTCATCTTGCGTCGATCGTCCATGCGAAATATGCAAGGTCGGTTGAGGTGCTTACACTGCAGGCACGGCTCGCCTTTCTTCTTGGGATCCCCATCGCACTAGGCGGAGAATAAGCAGAGAGCATGGACTGCACGTTGTGGGCTTACCTTGATTTTCCTCTTTCGACATGCCACACAGGCTATGGACGCCCGCCGCGGGGAGCGTTTCTTCTGTCTAGTAGATGAGCGCGGAGGATCTGACTCTCCATGGGCTTGGGAAGCTGGTTTTGCCGGCGATCCAACAAGTGGCGACAGTGATCGTTCAGTAGACATGTGCGATGGCGACTCTATCTGCTATCAAGCGCAAAGACAAGTTAGGCTGATTGCACTGAAGGAGCGGAGGAGAGTGCAGCAAGTACACAGCAGCAGTTGAAAACCAGGCGACGAGGCTTCGGGTCCACGGTCCTCCTTCCCTTCCCCTCCCCTCCCCACAACCCCGCATCGTCCTCGTGCTTTGGTTCCTTCTACCGCCTCCGTGGCACGGCGTGCTCAAGGTACAGTACTAGTCCCCCCAACCCCCGGACTAAAGAGCAAGTCAAAGTTGCATTTCCTAGGAGGGGAAAGCTCGAGACAGAGTGTAACGCAGCTACGCAAGTAGTTCGCTATTGGATTGGATTGTCCGTCATGGCCCGATTCACACCGACACTGCCGTCCCTCTCCCTTCAATTGCGCGGGCAGGGTTTTGGGACTGAGGCCGCCGGAAATCCTTCACTTCTTCGGATATCTCTACGGCTGCTTTTCCGCTGATTCATCACGGGCAGGGATAAAGGGGCCCCAATCAGCTCTCGGCTGATGGGCATGACTCGGAAGAAGCCACTTCCCAGCCCTGGATCCAGCATTGTCGGGGCTTTCGCTTCCTGGGAAATCCTGTCAGTGCACGTGAATGACCCTAATATATTTACATGGATGTTGGCTCCGTTGTCGACTAATCCAGATCTGCGATCTTCATTACGGCCTCCCCCTTTAGCATTCCCTACGAAGCCAGTAGCACCCTTATCGGTGCCGATGGCCTCGGCCTTGAAAGTACCCTCATGATTCATTCGTGCACATTCTTCTGGTAGTAGCTTCCAGTTAACCCAGTGGTTTTAGCTGCCTCTTGCCGGTATGGACTATGCTACAAAATTAGGGTCAGAGCCTCAGAGGTGACGGGGAACAAAGCACCTGGGAGTCTCATGAAGCTGTATACAAAGTTAGCGATATGTTCAGAGCGAGGAGAATGTATTGATTCACAGGTCACGGGTGTGCCGCAGCCATACCGGAACATCACCCTTGTTCTGGCTGCGTAGGCTGGCTGCGGCTGGGGTGGATGATAGTAGTAGGTATAGCCAGGTAAATCGTCGTAGTACTCCGTCGATCTCGAGCGGGAGAACCTCCAATCTTTGTTAAACCACACTCGCCAGCACTGACGAGACAAAATGGAGTCCCAAAATGAGTCTTCTGATAGCTAAAAAGGTCACTCTTTCCTTCTCACCTTCAGCGTCGCAACTCATCTCGTCTCGCTTGCCCACAACAAACATTATTGTTCCTCATTTAATGGCAACTGGTGTAGCGCTCCACTTACTACACCAGCGTTGTGAAATTGTCTTACCGCGGCGTCCTGACCCATGTGTATTGCCAAGTCATATGGACTGTCACCATCGTTCGTCCTGAGACAAGGTTCTGCTCCGGCCCCCAGCAGTACGCCAACAACAGTTCTGTGAGCCCATGACAGCGTAATGCAGAGGGTTCAGGCCTCGTTGGTCCTGTGAATTCGTATCGCACTCAATCTCCAGGAGATATTGCAATATTTCCGCTCTCCCATACTCGGCAGGAACATGCAACGGAGTCTTCCCCTCTCCATCTCTACAGTCGGTCTTTGCGCCTTGATTGATAAGGAGTTGGACTGCACCTAAGGAGTTCCGAGCCGTCGCTGCGCGTAGTGGGCGTTCCCTCATACGGTTCGTTGCTTCGAGATTTGCACCTTTCTTGATCTGCATTTCAATGATCCTCGTATTGCCGGTCGCTGCAGCACTATGTAGGGGACCGTTTCCGGCTTTGTTGGCGTCTTCGATATCCTTGACATTTTCAAGCATCACCTCAACGCAAAGGGGACGATTAAGAGAAATTGCTTGCTGTGGTATCGAATTGCCCTTGGCATCGGATTCCTCAAAAATGAGCTTCCTAAGCATTTCAGCTTGGCCCTTCGAGACGGTTGACTGAAATGGAGTTAATCCATCCCCATTCGTTGCGTTCACGTCTGCTCCGACTCTGATAAGTAAGTCGAAGACTTCTTGCTGTCCACATTTTGTAGCACAACATAGAGCCTGCGTTATTTCTGACCTTTGCCATTGAGAGGCATCAGACTGGAGCATATGTGCCGGTTCCACCTTCATTATGAGCTGCTTTACAATGTCAATATTTCCACACTCAATGGAGACACACAGGGGACTGTCACCCCAGATATTTTGTAACTGTAGGAGGCTCAGAGGGAGCACATCAATCCTGCATAGGAGATCTCTAAAATCAAAAGTGCAAGCAAGGGAGCAAGGAATAGTGCAGTCGGGGTGGAGCAATGTGATGCTGCGAATTTAACCCCATAAATAGAGTCCTTTGAAGAGGTACTGCTACAGGAAAGTGGTGGTAGTCGCGTAGCTCGGAGCTACTCTTCAAACCAAGACGGGATTGGACCTGCCACTTTGCACTTCTCCAAGATCTTGATTAACGCCATGTCTTCAGTCCTCAGCTCATTGCGTTCAACGTCATGGTATATCCAGAAACTTTCTGCGTAGTTGACATCATGCATGCATGTACTCGAGTCGACCACATCCTGGAGAATTCGAATTCACACTTTGGCGATTACTGCATGGCCTTGCATGGGAAGATATTGGTTCTGAGTATATTCTTCCACAAGATACTCCTGAACAGAGGCGTGAGTAAGTCAGAAAGTCCCCTAGACAAAATCGAGCTCAATTAGATGTCGACATGCATCTAATATATCGACCGACTTCGCATGAATATCAATGTCTGCAACCCCAGGGCAAATACATCTTATGGAGTCTATTTGATTCAGCGTGGCTTGTTGATACAGCAATGTGTTCAGTGTCAAGCGAACGAGCTCAAGAGGGCGTCGGCCAGAGCTGTTGAGTTCGTCCAAGATCTCAGCATAGAATGCATTTAGTCTAGGGGGCAGTCGACCGACGTGTTCCATGAAGTCTTCGGGATCCATATGCCTTCGACCGGATAGCTAGGTAAAGTTGCACCCAACGAAGCCTGTCCGATAGTTAGCAACATTCTGCATGTGAGATTGATCCAAGCCTGTGGGAGACAGACATGCTGTCGGCTTTACTTATTAAAATCTCAATAATCCGGTCTTGTTGTGCAGCTGTAAGAGTGCGCGAAAGGCCCTGGCCAATACGGCTTTTGACTTGCTCACTCACAAATAAACTGATATCGCCCTGATTATCGGCTGGCTTGAGTCCCAGGCGCCAGGAAGTTCCACCAGAGCCAGGTCTATGTCTTCTTCGAATCGGCTGGAAATGAACAGCTTGATTGTGCCGCTGGTCCGTGACATGATTTCTTGCAAACTCTCTAATAGAGACTTTCGCACTTCAAGTACGCATTCATCCAGGCAATCCAGGACTAAAAATGTTTGGGGGGAAGATATCGCAGAGACCGATCATCAATTGCATTCCGCCTTGCTGATATGCCTCTGCCCATGTATGCTTTCACACTTCTCCACAATTAGTCTCATCAACGGGTATTCGTGGATAGTTGACGATTGCCTCAAAACGCATCTCAGGATGTTCGGATCCTCCAGCACTCTCGAATTGTTGGCCTTATCACAATAAAAATATGCCAGATGGTCCGGGTTGGGATTGGGCAAGCGAGGTGCCCTTGTTTTCTCTGCCTCGCACCACTCCTGGATGTCGTCGATGACTTTGGACGCGAGAATAGACTTACCGTAGCCAGCTGTCTTGCATGTAAGTATCAAAGACTACGACAAAATAGATGGGCCAACAACCTACCTTTTCCGTGCATCCACAAAATGCAAGACTGATCGGATGACCTCCAGTCAGCATAAAATGAGTGTCCGAGGAGCCAATCTCCAATGCCTTCTTTGCGCTGCCGTTGAATTGTCATATGCCGATTCGCAGAGAGGATGGACGATATCCAGTTCACAAGTCAACGTCTAACAGTACACTGGTCAACGTGGGTAAGGTAAGAACTTGCCCGGCATCGAGACTAGGGCGTTTGAACGTGGTTGTCTTGGATTCAGTCAGGCGAATAGCTTAAGGAGAACAAGAACAAGGGACTAAGGAGGTGTGCATACCGTAGGATCAGGGAAGATGCTCCTCTGCAAGGCACCAAATGAAACAGGTAGCTCTGTTGACAGAAGTGTTCGACTCTTGACAGATGGAAGCAAACCCGTCGAAGTGGCCCACAACAATATAACAGAGCTCAAGAATTGTATAATTACCACAAGTACCGGGCAGCAGCTCGATCCAACCTGCAGCAAGATAGAACCAACCCTAGTCATAGCAAGACATACTCCCCCTTCTGTTCTACCTACTATTGTACATCTTCAGTCACATGGACCCGGATCACAAACTTCCCAAGCCCACCTTTTCCTCGATATACCTCCCCACAGCCCTGTCGAATACCATCCAGATCATCCAAGCCAATCGCCTTGCCTACCACAGGCTTCAACTTCCCTTCATCGACCCAACCACTCAATCGACTGAGATCTTTCCGACTAGGCTCCATGAAACAATGGGAATACGAGACCCCAAATCTCCAGCATCGCCACAAGATGATAGTCCCCAGTGTACTCAGGATACAACGCACCAGCAACGGTATAGTGGGCATTTTCTGCTTGAGACCACTCCCAAACGCCGTCCCGCTGATACTCACGATAAATCCTCCCTTCCTCATCAGCGAAAGACATGGCATGGCTTGGTTCATGGTGTCGAACATGACATCGACGGACCCCGAGGGGATCGCTTCACTGAGATTCTTCTCCTTGGTATAGTCGATGATCTGGTCGACGGCGTCTTCGCCTAGGAGTTGGCGAACTTTGCCCACTTTGGCCGTGGAAACGGTCGTTATCACTTTACTGGCGTGAAACACCCGTTTGGCTAGTTGCACGGCGACACTGCCGGTCCCCGACAGACCTCCGGGGACGAAGACCGTCTTGCCCTCTAGCCCGCCTTCGAAATGGGCTGCTGCGATTTCCAAGGCTTGCAGAGCCGTGAGTGCGGCTAGTTGTAACGCCGCTGCTTCGGTGTGCGAGAGAGATTTGGGCTTGGGGGCTATCGCATCAGCGCTGGATGTGACGTATTCTGAGGCCGTGCCGCGATGTTTCTCTGGTACGCGCGAGAAAACTTCAGCGCCTACCACGAGGCCTGGATGAGATTTGGTAACTTCTGGGCTTGTGGCGATGATCGTGCCAGAGACATCATAACCGATCTTATAGGGAAATCTTCGAACAGGTCAGCCTTGATTAATCGATAAACAACACTGTTCTCGATAGTATTGGCTCCTCGACGTCTCAAACCGCTGAGTACGTTTCCAAAACCCCGTACTGTCTGGGTCAGCCATTTCGTCCAAAACTCGGTGCACCAGTCTTGCTTGCTCACTTGGTACGCAACTGAGAGTGCATCTTGAGGACCATTGCAAGATTTTGGCGTCTCTCTCGCAGAAGCGTCCTTCGGTGCTGAGGGCGAGGACATGGTGAGAAGTCCAATTACACAACTATGAACTTTTGGTTCTCTCAGAATTCGTCAACGCGAACGCGATATTGCAGCATCTGTCCTTCTATAGGAGCCTGATGCTCGGACGCTTGGACGGCTATTACGCCATAGGTGCAGCTGAGATAACCGCAGAATAGTGCTTGGATTGCTGTTTACGACGTGTGATCGATCACCTACTGGTTACCTCGGACCGAGATGGGGTCTGGATATACCTTACTTACCTGTTGGGAAAAAAAAATTCCTGAGAGCCACTGCAAGAGATTATTCCTTAAGCACCAGTCAGCGAGCTAGAGCTCCATGTATCACATCCAGTCACCTCTTGTTTGCTCGAACTCGGAACACCCGGCCAAAAGCTGCTCTTGCGGCGACAACGGCTGTGGCTGCGAGTAGATGTACCAAAGGCTAGGACCATTTGAATCCCGGAGAGTTCCTGTCCGGGACTTTTGCCTGATGGATGCGCGACTCACCGCGGTGACTCGCTTCGACCCACCAGCGCCACCACGGGATCCGAAGCCTCGCGAGGCATTTCTGTCTGACGTTCAATTAATTAGTAGTTCCCGTCCTATCCACTGACCCTGTTGAATACCTTACCTAGGCACCTTCTCTGGGTCGACCGAGGCACGCGACGCGTCCCATCCACCTACGCAACTTGGGATTCCCACAAAAAGAGAACAAAGAACTTGAAGATTGGAATTCTGTGCAATCACTGACCTCTCAGAATCGGAAAGTGCAGTGGCGTCAAAATGAAGGTAGAAACACAAGAAATCGACCGCATTTTGCAAAAATACGTGGGTGGTGAGGAGCCTTCGAAGTCTTTGCGGGCGGCTGGGTTTGTTGTGAAGGACAAGAATGGTAAGTCAAGCACCAAGCCATGTTCCAGAATAGAGGGATTCAAGTCAAGCTGATCTGAGACTGTCGTCCAGGCACTACATTGTATTCTCAGGCCTTTGGAAAAGCCACGTTCGACGAGAACCCGAATTCCTTCTCCTCGGATACCGTCTGCTGGGTGGCATCGTTGACAAAGCTTGTCACGGCGGTATGTGTCATGCAGATAGTCGAGAAAGGTCTTATAGGCCTAGACGACGATCTAGGCCAGACTGTCACGGAATTGTCCGATGTGAAGATATTGAAAGGTTTTGGCAGGGATGGCACCCCAATTTTGGTTCAAAAGACGAAACCGATCACCTTACGGTAGGTCCACTCTTCGGGGCTATGATATCCAAAGATACTGACAATAAGGATCAGTGTTCTCTTGACTCATTCCAGCGGATTTTGCTACGACTTTTTTGACCCGGCCATGGTCAAATGGTCAGCTGCTGTCAATCGCACCACCAGCTCCGCGACACGCACCCTGGAGGGGCTGATCTTTCCGCTCAAATTTGAGCCCGGCGAGAGCTGGATGTACGGGGTCGGGAATGACTGGGCTTCACGAATTGTCGAGGTCGTCAGCGGCCAGTCGTTCGAGACGTACGCCCAGGAGCACGTCTTTGGACCGCTGGGAATGAAGTCCTCGACTTTTTTGATCAACGACCATCCCGAGCTTGCAAAACGTCGAGCTGCTGTTGCGTTTCGATCCCCGTTGACAGGCGAACTAGCTGCTGGGGAAGATCCAGGTCATCTTGACCCAAAGCAAATCAGTGGAGGCGCTGGACTTTTCACAACTCTGGAAGACTATGCGAAGCTCCTGGGTGCTCTTGGGAGCGATGACAGGACAATCTTGAGCCCCGAGTCTAAGCAAGAGCTGTTCCGACCTCAAATATCAAACCCCAAAGACCTCCAGGCATTTTGTGATGGACCCTTCCACGACTCTATTTGTCCCGAATTCCCAAGAGGTCTTCCTGTCAATTATACACTGGCAGGCGAGGTGAATCTTGAGGATGTCCCCGGTAAACGCTCGAGTGGAAGTGTCATGTGGAGCGGATACACGAATCCCCACTGGGTAAGTCCAAAATGACCACACATCGAAGAGCCTCCTTGCTGATATTGCCCTGTAACAGTGGATTGATAGAAAGACAGGCATTGTGGGAACATTGTTTACACAGATCCTACCGGCAGGTGACGCCGTTGTAGCTGCCCTGTACGATGAATTGGAGCTTGCCATGTATCGATCTCTCCGCGGGGAGGGCTCTGAGTAGACACACAGATGCAACAGTGCTCATATATCTGGGACATACCACCTCCCTTGTCCAGAATCAACTTCTCCGTGGTCTCAATAGCTTTCATTGCATTCTCGAAGATGCGACGACCTGGTAGCGCCAAACCGGCATCACCTTTCCGCCAGGCGAAATTCTTTTGTCAGACGCCATTCAAAGAAAAAAGCTGGGGCAAAGTCCATCCGATTAGCCCGAAGCGTGGGGACGCACTAAGGGGCACTTCGCAATTATCATACCGTCTACGGGGAGAGTTCACGTCTCCTGTCTGGTCTCGTGGCCTGCAGGGGCCAGGCCATACCCCGGCTGGCTCAGACCACCTCTCTCTCTCAGTAGTACATGGTGATTAGCACAATTGGTCCCAGAGTCCAGACGCGACACTATCACGAGTCACGCATATCATGGATCAGAATGAGAAGGAATGAAGGGAAAATTCCGAGGCAAGTAGAATTCATCTTCATCGACCCCCGTGGGGCGTTAGCCGACCTATTGCCAACAGATGGAGAACAGACCATATTCCCGGACCCAGCATTTCTGGGGAAGAAGGAAGTCAGTGATTATTGACCCAGAATTATATATTCCTCGTCGAGTCGAGTATCTCCGTTTTATCCTCCTCCCTCAACGACTTCCTCGACTCCCCCCCCTCCCCCCCCCCCACGTGGTCTATCCTTTGTTGAGAGAACTCTGGAACTTGTGTCTTAGACAGTTTACGATGGACCATTCAAAAGAACTCGATGTGGCAGGTGTCCACCTCGAAAGGCTGGGAGACAAAAAGCAAGAGGATGGCGGTACGAACGAACATGCTCGGGAGATCCATGAATTCGAAAACCGTCAGATCGACTTTGCTACAATCATGGCAGTAGTCGTGCGTGGAATTTACCATTTTTGCTTTCTGTCGAGAGGCTGATCCTTTTTTCTAGAGCCTGGCATTCTCATACGAGGCCCACCTGCTGTCTTTTGTCTTGCCTGTGACGATCCTTCTCACCATCAATGCAGACATCGGGCCTTCCACGTCAATCAACTGGGTTGCAACGGCGAGTTCATTGTCGATTGCCGTCATCCAAACCGTGGCAGGGAGTTGCAGTGATATCTTTGGCAGAAGAAATTTCACGATCTTGGGCAATTTACTAGGGCTTGTTGGTAAGATCCCCTAAACCAGGTATTCGATGAATGATTCGAGGGTGCTGAAGGTCTCTTCTAGGCTGCATCACAGCTTCAAGGTTCGTGCTGTCTCCAAGTGACACAATATGTCCCGAACTAACATTTACTGCCAGGGCAAATACCGTCGCGGTAGTGATCGGAGGCATGGTCCTTCAGGTGGGGTTGAGATATTGTCTCCTTCCAGATGAATGGTTCACTAAACCCCAGCCCAGGGTATCGGTGCAGGACCACAGCAACTGGCCTATGCTGGAGCCAACGAGATTGTACCCAAGAAGAATCGAGGCGAAACAGCAGCGTTTCTGAGTTTGGCTGCACTTCCGGGTTCTGCCTTTGGTTCGGCCATTGGTGAGTCCATCATGGCTCTGTCCTTAACATTGAAGCATTTCCCGGGCAAGACTCATATGCTTATAATGATATAGCTTACGCACTCGTCGCTCGCTTGAACTGGAGATGGGCATACTACGTCGGTGCCATCGCTAACGGCGTGGCTTTGATTCTTACGATTGCTTTCTATTGGCCACCAAGCTTCTTCACCCTACATCCAGACGTGACAAGCCAGCTTCAACAGCTCAAAAAACTGGACTGGATTGGCCTTCTTCTTTTCGCCGGTGGTCTAACAAGCTTCCTGCTCGGCGTTCAATTCGGTGGCAACCCTTATAAATGGACGAGCGCCACTGTTTTGGCTCCCTTGATCATAGGTGGTATGTTTCACTTGATATTCCCTGGTGTCGTCGTTGACGAAGATTGACATGTGTCCAGCGGTGGCTGTATTCATCCTCTTCCCACTCGATTTCCCTCAAATATCACCGTGCTGTGCCCTCCGAAAATGTTCAAGAATGTTCGAGGGTTCACGATTCCCATTTGTATGAACTTTGTGTCGGGGATGGTGGTAGGTACGTTTTCGGCCCTGGCTTAACATTTGCTGACAAGAGTGCACAGTTGATTAGCTTGCAAGTCCTATGGCCACAAGGTAAATTCACACCACTGAATGATGGCTGGGGTCGGTCCCTCGGACAAAAACTGATACACTGCAGAAATACATTCACTGTTCACAACAAAACCGCAGACAATCGGATGGTACAGTCTTGCTTACAATTGTTCCGCAACCTGTAGGTAGACATATCTCTGCCGGATCCGTTATATTGTGGCTGATCGGGACCTCAAGTGGGTGCAATTGTTTCTGGGGTGCTTTTCGCTCGTATCAAGCACATCAGGTGGCAATTTTTCACCATTGCAGTCCTCCAATGTTCCTTCACGGCTTCAGCAGCATCGATTACTCAGCATACTCCGGCGAGAGCCATTGTGCTGATAGCCATGGGTGCATTTTGCGTGGGAGCTTCTCAGGTTCTGGCCACTCTGATTGTCCAGTTCGGAGCCGAAGACCATCAGATAGGGGTTGCGACAGGGTGAGTATCAAACCTGCCTCTCCCATGGAATCCGTTTTCTGTCTATTCGGGTATGCTAATATTTGATGAAGTTTGTCGGGAACATTTCGAGCGACCGGCGGTTCCATTGCAATTGCAATCTATTCCACCATCATCCGTTCATACCTTACTGGCCATCTCGGGAAAAATGTCTCGAACGCGGCTTTGGCAGCTGGACTGCCAGTGTCCTCCCTTCCATCATTCTTGAGTGAGTGGCCCTTTTCCCCCATGCGAGCATCGAGTAGTAGCGGGAGTTCTGACCTCGATCATTAGAGGCACTGCTGGCACAAAGCGCAACAGCTCTCAAAACTGTCAAGGGCGTCACCCCGACCATTGTGGCCGCCGCGGGAGATGGCACCAAGCCGACATATGCTCACGCGTATCGAACCGTTTTCCTAGCCAGCATTGCATTCGGAGGTGAGTTGCTCCTGGTCCTATGAAGAGCTGAGATGATGATTTGTTCGATGTATAGTTGTGTCTATAATCGCTGCCTTTTTCGTGAAAAACGTCGATGACTGTCTGACTCGGTAGGTCAAGTCCAGACCTTGGGAGGCTTGTTTCATTTTGTAGATGATGGCTAATTAGTGCCCTCCAATGTCTAGCGATGTGGCCCGAGAGCTTGAAACTCCCAATATCCTACATGGAGATCGCAACGACAGGGAAACCGTCAAAAAGGTGGACGTGACCCAGGCATAAATCGCTTGGAACGAGCAACGAAGCACCGACCTCGTGGTGGGTTCCGAACCGAGCTCTTGAAGACGGGCTGCTTGTCCACGGAACATCAGAAGATGAACTGAGAAAGACGGTTGCAACCTCGCTCGCTGGTCTGCTGGTATCTGTAGCACACCAATACACTATAGGCACCTATTAGTAGGAGAGGGTATGCAAGCTCCGTGCATCACTGAGTTGCGCATGCGAGTGAACCATTAAAAATTAACCACTCCCTTGTAGGTCATTCTTAATCTGGAAGTCTGCCGTCCAATTTCTCCCTTGACCCTTTTCTTGACCGCATGAAAATCATTTCGTAACGTGTACATCCCAAAAGAACAATGAGGATGATGGAGGTGTGATAGAAGATGTATCGACGCATACCGGATGAAAGCGTGGGTCACAGTTCTTGGCCTTTCGCGGGGTGGACAAAGCCCTCGCCACCCAACTGCTCTGCTCCCTACTAGGTACATAACCTTCCATCCTGAAATCCGCTTTCACCTTCCCACCCACCCACCACTGCACCCCGAGGAACGCCATTCCCGTTGCTCTTACTACTGCTATTGTACGCGAGCCATGGAAGAACGAGACGAGTCACCTGTGAACGACATCCGCGTTCGAAAGCTCGAACGTGGCAAGCAAAACCAAAGACGAAAGCGTCTGAAAGAGAGGCAGTTGTTCCACGAGCTGGAAGCCCGTAACGAATGGCTGGAGGCTCAGTTTGGACTCTTGAACAATGGATCCGGCGAAGTCGCCAAGTTACTCGCACAGGTAAAGCAGTTGACCGACGACAACCAACGGCTGAAACAGCGGTTACGGGTCGCGGATGAATTCGTCACATCATGGACCGGGGCGAAACCCGAAAATACAACTCTGGTGACAAGCCAAACGGAGTTGCATGAAGCAGACAGTGGGGAGAGGCAATGTGCTACCTTTTCGTCGAGGCCTCACCATGATGCTGGTCCAGATGATGATTCCCCGATGCCGGAATTCGCACCTCTTGGGGGTGGAACGGCTTCATCAGAAGAATCACCTGAGCCCTCAACCCTCCGACCTGACTCTGACGGTCGAAGAATGAGCCTAGCTGCAGCAGCAGCATCGTCAACTTCACAGGTCACGGATTTGATCCCACTACTCGTTGACAAATTGCAAAAAGTGCTCGACCTCCCTGAATGGCGGAAGTTACCAGTTCATTGTCAGGTACACCCTTGCGTCGATCCCTATGGCGCTGTTATGCAGCACTTGCGAAGCTCAGCCGCGGCATTTAGCCAGTGCAGTCCTGAACCGAGCATTCTGGACCTCATGTTCGGGGGTTCATTGAACGACCTTTGCAATGCCATCTTCCTCAGAGTGTCAGCTACGCCGCTGCGACGTACCGAGAGGCTAGGTTCGAGTTGGAATATCTATCTTTTCCTCAAGGTACGTACATACATCAGTCAGATTGTCTCTGATTCCATCGTCATCTTCTGTTTCTGTTTTCTGTTTCCTATCACACCTTGGGGCTTGCAAGACCACGCTGACCTTTCGGTAAATCCATCCAGTGGCTCCTCGAGCCGACAGAGCAAAGCTTCGAGCTTGTTCCGCCCAGTCTTCGCCTAACCACAATGCAGTTGCTCGTCCCTCATGCCCCGATGATAGACTACGTCATATGACCGCAGATGCGAGACAACTTCATTCGACACGGAACCAAATACTGTCGCCGTGAGATATTCGGGCTACTTTTTGTTGCTTGCCGGATTCGAGATACTCCCAATGCCGACTTTGTCACTCGAAATAACGGCCAAGAGTTGCAGATCGATCCTCACTACCTCAAACGCGCCTCGACGGCCGAGGAATGGGTGCTCTTGGATCGATTCTGGACCGAGTATCCTGAACTGGTTGAGGGGATGGATCCTGAAAAGTATATGATTTTCGAAACAGACCTCGTGTGAAGAAAAGGTTCGAATTCGCGCCTTGCGTCGCCAATGTGCTGACTTACATGGCGGGCCGGTACCCCGGTTCAACCTCCTGAAATTGAGGCGAGGTACCATCTTTGTCTGACTCCTCCACGCTCAAATAGTCTCGATGACGATGATGACGAAATTTTATATTTCCACCTCTCCCATCGAACACCGCTTAACAGGCCTCCTCGTACATCACCCACGTTCGATAGTGACACTACTTTGTGTCTACATTATCAACGCCAGGAGATCTGTGCTGGCCTGGACATGCTGGGAAGCCACCTGCGTTGAAGAACCAAATATCAAGAAACAAGTAGGTGGTCTCAATTGATCTAAATGAAGGAACAGAGCATGGAAATTATAATAATAAGGTACGTACCGTCACCCCTTTGCCATCATCTACTTACCAATTTTGTTCATTCGACTTAGCCCTCAATGATCGATTCTTAACACTGTCGAAATCTATACCTCAAGCATCAATGCCGCTCGGTGATGCGCAGTTTGCGATAGCACGGTTTACACACTAATCCATGTGTCAAGTCCCAATCACCCCCATCAGCAGTCTCAAACGGACCTTCGCCGCAAATTTGGCATTGGCTATTATAGATCTCTGTCCTGGCGACCTATGCACAAGCGAAGCAGACTTGCTTACCAGGAATTCGGCAGACTCTACGTAAGTGAGCATTGCAATCGTCGCATTTGTTGGTACCCACCGGTCTCCCCTCCACGACTTGATTGACACAACCGGTGCAAATGGGAATTCGAATATCGCTAGTCACATCGGTCGGGAGCCATCTCCAGTATTCTCAGTTTTGCTGATGGGTTCGACCACATCGAGCACATCCTTCGACTGGCCAAGCGGCGCGGCAATGTCTGCACAGAGTCCCATACATGGTGAGCCAATTGTGGGCCACTCGCTGACATCCTGAGCATGTCTGCCGAGCTGGGGAAGCAGATTCAGCTGATTGACTGGTGGGCTTTGGATCTGGAGTCTGGACATTCGAGGGAGGAGGACTTGGGGGTATATCGGCCAAGACAGCCTGCAACCATACCTGGGTCTGGGATTGAATTCTGCGTGCCATTGCGACGGATGACCTGGTTTGTCACTTACCTTTGAATTGGTTAACCTTGATCAAGACTTGCAATGCCAGTACTTCCAAGTGCGGTCAAGGGTGATATGTTGAGATTAAGAGCCCGGGCGTCTTGGATCAATCAATATTTATCTGGGGTGAGAATGTCATTTGTTCTCAACTTTCTCTCTTTGTAACTTGTCCACCTCTTTGTTCAGACTGCCTCCAGCTGGCAATTATCAACGGTTGCTTCATTGTTCCGCTTTGTTGTCCATATCGGTCCGATCCATAATTCTGTGGAAAGTCTCAAAGCCTGACATCAGCTTTGATCCTACCTATTTTCACCCTTTGTACGGAAACCACCCTTTCAGCAGTGGAGGACAAGAAGGATTCTGTGGGACACATTCCGGTTATCAATGTTCTCTCGCAGAATGACCGACAATGCATACGGTCTTTCCACCACGTCAGTTGTGGGGGTTGGAAGACCGAAACATCAAGCGAGAGCTCGGAGGAAGTCCATCTTCTGGAGTCGGATGAATGTTTTATTGACGGGCAGCTGACTAACTTGTCGGGTGGAACTCCTGGCGCGGCTGCTTATTCGAGGTTTGGCTGCCCATTCTGGGCAGTGAGGGTGGCTCCAAGGGGGTAAACAATGAAAGTGGTAATGGACGAAGCACAGTTCGGGGGATATATAATGATGTGTATATATATATATGTATCTCAAATAGTTCCTGGTCTTCAGGTTCAATCTGGACAAACCCTCTGCTCCTCAAGGCCGAAGATTGCAATTCTGAGCCAGTTTATTTAAAACTAAAGGGGTTGGTCTCGTCAAAGAGATTATACGAAGGACCTGAACAAGAAATATTTGAACCATCGTGCATGGAACTTCAGAGTCGAGGTGTTTATCTTTGCCCTGCGTCATTTGCTATGCCATGGCATACTGTGGCATCCTATGCTATGCTGCATTTCAAGGGGCGTCAATCAAGTGTCCATGTTCCTACTTTGAGTCCTGAGTAAAGGTACATAGATGCACAGGTGGATGCCTGGGCAGTTCCGCTCACCCTCCTTTTCCTATCCCTTGCTTTTAATCCTGACAAATGCCCACCCAATTCTATTCAGCTGGATTAGTCTTCTTGTTTTATTTTCCCCGGTGTATGAGAACCAGAATCCTTGGGATAGCGGGCATGGGACGTTGTCGGTCCATTCGTCAAGCCACCCATACGACGCCCCATGTCGTCCCATTTCAGCAGGGCGGATGGCTGGGTCATTTGATCGATCCATCTTACAATAAAAACAAACGAACGTCTACTCGATCAATCGACCAGGAAAAACGGTCAGTCGTACAACTTGACCCAGTCCGGGATCAGGACCATTTTCCTCCTCACCGGGCCCAACGCATACGCTGTGCCCTTGATGTCCTTCTTCTCCTCCTCCTCTGCCTCATCGCCGTCGCTGTTCTCGCGCTCGTCCTCCCCCTCCCCTTCCCGGTCTGCGTCTTCTCGCTTCCGCCCGGGCTCCACGAGAACCACATCCTGCAGGAAGTCCACTTCGGTGCCGTAGCGGACCTCCAGGTCAGTCCCGCCCCAGTCCAGGGTGACCTTGCCGGATTTGTGGACGCGGAGTTTCCCCACGATCCCCTCGGGCAGGCGCATGGGTTCAGACGCCGTGAGCAGGCCCTCCATCTGCAGGGCCGGTTTCTGCGCCACTTTAGCGGGGTTGTCTGGGTCGGCTTTGATTTCGGGATCGCTGGCGGTGTTGGCGCCCGTGGTGCGTTCGTCAGGCGCGTCGAGATCGATGGTGGTGGTGGTGTCGCTGGTAGTGGGTTCGACTTTGACTCCGACCCCGTCGGCGTGCGTCGCGGTCGAATCGACGAGGAAGGGCGTGAGTGGTGGCAGCTGGAAGAGGAACAACCTGCTCTCCATGAGTCTGGATTTGGCCTTCTTCCGCGAAAGGTCCTCTTTCTCCTCGTCGACGGTCATCTTCACATCCGTCGCCGGTGGGCTGATGAATAGATTTCTCAGCTTCTGCACGTCCTCCATGGCTCTCATTCGTTCCGCACGTTCTTCCACCGTCTCAGTCACAGGTCCCTTGGCATCCCGCCCGATTTTGCCAGCACCGAGTTGCCTTTTCAGCGTCCGTTTCCGCATCTCGGGGCTGGAGGGTTGTTCCTTGACAAATTGGAGGGATTCACTGTCCGCATCCTCGGTATCTTCCTCCTGTTCACTTTTGCTTTCAAGCTCCTGAGTCTCGGCATCGGGCTTTTGAGCCTCACCGCCACGGCTTTTCTTGCTGCGCGAGCGTGCGCCAGCTCCTCCCCGCCCTTCCTCTTCGTCCCGTATCCGAGGTGCACGCACTGGTCGCAGATCCCGCCCTCTGTGAGGCATGTGCACTGAGCTGCCGGTGGCCTTTTCTTTCCCTTTTCTCGAACTCGATGTGATATCGTCTTCGTCGTCGTCGTCGTCGTCGCTCGAGATCGTGATGTCCTCGATGTCTCGTATGTCGTCATCGTCGGAGTCCTCCTCCCTAGCTGCGTCCAGGGCTTCTCCAGTCCAGGATACGTCGGCTTTCCCACCAGCGGAAGTCCCTGGTCGGCCGGACCCGGTCTGGCCTGCTCTGGTACCCCTGCCTGATGCTGGGCCATCTTGAAAGGCATCTTCGTGGGGCCCATCTCGCAGACCACTCTCCAGCAGCTCAGTATAGCCTTCATAGCTTGTTCTAGGTTTTGTGGAAAGCCTTGCACCGGACCCTGCCCCGAAAACACCCCCACCTCCTACTGGTTCCTCTCTTTGACCGGCTGCGGCACTCCCTCTGCCTCCACGGCTCGTCGCCCTGGCTCCTCTCGCACCGCGATTTGCCACCCCATGCTCGGCTGCTCGTGCCTTTTGTCGTTCGGCTTCCTCTTTCGCGAACTGCTCTCTTTCGGCCTTGGTCTTCCGTTGGATCCCTGCTCGAGGTCTCGGTCTCGCGGCGCCGCCACGGGGGGTGGATCTGGCACTTGCGGTGGGAGGAGTCGAAGGTGTTTCGTCCGGCATGACAAACGACTTGCGGCTTGCACTGTGGGATCTCTTCTACTGACTCCAACGTCGGAAGATCATAAACTGGAATGCATCGAAGAGCGTAGAGAAAAGAGAGTCAGTGGAGTTGCTTTCGCCGGGTGGTGGAATGAGCTAGAGTGGTAAATGCTAAGCGTTTTTGCACATATGATGAGTACAGTGTAATATCCCGAAGTCAGATTCACGCGGAATGGCCAGGAACTGGCTTGGTGACCTCTGGCAGAGAACTGTCACTCTTTTTTTTTTTGCAAACACCTCGCTTTGTGAGGGACTGGTCTCGTAAAATTTCCCCGCATGCATTATGTAATGTTCCACAGCCTCGTCACGTGGATGGGGGGTTTTCGAGGACCCTCGCACGACGAGGCTGCGTCCGTTGTGAGAACCTGTCATGCTAGACTTGAAGGCGGTCAAATTTCCTGATAGCATTCAAAATATAGGACCCTTCTCATTTCGTACATTCATACGCTCTTCCGAGCCCGGCAGTTAACTGATAGTCTCCTTGCATCAAAAAAAATAGATCACAAAGATGCGCCCATTTCGTCCACCAACAAGACAACACAAAAGGAAAGCGGATGCAGTTTGTTCAACACGACCATCGCTCAACTCTCCGTCGAGTCAAGGGGCATTTGACAGTCACGAATACAAAACGACCAAAACAACTCGCCGCGTCATTGCCAGTCCGTCAATCTCGTCACACAACGGCCTCGCGGCCTTCTTGGATCCAATTTTTTCTCACCCCCGAATTCCCAGTCTATTCCCTGGTACCTCTGGTTCGTTTGTTCTTGTTCGGCTTTGATGAAAACTTTCCTTGGCTCTTTCATTGACACAACCTGAGCCACCCTTTGTAGCTATTGCTCACCTCTTTCTCTTCTTGTTCTTGTCGGGACTACCATGGACCCCGATGGCGTCAGCTGACATGTTCGCCGCATCCATGATCGAGTCAGACTCTTCCAGGAGAAGGTCCTCGGCGACTTTCTTGACCGGAACTCCCATGTGCCGGCCATATCGCCCTTTCCGGCCGTTTCCTTCGTCTTCGCTGATGCAACCTTCAATTCCAATACCGGCATCTTTGCATCGCCCGCAAGGCCGTTGGCGATCGCAGCCTTTCTTGCTCTTCCGGCATCGCTGACATCGAGGCTTCGACGATAGGTCTTCCTCATCCGCAGCGAGTTGGTGCTGGAAGTTGAGGCTTGAGCCAGACGTCTTCCTGACCTGTCCGGCAGAGGCCGGTGCGGACGGCGCCTTCATGAGGCCAGGCTGTGTCGAATGTTTGGCAATTTTTGGCAGAGTGTTGGATCTAGCTTTGGACGATTTACCATGCTTCATCAACCCAGACGACTTGGGTCGATATCCGTTAGACGGGCCATCGTGCATCTTGGTCCTGATCTTCTTGGTCTTGGGCTGACCGTCGTATTCCTCGTGTTCACCTTTTGCGCTGTCTTGAGCATATTCCTCATCCTCGTCGTCAAGATACTTCCTGTGCTTGGGAAGGCCACCTTCGGCATCGCTGTATTCGTCGCTATCGCTCGTAGCACCAGTTGAGGAAGCTGCATCGGCAACACCGCTGAAAGTCTCGTCCATGGTCGAATTGGAGGTACGCCCATGAGAGTAGTTGGAAGCGTCGCCCAAGGCAATCAGTGTGCGGGCCACGTCTTCATCTGAAATGCAACTAGCGACGGTGGGGTCCGGTGTCGGAAGGACGCCATTCCCACTATATCCTTGTCTCCCGCCATGGGCTTGCTGCATGCTAGATCTATCACGCAGCCGGTGACCATGCTGGTGCATAGGTGTTGCCGCATCGGCGCCAGCTCCTCGATCGCCGCCACCAAACCCATGGGGGCTGGGTCCAAAGCTTTGCGGAGAGAGTATTGGGACATTTTGCAGTCCGTAGATCTTCTGACTTGCAGGGTGTAACGGCGAAGGGCCTTCCTGGGGGAGGGAACGTCGCTGAGGTGATATGGACGATTGGGATGCAGTCACTGGGACCTGAGGAGGGACAAAAAGAGGAAGGGTCTGGAGAGGTATGTCAGCATGGAGTCAAAGACAAGGTCATGTCCGGGGACTTACCGAACTGTCAAAGATGGGCTGTCCACGTCGACCATCTTGGAGGACGTTAGCAGTGCTGATGTCGGAGCTGGCAAATTGTTCGCTTCTAGCTCTCTTGGATCCTGAGACCGAGCTGCGCCCGGCCTCACTGTCGCTGTAGCCGTTCTCATCATGGTAGCTTCCAGTGGCGCTTGATCCTCGACTGGCAGCTGAATAAGAAGTCCCTTTCTGCTGCGACGCACTTCGACGACCTCTACCTTGGGTTGGAGAAATGCTCCGCTTACGAGCAACTCTCGACGCAGGCCTGGATGGCGAGTGGGATTGTTCGCGCATGTGAGGTGGCAACATCTGAAAGGGTTCGCCCAAACTGGGTCGACGTCTAGGTTCATAGCCGCTCTCGCCCGTGTGTAAGCCATGTGGGTATACATTGGAAGCTGCCTGCGGAACCGGCACAATGCGCACATAGACGGTAGAGTTATGGGCGAGGTTTTCGAATGAGGCAATCAGAGTATTGCCCCAGGCATCTTCGAAGCTAACTCCATTCCCATCGTATATGCCATAGAAGTTTTTGACTGTGGTAATGATGGACTCTGTGCTGTCATGCCTATTGAGCACTACCCGCAGTGGAATTCTTGCCCTGGTTTTGGAGCCCTCGTCCAGCAGGAGCTCGAAGGAGATGGACTTGGCAGGAGGCATCCTTGTCTTGGACATCTTGTGTTCCTCGGCGGAGAGTAGGCTAGAGACCTGCATCTTCAGGAATAGCTTTGATATATGTGACTGTCTTCTTATACCTCTGTCGGCGCAGGAGGACTCATCCAGGGTTCACTTCGAGCAAAGGAGGCTTTAGGGAGGATATCCGGCTGGGTCTTCGATCGAGAGTGGCACTGAATACTAAGTGTTAGTATGGAGTTTAGCAAGAAATAGATGGTGGTGGTTGGGAGCAATGAAGCCATTGAGCCGTAGGCCAGGGAGGGTGAGAGTTGGTTGGGAGGACAATGGGCTTGGTTCCCAAGTCCCATTCTGGGCAACCTACAACAGATCAAGACTTCAGATGAAGAGTGTGAGCACTTGCGATGATCCTAAGACCAAGAAGAGATGGCAGAAAAGATGCGCAACGGCAATTGCAACAGCATCCGGCTCTACCGTCAAGACATGGTCGAGGGCTAGAGCATGGTGGCTGCGCTTGAGATGTCGTAGCGGTGACAGTGGAATCTGGTAGGCGACAGAGTGCACAAGAGAAAAGATAGCTGATGAACCTCTCTGGTCGGCACACAAATGGCGCCCAAAGCGGTGGATGAAGGGAAATCAGAGGGAATAATGGGGGAGGTGAGAGGTCCAGGGAAGAAAGGAAGTTCAAGGTGCGGACTGAGGCTTGGGATACTGCAATAGTCAACGGGCGTGTGAAACGAGGCCCACCCCCGGTCCAACAGACGCCAGTACGTACTCGTACCACAAGAACGTGGCTTTCGCACTGTGTTCTGTGTACGGTGTAGGAAGTGATTTATTCCGAACGAGTCACAAATACCCTCCAGATCAAATTATGGCGTCCAGGAGGTCAATGATGGCGAAAAGAGCGAAAAAGCACAGGAAAAGTCTCAGTATCTGGCAGAGCGGTGGGCGACTACTGTACGGTGACTACGAGATAGATGGACCTTCCACGGCCGTGTCTTTTTCGAGCGACCCACGACCTTTGGGGTTCATAGTGCTATCTTGTGACGGCATGTCTTCCCGGCTACGAGCTAAAGGGTGCCAGGTGACGACCCGAAGCGGTGGCTTTGCTGGCCATTCGGGACTGGCAGGCTGAGAGCATGCCTTGGGGGTTGTATGGCCGGCGCCGGGGCCGAGGCCAGGCAATCAGAGAGTGGGAGTGGGAGGGCTTCAAGGGGAAAACCATGAGGCAGTCAGCGGGCGGAGCTGAGGGTCGGAAAAGTGAGGACAGCATTTGCGAGCCAGGCCCGGCGATGCGCTGGAACTAGGAATCCAAAGAATAAGAAGGAAAGCCAACCCCTCACTTGGTTGAAATGATGTTCGAGAAAGTGGCCGAAGCGGTAGCGGATTTGGCGAGCTTTGTATGGCCACTATGGCAAAGATTAGCAAGCGTCAGCGGTCTGAGCCTGTAGGCTGGTGAGCCGTGGGTTTTCCTGAGCCGTATTGGGGGTGGAGTCCCAAGGAGTCTGGTGCCGTTCAAGAGGCCGTCGTCAAGAACACGCAAGCATCCGTCGCCGTCATTCGACCAATCCCCTCGACCACTCGACCGTGGGCTGCCGCAGTGGCTGCCACAGGATGCCATTCCCATTATTTCACAGGGTTCACTGTGCAGCCCATGGCCAACCTCGCGCCATCTGGACCGTCGGGCTCGCTGGGCTCTGCTGATAAACATGACCCTAATTCAGGGTGCGACTCGCTGCAAGCCCGCCACGGCGGCAATGATATGTCTATCGTTTCGCGATCTGCAACGCACCAACTGCAAGTTCCCACACCGACCAGGATCTTGGCGGGATGGCGGAACTGGCGGCGACCTCAAAACCCAGGCCGCAAATTGCTCGATAACGTGATGGGCGCCTGTGCTGGTGCGTGCCTGTACTTGGTAGATATATAACTTGTATGTACAAAGTGCACGACTCGCCGGGCTTGAGCCGGATGCCATTACTAGTCCGAGAAACATCTTGGTCGTCGTTGTCCCGGTCAAGGTCGCATTGCTTTTCAGCTCGCTAACTTGGACTGATCTTGACGATTTTTTTTTTGTCGCATCCCCCACATTCCATTTGTATGGGCTATAGCATCCAACAGAGACGCACACATTCCCCATCCGACCAAGGGTGTTCTCCATTAGGTCCGACTCGTGGGCTTTATGGTTGAAACATTCGAGATAGGAGTCTGCCAGTCGTAAGCGCAATTCGGCGCATTTAGGATCGTGCCAATTGGGGCCATCACATGCCCTACAAATGACAAGCTTGGATTGCCAAAATCAGAGTTTTGCGCAAGAAACTGAAACTCCGAAACCTCGGGTTGCTTGCATCTCGAGTCGCACATATTTCCGCGCGATATTCAGCTCGGGCTTCTTCTGAAAACTGATCTCTGGACAGCTGTCGCATTTGTGGGACTTGGAATCAGCAACCAAACAGGAAATGCGAAACCTAGTTTTGTTAGTCTACACACAACATATCTCCCGGTCGTGGTACAGCATCACTTTGAGGGGCTATCCACGTCGCAGACTCCATCCAGACGCAAGTGCATAAATCTGGCGGAATCTCGAGAGTTGGTCAGCCGTCATTCTCTGCTGTGTGAAGCAATGTAGCATGTCATCCGAATCCCTGGATTCCTTGCGGTCCGATGACATCGTTTGGGGTTGAGTAAGCGCCTAAAACAAAAGTCCGAACGCCCATCGCTTTCCGGGGACCAATCTAGAGGACGAAATTCGCCCATTTTGGGGAAGTGGCGATGAGAAGACTAGCCAACCTTTTTTTCACATTGATAATGCGATCAGGACAATGCCAGAGGGACTGATGATGGTACGGAACAATCAGAGGGAGCACAGCCAGCTGAGTCAATGTGCGTAAAAGCACGTGATCTCGCGATTTCCGCGACGCGTTGACGTCATAATCCACGTTTCCATCATTTATCAGATGATGCGGAGCGGAATCCTAGTGATAACTACACAGATCCCTTCCAGTATACCAAATGGTGCTGGGAATCAAGTTTATCATCCTTTGTACCATCAGTGGCGCCGCTAAACTTGGAGAATAGCGAAAGTGATGCTTGTTGAAGTACGCGAAGTGTTTATACATCCGAGAACGGACTAGCGTATAGCTGCTCCGAGCTAAGGGCGGCAAGAGCCGCGGCGCCAGTCCAATGACTGACCAACGCTGGTGTTTACATGCAAGTTCCTCGACCTTGCATAATCCCATAATAATAATAATGTCGTTTTGTTTGTTGCCAGGACCAACCCATATGCTGTGCTCCTTTCCACAGCCATAGCTTCTGCATCGATACTCCTGCCCTGGCCTTGACCGTCCTCTCCCTCCCACGACGCTGTTCCTTCCCTACTTCCCCCTTCGACTGAATGTACCCGACTGCGTCGCGCTCTGCAAATTCTAGGGGCGTCAAGAGCCAATCGACCCTACAAGTTCGAGAAGCTTGAGATCGTTCTCCATTCCATTCCAGGCATTCGGGCTATTCACTATGGACGTGAAGGTGAGAAATTTATACTAGGGCCTGTCACACCCCGTCGATGCGCAACTTTGCTGTGCCATTGCTTCAATCCAGGCTATTTTGTCGAGGCCCTCAAGCTAACGTATACTTCACCTGATAGCCACAACGTCCACTGCGGCCATTACGCGTCAGAAACGACGAAAATGTCCCTCCCGAAGGTCAGGTCACCAAAACAATCCATCATCGGAATAAATCGAGTCCAGCACTCACGACTACTTTCGCCGAAGCCCAAGGGCTCAAGGCTGCCGCGAAGCGAACTGCATTTGGAGATGTGAGCAATATCGTTGCAGGCAGACCGAGCAAAGATGATTCAATACTGCACACCAAACCGAGTCTACAAGCTGTCGTGAAACCTAGCCAGTCCCTCGAGCAAAGACGATCTATTGCGCTGCTCCGTCCCGCCCAAAAAGGATTGAAAACCATTCTTGCTGGAGCGGCTGCCTATGGCACATCCAAGGCCTCTTCAAATGCTACATCCACAGAGACTGTGGTTGCACTACAACCTGCCGCAACGAAAAAGACATTGACTAAGCGCCACACCACAATCTTTAAAGATACCCGTCTTGCAGTGCTTCAAGAGACGGAAATAACTCTGAGCGATTCCGCGGATGAGAATAGGCCAGAGACAGAGAAGCGCCCGAGCTCAGCGAATGCTGGAATAGAGTCTCAGCTTTGCCTTCTTCCTCCACCTGTACCTGTTGCTGTTCCTGCTGAACCGGTGAAAGATATCCAAGATCTCTATTCAGACACTAGCTTGCCTGGCATCGAAGGTGTAAACTTGGGTCCTGCACTCTCGAGCGAATCAAATAGCGAAACACAGGTGAATGATGGAAGTAGCACTGTCTCAAGCCACGTTGCTCAGCAGCTTTCACAACAGCCGTCGGATCGACCTCTCCCCAAACATCCTATACCTGCCATGGAACCCCACATTGCCGCCGTTCGAAAAGAGACGCAACAGATTCCGGTGGCGAGCCTCGTGAATCCCGTCGATAGCGTCCCTCCTCTGAGCCCCCACCATTCATATATCCAGCAACGGCTCGAGCAAGAAGAATATTGGGATGAAGAGGATGACGAGAACTACGAAGAGGAAGATTATGTCACCGCCAGGTCGTTCCGATCACGGGGGGACAATACAACCGGCGGCGCTACGACGGTTCTGTTTCCGCAGATGAACCAACGTGCCCGCAAGGAAATTGCTGCAGCAAAGCAGCTGGTCGAAGCCACTCGTTCCCCCGAGGAGGTGGAAGATGAAAGCTACGACACGAGCATGGTTGCTGAGTATGGAGAAGAGATCTTTGATTACATGAGGCAACTCGAGGTGAAGATGCTTCCGAACGCCCACTATATGGACAACCAGCATGAAATTCAATGGTCCATGCGCTCAGTCTTGATGGATTGGCTTGTCCAGGTCCACCTCCGGTTCAATCTACTACCAGAGACGCTCTTTCTTACTGTCAACTACATTGACCGTTTCCTGTCATGTAAGGTCGTTTCTCTCGGCAAACTGCAGCTTGTGGGCGCGACGGCCATCTTCATCGCTGCAAAATATGAAGAGATCAATTGCCCCTCCGTCCAGGAAATTGTGTACATGGTCGACGGAGGTTACAGTGTTGATGAGATCCTCAAAGCCGAGCGGTTTATGCTCACCATGCTTCAATTCGAACTTGGCTTCCCCGGGCCCATGAGCTTCTTGCGCCGAATAAGCAAAGCTGATGATTATGACCTGGAGACGAGGACCCTGGCGAAATATTTCCTTGAAGTGACCATGATGGATGAACGTTTCATCGGAAGCCCGCCGAGTTTTACCGCGGCGGCATCGCATTGTCTCGCACGCATCATGCTTCGGAAAGGCACATGGGTAAGTCAACAACTTAAGTGGATAGTGCTCACCTGCTAACACACCTAGACCGCCCATCATGTCTACTATTCCGGGTACACGTACAGCCAACTCAAACCACTGATCAACTTACTGCTGGAATGTTGTGAGGATCCGCGGAAGCACCACAACGCAGTCTTCAATAAATATTGCGACAAGCGCTACAAGAGAGCTTCGGCTTTCGTTGAGACCGAAATCCAGAGAGGGTTCGAATTGCCAGACCCCGTCGCACCAACATCTTTTCTTCAGTCGACGATGCTTTCATTCTATGATAGCGTCCCTTATCTTCGCATGTGAAGAGATCATCATTCAAACAACTCATAATTTAAACTACCCTACCTCAGAGGCAAGCACTTGTCTATCACAGGTGGCAGTTTTTCGACATCTTCAAGCTGAGAGACACGCGCATTGCAAACTCTCAGCCGCGGGAGCCTCGCGCCATCCAATCGAAAGCAGATTAACGATTGGTTGTCGGTATTCATTTCTCCCAGGCTTAGGGCTTCTCAATATTCGATGGGAATCATTGACGAGGAAACACGAATTTATGACAAAGCAATTGGCGTCCACCGCAGAGCGACCGGGAGAACAAGGATGCTGAGGAGAGCCATCTCTCGGTCTCCTGTAGGAATATTGGAATGAATTATGGGCATCGTCGTCGTCGAAGCTTGTGAACGGCTTTGGAGAGCGACGTGGCGGAGATCACACTGTTAGAGATAGCAACGGGTTGCTGGGCGTGATAGAGTCGGATCGGTAATCATCAGGCAACAAATTCGTGCTCTCAGGCAGATAATGCAGACACTACCTTGAGGGAATGCAATCACAACAAGTTTCTTCAACCAGCAAATATGCGCCTGGATTTCAACCGGTCCTACGGATTTGCTTTTTGTATCTGCAAGGAAGGTGCCAATTTATCGAAACGAGGGGAGGCTGCTGAAAAGGGGAAATCGGCGCCAGACAAGGCTGAATGACAGCCTGATGACAGATTTCCCTTGGCAACAATTTAAGGAAAGTCTCCCGAAGACGGACATAAATTTCGCCTCATTTGCCATCGACCACGTCTACCAAGAGCTGCGCTCCCTTCCAGTAAATTTGGCTCCGTCCTGAATCCTGATATGTGAGAGGGCACTGCCGAAAATGAAAATTCGCCATGGCAAGATGTGCCGCATCAATGCTTGATCTCCGACGCTCTGCTTGTGCAACTGCTTCTCCACACGCCAACAACGTTTGCTGAACATACTGGAAATCGTGCTGACGGTAAGGGCCGTCGAACTCACTCTCTGGCGGATAGCGCATGCCATTCAACGCTTGAATTGAGACGCTTGGCAAAGCCATCACGTACCAATTTCGACGCATATGGCCCCTAAGAAAGGCTCTGCCTCCGGCAAGGGTAACCCTTCTAAAAAGCAAATACCCACAGTCCCAGACAGTGACCATATAGTTTTCACTAAGCAGAAAAACGAAAACAAGAGACAGGGGCAGAAAGACCCCGACGGAGCCCCGCCCCGTCCGGACGTGAAAAAGATCATCGGCGGTGCTTCATGGACCGGCAAGTTGCCTGTCAATTTGCTGTCGGAGCATTGTCAGCGAGAAAAATGGAATAAGCCCGAGTACCAGGGCCGCCAAGTTCCTTCGGCAAGCGGTGGAGACAAGCTTCACCGATCATGGGTTGTATTGTCGAGGACGGACCCGAAGTCGGGCTCTGTCACGAAACTTCCCCCATTCCAGCTTCCAGCAGATCATGCCCATCTCGCAGACCAGCCGACAGCACTCGAGGCTCGCCATTTTGCAGCTGCTTATGCTCTGTTCCGCGTGTCTAGCATGAAGAATTTGGCAATGGCATTACCTCCAACCTACCGAGATCTTTGGAAAGGCGACTTCCAGCGTCTCAAGGACGTAGATGTCAAGGATGGTAGGGGATGGAAATATGACGCAGATCCCTTTGCTGCTGAATCAAGAGGACAGGAGATCAAGGCCGCTCGAGAAAAGCGAAAAGAGGAGGAAGCGCGGCAACCTCCCAAGATTGTACCTTCGGGTTTAACTGGCTCAGGGATAGATAATTCTCTATCGAAGGCGTGGGATCGAGCACCGCGACTTGAGTTGGGACAGGAGGTTCGCACACGGACTGAGTCAATCATCAGATCTCGAAGCACCTGGAACCAAAGCAGGCTTGAGATCTCCAAGGCGGACAGAGACACCATTGTGGCCGATCTATCTCGATCTGGCTTTCAATCGTCCCACGTCCAAGAAGCCCTCGAAAACTGTGGCACGCGGGAAGAAGTGTTAGAGTGGCTCCTCATTCACGTTCCCGAGGATTGCCTGCCCGCGTGGAGCTTCCCCCCCGGTTACAGTGCAGGAATTACCCTCGTTAGCAGCGACCTTGCGACGGATGCCAAGATAAAGCGATTAAGCCACGGGGGCTACCCAAGCCAGCTATGTCTTCAAGCCCTACGTGACAACGATGGGGACGAGGCTCTGGCAGCAGAAGCTCTACAATCACGCCTTGTGCTATGCGAGGCCGGGATGGTTGCGGATAAAGAAAGCAACGCACCCGTTTGGGATGAAGAAATGACTGCTCTAGAAGCTATACTTGACGAAAGGTTTAATATCCCTGCTCGAAACCGCTGCTCTATCCTGGCGGACCACAGTTTGAAGTTCTCAGCCACATTTCACTTTCGTCGTCCGACCTCTGGTTATCCAAACAGGCCACCCGTCGTCTCAATCGAGGCACCTCAGATACCGAGTTACATTCGCCTGAGTGCAACCAAGAGAGCGATTCAGTATGCCCAGGATCACCTGCTTGGTGATTCGATGATATTCAGTCTATTGGAATGGCTGGAGAGCTCGATGCCAACCATCATCGAAGATCCGGGAAGGCTGAGTGACTTGGAGATCACGCCTTGCCTAACCGGAAGGATGTTCGCTACGGCGCAGAATGCAGCCCAGAACTATTCCGCTCCGACAAGAATGGCGGAAAGAGTATACATGAGGGATAATCGATCCAGTCAAGCAATATTCGAGGCTTGGAAAATGCGGCAGAGCTTGGAAACTCAACAGACAATGAATTCAGCTCGGCAACGTCTACCCGCATGGCCCAAAAAGGAGGAAATTACGAGAGTGGTTGACAGAGCGCAGGTGACTCTTATTACAGGAGAAACCGGCTCTGGGAAAAGCACTCAAGCGGTCCAATTTATCCTGGACAACGCTATCGAAAATATGCGAGGTTCTTCACTCAACATCATCTGCACACAACCCAGGAGAGTCGCTGCTCTGTCATTGTCCGAGCGTGTCAGTGCGGAGCGATGTGACAAGGAAGGCCAGGAAGTTGGGTTTATCATTAGGGGAGAGTCTAAGGTCTCTTCAAAGACAAAGATCACATTCCAAACCACCGGTGTGCTCCTTCGCCGCCTTCAGAACTCTTCTAGCATTAAGTCAGCCCTGGCGAACATCAGCCACGTCTTCATTGATGAAGTTCATGAACGGTCGCTGGATACGGACTTTTTATTGGCCTTGCTGCGTGAGGCCTTACCATCTTTGCCTCATTTGAAGATTGTCTTAATGAGTGCCACTCTCAATGCCGACACCTTCGCTGACTACTTTGGTGGTGATCGAGTTGGCAGAGTCCACATTGAAGGGCGTACATATCCGGTCCAGGACTATTACCTCGATGATGTTGTCCGGATTGTGGGAAATGAGAAAAGAGAATCGCAGCAGGAGTCAGACGACGAACCTCCTGTCGGCAAGGCGATTCAGAGCCTAGGAATTGGAATTAATTACCAGTTGATCGCTTCGCTCGTGCGAGATATCGACAGGCAGCTGGGCAGCTCGAGCGGAGGTATTCTCATTTTTATGCCAGGCACCTTGGAAATCGATCGCTGTCTTAGGACATTGGCTGGCATCCCCGGTATTCATGGTCTACCGCTCCACGCGTCTCTCACGCCTGCCGAGCAGCGGATAGTATTCAGGCAGCCTCCGGCAGGTAAACGAAAAGTGGTTGTCGCCACGAACGTTGCCGAGACGTCAATCACCATTGAAGACATCGTGGCGGTGGTTGACTCGGGCAAAGTGAAAGAGACTAACTACGATCCTGTCACAAACATCGTGCGTCTTGAAGAGGTCTGGGCTTCCCAGGCAGCTTGTAAACAGCGCCGTGGCCGGGCGGGCAGAGTTCGGGCAGGGAAATGCTACAAGCTCTTTACAAGGAACGTAGAAGCCAATATGGCAGAGTCTCCCGCACCAGAAATGCTCAGAACGCCGTTGGAGCAACTCTGTCTTTCGGTAAAGGCGACCGGTTTTGCTCGCAATGTGGAGGAATTCCTGGCAAGCACCATCTCGCCGCCCGACAGCCGAGCTGTCGCCACGGCACTGAAGACCTTGCGGCGGATGGGTGCTTTGGAGAATGACCGCTTGACCGGTCTCGGAAACTACTTGGCTATGATACCTGCTGACCTGCGCTGCGCGAAACTGCTCATCTACGGCGTCTTATTTGGGTGTACGGAATCCTGTCTGACAATCGCTGCCATCTTGGCAACGAAGAGCCCGTTTGTCTCGCCGCGCGACAAAAGGGATGAGGCGAAGGAGGCGAGATTGTCCATGACCGCTTCGGACGGCGACCTTATCGTCGACTACAGAGCATATGAGCTGTGGAAAGAGCAGTCTGCGGCGTTGCGATACAAAGATGTGCAGAATTGGTGTTCAGCCAAATTTTTGTCTCCCCAAACTCTCCGCGACATTGACTCGACTCGACGGCAACTTCTCGACGCCTTGATAGAAACTAGCCTGTTACCTGCCCATTACACCAGTGATTCTTCCAACTACAATCGACAGAAAGGCAACGTCATGCTCCTGCGCGCCATCATTGCGGGGGCGCTGAGCCCTCAGATCGCACGCATCCAAATGCCCGACAAGAAATACATCGCATCTATGAGCGGTGCCAAGGAACTCGACCCGGACGCCAAAACAATAAAGTACTTCAACGAGGAAAATGGAAGGGCGTTTGTGCACCCAAGCAGTGTGCTCTTCGACGCCCAAGGGTTCTCCGGCAATGCAAGCTTTGTGAGTTACTTCACTAAGATGGAGACCAGCAAGACGTTCATCCGGGATTTGACGCCGCTGAACCCATATGGGCTGTTATTGTTTGGTGGGCCCATCGAGGTCGATACACAGGGCCGGGGAGTTGTTGTGGATGGATGGGTGAAGTTGAGGGGTTGGGCTAGGATCGGAGTTCTGGCTTCGCGGCTACGGGCATTGTTGGATGACGAGCTGAGGAGAAGGATTGATTCTCCTGGGCGCGTCGCGGGTGACGACGCAGAGAACAGTGGTGGAGTTTTTGATATTGTTAGACATTTGGTGGAATTCAACGGGCAGGACAGATAGACAGGGGGGAACGACCAGCCTTATGATGGTTTCCATTTTTGGATACAGATCCTGGACGAGTTAGGACAGAGAGTCGTGGATTTATGTACACGTACTGCCTTGGACCGGTGCGAGTACACGGCCAGCACTGGCATTCGCTGTTGCTGTTTCTATTCTCGAGACGTTGCGTGTAAGGAGTGCCAGTATCTCATCTGCTCGTCGTAATGTGGAGCGAGACGTGCCGACGAGCCGAATCCGGCGATGCCGAAACGGGCTGTGGGTCTTGGCGTCGACCAAAATGAGACCAGCGTCTGTGGCTGCTCTATCTTTCAGTAGCACCATGGGGCACCGGTTCAGGCCACGAGTCTCGCTTGCGACCGTCTCTAAGCGAGCCTAGATGTGGAGTAGAGGTGTATGGTGTGGCTGAGACTCAGCCGGAGGACAATGTGCCACTGGCTGGTACTGCCCCTGTAAGTCTTTATTGTCCTCTCCTTTTCATGTCCACAACACGCACACATTGTACTTCTGTACCCTGCTACCCAGGCCTCATGGCAGCCACCGGTGGATAAGCCGCTCGTGTGCTCTTCTGCTCGCACGCCATCAAGGGCGATAAAAGCCGTCGAGACCGCACTATTGGGACCTCTCCACCCACACGTGGTCAATTCACAGCTGCCAAAATGAGCGCCTCTGTATCGCCAACAATCGTGATTGGCAGTCCGCTCAAATCAGTCCGGCCAGAACACATGTGCCGTGGTCTACGAGTATGCTTTTGCTGCGATGGCGCTTGAAGTCTGGCTACAAGAGGTGGATAGGAGGCAACGGACTGGATCAGGAGGACCTCGAGTCGCCTCGCCCTTCACATATCAAATCATGGCGACGCCCCAGGAAGCTTTGTCGTAGCTTCCTTTCCGCACACAGTCTCGGTACATAGTCAATCGGTCCAAGAGCTGCGTTGTTGAGGCACCATGTCGCCTTCCATGTCTCCGGTCGACAACAAAGACGAACCTACCCCCATTGGAGTTTCCGTCGTCGAAGTCAATCCTTCGCTGAGCAGCCGCGATGGACCAGGGCCGAACGCAGGTTGGACAGTCGATGAGCAATGGCAACCGGGATTCTGGAAACGCTTTCCCTGGGTCGGATTCGGATGCCTCTTCATGGTTGTCGTCTTCTCGGTCGTTGCGATTGTCGTTTTGACAGTATCAGACAACAGAACCCTCTCATCGTGGCCCCAGAAGATGGCCCCCAATGTCATCCTCTCCGTATGCAACAGCGGTGCTAGCGTTTGCATTGCCATCGCCGTGGCACAGGGCATCGCCGTGTCCTGGTGGAGAAGAGCAATGAAAGGCGCGACAATCGCGGATCTGCACAACACTTGGGCCTTTGGCAGCAGTATTGCATCCGTCGTGCTGAACGTCAAGTATTTCAACATCGCAGCCCTCGCCGCCATTGTCACAAAACTTACAATCATTGACGGCATCCTCTTCCAGCGCTCCACCAGTACCTACATTAAACTAGGACCCGAGCACAACATCAGCGTCACCACATATCCCACGCCACAGCTTCCTCCCACCGGCAGGCTGAATGCTGCTGGTAATGAAACAGACCTGTTGTCCTTTGCATTTACCTACGATGTTATCAGTTGGGCCAACTCTGCCTATGGCCAGCCCTACCAACCCTATGGATTCACCGAGTGTGAGGGCAATTGTAATCTCACAGTCCTTGCCCCCGGATATATCGCTACTTGTGAGGATCACCACACACAAAGGCGACGAGTTGATCCGGTCGGTGTTGCTTCGGTAAACGTCGGGCCTAATAAGACTCATATAAATGCCGAGACCACGCTATTCAGTGTCAACTTCAACACCACATTTCCGACGGCTGCGAAGAACTATACTTGGATCGGCCTCAACTTCACATATTACAATGCCGACGATCGGAATGCATCGAGCCTGACACTGCAATGTCCTATGACGATAGTGACGAAGCAATGCGAGCTGAGAGAGGCAATGCTGAAATACCCAATCTACGTGGAGTTTGCCAATAGCAGCACCGTGTCCGTCAACACAACGGGCTCACAAACAACTGTCTATTTTGGTACCGCAGACCCAATTCTGGGAACCCTGAATGCCCCTTCTGCGGACTTTGCATACAAAAAGGGCCAGATCCCTGGATTTGACTTCCAGTGGTGGATTGCGAATGAGACAGCGTGGAGACCTACAAGCATGGCCGACACTCGCACCGGAGGGATCGCTCGCGCCCTGTCTGATCGCTACACAAGCTCTGCGACGTTGACTACGACAAGCAACGATACGGATTTCAACTGGTACATCTCCACTACGGGCCAATTATCCGGCACGGAAGAATGGGACGACAACTATGGTAATTGCCCTTACACATATATTGACCCGATGACAGAAGTGATGATGGGACTGAACACGCTGACCTTCCTCACCGCAAATGATCTATATAACCGCCCGGAGATCCTGGATTCCACGATGACATGGGATGCATGGGCCAATAAAAGCGGCGTTCTGACGGAAGCCACTCAGCGGAAAAACGAGGTGTATTACCGGACAAAGTATGGGTGGATGTTTGGTGCCCTCGCGTCTACCCTCGTTTGTGTCCTGTTGGTCCTCCCGTCATACTGGGGATTCTGGGAGCTGGGACGGAAGGTGACGCTGAACCCCATCGAGGTGGCCAACGCCTTCCAGGCTCCTGCCTTTGCGCCAACCCATCCAAGGAGCGGCTTAGCGGATGACATCGTCAAAGTGGCGGGCGATCGAGTGGTGAGGTATACTGTCGCCGAGGCCTCGGAACGCGGCAGAAACTATAGGATCGTCCCTCTGTGATGAAGGATGGTGGTGGCCCAACAGACCAGCTTGTTCTTTGTATAGATTCTATAATTTTATATTCTTTCCGTTGCTCAACCGCCCAACTGCGCAGCTCTTCTTAAGGCCTGGTACAGCACTGCACCTTCGAGCAGACTCTCGAGAACCCAGGTACTCCGTGCTCCGTCCAGCGTGCTGTCTGTAGCTAGGAGGCCCCATCGGGACCGGCCAGCTCACTACCGGAATCTCTCTGGCTGGAGCTGCACGCTCGATCCGGCGGGAAAGCCTGCCGTCGTGGGGAACATGGAAAACTCGTCCATGATGGACTGCCACACCTCGTCGTCCCAGAAGCCGTTCACCATGTCTGTGGGCTGCGCATCGACGCCCGAGCCACCGAAGCCAATTCCGCCGGGGTCAGCGTTATTCGGCGGGTGTGGTCCCTGAGGCCCGCCCTCCGGGCCACTGTTGGGCGGGACGGGCTTGCGGATTCGCAGCGTGTTGAAAGGCGTCATGACGTCCGCCATCGCGCACCTTGTTGTCAAGGGCGGCCCAGATGACGCGCTGATCAGGAGCTCGTAGTCGGCGTCTCCCCTTGTTGCTGCTCCTCCTCCTCCTCCTCCTGCTGTTGCCGCCGTGGCCGCTGCTGCCGCGACGCCTTCGCTCTCCTTCTCGCACCGCTCGTGCCAGGCCATCAGGCCGCCCATGCCGCGCGTGAAGAACGCCCACACGTCTTTCTGGTCCGTGCCCACGCCGTCGCCCGTGCGGGTCAGCTCGTCGCCCAACTTGACCTTGACGCGCCGCGCCATGTCCAGCACGTCGGCCTCGCGCTTGGCGATCGCGCCGTCCCACCCGCTCGTCGTCGTGGGCAGGCGCGCCACCGTCGACAGGACGATCAGCGCGTACGCCGCGAAGCTGAAGAAGGCCGCGGGCAGGTGCCTTAGCACGTCCCGGGGCACGCTTAGAAAATACTCTAGGAAGGCCCGCGTCGAGGTCAGCAGTTCCCAGAGTTGGGACGCGTTGTGCGTCGAGTGTGATGTCATGGTCGGGTCGCGGTACAGTGACACCTCGTGCATTATGATGGGCAGGGCTCTCAGTTCTGCCATGAGGACATCTTTTTGATCGAGGTCACAGCGTGCGGTCAGCAGATCTCTCCAGCTAGTGTAAGCCTGCGGGTGTGGATGGATGATACAGTAAGATCTGGGTCTACTCACAATTGTCCTGTGCGGATGAGAATGCGGGACTCGCTTCTAGGTCTGCAACTTCCTTCTTGAAACCGTTCAGGGACATCTGTATCACCGCATCACTCTGAAATCGGATGGATGTGTGGTCGTTGTAGGAGAATCTCTCGCCAATCCGCTGCGCAAGGCATTTAGTATTGACGAAGCCCAAGGCATAGACGTCCGTGGCGGTCTCCTGATCCGCCTCGAGCACGTGGCAGCAGTGCTCAATCCAGCTGGTATGCTTCATGAGCAGTTCTTTGCGCGTCATCGCCATCCTGGACTGCGTGAGATCGGCTCAGTCGGGGCCACATTGTTGTACTCACGAAGAACAGAGGTAAAAGCAGCCCAGAAGGGCGCGTGTCTCTGCTATTGTTCGCTGGCATTGTGAGGGCAGGTTGCCTTCCACATTCAATCTACAGAAATAACTGCCCACTCTCTGATCACGGTGTGCAGGACACCGGTCCAGGTCAAGGTCCATGACAAGGGCGATCGCCATCTGGAGAAGCATGTAGGACTGCTTGTTCAGAGGATGGAAGTGGTAGTGGATCCAACTTAGGTGTACAAGCAGCGCTTGCAATAGTTCGATGCTTCTCTCGTTCCCGATCAGCACTCGTTCAGAGATGATCCTCTTAAGTTCGGCCCCGAGCCGTCTTTGAACCATGTGGTCTGCTTCGAGACACGCCGTCATGATGGCCAGGAAGAGAACCGGCTTGTCTCTCCGTAGAGTGGCAGCATCGGTCTCTGGAGCAACGACAACAAAAGGGAAAAATTTCGTGTGGACTTGCTTGTAAGTCTCGAGGAGGGTATCGGCAGAAGCCATCGTCAGAACACCGTTGTCAATGACATCAAATTGTCCGCTTTCTTCGGCAGTTGATGGGCCGGCGGAGGTGTTGGTGCTCTGCACATTCGCGATCGAGGCGAAGGACACATTGTCACTGATCTCTGCCTCCACCTCTGTCGCCGCTGGTGTGGTGGTTATGGGTGGAGCATTCGTGCTGCCATCAGCATTCTTGTCAGGAGTGAGCAATGTGAGCAGGCTGTTGACCTTTTCTTCGAGGGCTTTGATTCTCCTATTGCTCGATTAGATGGTTCTCGGGGATTCACCGTCTGACATACGTCGATTGTTTCTCCCTCTGGCGTCGGGGAACTTCTTCATGGAGACAATCCCGGCTCAGCCTTCGACACCGGTCGCAGACGCCGTGCCCGCCGCTGAAACAACACTTGACCTTGGCCTTGGCGCATCGAACACATGCCTTCCGTTTCGTTCGAGAGATGCCGACTTCATTCATTGCCGTCCTGCTCTAACTGTCCTCGAATAGGGCGAACGGGAACGGGGGCGTCGAGGGATGAATACAATACGCAGTTGGGGGGAGCGGGAAAGGAATTGGATATCTCCGTTCCTTGGGAGATTTGTAAGGAGAAGCGTATCACGTGAATATCTCTTGGCGCAGTGCAGCCAATCAGCGAAAGATTGGGAACGGATTTCTCTTTTTCCGTTTCCGTCTCCGGGTGCGTTGCTGTATCACCATCCATTCCTCACTTCAGTCCTCCCTTTCGTTCCTCAAACGGCGCCTCCTCTTCCCTTGTCCGTGTTGTTCTTCGATTCTTAATCCTGTTTTCCACTTGTAATGTTGATGTCTGAAAAGGAGATGGCGCCATCTTCCTCTTCCGTTCCTGTTAAGACCGCTTGTGCCCGAGATTGTTGCCTGTACGATACTGGAGATGGGAGCAACCAGGGGCACCGCAACCCTCCTATATCTAGACCTCCGACATTCACTTCTGCTTCTTCGGAAGTGGCATCAATCCTTCCCTCCTTCTACGAGAAGACATTGTGACCTTGCACTCGCGGCTGTGGTGTCTTCCAAGACTGCTTGACGATCAAACGAGCCGCTGCCAGGCTCACAAAATGCTCCCACAAGACAAACTAGAGCAAGTCACCACGGTGCCAGTTCCAATTACACAGAATGTTAACACCATCTCGAACACCAAGGACGCTGTTAAGACCCCAGAGTCGGAGACTGCTCACCACCTGACTGGTTCAAAGCTTTACCTTGTTCTGGGTGGCCTTGGTCTTGCCATCTACTTGTTTGCTCTGGATATTGCAGTCATATCTACAGTACGTTGTCCCTCTCCGCAAATCTACCACTTTTGTGCTCACACCATGTCGCAGGCTATCCCGGCCATCACAGTCCAGTTTAAGGCCACCACAGACATCGGTTGGTATGGGGCAGCATACCCTCTGTGCCTCTGCTCGTTGCAGCCTCTGTCAGGAAAGCTGTATGCCAACTTTTCCCTCAAATGGACCTTCTTCGTCTTCGTCGGCATCTTCCTTCTGGGCTCACTCCTCTGCGGTGCAGCTGCTAGCTCGAACATGTTCATCCTTGGCCGGGCTGTTGCTGGAACTGGAGGAGCAGGCATATTCTCTGGTTGCTTGTCTATCCTTGCCATTGTAACCCCTCTCTCCAAACGTGCGCTCTATACCGCCGCCCTCTCTTCCCTGTTCGGAGTCGCCACAGTCACGGGGCCCATTATCGGAGGAGCTTTAACAACAAAGGTGTCGTGGAGATGGTGCTTCTACATCAATCTACCTGTTGGGGCGGTGACACTGGTCGCGCTGGCTCTGTTTTTCAAGCCTCCAGTACGGACTTCCGATAAAGCACCTTTGCGGGAGAGGATACTACAAATTGACATCATCGGATGCGCGATATTCATCCCAACCATCGTCATGGTTCTTCTGGCACTACAATGGGGTGGCCACCAGTATCCTTGGAAGTCAGCCACGGTGATAGGACTTCTATGCGGCTCTGCTGGATCTGCCACTGTGTTCTTCATCTGGGAGCATCGAAAAGGCGACAACGCCATGATCCCGTTCTCGATCGTCCTCCAACGTTCAATTTTGCTCAGTTGCCTTTTCAGCACTTTCATGTTTGGTGCGTACATTATCAACATCTACTACATGCCGGAATGGTTCCAAGTGATCAAGGGAGCTAGTCCACTTCACAGCGGCGTCATGACGCTTCCAGTGGTCTGTTCTCAAATCGTTGCTGCTACCATTTCGGGATTAATCAGTGAGTCCGCCCCCTAGTCCTTGGGGTCTGATCTGGTCACCAAAGCTGATTCGTGTCTAGTCAATCGTACCGGCTACTATAACCCTTGGTTTTTTGTCGGTGTCGGGTTCATAGCCATTGCGTCAGGCCTCTACACTACTCTCACCACTTCAACACCTCACGCTAAATGGATCACATACCTCGTCTTCCAGGGCATGAGTGGAACAGCCATGCAGGGCCCACTTCTCGCCGTCCAAGCCGCCCTGGTGTCAAAGCCTCAACAGATCCCCGTCGGCATATCGACAGTGGCATTTTTCCAGTACTTCGGAGCTTCAGTGTTTCAAAGCATTGCTCTGGCGATATTTCAGAACCAGCTTGTCAAGTCACTCAAGCAGCGTGCAGGTCTCAACGATAGCCAAGTGCAGCAATTATTGAATGCCGGGTCAGGTCACGCTCGTAAGACGACATTAAGCTCGTTCCCGGAGAAGCTGGAGCCTGTCCTTTGGGCATACAACAAAGCAATCACGAATGTCTTTGTAAGTTCCACACGCCGCATCATGAAGCAACACCATCGTCTCCCGTAAGTAGGACGTCAGCTAACTTAGAATCGGTTAGTATGCCTCACTGGCGTCCGCTATCCTGGCGTTCTTGCTGGCGTTCGGTGTCGAATGGCGAAATATCAAAGCGAAACCCGCACCTCCAAAGGGCGACGAAGCCGGAACTGAAAAGATGAGCGATGACAACAAGCAGCTTTGATGGCTTTGGAGACCGAGTCAACGAGGGGTCGGTGCCTTGTTAACCCGCTGCTTGAAGTCCATCTTAGTATGTTTGATGAGCAGAAAACACTTTTCATTGTGGATCTCAACCTGAATGGTCCTAGGGAAACCACAAACCTTACCCCTGGTGTAATTGTTTGCTTCTTGGATCTGCAGGGACAACCTCGTTGATATATCTGGGACGTGTCTCTGCACTTCTCCATATTCGATCACACCATTCTCCACTCTCTGAACCGCTCGATATGTGTGACGATGGCCAATTGCGATCGGTCTGGCCAGCTCTTGCTCCCGAGGCCATGGTTTTCCTGCCAAACACAGCCCATTTACTGCTAAGGAGAAAAAGCGTGTCGTCTCTTCTTACTTCAACAAAACGCCTATCGACGCTTATCCTCTCCACGTGGTCCTGGCTCTATTTTTGATGAACCGGCCGCTCGCTGTCGACCGAGGTTCTTCTTCAGCGAGGCTACAAAGTCATTTTTTTTCCCGTCGAATAAATCAAGATTGGTCTTCCACTCTCTCGCGCCACGAGGCGCGAAAACTTGATCGTGGGGAGCAACCTGGCCGCTTCTACTGGGCGCCGGTCAGCTCATGCACAATCCCAACAGGGTTCTGTGGTGTTGCCGGAGCCACGCTTTGAAAGGGGAAGTAACGGTGATCTGGCGGGCATCAGGTCCTGCAAATCAGCCGCGCCGCCGCGAGAGTTCACCCAGCCCCGGACTTTATGATGGATCCACGGGCGCCGCCGCTGTCCACTCCATGATCTGCCACAGACCATGTCGTTGCATCAACATTGAGTGGGCCGTTCTGGGAAACCCAAGGGCTTGGTCAATCTTTGGGTGTCCAATCAAGATATATTGTCCATGGCGGTACACCATCACCAAAAGTTCTTCCTCGGAGGCCACTGGAACAATGCAGTGGTTTTTCTTCATGGCGCGTGCGCGACTGTGTATATATGTATATTCACCTTCCCTATCTTGGCCCTGTCACACAGAGTCATCATTCTTATCCGAAAGCCATCTCTCGTGTTGGTGGTCACTTTATACAGTCAATCATTCGATCAAACGGCAGCCGGTCACTCGATGCAAATCTCGATTCCTACAGTATTTGAGACCACCGTCGTGGTAATCCTCATCTTCGACCATTGATCTCTCTTTTCACGGCAAGAGCTACAGCATTTTTGCAAACATGGTTAAGTCTCGGGCTCGAGGGTTCCTGCACCCAGCTCGAAAAGCCTGGAAACAGGTCTTTTCAACGAGGCACGAAGACATGTGCAACACACCTCAACCTCCCCATCCCGACGGCCACATACTCGCGATCTTCAACAAGTCCAACTTCAGCCGATTAGACATCATCAGGGGACTTGAGAAACCCATCGATACTTGGCTCGACCCCAAATATGCAATCGACGACACATTCTATGACCGGATTCGGCCCGCACTAGTGCTAGCGACGCGGTTCTTTACCTGGACGTCTGAATTCTTCAACATCCTCGTGTTCGGCGGTTTTATATTCGAGGGCTCGAAGATGAGATATGACCGATTTACGGAATTGGAGCTGGGATCTCGAGGGTTTCCTACTCTGATGGACAGCCTCTGCAATAACCAGTTCTTCACCGGCTACCATCAGAATAGCCGTGTGGATACATATGCGTCAACCTACTTCGGGCTATATCCCAAGGACTGCCCATCGCAAATAGCAACCACTGCTGTGCAGCTCAACACGAAATTCACGACATTCTTCACCCACTACCACTATGACAAATACTCAGATGATGTCAAGAACATGGTGATAGTCAGTCTAGCCATCACTCTGGTGCACGAGCTGGTCCATGTGTGGTACACTCTGCGGAGAATGGAACTTGCCCGACTCGGCGATCTCGCTCTGTGCATAGCCATGGAGAAGGAGCCGTATTTCTTCGGAAATGAGAGAACGCCAGAATTAGGCTTATCTTGGGAACATTTTGCCTTCAGAGGCATGCCCCAGTTAGACCATTCAGGTGGCGGGCCTTATGCAGAAGCGAAGGGTCTGCGCTTGATTCCCTTGCTCAAGGACAGTGACCAAAAGGACGAAGCTGTGGTGGACTCGGAGGTTTTGCGCGCTCTTCTGGACGAAGAATGCTGGGAAGTGTACGAAAGACTGCTCATCGGAGATCTCGCTGCCACCTACAGGACTGTCCGTGGCATGGGGATCTTGGAGAGAATGAAGACGGTTGTCGAACTACAGGCATTCAAAAACAAGACCGGCCGCCTTCCTTCTTTGCAAGAATTGCTCAGATCCAGGGACGTGGCATTGCCTTCAGAAGCAGGCGGACAACAATTTGCGAAGGTGCATCTTCTAGACTTGTCGTCTCCTAAATCAACACTATCGACGGAAGTCAAAGCGACCGGAATAGCCATCGTGGTAGGAGAAGGGAGCTTTTGCTCATCTCCAGTGTCCTATACCTCCTCCGATGAACAGCGCATGGATTTTGCCGACCAGTGGGCGTCCGTCTACGAAGCGGCCATATCAAATCCCTTGTACCTGGCTGATAGGGCCCTCAAGCAGAAGAGGATCCAAAAGGCACAACTGGGGTGGAAGGACAGCGGGAGAAGCAAAAAGTGGTCCCGACGGGTGGATGAAACGACACCAAGCCCCTGTATATGTTGAGACACACCTCCAGAGATGGGGAATCGCCGACAGCCACAGCAACATTCCGAGAATGGGTGCGAACAAACACAAATCTGATACCACAGATCCGATACGGGAAGAGCCCTTTGAAGCAACCAACCGATTTTAATTGCAGAACCTGAGCAGCCGACCGACCGACCGACCGACCGCACGACAAGCGAACAACTGCAAGGGATACCGAGACCATCCATCCATTTATACAACAGAACACCTGACAATGGGACCGACCACTTCAGAACGAAGCCGACCACTGGAAGAAGACAAAGACGAAAGCGCCGAGATGAAAAACAACAAGTCCTCTGAAACAACGATTTGACGGCAAGGCGGGCGGGCTGCGGCTAGAAAGTTCCCTCGATTCTGTTTGGGGGAGAGGAAGAAGGGCAGCAGAGCAGGAAAGGACGAGAGACCGGGGGAGCGGAGTTTTTGGACTTGAAGGTGTGCGCCAGGTGCGATTCACGGCATTACGGAGGATGTTTATTATTGACAGTTGACGAGATTCTTGGTTGTTGGTTGTTGGTATTGTGTGAGAATTGCGATAGTTGGACAGAAGGAGTAAGATGCGATGATGATTTCCAGGGCGTAGCAGTGTGCGACATGTTAGCAGGATAGGACAAGACACCAGATAGTTCTCAATGTCGAATCTGAGGAGAGCAGGGGATGCGATGCCCCCCAGAATGTTGCATGAAGTCCGTTCGGTCCTCAAAAGGAAAGAGTCTCCCGCCGCTTTTGGGGAACGAAGCCTTGCCCCCTTATCAATCACAGCCTTGAGTCAAGAGAACGAACGCCCTGCACACAGTGTGTGGTCGTGATACCATCCCTCCTTCAGGTCGGTTTGGAATGGTAAATGCGTCCCGGCTGAGTTTGCACCGCCTCCATGAATCGACGGTAACTCTAAGTAGCATTGGCTGTGAAAGGGGATGCTGCTAGCTAGCTAGCTGGCTCTTGAACCAGAGACCATCTATAAGCCTGGTTACTTGAGTGGTTGGCCAGGGTGTCAGAGGCCAAATACAAATGGACCACGCCTGTCTCCCAGATCATCCACTGATCACGAAACCCCAGTCGAGGGCCCGACCCAAACATTCCGCAGTATTCCTGAAAGGAGGCATTGGCCCCCCCCCCCCCGCCTCCCTCAGGCCCCCGTCCTTGTCACTTGCTTTTGTACCGGATGTGGCAGTTGCTCGCATCAAGGCAAATTATGCTGCGCGGAATCCGTCCAAGATCACCCTATCCAACACCATGGCCCTTGGCTCCGATGGCGAGGGCTGGTACTTGTTACTTGCTGGGATTACTATACACTTGATCCACCGATGGTCCTTTGGCGTGTACGGCGATTACAGATGGTGTGGTGGAGCGGAAGGCCTTTGGCCCCCTGCTGGCGGTCAGTATTGGAATACATACACACAAATCCGCCTGTTGAAGCCCGTCGTTCTCTGTATCTCTCGTACAACACACAAGCTGCCATCTTCTCTTCCCCATCGAAATCGCAGTGGGCCGATAATAGAAACATGGCGCATCAGTATCCGTACGCCCAGCCTGCGCCATATCCGCCCGCTGGCCAATACGCACCGCAACCACAGCTCTACCCGCCCGGTCGAGCAGGAAGCAGACCAGCAAGCCCTTATCAACAGCTCGACCCAGCGGTGGCAGCGCAGCCGTGGGCCGGCCCAGGCCATGCGCAACAGCAGCAGCCCGCTCACCCTCCCTCTCGAACCCCGAGCCCGTATCATCAGCAGCAGCAGGGATATCCGTCTCCAGGATATCCGCCCAGCCAGCCAGCCTACCCTCCACCACAATATCCTCCTCCCCAGGGCCATCCGCCACAAGGCTACCCTCCTCCGACGGGAGGGTACCAATATGCGCCTCCGTCGCCGCAGCCTCGACTTCCCCCCCAGCAACCCAGCGGGCCGTACACGCTCCTCTTCCAGCCCTCCTCCCAGAAACACACCCGCACCCTGACACCCGCGGGCTCCAACACCCCGACATACGTCGCGACCTACAACCGCGCCCTGATCTACTCCTCCGCGCCGGACATCAGCATCACGACGTCCGCGACCGGCGCCCAACTCGCCACCGTCAACTGGCACACCTGGTCCGGCAAGATCGACCTGGCCTTCCCCGCCACGGGCGCCCAGATCACCTACAAGGACAGCTTCGAGCCCGCGGGGCCCCGGTCCGCGAGTCTCGGCCGCCTGTTCTGGACCGTCACGCACGGCTCCGACACGCAGGCCGACCTCCGCTGCGCGGACCGCGCGGGCGCCACCGTCTGCACCGTCGTCCTGCGCGACAAGCTGCGCAGCGGCCGGGTCGAGATCTGGCGGCCCGGCCTGGACGGGGACCTCTTCGACCAGGTCGTCGTCAGCGCGGTCGCGGAGATTGAAGACTGGAAGAGGAAGGTGGAGAGCCGGAACAGCAATCCCGGCATCATCGCCGGGGGCGTCGTGGCTGCGTTGGGGAACTGAGATGGGCGAGATGCGTGTGGGGGAATGAATGACATGCTGTGGGAGAAGAGGCGATGGCAGGGGAGAATGGACAAGGCGCGACGGGATTTGGGACGGTCTGCGAATGGAGTACACTGGCGCATCTAATCCCTTCTGCACAAAATTGTGTCATGTGCCCAATCTGTCTCGTTCCGGGAGAGCGCTCGTCGACATCGACCTATGTAAGAAGGGAGAGTTTTTTCCTGGAGTCGATCATCAGCGTTGCCGGAATACATCACGCAAGAATTCGCAACAACCAAGAACTTTTTTCTCTCTTTGCCGGCTATGCAGAGTCACAATTAAATAGAACCTTTATTCGACCAAGGGGCTGGTACATGATATGCTCTGTTAGTTGTTGTTTCATCTCTCCTCAGTGACCTCGTCCAAGATAGGTATCAGAATATCCAATAAACATTACCGCCCCCACGCACGCACTGCCTCCCTGGCGTCCTCCTGACGCCCCATCTCCCTCTCGCTCCGGGGGCTGCTACTTCTTCACCGCGCCCACCTCTTCCTCTTCCTTCAAGATATCCGGCACGGGTCCCACCGGCGTGATGCCAAACGGGTTGATCTGCTTGTGGCTCTTGGTGTAGTGCTTCTTGATGTGTTCGAACTGCGTCGTCTCCCCGAACGCCGGGATGGTCCAGTACAGATGCCTCAGCCAGCGGTGGAGGTGCGGGTACCCGCTCCGGATGTCCTTGATGTTGCACTTGAAATGCTGCACGTAGACCGGGTCGAAGCGCACGATCGTCGTGTACAGCCGCACGTCGGCCTCGGTCAGCTGGGCGCCGAAGTAGAAGGGGCCCCGGGACGCGGATTCGGCGAGGATGGCCTCGGTGCGGTCGAGCGACTTGAAGAGTTGCTCCACGTTGCGCTCGTAGGCTTCTTGGGTGGTGGCGAAGCCGGACTTGTACACACCGTTGTTGATGTCGTCATACGTCCATTTGTTCACCTCCTCGATCTTGTCCTTCAGCCCGTCCGGGTACAGCACCACGTTCTTGTACTGTTCGGGCAGGATGTCGTCGAACGCGGTGTAGAACATCCGGATGATCTCCGAGGATTCGTTGTTCACGATCGTCTGCTTCTTCTTGTCCCAGAGCGTGGGCACCGTGAAGCGGCCTTCGTAGTTCGGGTTGGCGGAAAAGTACAGGTCTCGGAGGTGGGTGTTGTTAGGGTGGAGGGGATCCGGGGTGACATTTTCACCAGGCACTTGTTCGTCGGCGGTCGCGAAGCGCCAGCCTGGAGCAGGCAGTCAGCTCACCGCCCGAGGATGGTCTGTCTCGAGGCCCAAGACGTACCTTTCTCGGCCATGTGCCAGTGCACGCTGGTGAAGGGGATGATCTCTTCCAACCCCTTCAGTTTCCTCACGATGAGTGTTCGGTGTGCTGTTTCGTCCCTTGTCAACAAGACTACTCTCTTTCACATCGACATCAGAGCTCCCATACCCCATGGACATGCATAGCTGACATATAGATGGTATCTCCCTTTCTCCGCCGGGAACTCAGCGTTCGGGTCACTCGAGATCCAATTCCGAAACGACGAAACCTGTCTCTTGAACTCGCCCGAGGTGTCGCCCGGTTTGACCCAATCTGTAATGGTTCCTTTGCCCTGTATCAAGAAGTCTATGTTCAGCCCCAACTCGAGGTAGTATAACGCGACGATAGAGACAAGAAGAACGAGGATGGAGGTTGCAAAGAGAGAGCTGCTCCGTACCGATGACATGGTGGATTCCGATTGCGCGGGTGTTGCTTGCGGTTTCGACTTCGTGGTCAGGTGTACTAGCTGCAGTCGAGCCCGTGCAAGGACGCTGGACATGGACCGATTGAGTTGGAGCAACTGAATTGGTAGAGAGAGCAGGGAGCAGCTTTTGTAGTTGTTGGCCAGACACGTAGGTATTCCATTGGCATCACTGCGGAACGGCCGCCGACGTTTCGATGACACAATGTGGGGGTTTTTGCGAGCCGCGAGAGGGCGAGAGGGGCATCGACACGCACTATGGCTGGGATGCACAACACCGCGATGACTAAACCATGTATCCTGACTAAAGATGCAGTAAGACAGCTACCAACATGCGGCAATAGGGACTTCCCCTTACGGCTACAGCAGATCTAGCGAGTCCATGCTTTGTTTCTCAAATACTTCATATTGGCCACCTAGGCATTGTCCAGTCATACAATGTCCACCGTAAAGGTACTTTCTTGTAGTCGTGGTACAGAGGTGAGAGAATCAAGTTCTATCCGATGCCTCACACCAGGAGCATGGCCAAGATTTCTAGATGCGCCAATGCTTCCAAACGCCCCCTCAATCTTGCTATCAAACTCCCACGGGTGAAGGAAGTGATTGAGCTTCAGCTTCAACTTCGACCTTAGTCCAGCTTGTACTTCACCATCACATAAGGAATCTCAACATCCTCTTCGGTTGTATCCTCGGCAGTAATCTCAAAGATGATGTTCTTCTGGTGGTCTGGGATCGGTTTGCGACTGATTGTCTCGAGCAATTTGCTCATCTTGAGCGGCAGGCGATCTTTGGTCTTGCTGGGCGGGTAGAAACTGGCGTACAGCAAGCTGACCCCAGAGCTCACCATCGTCACGCTCAGCCCAAGGTTGTCAAAATGTGCCAAAAATTCAGTCAGAGTAAAGTCTTCGATCTCAAAGCGGTCCCAGAGCTTGTCGATGGTCACTTCGCCCTCCTTGCCTTGGTATGTGCCCTTGGGACTGGCGATCGGTTCACTGAATCCAAAGAACGGTAATGCAAGGTTGACGAAGCCGTTCTTGTACTGCTCGAGATCGGTTTTGCCATCCACGACCTTGAACAGCTCCAGGATCACCAGCCCAGTAACGAGTGCAGTGGTGGTGGCAATGGCGGGAATAATCTTGCCCGCAATGAACTTCGTCTTGTGACGGTCGGCAATTGGGATGTTATAGTTCATGGCGCGGAGGTTGCTCGCAGCAGTGATGAAGTCAATGTGGTGATTTGTGTCGTCGTCCTTCTCAAACTCGACAACATTGAGCCGGAATCCAGGCAGACTCTTGGGCGTGGGCAACTGGGCCACAATCTTGTCCAACTCTTCCGCATCATCCGCAAACGTCGGTGCCGGTCCATTGGGGTCTGGCTCCTTCTCGTCGGTCTGGATTTTCACATTCGCATCTGGCTTGAACTCGGGAATGATCATGCTGTCTAGAACTTTTACGTAGTCTTCATATTTGAGCTGAGGAACAGGAATGCCATAGTTGAAAGCGTGGAGGGCTGCCCCATGGACAACGAATCCCATATGTGTCTCGTCTGAAGGATCAAAGTTGAGGGGCGTTGGGGCACGTTTTGGTCCAGACCAGAAGTCGGCCCCGCTTGATGTCTTCGAGTCTTTGGGGAAGTTGTAGAGCAACTGGGCAATGGCGTTGTGAAATTGCTTCTCGAATTGCATCCGGGCCCAGGCAATACAGTCATTGAAATCGCTTGGCTTGTCAGTGACCAAGAACTCTTTGAGGCTGTCAAGGATCATCTTCTCGTTGCCTTGCTGCCTCAGCGTGGTATTGATGTAGTCGGGTTGTGTCATGTAAAGGTTGACAGTCTCCGGCGGTCCCACAAAATAGGACTGGAACAGGTCTCGAGCCCAAGCGATGGTGTGTTCAATCTTGTTGGGGAAGCTTCGGAGAGTGCACATGGGGAAAGATTGTTCAGGCGGATCTTGCGAGCTAGAATACGACTCGGTCAGGCGCGGGAGAATGACTTGGGTATTGCCCTTTGTTCCAAGAGTGCCACTTTCCAGAAGTGGTTTCATGAAGAAAACGCATCGTCGATCGACATACGTACGTGCCTCGACGTTGTCAAGAGCATTTGTGACGATATCAAGCTGGTTCCAGAACGCCTCGTTGAAGATGTCTTCGCTGTCAGGGCCGATGCGGTCCGTCATGGTCGTGATTTTCCCCTTGAGGTCGGGGTTCATTGCCTGAGCGGCCGCAGCTGCAACCTCGCTCTTCTGTTTTCCAACATCCTTGGCTCGGAACAGGAACTGGCGGTTGAGATTGCTCTTTTCGATGGAATCGTTATCTGTGACTGTGATGTGACCATTGGGACCAGTACCCAGACCGATCATTGCGTAGTTCTTGAGCATCTCACATCCAATGGCGCCAGCGCCAACCAGGAAGTTCTTCACGTTGGAGATCTTCTCTTGAAACTCCTTGCCGAAGACCGCAACCTGGCCATCATATCGCGAACCCGTGGGCTTGCAAAGTTCCTCGTTTCGGTTCACAGAAGAAGGTAGGGATTCGAGCGAATCGAAGTACATCCACTGTACGACTGGTGTGAACTTTCCGGAAACCGCCTTCAGCACTTCCTGCGCAGTGAGACCACCAAAGAACGCAGCCATGGGACTGAGATCACCCTGCGCTTGATAACTCAACTCGGTGATCAACTTCTCATCGATCTCGACCTCTTCGGCACTCTCCTTTGCCATCTTCTTCGTAATTTCTAGGATTTCCTTTCCATCCTCCTCGTTATGCGGACGAGGTAGGTAGCCCTTGTTTTCTTTGAACGCATGGAGAGCCTGAATGCCAACATGGAGTTGTGCGGGCCGGTCAAACTTAGCAAAATCCGATATGAGAAACTCCGGCTTCTTGATCTGTTCCGACAGTGATTGGAACTGAAGGACCTTGGGCATCTTGACCTGGGCGAAAAGACCGCCTCCTTCATATTTGCCCAGACCCGACACATCGCCAATGGAGAAAGAGTACGGGCCCTTCACAGTGATCTTTCGAGGAGGGGCTCCATTGAGAGCTTCCATTCCTCTGATTTCTGCAAACTCAACGTAATCGCCGTCTTCGAGTCCATGTCTTGTCTCGTCCAGGGCTGATACCAGACCAGTTTCATCAATATCTGCCACAATGCCACTGATTGGGTTCTCTCCGGTGATGTCGCCCACAGTGAAGTCCTTCCCGAAGTCGGTGAAGATGTAGCCAAAGAGGCCAAATGTGTCGGCGATCACCAGGTAGATGCCGTTCTGATGGCAATAGTCGGAGATGGTGAGTTGATCTTTCAGAGATGTTGTTGTGAGCACGACGACTTGGAATTTTTTGAGTTGGCTCAAGTTATCGGTCAACGTCTTGGCCTTGTGGACGGCAACGGGAGTGTACGAATTGAGCTCGGCCACACGTGGGGCAGTCACTTCTGCTCGGGGCTTGCCCACATCTTCGGGACGTAGGAAGAATTGGGAGGAAAGGTCTGCAATCGCAACAGGGTTAGGATCGAACAGGGTCAGAGATTTGACGCCGGCCAGAGCAATGTTCTTTGCGATCTCCACGCCGAGGCCCTTCAGCCCGACGATGAGCACGTTGGAGGCGCCCATCCGCTTCATAGCCTCGTGGCCTAGGACGTAGAGTTGTCGGCTGTAGAGGGATTCATCGATTTCGCCATTCTGGAGCTCCGTAATGGCAGCCCCAGGGTTGTCCACTTCCATCACAGCGTCCGTCATGATTTTCTTTTCTGGCCGGGCGAGGTCTTCTGACGAAGCCTTTCTTTTGCTACCGGCTTTTACAGAGTCTGGGAACTCGGCGTGAGGAGAAATGGTGACAGTGGCCTTGCCTCAAGCAAGACCCAGATGACGGTAGAACGGATCCGAAGAGCGCAAGCAGCTGCTTCAGATAAACGTTTCGGATGGGAGAGGGGAACCTTGTGGCAAGAGGAGAGGGAGGCGAAATGAGTGACGGAAGGACAAATTGTCAAGAGGCTGATTATGAAGAAAAGACAGGATCTGATGGCGTAGGCGCAGGCAAAAGGCAAAGGCGAACGTAAGGTTGTTTGGTATATTAGTCAAAGAGATTCGCGGACTGCAGTTGGTTCTTAGACGCAGAGAGCACTTGGTCTTGGTGAGAAGGCAGACGCCCGAGACAGTGATGCAATCGCAGGCAAGAATAGGCCTGACAGGCCCTGCCAGGCCTGCTAGGTGACTTATGGTTAGGCTATCTGGCTGCCACTCGGCACACTTGCCACCACTATATAGCTGATGCTAATGGTGAGGTGCGCCCCACGCTCAAGATGCTTGCCTCGGTAGCCGCGCTGAGATTGGTCACCGCCACCACCTCCATGGGTTCTCACAAAGTACAGCCTCGCGTCTCTGTGTAAAGATTCCCTTTCAATCTTGCCATTTGGTGGTAGGGGATTGACTGAAGCACCGGATTTCGACGCGTCCTTCCTCCTACCGACGCGTGTCGATCGCGGTCAGGCCCCGCAAGCTAGATTTTACATTCGCTATGGGCCTCAGTCCCTTTCAATGTGTCGCTTCGAGCTCTTCGGGCGGCTAATCCTCAAATTTCAGCGGCACCACGACTCTCCTGCGTTGTTCGACTTGTGCCACGATCCCGCTCCCCGTCCTCGTGTCAGACCGGCGAAATGCTTCATGAGATCCTCTTGTCCTTATCCGGCCTCCAGTCACCGATCTGGTCGCAGGCGCGGTCCACAGCAGGACCAGGAGACGAAAAGACATTCAGTCAATATGTTTCACCCCCCGAACGGGCGATGCTAGCGACCCTGGCTCACCTGCATGACTTACATGCTCAACTCAAGGAAGCGACGTCGAGGCTGTCCCAAACTCACCGGTCGATGGTCTGCCGAGCGGTCAGTTCTTCAATAGCAGACGTCCACTTGGGTAAATATGTGGATAAGATCATAGAGGTGGAGTCGAGCATACTACAAAAGGACGCTGCTTATGTTGGCGCTTACGACATTGTGCCGTTGAGTACTCTTGTTGCCGAGTTTGCGCCATGGACGAGACGATTGGAGTGGCTATGGTCGGTAGTCCTGCATTTGGATCCTCAGTCCAAGCAGAATGGGAAGGTCCGTTCGCCTTCTGGAGCCAGCATCCTGGATTGGCTAGGAGACGAGACACACACCGGGTACTCCGATATTGAGGACATGGCCACTGCGCTTCTGACTGTTGCCCAGAAAGCATGGATGCGAGCCGCATCGCTGTGGGTGCTCTACGGGAGACTGCCAACTTCTGGGGCCGAGGATTTCTGCATCAGGCCAAATCCAAGGCCATCATCGGTGATGGATTCATACATGATCGACCGTTCATTGGCACCCAAGTTCTTGACTGCCGGGACCAGCAGTGCTTTGCTTTCAGCTGGCAGTGCTCTGAGCCAGTTATATTCGCAGGCTGCGTCGTATGGACCATTACTGAGTGTGTCAACTGATGCATCCTTGTCTTTGCTACCAACACATTTGGCGCTGCTCGAATCCTTACAGTATCCGTTGAATCCATCGTTGCTAGAGAGCACAATCTCTTCCATCAACCAATCTATATCTGAGAATTCTCTGTCTCAAATCCTCCCCCGACCACTGGTCTTACAGCTGCTGCAAGTCATCTTACGCTATATGCTCCTCAATCAAGGCGAATTTGCAGTGTCATTGATTGATCATGCAGACGATCGGGTAGCCAACCACCGACAAACACCCAACACCGCTCGACCAGTCCGGAAGATTGGACGACTCGACGAACTTGCAATTAAGGAGGCTGAACTGAAGGGCATACTGAACAAGACTATGGCAGAATTGTCAGCGATACAGGGCGATGACGATATGGAAGATGATATCCTCAGCCTGGCGAAGAAATTACTGTCTCTTCGGGCTGTTGATGAGAAGAACGAACTTGGTCGGGGTCTGGTGTCAACGCTGTTGCCTACACTGACCATTCTGCACTTGACAATCCCTACATCCTCGCCGTTGCATATTTTCCTGTCTTCAAGCGATGTGCAAATGTATGCATTCATTAATGCGTATCTGATCTCTATCCACAGAGCAGGGCTGCACTTGTCATCCCTCTGGAAACTGTCCTCACATCGCAGATGTTATCCCTCTCCAATCGGGCCCCCTAGAAGCGCTTCACAATCTGGACGTCGAAAATTGGCAGCTCGACGAGCACGAGACTCTCGGAGATCTACAAGGACCAGAGCATATTGGACAACTGCCAGCAGAGCTTTGTTCATGATTAATGAGCTCGAGGCATTCTTGCAAGGGGAGGTGATCCAGAGCAGTTGGGCACACTTTTCGAAATGGCTAGATGGCAATGATGGACTGTATCCGTCGTCAGCAAAGTCGTCCAGGCCAGGCACAGCGTCCTCAACTGCTCAGACGGGGACGGCGGAATTGTCCACCCAGGAAGCACCCACAGTGCCAGCAGATCCTCGGACCATGGCAGAAGCCCATCGCCGATTTCTGCACGCCTTACACACAGCCTTATTCCTCACGAATGTCGAGTTTGTTGCAACTTTGAAAGAACTCCTGAATCAGGCCGACCATTTTATTGCTCTTTTCTCCCGTCTGCAGACAGTGTGGGAGGGTCTGGACCTCCAAGAGGACGAAGGCGTGCTTGACGCATTCTCCAACTATGCCCAAGACGAGAGAGATGTTCTCACCGAAATGGATCGCACGAGAGAGGCGATAGAGACAACACTCTCCGATCTAGTGACGGAGATTCGAGACATGGAGAAGGAAAAACGAACCGGGGTCGGATTGATGACTAGCAATCTGCAGGAGAGCATGAACGGGATGCAGTTGCACGGAAACGGCACCAAATTTGTGCCGTGGCAGGCGAGGACAGTGGATCGTTTGGTCATGAAACTCGATGGCCTTGTGATGAAGCAGGACGAGGACAGAGATCATACTGCAGTCGGCCTTGTTGATGCATATGATGAATGATTGAATGAATAAACGAGCGAGGAACCAGAGACATTATTAGGATTGGCTGCAGATCTCACGACAATGTAGCGGTGCCTCTAGTCAAGTAGGGGTGATTGAGAATATATTTCTATCCAACAAACCCTATGCGAAAATGCTGTTAGCAACGTGTGTGCCGTGTACAATCCCGGGTCCACGACGAGGAGACCACTTTGAGTAGCAAAGTACGTGAAGGAGAATCAGAAAAGCCGTCGACCTCATACCCTTCCCCGGAACGACGAACCCTGACCAATACGCAACTTCATAACGATAGCCACGATCGGTAGTCTGCCGTCGCGTTTGGGGGAAAGGTGTCTCCGAAGTAGAGAACTCAGAGAATGGATAGACTTGGTGTCATCATGAACAGAAGTCAAGGAATGCAAAGATGCAAGAGACATTGGTGGAGTGGCTGGGTTGAAGCGAACGACATACTTTGCATGCTTCTGTAATTCTCTGGCAGAGCACTCTACCGTTCCTGTGAACAAGCTATTCGTTAGCTCAAAGCTGGTCGGTCACCAAGTTGACTGGGATGAATGAGACTTGGAAGCATGTTTTTTCAAGGGTGTAAAGTCAGACAATATGGTAAGCTTTGGTAATGCTTTCTTCAAGGGGTATCAGAAGCAGAACTGATTGATAAGAACCTTGGATCATCATAATAGTGGTGTGCAGGACAGAGGAAAGAAAATCACGGAGGACTTACATCGTGCATGGCTTGGGGGATCTTCTCATCCACGATCGACTGTTGCTGTTGCAGATAGATGTCAGTTTCCTCTTGGCCCAACAAAATCCACGAGAGCTCCATTGTGTCTGAAGGGGTCAGATGGTAGTGCATGTTTAGTTCAAGGCTCATGAAAAGGATCGCCGGAACTTGGTGTATGATAAAAGTTCATCAGGTAACAAGGCGGATGGGAGAATGACGCGGATAAAGGTGCAACTCACTTCGTGTTTAAGGGAAGACAAGGTATCCGCAAAGGAGTCCATGTACAGCCTGAACGGGCGAGGATGATCACGGCCTCATTCGAGATTGGGGTAGATTCAATCTCTGGGCGATGTGGATGTGAAGTTGAAAGATGCTGCGAAAGTTGAAGCGAACAAAATTGTTTTCGGGGTCGGATAAACATCGGAATCTTGGCAGCTTCGGTCCCGTGACAAACCTCCGACGAGGCTAGCAAGGCCAAGTCTCAAGGCTCGATGGTTGCCAGGGCTACAGATTACGTTGGTATTTTAGGGCTTCAAAGCCGCTTCATGCCTCTTTTTCGTTACACCGCATCTTGTGCTCCAAAGAAACTCAAGTACAGTTCCCTTTAAGCAATTCTCTGAAGTTTATTCCATCGTGAAGCCGAAACTAGGTCTCAGGAATCTCCGCGGCTGCCACCCTTTAACAAGGAGCGTTCGCCCATCAACACCTGGTACAGAGACTAGGACACCTTGAATGCACACTCGTGTACGGAATTGTCTTGGAATGATACTCTATTTGGCAGTCCACTACGGTGTCCGATTTACAGCAGCGGTTTGATGATGAGTTCAGCCATCGAGGTGGCGAAAACTATGCCAGCATCTTCTCCCACAGTCTCGGGGAAATGCCCGCGGATGCTTGACTGTGTAACCCTTGCTACTCTACTTTGAAGAAACAATCTTGTCTTCTTCCAGCCAAGCATTGGTGCTGTGTCAACTGTGCCATCGACTCGGACCACATTCGATCTCCAGAGGCAACTTTCAGTCAACAGACTCTTGGACTCGGGACAGGAAAGTGGTTCTTGACGCTGGCAGCATTTCTGTGGACAGAATGTACCACAGATACGAGCCATCCCGTTTGCTGATCATCACGGGCCGATCAAATGGAGGTCAATGGCTGTTCGCGCGAGTCAATAGTCTGGAAAATAGAATAACTACCCCCTACCAAGGAACTAATCTACAGGTTTTGTCCTATAGGCCAATTGGACCAAAAGAGCACATTTTCCCTACCTGTAGATGCATATACATACAACATAGACTCAAACACAAAATTGGTGGGTCGTGGTGCGGAAAGTCTCTTGTGTCTGTGTCACGTTGTTTCTGCTTACTCTGAACATGATCTCATCAGGTGCTCAAGGTCATCTTTCATATAGGCCAGGAATTTCGCCTCAAGACCATCAACAAGGAGGGGACAGAGGCGCAATACTACCATTGCCAGTGACATTGACGGCGACTACATGCGTTACTCAACCGATGGTATGGCTAACGTCGACGATGAGCAAAATCCGACTCTGCGTGTCATAGTCGGTGGACTGCCGCGGACTGGCACGACGTCCATGACCAAAGCTCTTCAAATCCTTCTAAACGGCCCAGTCTTCGATGGCGGTTCCGCTTCCTATACCGGCGACGCTAATACGCAACGACGAATGCTGGAGCTCGCGCAGCACTGTCCCATGAGGACTCTAGTCGACCGCGCTTTTGTACAGTATCGACTTGCTGAATTGACCCAAGGCTGTGTGGCTAGCTCCGACCAACCTGGATGCTACTTCCTTGAGGAGTTGCTGCAATTGTATCCGGAGGCAAAGGTTATATGCACGGTCCGGGAACGAGACTCCTGGTGGGCCAGCTACTCGGCATTGTGGCAGGGCATTCAAGATCTTTATCCTTGGTCCTGGCTATCCCCCAGTCTGAGGCGCTTCTGCATCTTCTCCTACGAGTTCTGGAAGCGCGTGCCGCAAGCTGTGGGCATACCCCAGTGTGAACCTTGGCCATTGCTCAACCAGGAGAAACTCTATGAAGCGCATGCCGAGTATGTTCAGCGCGTGGTGCCGCCCGACCAACTCTACTTCTTCAACGTTCGGGACGGATGGGAGCCATTATGCAAGATTCTGAACGTCCCTGTTCCGAATGAACCCTTTCCGCACGCTTTCCCGAGGTCATGGCTGCAGGAGGGAAAAATTGCGTTGATTGCGGGACTGAAGAGGCGCTTCGCAGTCCTGATGGGATTGGTAGGGCTGCTGATCGGAGTCACAGTCTATGCTGGCAACAGATACCTCCAAAAATTGGTTAAATAAGCCGAAAGAACAAGGCAGTGCGTATTAATATGCGCTTGTGCACGAGGGCAAGCAGAATCTCGCTTACAGAAGTCTTACCAACATCGAGAAACGGAGGAAAACGTACAGACTTGCCGTCAAGAGCCGACGGCGCCGTCCTCTAATGCGAGGGCACCTATGTGTCCTTGGTCATACCTTGAACTAAATCCTTTCTGCTGCCTACGTCACGAGGCAGCTCTATCCGACGGGAATGAGTGTAACCGGCCCCGAGGACATCGGCAAAAAGATGAGCAGCCAGAGAGTCCTCATGAACCTTGAAGAAATTGGCGAGGCTCCGGAATGCTTCTCAGGCAGTACAACACAGGCGGATGAACTTTGACGATGACACGGAGTAATAGTTCGCACGAGGCTGTGCAAGGCTGCCTTATCCCTCACTACAGCGGAGTATTGAATCGCGAGTCACATTTCGCGATGCTTGGCGAATGCAATAATTGCGACTGACTGCTTGTAAATGCTTCCCTCAAATTCAGCACATGCCCTGGTCCTCCCTGGGACGTCCACTCCTTTCAACTGAGACTGCGATGTCATGAGCGACAGACGAAGAATCAATGGGCCTGCAGCCACGACCAGCCCTCCGGTGTTCGCGCCATACCCACAAACTGCGACGCCGTTGCGGCAACGAGTGAGGAAACCAAATGAACTGCGCAGGATTTGTATGATGTCCCTCTTGCTCTACTATGAGTCTATACTGACCAAGCATAGTTCTACAAACTGGAATAATACCGTCAGCCAGTGGCTCAGCGTATCTTGAGCTTGAAAGTCCTCCGGAACCGAGACCTTTTCTTGTTCCTACATCCTCCACCATAAAACTGTCATGCTCTGTACATGGGCCGAAACCATTACCGCGAACCGCATCATTCTCGCCGAATGTACAACTGACCGCCTCTGTCAAGTTTGCGCCGTTTGCGACCCGTGTCCGACAAGGCTACGTTCCTAACCAGACTGAAAAGGATCTGGGATTGCACTTGGAAAATGCCTTGAGAGGCGTTCTCCTGCCAGATCGATGGCCGAAGAGTGCCATTGACGTTGCGGTCACAGTCCTCGAGGGAGAAGATGACCAAGAGGAGGGAGATCGATTCGCGGGGCTCGGACTCTTCAACCTGCTGGCGGCAGCAATTAATGTGGCTATGGCGGCGCTGGCAGATGCGAGGATTGACTGTTTGGATCTGCTGGCCGCAGGTGTCGGAGCTGTTATCCCCGGGCCCGACTCAAAGCCTCTGCGAGTGCTGGATCCTGCGGCTGTCGAGCACAGTGAGATACAGTCTAGCTGTGTGGTGGGCTACTTGTCTTCGAGGGATGAGATTGTGGAAATGTGGTCCAGTGGTTCTATCTCAACCCAGAACGCCAATGCACCAACTGGCTTCGATGAACTGGTTGGTGCTGCCGTTGCTGCTGCACGGGGAGCCCAGACCGTGATCAAGGAAGCCTTGCTTGAATCCATGACAAGAAGCCAGATTACCGTCAAGAAAACCGCCCAGGGAGAAATGAATGATGTTGAAATGAATACATGAATGATCTGAAATTCTATTGAAGGGTAGGAGTTAAAACTGAGCCCCATTTACCACTGGCAAGGCATTGTTCTTTCCATTCAGCTGAGATCAGCTTCTACGACTCTAACGCAACCAGTCGTCGGCTCCTGTTTGAATCAAATTCATCTGGACCTGGATTTACTTTCACCTCATCTTCACACACTCCCCTCGGTGTTATTCAACAGGAAGTGGATTACCAGACCTCTATAACCGATGCCCGACTACTGATCTTCACTTGGCGTTGGTCTGGGCTATTTGTTTATAAACCACTACCCCGGCTCTTCAATCTTCAACACCTAACTTCATCACCCCCTAACTCACCTGCCTCCTCTCTTGCATCACAAACAGTCCGTCATCATGGCTCCGTTCCAGGCCGACGACAACGTCGTCTTTTTGTACCACTGTCTCCAAAACGCCGCTGGAAAGGTACGTATAATGACGACAATTCTCTCTATACGCCTCAACTAACATCGGATAGATCGACTGGAATGCGGTGGCCATTGCGACAGGATCGACCAGAGGAGCCGTGGAAATGCGCTGGAGGCGACTCAAGAAGAAGATCGAGGGCGACACTAACACTGGACAGCCTGCGACGCCAACACCAGTCCAACCTTCTCAAGGGCTGAAGACTAGCCCGAGAAAGAGGCAGAATACCGGAACTCGTAAGCGCAAGATGGAAGCTTCCGATTATGAAGATGATGCAGATGGTACAGGACCTCCCCAAGTGGACGGTCAGGTTGATCCCAAACCTTCCGCCCCTCTCAGTCGAACTCGGGGAAGGAAATCGAAATATGATATCAAAGCTTGCTTGGCCAACGATGAGGATTCCAGCGATATCAAATCTTCAGAAAGCGACGAGGATTATGTTACCAGCGCCAAAGCGATCAAGTCTGAAGATGATGACCTGTTTATGTTCGACTCCGGAGATGATCTGAAGCCGAAGGCAAAGCGAAACAAAACGTCGCCGCCATTGCTCCCCAAGGTGCAGCTTCGCCAGGCTGATGCTCGCGCCGGACGATTACACATTGGAAATCTTCCTTTTGGAACCACGGAAAGTGACCTCAGACGGTTCTTCAAGGGATTCAATGTGTATGTGACTTTCGCACCCCCATTTTGCGTCGAGAAGCTAATTCAATACCGCAGCGAGTCTGTCGCCACTTTTACCAAACCGCGTAACACACGTGAAACTGGCTATGCCTTAGTCGACCTCAAGTCGTCTGAAGATGCAGAAGAAGCTGTCCGATCTCTATCACCCATGCAGCTCCGTGGAAGAAAGGTCACAATAGGAGTTGACAGAAACTATACGCCGAGAGCCACCACCAAACCGCCCAATGCCCATAATCAACTTCAGACGGCCATCGAGAAAGCGGCGCCACCCTCGAATGCCAACAATGTTCAACAAAAGCCACCTGCTGTACCCAAAGCGAAGGCTAAGTCTTGCATGCATCCCTCGGACAGACCCCTTCCAAGCATCGAATATTCTCCACCAGCCACTCCGTTGAGTAGTGCCTTCACGAGCGAGAAGCAAGGAGTCGTCGATGCGGAGAGCGAAATCACTCTGCGGATCCTGAAACCTGGGATGGTTCTCACGCTGCCGCCTAAAAGTCGACCTCAGGTTTTGGACAACACCGCCGACTGGCCGGTCTCCAAGCAAGATCTGCCATTCTCTCTTATCTCGGTCACGCCCTCCGTGTCTATGATGAGCCGGTCCACAACTACAGACTCTATCGGCAAGATGCTCCAGCAGGATCTAGCTGACCATGTCGAGATCCGGCCCGAAGACAGCATCTCCAACATAGCTGTTCGTCCGGAACAGGATTCTAACCCCGCGACTGTTACGCCCACAGGTAGGGTTTCAACCATCTTTACCCTGTCGACCTCTTGATTTATACATGTGGCTGACTCTTTCTTCCTCCACACAGGCATCATGACGAATACAGTTCGATTCTTCAAAGGACTTTTGGCTTCTCAAACGTAGCCGTCGATGCAATCAAAAGAGGTGAAATCTTGATTCGGAGCGTCATCCGCGGAACATGCATGGTTTTGGGAGACAGCACTGTTTTGGGTTTCAAAGAGACAACCTCAGCGGGCGGTGCCAACAAACCAGACGGGGCTTTCGCGCTTGAAGATTGAGCACTGGCATGTGAGGACTTTGAGACACCACAGCAGGGGAAGCTTGGAACAGGAAGATGAATACTCGACGGAGCAAATCAGGTGCCTTTCTATTACGACAGAGCTGGAGCTAGAATGGGGCTGGGTCGCTGCATTCGAGTCAGTACTGGAGAGAATCTGTGCTCGAGAAATTCCAAAGAGCTGGACATTTTCACTCTATTTGATAGCTCTTCAATTCGGATCTATGACTATGAACGCTTTGTCTCGTTTCTCTCACTTTTCTTTCCTGCTTCGCTCTTTGATAGCGATGTTGGTGCTGCTGCTCGGGCTCTGCACCATGTGGTGGCTTCTGAGAGCCGGATGGCCACTCAGTCACCGTGCACGCCGATCCACTCGCTGCAGGGGCAGAGGACGTCGCCGTAGATGGTGCACAGTTTGCTGCACCAGCAGAAGTCCCAGCAGACGCAGATACGCGCGGCGATGTAGTCTTCCAAGCTCATGAACCCCTGGTAGTACCGGTACTGGCCCACGGAGACGCCCTCGAGGCGCGCGGCGGCACACTCGCGGTGCACCTCGCGGCGCAGGGTCTCCTCGGCATCGGAGCGGACGGAGCTGAGGGAGGCGGCGTGTGCGGCACAGCCCTCGGCGTGGCTGAGCGCGAGAGACCGCACGGGGAGCGCGTCCAGGTCGGCTTTGGTGTAGTTCTTGGACGGGTATGTTGGGTCGGGGACGAAGTTGGTGTGGGTGAACTCATTGTTGGGGTGGAGCGGGTCGCCCATGGTGAAGGGGACGGGGGCGCCGAAGGTCGATCTGCGCTCGACGCGCACGCGCAGGTAGTCGGCTTCATAGGACTCGAATTGGCCCGGATAGCCGGTCAATTCGGTGGTGAGGCGCTTGCGTTTGAGAGCCAGAGCGGCGTCCGAGTTGTCATCGTCGACATCGGTGAGCTCGGTGCCGGAGCTGTTGCGGTTTCGGTCGTGGTAGGAAAAGGTGGACGATCTGTCGTCCGAGATGGAGCCACACACTGAGACGACGCGGCTGCTGTTGGCGTCTTGATCAACCAGCTTCTCTGCCACGCGGATCTTCTTCGTGGAGAGAAGATGAATGTTGCGGTCTGGACACGTGTTAGCGACGGGAGACACATACTCTCCAAGAAGGAAAGGCGTCTAGGACACTCACCATCGGGTTTCGGCTCATTGCCAGTGGATCTGGTCACGAATGAGTCGCGAGCATTCCTCTTCTTGACTGGACTATGTCTCAGTATTTTCAGGTCAGATAACAGCTCCATAGACTCACCTCTCTTCCGGATTGTCAACGGGCGAGGTCGCTGAACAGGTTGGACAGCCGGATCGGTGATAGTACCATCGGCGGCGTAGAATGAGTCGGGGAGAGAAGGATCTTGAAGGGCAGCCTTGACCTTGTTCTTCTGAGACTTGGGCTGGAGAATAGGCTTGTCACTGTCGTTATCATCGTGGTTTGGAGTCTTGCCGAGTTGGGCTGAGAAGTTCTCGGACCCTGGGATTTCGTAGTCGGCCAGAGTCTCTTTGTCTGGAGCCCAAAGCTGAGGCCAATCTTCCAGACCTTCGCGTCGATCGGCAAAGCCGTCTTCATCGACCACGGGAATGTGGTCGGGGCTAGGTCCCTCCCTGGCCTCGACGCCGCCAAAGAACGATTCAGTTGCCCTTTCCTTCTCCAGCTCTTCATTCATGTCAATATGAAGATGTCCTTCAAGGCCTGTACCCAGAGCCGCAAAGTGACTGTCAATGACATCTGGTAGTATCCGGTCAGTGAAGCACAGAGCAAAGGATTCTGATGTCATGCCATACCTTTGGTCGTCACGTCCACACCAGCTTGGGCGAACGCGAACTGGGCGATGTCGGGAGTGTCGAGGATGAAACCTCCATTGGAGGGACTGGGAATTGTGATTTGGACATGGTTGGTATCCCGTTGGATGGTTGCTGTACAGATCATGGTTAGAGACTCCAATGCGGTAGATGATGTGAGGGCTACCTTGTGCATTTCCGTGCGCTTCGAACGTTGACCTCATTGACTCATTGGACATCATCGCTTTGAGACCAGCATCCGCGAACATGTACTCGAAATATGGAGGTTGCGGGAGTGGGGGAAGGGGTTTGTTGAGAAGAAGATATTCCTGCTCGCTTCTTGCTTGGGATTCCAGGAGACCAGTGGAAGTGCGGGAAGAACGATCACTCCTGCCAATGCTCCGTGAACTGAGACTGAGCTTCTTGTACCAGGATTTGTTGCGACGCTCAGGAGAAGTGATTTGGGTCATTGGAGGCTCCATGCTTTCCACAGTTCTCTTCTCAGGATCGGGCAAACCAACGTAAGGTGCACTGAAGACGGGCATCTCGCATTGACGAACTGCTGGCCGATCTCAATGTGAGATACTGGATTGGCAGCAAAGAGTCTTGATCGCACCACCAGGCTTTCGAGAACACAACGGGTAAAGATAGAGGAACACAGACAACAACACACAATGCATTGCAAGAAGATGTCGGCTTGAGAGAAGGTGAGAGAAAAGGAAACGGTGACATTGAAAAGATTTCAAGTTCATCAGCAGCAATATTCACCTCACTGACCCAACCCTGGAACCATTTTCCTCCCAGCCGCTTGATATTCCTTCACAGTCACTGGCACGTCGGGCGAATGAGCGCACAGCTATTGAAGAATTCTGCCAGTCTTGCCGGTGAATGAAGTCGGGTGCGGTGCAAAAGAACAATAGGGATCCCCCATAGAGCCTGGAGGTGAGGCAGAAAATATCGATCATCTCAGCCATCCTTGCTTTCTGGTGTTTTCGCAGCAGCAAGTCGCTCAAGGAGACTTGAGCTGTATACCTGCACAGTGACAGTGTTATTTGGCTGTCATCGGCAAGGACTTACCTTGTCCTGAGCGGGTGTATACAGCTGTAATCGGTACAAGTCATGATGGTCCGCCGTTTATCTGGCTCATCAGATTTCCCTTTCCGCATTTGTCTTTGTCCACAACGTTGCCAGAGCCCAGCGCAGTCTGCAGGGAGACCACGTCCTTGCGAAACTACGTACAACATCTCCTGCCCTGCCCTGTTTTGGTCCTGAAGCACCATGGAGGAATTTGGGAGAGGTCCAGACAAAGTTGTGGAGCTAAGGAGGTTCGGATGGGTTGCGTTCCGATGTGAGTTTTGCATGGGAGGTTCAGTTTTCAGCATACTGTGGCATGGAATTTCTGGCATACTGCGTTTCAGGAGACTCGATGAAAGACAATCCGTGGCAGTCCAGGGGGATGATGGATCTGAAGTGCGAGCACAAGCCGTCGATCTGGCGGCGAGGCGGCGAGATGGTGCCGCGCGGGAAGGGCCAAGCCACGCTTATGCGACGGGGATTCGTCAACGCCTGGGCTCAGCCAGGGGCATTTGCGCTGTCCCATTTTCTCGATAAAATCCTGTCAACGTACATGTGAGATATTACTTCTTCCTCCTTCATCGTACCGGGTCGCCTGTAGCTAACGGTGTGCAGTCTGTGTTTCCTGCCCAAGTGACCCCGAACCCCGCCCTGATTTGCATAGCTGGCTCAAGTCAGACTTGCTCGAGACTGCGCCCCCCAATCGCGAATTGCCGATACTGTGTCTTCGGGAAGCCGATTCAAGTTATCCATAAGACGGATCATTCTCTCGTGGATTCGTCCTTTCACCAAAACTATCGAAGAAGCCACGAGCACAGAGACCAGATACCTGACGGCATTCTTCCTTCTCGCCGCATCGTCCTTTCTCGCGCCTCCCTCGCACTCCTAGCCCGGAGATGTCAGCTGAGCGGTAGCACCTTTCTCGCAGTATCTCCTACACCATGACCAGGCTCTGGGCGGCATGTGCCCTACTTGCCGCTATCTCTTCAGCATGGGCGGATCAAACTGCCGCTGATTACTTTGTCCATTCGCTGCCAGGACAGCCAGATGGCCCTCTCTTGAAGATGCACGCAGGGTATGCGGCCCCATCACGCCGAGAAAACAACTATTAATGTATGCAGACATATCGAAACCAATCCTGAACATAATGGACATATGTTTTTCTGGCACTATCAGAACCGACACATCGCCGACCGCGCAAGAACCGTGATCTGGCTCAATGGTGGCCCGGGATGCAGCTCGATGGACGGGGCGTTAATGGAGCTGGGACCTTACCGAGTAAGAGAGGGAGGAAAACTGGTCTACAATGAGGGTTCCTGGGACGAATTCGCAAACGTATTATTCGTGGACAACCCTGTCGGTACCGGCTTCAGCTACGTGAACACGGACAGCTATCTCCATGAACTGCAAGAGATGGCCGACCAATTTCTGGTGTTTCTGGAAAAGTGGTTTGGGCTATTTCCGCAGTACGAAAACGACGATCTCTACTTCGCAGGGGAGTCATATGCCGGGCAATACATTCCTTATATCACAAGAGCAGTTTTGGATCGAAACGCCAAAGCGAAAGATCAGGGAAAAGGGGCGTGGAACCTTCAAGGCCTGCTAATTGGGAATGGTTGGATTGCTCCAGCCGAACAATATCAGGCCTACCTCCCCTTTGCCTACCAGGCCAACCTCATCCAAGGCGGTACTCCTGAAGCAGCCAGAGTTGAAGCGGCACAGGCATCCTGCATTGCCGAACTTGGCAAACCCGGCGGGACGGACACGGTAGACGTCAATGTGTGCGAAGCAGTTTTGTCCACCATTCTCGACGTGTCCAAGGAGAACGGCATGTGTTACAACATGTACGACATTACCCTGAAAGACAAGTGGCCGTCGTGTGGGATGGCCTGGCCCCCGGATTTGGAAACAGTAACGCCTTATCTGCGCCGGGACGATGTACTTGCGGCCCTACACGTGAATCCGGACAAGCGGACTGGATGGGTTGAGTGTTCGGGGGCCGTTTCCTCTTCGTTCCGAGCTAGGCACTCGAAACCAAGTGTTCAGCTGCTCCCGGGCATTCTCGAGGAGGGCGTTCCAGTGTTGTTGTTCAGTGGCGCGAACGACCTGATCTGCAATCATATCGGAACGGAAGATTTCGTCAACAACATGCAATGGCTAGGTGGGAAGGGATTCGAGCTGTCTCCTGGGGTTATAGCTCCAAAGCGCGACTGGGAGTTCGAAGGCGAACCGGCCGGAATCTACCAAGAAGCCAGGAATCTCACCTATGTCAAATTCTACAATTCGAGCCACATGGTGCCATTCGACTACCCTCGACGGACTCGAGATATGCTCGATCGATTCATGGGGGTGGATGTCACAGGGATCGGTGGCCAGCCGAGTGACAGCCTTATTGGAGGCGAAAAAGCGGGCACTGAAACGGAGGTTGAAGAGCCAGCCAACAGCACGGTCACCGTCACCCCGGAGGAGGAGAGTCAGAAGCTCAAAGACGCCGAACTCAAGGCCTACTATCGCAGCGGCGAGGCGGCTCTGGTGTTTGTGCTCATTGCCGCGTCCTTGTTTGGCTATTGGGTGTGGCGAGGAAGGAGGAAGGCGCGCAGTCAAGGGTATATCAGCGTCCCGCTCGCAAACGGCTCAATGCCGAAAGGTCGGGGAGACCTGGAAGCGGGGGATTTTGACGAGAGCGAACTGGACGACCTGGAGTCGAGCCGGCGACCTGGAAATATGGAGGCCCAGCACTATGATCTGGCGAGCGACAGCGAGGATGAAGATACAGTGGTGGCCAGTGGTGGTGGCAAGGGACCGCAATCAGCTGCCCAGTAAGACCTCCCCAAAAGGACATAAAATAGTGGTATTCATTTTAATGATAGACGTATGCGGTTTGTGGCAATCTGTCGATAGAGATCGTCGCCTACGTGCACAGTAGCAATGTGACTCTCGCCAAAGGGACTTGGTGCCTGGCGATCGCGAGGCGGCAGATGAGATCGAGGCAACTGTCCCGATATGGAATAGCGTTGCGGCTAGCGTCGGCTGGCTAGTCCGAACTGGGAACCTCAGTAGCACAGCTTCCTGTCACTTCACTTTCGACTCTTCACTTTGCACTCTTTCACTCTCCTCTCACTTTGCTCTGCTTTGTTCCGCTCCTCGCTGCTCTGTCCGGCGCTGCAATATGTGATGTGCACTGCTGTCTTGCACCAAGAATGCGTCGCAGGTCTGGCGGACCGCGGAACAATGAACTCATCAGTTCCCTCCCCCTCCTTGCATCGGTGACAGGTGTCTGTCCAGCCTGTCAGCCTGTCAAACCTGTCAGTCGATAACCTCAAACTGGCTCTCAGCTCTAGACACCGGACCAGATGCCCACACCCTCCTCTCCTCTCTCTATCTCCCAATTGGGCGCCGTAACCCCTCGCCTCGATGCTGATGCCAGTGCTGATGCCAATGCCAATGCATACTTCTCGCCTTGACCGATCTCTTGCATCGTCCTCATCTGGACACCCCTGTCACCAATGCACCATATGTCGCCCTCATTTGTCCTCGACCCTCTCTAATACATCTGGCCTGTGCGCCCAGAGCACCCTCACGCATTCCTCCTGGCATATTCGTGCTGTATTTGCATCCAGATCCCGCCAATGTCCTTCCGGGCTTCAACTGCACTAGATATCTTGAAACCTGTTGCCAATGCGTTTAGCGGACGCGCCTTCCTGGTTCTGAGTCCTGTTCGCTTACTCCGTGTGAAAGAGAGACAACAAAAGCGTGCGACTGTTAGCATCGTTGCTTCCACGGGTTGGATATATACGACCTCAGTCCCCCAAGGCACCGTCTTTCTTTTCTTTCACAACTGCTCCTCCGGTGCAACTGAGGTTTTTCGCGCTTCAAATTCGTATCTTTTGCACCTTGATCCTACCTTGTCCACTGTCCGCCCCCCCTCATTTCTAGCCTTTCTGCTCCATCGACTGCCCTCCTTTCTTGCTCCAATCACCTGTACCTCAGATTATCCGACTCGACTCGCAGCTTCTCTCTTCGTTCTATCTCCCGAGGCTGCTTGCTCGAGGTTCGAAATCCCCAGCCACCGGGGACGTCTTCATCCTCGCTGACGAATGGACCACCATGCCCACTTCACGCTGCATCAGTTTGCTGTCAGAACCAGCTCTGATCCCTCCCAAACCGCCGTCTCCTACGATGCTGCTCACATAGTTCTGTCCTTCTTTACCTCACTCATAGGATGTATCACCACGCTGGAACTGTTGCAAAGGCGAACGTCAACGAGGGGAGCGTACAATTGGCAAGTTCACTCTCTTCCACCAACGTGGCTGGCCACTAATCAATCTCGAGGTTTCTTCTTGTGGCATCCGCCATCACAATGGGTGGCATCGGGATCTGGGGCATGCACTTCGTCGGTAATAGAGCTATCGTGTTACAAAACGGAGACCCCCAACGTCAGATACTCTACAACCCCGGCTTCACTGCAATCTCTTTCTTTATGCCAATCCTCGTCCTCCTTTTCGCTTTCTACACTCTTGGAATGCCCACTCGAGCTCGTCAGCTTCATGTTGCCATCGCTGCCTGCCTGACTGGGGCCGCCGTTTGTGCCATGCACTATCTCGGCCAGTACGGTGTTGAGAACTATGTTTGCTCATACCGAGTGCAAAATGTCGCCGGGGCTGCTGTCATCGCCGTGTTGGCCAGTTTTACCGCGCTTGGAATCTTCTTTCGATTGCGAGACGCATGGAAAGACGGCTGGTGGAAAAGAGCCTTGTGTGGTGTCATTCTCGCCACTGCTGTCTCCGGAATGCACTGGACGGCCGCGGTCCGTACCATATACCATTGGAAAGGCGATTTGAATATCCACGGCAACTCCAGATCGCAAACTGCAGTCATTGCAGCCGCTCTCGTTAGTCTCCTGCCTCGACTTACACAGACTGAAACTGACATGACTCCTTTTAGTCAATGGGCTCCTGTGTCATCCTTCTTGTGGTGGCCTTCGTCCGAGGCCGCAATAAACGCACTGCCAGAATTAAATCACAGCGTCTGGTTCTAGCTTGCGCTTACTTTGACGATGAGGGCAAAGTGATGGTCACCCAGGAAGGGACCTTGCCAAGTGAAAAAATAACAAACCACTATGTTGAGAAGGTAAGCACTTCTTGGGAGAAGCCTTGCTCGTACTAACCCTGCGTTTTAGACTTTCGGAGAAGATGAACTTGGCAGGTCTCATCCGTCCTACCTCTGGATCTTTAAGGCATCTCACAACTGGATAACGCTGCGGGACCTCATTCCCAGCATGAAAGAGCATGTCGAAAACGACCCAGTGGCAAGGAAATACCGGCCGAGCAACACTTCCAAAACTTTGCCAGACGACGCCATAGCAGGTAGCATCAGCTTCGCTCCAATCTTCAAGCAGCTGTTTTGTGTCACGGCCCAGCAGCTAGCCAATCTTGTCCACCAGCCTTTGGAGAGGGTAGGAGTCCTCTTCGAAGAACCCTTGGAGACAGGAACAACCTCTATGCACACGCAATTGAGGATTCACATCAGGCCTCTATCAGCAAAATCGTACAACAAGGCGACGGAGGTAGAGAACGGCTTTTCATCTCCGCCTATGCTGGCTCGAGGAAAATACTTTTTCCTTCACCGACAAATAAGCAAGAGTGAGGCAGCCAGGTTTGCCGCATTGGGATACCGGTTTGCCACCCTTGGGCAAATCGCAGAACCACTGGCTAAGAGCATGCAAGTCGACTGTGATGAGATGGTGGCGAAGATCGAGCGCATGAGACGGAGCGCATCACCCGAGCACCTTCCACCGCCTGGAGTGCATCTCGCTTGTTTTATGCTCCGTCCAAGCATGTACAAAAGTTTCGACGTCCTTGTCCCAACCGCCTCGCAAGACCATTTACCTTATGTCACAATGCAATGCGGTGATCTGTCAAAAGAGCAACTCGCCCAGCTACACCGTTTTGATGATTCGACTGTCAGCGAGATTTTGAGGATGCTTCTCGGCCAATCTGGCGGATCACAAATTGGCGAAGGGACCCGATGGCAGCTTTACAACACTTTCGTTAAGCTCGTCGATGTCATCGGTGACTATGATACCATGATGCAGGCCAAATTTTCCGCCAAAGCATTCCGAGTCCCATGTCGACCCACCAATGGCCCAGGTGCTTCAACAACATGCACCTTCCTGACGGTTCGAGTGCTGAGAAACATACATACGTCATCGAGTAAGAAGGAATTGACATATGTTCCTTTATCCTTTTTCAGTGCGCAGCAACAGGTTCAAGCAAAAGATTGCAGGGATGAATCATTTGAGCGGAAAGTCAAAGCAGAGTTTCAGCATCCCGCCCGTGGCGACTTCACCAAGTATCCCTCGTCCATCAGCGTTAAGGGCGGCAGAAGGACGAGCTCAGGGGATTTGACGCTTCAAGGCTCGGAGTCACCTAAGTTGGGTTCATGGAAAACCGCATTGACTCGGTTTTCCATTATTCCTAGACGTCGAAGCGATGAAGCCACGATTGTTGGGCGTGACAAGAGCATCGAGGAAGCATCTGACGTTGAAATGGTGGGCATTGCAATGTTGGGAAGCACTCGCCATGGCAATGAGATAGGAACGACGCAAACGACGCATGCGGACATCATTGAACTCAAGCAAGGGGGAAATGGGCAAAGCAGCTGGGTCAGCGAAGTGTTCGGTCTCTTCCGACTCGGAGCGGAAGGGTGGTCCAATGCAAAAGGGGGAGGGTACAAATGGGACACAAATGCCCCGCACGCAAATGAAGCTGGAAGGAAGGATTGTCAATAGCGCGTGGCTGATACCGAGACACTGGTTCCATCCGGGTGAAATGTCAACAGCATCCGTGCTGAGAGGGTTGCGGGCTGAATGAATTCCGACACACGAAGGTACGAAATTGGGAGGATAATGTGCTCTGATGTATGTACATTGCTACCCTGGTCAATGGAAATATTGCTCCATCTCGCCCAATGCTTTCCTGCGACACAGAAAGAACCAAAGTGAGATTGCGATAAGCTGTAGGTGCTGCAAGGCTGAGACGCGTGCACCTTGATGCCGGTAAGAAGGGCGGGCGATTTTATTGGCGGAGCATCGGAAGAAATTCTGCCCTGTGCCACCGCCTTGAGCCCGCCTTGCAATCGTTCCACCATCCACCACCGCAGACATTCTGGCTTCTGGCCTCACATGCAGTCTGAATTGATGAGATACACTATTGTACAAACACGATACATTTGTGTCTCGACATGATGGCACGTCGCTAAGACGCACACCTACCGAGGGCGATAAGACCTACACAGTACGCACCTACAAGTAGGTAGACTGCCCAAATTCGCCGCTTAGGTACTTTACGCCTCGCGGCGCACGCCACTTTCGAGCCCATCGAACTGCCCGCCACGCAACCTACATACCTTTCCAAACCCCCGTGCACAAGTTCTCGAAGGGAAAAAAAAGGGGGCCCCGGTCCTACCGTTCCCACCCTTCCTCCCACCTCCCGCTCCCTGCGCACCAACATGCCCTTTGCGCAGCTCGTCATCGGCCCGCCCGGCGCCGGCAAGTCGACGTACTGCAACGGCATGCAGCAGTTCATGGGCGCCATCGGCCGCAAGTGCTCGGTGGTGAACCTGGACCCGGCCAACGACCCGGCGCCGGTGCCGTCGGCGGCGTTCGCGGCGTACGAGCCCGCGCTCGACATCCGCGACCTCATCTCGCTCGAGATGATCATGCGCGACGACGAGATCGCGCTCGGCCCCAACGGCGGCGTGCTGTACGCGCTCGAGGAGCTCGAGGAGAACTTTGACGGCTGGCTGGTCGACGGCCTCCGCGGGCTCGGCGACGACTACGTCCTCTTCGACTGTCCCGGGCAGGTCGAGCTGTTTACCCACCACGGCAGTCTGAGGAGGATCTTTGCCCGGTTGGAGAAGGTCGGATATCGTGTGTGTGTTTTGGCCCTCCACCCCTTCTTTCCCTGACACTCTCCCCCTCCAACGATATGATCCGTCCCCACTTGTCGATAGTCTGTAAGGAAAGCGAAGAATCTGGGCTGACGAAAAGTGATTTCATTGTTTGGGTAAACAGCTCGTGGTGGTCAACCTGATCGACTCGTACGCCCTTACTTTGCCCTCGCTTTACATCTCCACCCTCCTGCTGTCGCTACGGAGCATGCTGCAGCTCGACTTTACCCACATCAACGTCCTCACAAAGATCGACAATCTCAGCAAATACCCCCCGTTGCCCTTTAACCTGGACTTCTACACCGAGGTCCAGGACCTGTCGTACCTGCTCCCTTACCTCGAGGAGGAGTCGCCAATGTTCAAACAAGGTGGCAAGTTCCAGGCGCTGAACGAGGCGATCGTCCAACTCGTCGAAGAATATGGATTGGTGGGCTTCGAGACGTTGGCGGTCGAGGACAAAAAGAGCATGATGAGCTTGTTGCACACGATCGACAGGGCGGGCGGGTATGCGTTTGGCGGCGCCGAGGGCGCGAATGATTCCGTCTGGCAGGTCGCTGTCAGGGAGGGCCTGGGCAAGATGGACGTGAGGGATGTTCAAGAACGGTGGATTGATAGAAGGGAGGAGTACGATGAGTTGGAGCAGAAGGAGTGGGAAGAGGAGCAGAAGCGGAGGGAAGAGGAGTGGGCCAAGAGCGGAGGGGCGATGATGGCAGTGGGCGAGGACGGAGATGAGGGAGACATGGACTTACCGCCGCTCAAGGATGGTGGTGTAAAAGTCGTGCGGAGTGGGAAGAAGCCTTCATGATATTCCGGGCGTATGCTCCCGCTCAGAAGGATGATACCGACTCGACTCTGCCCTCCAGTGGGCATTGCCGGGTGCAATGTAGTCGGCCGGCTGCTGCGGTTGCGGCGAGAGCTATGGCAGACACAACAGCCATGATGAGGGAGCCCGGACAACCTGGATTGTCGCGGGAAAGGTGCCGTCGTGTGGTGTTCTGGATCTCTGCATCACTTCACGATTTGACGGTCTCTGCAGACGTCGATTGCTCGATGAGGTGCTCCGCTGTATCGTTAGATAGCCAATGTTTCTTCAACGAGGAACTCTTTTCCTCAACCAGAATCGTTTTCAAAGTCCTCCTCATCCTCCTCGTCAAAATCCACAATGCTTTCTTCGTCTCCCCCCACAAGTCCGGCAGCACCGACCCTCTCTTTTCCCTTCAACAGCCCCTTTCCGTTCCCGCCAGCAAAGAGTCCCTCCAGAACCGTATCATCGGCTTCTTCACCTGCGCTTCGGCCCTGTAGCTTGGCCCGGACAACGTCCCTCCTGGCCTTTCTGAGAAGCTCCTCCTCGCTCTTCCTGATCGTGCCACTCACTCGAACCACACGGACCACACAAGCCAGTTCCGGACGCATTGCAGCATCAGCTCCTCCACCTACTCCTCCTCTTCTCCCTCCCGTCCCACCGCCGCCGACAGACCGATGAGAAGGCGGAGGGGGTATGCCTGTGAGGAATGTCAGGCTTGCCCAGACCAGGCGGAAGTGCGCGCGGGGCACGCGCAGGATCCCCGTCGAGGTCGCGGGCGAGAAGTAGACGAGCCGCAGCGCCGACTGCGTCACGGAGGCGCCGTGGTCGCCGAACAGCGTCTGGATCTGGCTGCGCAGGTGCGTCACCAGCAGAGCCGGGGTGAGGTAGCCCGGCGACGGGCGGAGGAAGAGGATGTAGGGCGGTGTTGTTGTTGCTGCGGATGCTTGTTTCGTTGTCGAGGCTGGTCCGGCGAATGGTGCCGAGGGTGCTGCGGGCGTGGTGGAGGACGATGGGGGAGGGGACGGATAGAGGATGTTGAAGAGCAGGTAGCGGTGTTTAATCCGGACCATTTTGTGCTCTTGTGCATGAGGTTCTAGGACGAGAGTTTTGTCACTGTCATTGTAATAGCTTCAACAACGGAGACGAGCTCCCTTTAGAGAAGGGCGGGGAAGGGAGCGATGCCTTCAATGTTGGTGGGAGTTCACTCAAATTGCGGGTGCGCCTTCGATACCATCGCGGAGAAAGTAAACCCTTTGCCAATTCGTGTTTGTGGAGTAGGTACTCCAAACATGTGGCAAGGCTGAAGGCGAGGGCTGATGAGGCTGTGGCATCTCTTCGGAGATTTATTTTTTGCTTGGCAATCCTACATGTTCGCAACCCAGGGTTCCATGGCGTGGACTTCATACACAGAAGACCAAGTGCTTAGCATATCATCTGATTCTGCTGTACCGAGTACCTATGGGTATATGGCAAAAGCTACGGTAAACCCCCTTCGCCGGGGAAGCTGGGTTTGACTCGCCTCTCGAAACATCAGGCACATGAAACGTGGTTGACCTCGATTTAGAAAGCTCAGGAGTTCCGAATCCCTTTCTGGTCTGTCTCTGAAACGACACCGAACAGGCATACACGTGGAGAAGAGGGTTTTGAATGGCGATTTGTACGTAAGCACTGTGGGCAGTGTCCGCCTAGCTACTCCGTATGGCATATTCTCAAACGTCGGTGTTGAAGATCTGTACTCGGCACATGTCGACTTGGTGGTTCGATACATGGGATATCATGTGGAGTTCCCACCCTGCCTGCCACTCAAGGTCTTGTCATACCGTTGTTAGATTGGCCCAGTGTACCGACGGCCAAGTGAGGCGCATGCCACAATGTGAGAACAGAGCAGAGATAGCCAGTCGAAAGGAGTCGGGCACATCGGGTCTGAAGACTCGCATAAGTGGGTATAGACAGGTACTCGTAGACTCACAGGTCAGGATCGGGTCATGTTTCTCCCTGAGTCTGTTTTTTAGATTTTCCCCCTCTTCACAAGCAATCCTGGGGCTCAACTGAATATCCTCGCATTGGAGAATTCGGGGGAAGCGCCCTGACATGGGTAATCGCACGGTCTGAGTGGTTCATGTAGGTGCAGGTCGTCGTTTCACATCACCTCCTCGGCGGCTCTGAAAACGATTTGGCGGCTCTGACTGGATACGGACTGCCCAGTTTCGTGCTTGTGCAGCCCCTGAGAATCGGGAACGGGCACAACGGGGGCAGATAACGCCCATCGAGGGAAGGAAGGATTTGCACTGTGATTGGGGTCGATCTAGCCTGTGCGAGGTAGGGAGCGAGTGGTGGCGTTGAGAGTGGCCACTGAGAGAACGAAGATGTTGGGCACCAGTGCTTCATCTGGGCGGTACCGGGCGGGGACAAATCAAGATTTTAAGTGGACGACCGGGGTAGCGTTGAGGGCCTAGGGTAGCCAAGAGGCATCGACAGGGAGCCTAGAGAGCCCTGGACGGGAACTTAGGGGAGCCTGGACGATGCCCGTTCATGTTGTGGATGGACCCTGGTCGCCCTGGGCATCTTCTGTTTGGCGTGACGGCCGCGGCTGCAACTCCATCTTGCTGCATCCTGCATCCGCATCTTCTTCTTCTCCCTGCAGCTTCGACTTTTTCCACCTCGCCCTTGCAGTTCTGTTCCCCCAACATCCAATCCCGACAGAAAAAGTCTTTCGTTTCCCAAATACCCTTCCCACTCAGTCATTCTTTTGACCCTCCATCCTGCTCTCTTTCTATCACAAGTCACACTCTTTACTCGACGGTCGATTCGTCGTGGTACCGCACAGTCGAAGCTATCCACTCATTCACCAATCCCAGTGTTTACGCTGCCTTTTTGTCACCCATCGCCTTCACTCACTAACACGACTTTCATTGAGCGGACTGCGTCCTGCCTGACCAGAAATTCTTCACTTTCATTCTTTACAACGACCTCGTTTTGATCCAATCTAAAGGTGTTCGGGCGGATCAAACTCTACTACCGCGTCACCACAACACCAAACAAACCGCAAGCCGAAATCCCATAAACAAACGCACAAGCCGCCGATCTACCCTTGCATTGGCGATCGCAAATACTTCTTGAATCTCGCGCCCGCGACTGTGTCTGAAAGATATTTGAACCTCCCTTCGAAAACATCTCCAGCAATAACTTCGTCCACGATGTCTATCTCTCGAGCATTTACCAAGCGCGTCAAGCGCAACCTTGTGGACCAAGCACCATTGCAACGTGGCACAACAGTTAGATATGCTCCTGGCACCATTGATCGCAACCTCATCTCTTTGCCAACCGAGTTGATCTCTACGACCAACGTGCAGGCATTGACCGCGCCAGACATTCGCAGCATCTCTGGGTCGTCCTCAGGCTCAGTTTCGTCGGTCAACGACTCCGATTTCTCAACCATCGACCGCAGTTTTCTCAACAGTCCGGGTAATGACAATTCTTCCATCGATAGCAGTGGCCCTGCCACTCCTGTGACACCTGCGACTGAAGACGCCAAGTCATTCTTCGATTTGAAACAGACCACTCCCCTTCTCCCATCCATTGCTTCGCCAACCTTTGACATACCTGTTGTCCCGCAACGAGCTCCATCTCATTCGAAGAAGGCACATGTTGATTTATCGCGGAAGCGCTCGATTCAACGAATGTCGCCACCTCCTGTCAACATTGTCCAACCGGCCATCCGAAGCACTGTCGACTCACCTGTGGAGACCCGCCACCCTTTCGGCAGAGAACTGGCACAGGTAAACGAGGTCGCCGAAGAGTTCGGTGCCACCGCAAGGTTACTCGATGAGGAAGAACAAGAAATTCTGGGCAAGGGACTTTACAAATTTGGGGTAGAAGACTATCTCGACGAAATCGCTGGCTTGTATGGCGGCATCTTCGAGGACAAGCTCGGGTCAGTGGCGAAGCCATGGCTATAAAGATCCCCAAGGAATTGGGATCTCTCTCGCATTCATGACCTTACGACCTTGGAGTTGAGTGCCGCATCAGGCACAGTTTCTTACACATACATTGCGACACGGCGAGATATGGAGTTGCTTTGGGGCTGTGGTACACTTCACGAGGGCTCTTTCAGACTGGATACCGTCTCCAGTTCACTCTTTTCCAACCCTTTTTTTTTTCCGGAGGAGCGGTCACTTCTGTCTCGAGGGACATTGGGGGAGGGACCGGGCAAGGCAATATCACACTAAGGCACAAATATGGTGATATGGCGTGTGCTTGATGTTTGTTCAAAACCTTGAATGGTAATCTTGATCATACCGCAAGATGTTGAAGCTGGAGCAAGAGTGCGTTGAGATATGCAGGCCACAAGATTGTGTTGACTTGTTGAAGCTGCTGTCGGGAACGGACAGGGGACACATCTCGATGGAGAGAAATTCTGTACAACTTTATCAGTGCTGAGATAGAACTGGTGATATGGAGCTATCCACCAACAGAAAAACAAACAAATCCATACAAAGCAACTATGTTGAGTTCCTTGATCTCTCTGGTGCAAGTATATGTGCGGCGCGGTTCCTGAGGGCTTTGGATGCCTCAGTATACGCAAGCTTCCAGTCTGAAGATCGTTGCCGGCCCAAGCACGTTATAGGCTACCAATGATGTACTCGGGATGTCGTTACTGTCCATCTCGCTGTTTCAGCCATCCCCCAGGCAGGGAAACTTGGGACTGCAGCACCGAGGACGCCTCAACCGACGGCGACTCTTTAGCACCGCCACGCGCCTCAACAGGAGATTTCCGGGCTGTGGCTTGATAAAAAGCAAAGTGCAAATCTTCTTTTCAGCTGGAAAGGTGCTTTTGGCGCCTTTGGTGCCCTTGGAGGTGCGGCTGGCGGGGCCGCTTGGTGGATTCTCTAGGCGAAATCGAGTCGTCGGAAGCGAAGATCAGGATCCAAATCCTTACAGTCAGCTCGGATGTCCTGACCTTTCTGAGGTTGCGAGAGACTGCACTGGAAGGAAGTAGGAGAAGCAAAATGCGAAACCGGCGTCAAACTCCGGACCGACGTTTTGTGCTGTAGCGGGTGGGAGGTTGAGGGAGCGAGGGGTCTTTCGATCTCTCGAGAGGTACGAGTACGATCATGCGCTGATAATTCCCTGGGAAATCACCAGGGTCTTTGAGTTCAGATGAAGGATAGACGGCCAGACGGAGAGCAGTCGATAGAGCATGTGCCAGAGAGCTATACGAGTAGTCGGCATGACTTTACCTAGGCGCAATAGGCACAGGCCGACAGGGGTACCGCCTAGGGCGAGCATTGGCGAGCCATTCGGCACTCCCCAAAGCCCGCCTAGCAGGCATGGCAGCGCTCGGAGCCCCCATAGTGCCCATAGCGGCCCATTAGCCTCGGTGGCCACGCCCCCCAATTCATCTGCACGTCGGCGTCATGGCGCTGCTGGCAAACAACTTCTGCGCCTGCCACACCTAAACATGTCCACTAAAAATCAAGGCCAATGCGTCGAGACACGCACGCAGCATTCGACATCATAGTAAATAGTCGTTGCGGCCGGACAATCTCCAGATGCCTGCGCATTCCTATACCAAACTTCTGCTCGTCCACCGTGAGACTTCAAGTGAGCCATTGTTCTTTGCTTGATTCTTTCTTGTTCTTCGCTTCGTTTGCTGTCCTCCACGTTGTGTGCAAGTGTTTTGTATTCGGTGTCAACACCACACGCGTTCGCGCACTTTGGCGCAAGTCGACAACTTACCATGGACACACTCCGTGCGGTCCTCAGTGTCCGCCAGGCTCCCGATACCAATGCGAATGACGACCAGAACGTTGGCTCCAGCAGAAACGGCTCCCCTTCGCTTTCTGGCCTGATCTCGACATTGGTGCCAACCTTGATCATCGCCCTCGTCTATTTCGCCGTCTTTCTGCTCTTGAGAACTCGATTTCCTCGACAGTATGCTCCTCGCACATACCTGGGCGCTCTCCGTCCGCAAGAGCGCACCCCTGCGCCTCCAAACACCTTGTTTGGATGGATTCCCTTCATGAGAAGGGTAAGTATACGGTAGTTGCAAGGGACCGAGTCCTCGCTGACCACGTTGTGTAGCTGCCCGACGAGTACGTTCTCCAACACAACTCCCTCGACGGCTACTTTCTGCTGCGCTATCTCAAAATGTCAATTATCATCTGCCTGGTCGGCTGCCTCATCACATGGCCCATCTTGTTCCCCATCAATGCCACTGGTGGAGGGGGCCAAACCCAACTCAACGTTCTCAGTTTCAGCAACATCGTGGACAAGAACCGTTACCTGGCGCATACCTTTGTCGCCTGGGTCTTCATTGGTTTTATCTTCTTCTTGGTTACCAGGGAAATGATTTACTATATCAACTTGCGGCAGGCGTACCTCTTGTCTCCCTTGTACGCTTCCCGGATTTCTTCGCGCACGGTGCTGTTCCAGGCTGTTCCTAACGAATATGCCAACGAAGCGAAGATCCGTCGCATGTTCGGGGATGAACTTAAGAATGTCTGGGTAGCTTCGGACGCGAAGAAATTGGAGGAGATGGTGGAGGAGCGCTACAAGACTTGCATCAAACTTGAGACTGCCGAGACCAAACTGATCAAATCGGCCAATGATGCACGCTTGAAGTCGAGCAAAGGGAAGAATGCCGCTCCTGAGCTACCCACGGCCAGCTACGATGTCGACGAGTACGCCGCTGAGTCTGGTGCTGCTGCTGCTCGATGGGTTCGACCAAAGGACAGACCGACACACCGTCTGAAGCTTTTGATTGGTCAAAAGGTGGACACCATCAACTGGTGCCGCGAGGAGATTGCACGGCTGAATCCTCTGATCGAGGCTGAACAGGACAAGTACCGTGCGGGCGAGGCTGTACCCAAGAATGCGGTCTTTGTTGAATTCTGGAACCAGACTCAAGCACAGAGCGCTTTTCAGATGGTCACCCACCACCAGCCTTTGCATATGTCTCCCCGCGTGGTCGGTCTCAGCCCAGAAGAAGTTGTCTGGTCGAATCTCGGCATAACATGGAAAACAATCACCGTCCGCAACGTTATCTCGCTGGGATTTATCGCCGCCCTGATCGTTTTCTGGTAAGTTTTGGCTTCTTTTCTTTTTGGTTTGCATGCAAAGGTTGCGGTGGTGTCTCACATTTCCCTTGGACTATTGCCCACTTGCTGTATCTCCGTGTTTACTGTGATGGACTTTACTAATATACTCCCTAGGTCCATCCCGGTCGCCGTCGTGGGTTCCATTTCGCAGATTTCCTACTTGACCGAGGTAGTACACTTCCTCCGGTTTATCAACAACTGTCCAAAGGTCATTTTGGGTGTCATTACGAATCTTCTGCCGGTCGTGATGCTTTCCATCCTCATGTCGCTTGTCCCAGGTATGTTTCCTCCTGTTTGAGGGCGTATTATTCCCGGAAGGGCGGTCCTTAAAGCCTCCAGCGTTGCGAAATCGGGCTAACAATTGTTTGCAGTAATCATGAGGTTCATGGGCAAATTCGCTGGTCTCCCGACATTGTCACTCATTGAGCTCCGTTGCCACGAATCATATTTCTGGTTCCAGCTAATTCAAGTCTTCCTGGTGACCACAATGACCAGCGCTGCAAGTGCTGCAGTACCACAAATCATCAAGCATCCAGGATCGTTGACCACCTTATTGGCTCAGAACCTCCCCTTGGCCTCCAATTTCTACATCTCATATTTCATCCTTCAAGGTCTTGTATTCTCCTCGGGCCAGCTTCTCAACATTGTTGGACTGGTTCTATATAACACCCTTTCGAAGATCCTCGACAAAACACCTCGAAAGATGTACAACCGATGGTCAAGCTTATCCTCTGTCGGCTGGGGCAGTGTTTTCCCTATCGTGGAGTGAGATGTCCCCGAAATGTATAATCCTACTCTACTGACTGATCGGAAATAGGTTGATGACTGTGATATCGATAGCGTACTCTCCGATCGCCCCTCTTATGCTCGGATTTGCGGCCATAGGGCAGGGTCTCTTCTATTTTGCGTATCGCTACAGTCTCCTCTTCGTCGACAGCTCAGTCATCGACACCAAAGGCCTCGTCTATGCCAAAGCCCTGCAGCATACTTTGGTCGGCTGTTATTTGGCGGCCATTTGTCTCATCGGCCTCTTCGGAATCCGAGCGGCTCCGGCACCTCTGGTCTTAATGGTCGTATTTTTGGTCCTCATGGTGCTTTACCATGTTTCCATGACTGCAGCTGTCCGTCCGCTCTTGCATTATCTCCCCCGCTCTCTGGAAGCTGAAGAGGCAGCACTCCTGCATACGGAGTCCGCCTTGATGTCCGGGCCGGAAGGGCAGCCCTCGCGTCCAAGTATGCGTGAAAAGGATCAGCTGGAAGAGCTACGAGTAGCGAAGGAGACAATGCCACCTGGAGGCAATAAACACGCTTCGATGATCAAACGATTCTTCCGCCCCGACATCTACGCAAGTTACGCAATCCTGCGGAAGCTTGTGCCACAAGAGTTCGCCGAGATCAGATATTCGCCGGAAGTCGAGCGAGATGCGTACCAAGATCCTGCTTGTAATGCGGTTGCACCTCTCTTATGGGTGCCCCGTGATCCCATGGGGGTGTCGAGGCAGGAGTGTCTGCATACAAACAAGGTCACACCAATGACAGATGAAGGAGCCAGTTTTGATGAGAACTCAGGAAAGATCATTTGGAATGAGGAAGAGACGGGTGGTCAGCCGCCAATCTTTGAAGAGAAGATTTATTATTGAGTGGACACGGGCGATCCTTTGCAACGTTGAGTGTTCAGATCTTGCGCTGGGATGAAATCCCTTTTGGCTTGGACGTCTTTTGGAGTCTGGCTCCAGGGACGGAAGGGTTCGATGCTCTATTTTTGATGAATATAGATAGGCGCACGGCGTGCCATGGCATCGCCATTTATGCCGCCAGTTGGAAGACGGGCGTCTTTCGAGGAACCAGGACGCGAAAGATACCCCCAAAGGCCAACAGAACGGAACGGTCGCTTCTTTTTGCAGGAAACTTTGCAGTAATGATACCCCTTCCAAATTTATCATCGGCTCCGAAAACGTTCCTCCATGCAACGAGCAGGAAATGGACGGCGAGCGATATATCGGTGGGCAATGTGTACACAGGTAAAGAATCGGGCCACCGCCTACGTATACTTGAAGAAGTAGTCCAGGGTTTTTGTCCTTGGATTTAAGAAGGGAGAGAGAGGCACTGAGAGCATAGAACAGCATGTGGTGACAAGGCGGTGTCGATATATGATTTCCCTCGCGGAAAATTACTTCGAGCCTCAATTTTGGTGTGTTTCCTCTAAAACCCCCTTTTACGTCGTCACGGGGTGGATGGTCACCGACCAACCGACCAACCCACCCATCCATCCCATCCCAAGCAGCCAAAACCCGGTCCAACCCAAACGGAACCGGCTTTAGATGCGCAGGGCGAAATCCTTGGACCACCACTTCTCCGTGACCTTGACCCGCTTCTTCTTGCTCGCGGCGTAGGACACGGGCTTGCGCGCCTCCAGCTTGCCGTTGACCAGGATGTGGCGGAACCGCTCCGACAGCAGGTTGCCCTCGGGCCTCAGCCGGCGCAGGGACTCTTGCAGTTCGTCGGGCAGGACCAGCTCGAGCGGCGCGGGCGGGATCACGGCGCGCGAGGGGCCCAGCGTGGCCTTGCGCCGGAGCACCGTCTCTGCTCCGCTCGCTGCGGCTGCGGCTGCGGTTGCTGTTGTGGATTGATCATCGCGCTGGTGCTCGGTGTCGGCGTCGGCGTCGGCACTGTCGAGTTCATTGCCGCGTTCCTGCGTCTCGAGCAGGGCCTGTACGATCTCCTCGCCCCTTCTCTGCCGCTCTGCCATTCTCGCCTGGTGTTTCGCCAGCCGTTCGGCCTCTTTGCGACGTTTTATTTTGTTCCGTTGCGCGGGCGTTTTTCGCTCCGGCCGCTTCCTCTTCAGGAGATCCGCCGGATTGCCCTCGTCCTCCGTCTCGAACCCTTCCCACTCGCTCTCCTGGTTGTCCTCCGGCCTCGGGTCTGGCTGGTTGGCGAGCGCGTCGATCCGGGCCTGTTTTTCCGCCGCGATCTGAGCCTCCCGGAGACGGCGGCGCTCGGCCTGGACTTCTTTCTCGCCTTCGCGGGTCAGGAGGGAGTCCCAGTCCTCAAAGGAAGGGTTGTAGCTCTGTCCTGCGTCGGGTTTCGGCACGGCCTGGGTGGGCACGCCGGTCGATGTGAGAGCGACGGGTGGACGGCGGAGGGAGGAGGGAGCGACTTTGGCGCGAGGTTTGGGGATATATTCGTTTTCTCTCGGTGTGGTGACGGATGCAGAAGTAGTCCCCGCTGCAGATGATACCCGCACGGCGTCGGAGTTGTCGTTGTCGGCCCAAAGATCGAAGGATGAGGTGGCAGTGTCGATGTTCTCCTCGTCCAAATGTGCTGTCGTATCCAGATTGTTCCGCAGCCGAGCAACCTCCTTCTTGCTCACCCAGTCCTTCTTCTGCCTTTTGCTCGATGGCTCGAGCACGCCGTCCGTCACGACGGCACTGAGCGTCCTCTTGTTCCTCTTCGAATTTTCCAATGCGGGGACAGCACTCCTCCGTCCGAGAATCTCATCCATCTTCAAAATCCGGCCCCGATGAGTTTTCCCCGCTTTTGCCTGTCGCAACACCTCCTCCTTGGAGCCCGTCGTGTCCAAAGTGAACAGCTCGCTCTGCGCCTTCTCTGCCAAGGGTTTCCCATGCTGAATGATTTCTTCGCGGAGAATTTCTAGTCCAGAGGTGACGGGGGATATGTCGACGTTTTTGCGCCACGCTTTTTTGCCCTTGCGAGAAGGTTGGGTTCGCTGGGAGGGCGCCCCTATTGAGGTAGAAGTGGGAGGCATGGCGTGCTATGCTGGTCTAGACACAATGTAAGAGAAGCGAAGGCCTGTTCCAAGCACTGCATGCGTCTCGCCGCAAATGTTGGAATCAAATTTCTCCGCAGACGCCAAGATGAAATAATTGATAACTGCTCGCCGCTCACCCCGGATCGGGTCGGGAGTGACGCCGCCCTATACTCACCCGTGTCTCCCCAGTGGTAGGGGCACAAATCCTCAGCGAGGTCCTACGTCGAGTACGATATTAACGTAGTTTACCTTTACTCCGTTATATCTATGGATCCCGACAAATATTTCGAGCCTCATCAAGTCTTCGCTTTCCAGAGAACTCACGCCTTTTCCATCCGCTCCACCATCAAGCGGTCTAGAGCTTGTTGCCTTCTCTCCTCCAAATCACAAATTTCAATCCTTAGATGGTGGGTTCCAATGGGCTGCGAACCCACGGCTTTTACATGGCCTCACGAAGCCACTTGTTCCCAGCCGCCGCTGGGCCACCGACATTGGAAGTGACTTCTTCTCGTAGGTAACAAGTGTGGGTATCGTGATTTGGCAGCCTCACTTCGATCCTTTTCAACACTCTCCTGCCTTTGGGAAAGATGGTCCGAAATTGATCCGTACAGCGCAGTCTTGGAGCAAATAAAAGTGAGTAGCTCGCTGCCATACCTGTCTGATACTTTCGTCCATTGAAGTAGCAACCATGGTGTCAACACGCAAGGCCACACCAGGCCTCATCATGGTGCCAATGTCCTTGAAACCCGAAATAACCGTACAGGAATGCGATGACTGGTACAACAATGAACATGTGCCGATACGAATGAGGCTTCCATACTTTGAGCACGGCTATCGGTATCGCTCGACGGAGACCGGAGTGGCTGGTCCAAATGCCAGTGGTTTGCCTGAGTGGCTCGCGCTGTACGACATTTCCGACATGTGGAAGCTCACCGAGATCCAATATGAGCGCCTTTTGCAGCCTGGTGTCCAGTCCCTGCGAGAGAGTAAGGTTCTTGAGAAGATCTCGGCATCGCGCAGATATTACGACCTAGTGTCGACGTACCAAGCACCTGACTATGCCGCGCCTGAGGATCATCTGCGTGCGGGCGATATTGACAACGCGTACGGGTCCACGGTCATTGTTGTGGGAGTCAGACTCTCGAACGATTTGCTCGAAGCTGAGTCGGAATGGAACAGATGGTACGAAGAAGACCACCTGCCGGCATTGAGAAAGGTCCCCGGTTGGAGACGAACAAGACGGTACCGCACATCTGTGACTGAAGATGCACCCACAGAGCCGGTCAACACCTGCTCGACCACTGAGTATTTGACAATCAACGAGTTTGCGGATCCAGCTGCCGTGGGTGGACCCGAGCATCAGATTGCAATCCGCACCGAGAGTCGGACGAACGTCGTGGTCGGTAAATGGAGGCACGCGTACAAGCTACACTACATCCAAAGTGCAGCTCCGCGTCACCTGTCGGCTCTCGTTCGCGATCAAATTGAAGAATCCGTCAGTCCTGACAGCCTTACCATGACGCTGGCTGGCCCAAGCCCACGCATCGAAAGCTATGTGGTTGCCAGAGACGGCAGCATCATTCTCTACATGCTCGGCGGTGCAGCATCGGCTCACGCTCCTATTATAGTGCTCTCGACTTCCGGCAATCTCACGTCGGAGTGTTGGGATAGGTTTGTGACAAAACTCCTGTCACAAGACGCGAGGTTCAATTTTCAGCTTCTGCGACTCAGGCTACCTCTTCGTCTAAGTGACGCCGACCACGCCCTCAGCGGTAGTTCCAGCCTTCTCTCGACCGCTCAAGACACAGAAGACTGCCTCGCGGCTTTGTTGATGGGGACACCAGCTCTGCATCTAAATCTGAGGCTATGCGGTAGGACCACGGGCGGACCACCAGTACCTGCAATCAATAACCTTGAAAAGAACCGCAGTACAGAGTCCGAACCCCTGGCCAAGTTGTGCGAGAGATCCGCCATCATCAATTGCCACTCCTCCCAGGCGCTGGACTGCGCGATGAGCATCCTAGAAAAAGCGGCGTTGGTCTCCCAGGGAGTGCAAGACCTATGGGAAAGGACACTCGGCTACTTTCAACAGAACGAGGCAAGTCTACACTAGCTTCTCAAGCTTCGAAAATTCCTTCCATCCAGTAAATAAAAAGAAGTGGTCCCCTCCAAATCCGGCACAACGTCTCACACCGGCGCGACCATTTTCTCGAAATCTACGGAGCAGATCTCCACCGCATTCCCCCACGGATCTAGCACATATCTCGCCTGCTCGCCGTTGGGCATCGTCACGGGATCGCCAAATTCACGGCCCCCGGCTGCGACGACCTTGCACGCCAGCGCTTCCGGATCCGACGCTGTGACGGCAATGTGGAAGAAACCGCCTCGCGTCCAAGTCTCGGAGTCGAACGGCGCCGGTGACGCGGGCGTGGCGCCTCGATAGGCCGGGTCCGTAAACTCGAAGATCTCGAAGCCTACCCGGTTGCCTGTGCCTAGGTAGGCGACCTTGACGCTGCAGAGTGCATTGCCGTAGACTTTGGAGGACGACGTCGTCAGCCGGAACTAGTGGCGGGGCTGACAGGAGGAAAGAGGTGGGCGTATAGAGTCATCAATGCGTACATACCGCGAAACACCGGACCGGTTGGGTCCTGAGCCCTGCTCATAGTCGCGCTGGGAATGATCTCGTAGAAGCCGAGGGTCTCGATGTACCATTTGACAGCCGCGTCAAGGTTGTCCACGGACAGAGCAACATGGTTAAACTTGCAAACGACCGGTGACGACATATTGGAAACAAGAAGGCAAAGATCTCTACGAGATGAGTAGTACGAAATATGAAGGTGGAGAGAGAGAGCACTTGTTATATATCAAACCAAACCCGCGCGGGCTGTCTGGGTTCGTCCGGAGCCATTATTTCCTTGGGTCCATCCAGTTGGTCCGTGATCGTTACTTGACGCTTCACTGCACAGCTGTTTTGTCACGGGCTCAAGAAACTTCATTGATTGTTCAGAAACAAATTGGACGAGAGCTTTGGCTTCCATTTGAGGTTTGGAGGAGGGCGATCTGAATTGATAGAGAGAGTCTCCCATTCTCTGGTCTGTCTGCTGGCCCCCTAATCCTTCATCCATCTCACCAACCCGGAATCCCCTGCCTCACACCAACATTCTTCCTCTTCTTAATACGCCAATCCTCCTCTCCGCTCCTTAGCCGCTCCACCAGCTCCTCGGGCTCGAAGTCCACCCCAATCGGATTCTCCTCGAACTCCTTGCTGGCAAAGAACGCACGCGCCTCGGCCGGCGTGTCAAAGTTGTCGACCTGGGTCTCGAGCTCGTTGCCGTCCGGGTCGCGGTAGTACAGACTCGTGGTGGGCCCGTGGTTGACGCACCAGAAGGGCGTGATGCCCAGGTTCCGGCGCTGGCGGTACGCCGCCGCCAGGTCCTGCAGCGTGCGGAACGTGAAGGCGATGTGCGCCAGGCCCGCGGGCTTGCCGACGCGCTTGGTGGTCTCGGGGAAGATGCCGATGGCGATGCGGTGGTGCTCGTCGTCGTAGGTCAGGAAGCACAGGACGTTGTTCTCGTAGGTGATGTCGGCGTCGAGGAATTTGGTGTAGAAGTCGCGCATCGCGCGGAAGCTGGCTCGGTCAGGGGTGCGCAGCACGACGTGGGCGAGGAATGCTGGGCGGAGGACCTGGGAGCCAGGGTTGTCATAGATGTCTCCCATGATTATGATTGCTTTCCACAGAGCGTCGAATATCTGGATGTGTGATTGCTCGTGCCAGCGAGTTGAAGTCCCTAGGCTGGTCTCCCCATCCCTCTCCAGACACTTGGGCTCAGAAGACTCAACAACCCGCCAGATGAGCCAGGAGGGCATGACGGACCATTTCCGGGGAAAAGACCATGGAGACAAGACTATGGTAGACGCCCGAACAGTGCTGCAGCCGGCAAGATTTCGCACGACTGAGGCAACAGTTTCACGCAGCAACTCGGATCTGGGGTACCACGTCCCGGGAAGGGGGGGGGGAGGGGGGGCGGGGGGGAAGTACTCACTCCGCCAGATTCGAGCTGACCTTACTATAGGTACCATGACGATTGCATGTATCTAGCGGTTTAGGTTTCCAGGAATGTCCTGTGGTAGCTCCAGAGTGTGGGCCACCGAGATAGTCGCCACGCAAAGGGGGGTTTTATAATAACTCGAGAATGTTTTCGCTTCCCCAAAGCAGAGCCCTGGTCGGAGCATCTTCGGAGACGTGTTTGCACAGACATTCTACCAAGTGCCTGAACCGCATCCACTATCTCCATTGCAATGCAGAAGCATCACTCTCTGACGCAAGCAGATAGATGTGGGCTTTCTGCTCGAAGGCACTCGCCGGTGGTTGGAGCTCAAGCGGCGCTTCTCCTCGCCGATATATGTTACATGATGGCGGGGAATTGCTGAACTGATTCTACACCCTTTCTTTACCATCTCTGACCAGTTTCCCCTACAGCCCCCATCTGAGATCTGTTGATCAAGGAAGTTGATTGACATCATCCAGTCCAGCCTTCTCTCACCCCCACAGCCAAGATGTCTGGCAAGACCATGAAAGCATTCCGGCTGGTCGAGTACGGCAAGCCAGGTCAATACTGCGAAGTGCCCATCCCCTCGCCGAAGGAAGGGGAGGTCCTTATCCGCATGAAGGCCGCCGGCCTCTGCCGCTCGGATCTCGACATGGTTGACTCTCTGCCGGGCTCGGACCCCTACGCCTCCGCCGTTGACGCACCATATACCCTCGGCCACGAGAACGCCGGGGTCATCGAGGCGCTGGGCGCCGGGGTGACGGACCTCCAGATCGGCGAGGGCGTGGCCGTGCGCCACATGCCGCACTGCTCGCACTGTGAATTCTGCATCCGCGGCGTCGAGCAGCACTGCGAGACGTACAAACGCGGCGCCATCGAGATCAACCGCGGCACGGGCTGGGACGGCGGGCTCGCCGAGTTCATGATCTGCCCGCGCGATCAGCTGGTCAGCATCGGTAGCGAAGATCCCATCAAGTACGCGCCCTTGACCGACGCGGGAGTAACGGCTTATCACGCCGTGGGCACGGTCAAGGATCGGCTCAGGCCTGGATCTTCGGCCCTCGTGATCGGGTGTGGTGGTTTGGGATCTTATGCCATCCAGTTCCTGCTCTTATTGGTGGGTGTCAAGGTGTACGGCGTCGATGTCAATGAAAATCGGTTGGCCATCGCCCGCAAATTGGGCGTCAAGAAGGCATTCAAGGCGGGGACAAACGCCGCGGCCGAGATCCTGGAAGAAACCAACGGAAAAGGCATCGACGGCATCATTGACTTTGTTGGGAGCAACCAGAGTCTGGAGTTGGCCATGAAGCTTTCCCGACCACAGGGCCGAGTCGTCTTGGTCGGCATGGAGATGGGCTCAGTGCAGGTCGGCTGGAACAGGATTGCGACGAGTTGTGAATTTGCCATCAGTCTGGGATCGACCCGCAGGGACCTCGAGGAGGTGTGCTACCTGGCTTCGACAGGCAAACTCACCATCGATGTCGATTCGTTTCCCTTTGATAAGGTTCCTGAGGCGTACCAGGCACTTCGGGACGGGAAACTCAACGGGCGAGCAGTTATCACATTCGATTGAGCTACTCATTCTGGGTACTGTGAACATCCTCCCAAAATAATTCATGCTACAATCTTTCCTGATCATCAAACCATCCCCCCGCCCGAGAGTATCTCCCCAAAGTAGTTTGAGAGGTGGTTGCTGGAGCCTATCAAGTCCGTGGGGAAATACAATTCGCTAAGAAAATCGGGTGACAAGTCTGATTGAGTCTCGTTGGTGTTGGCGAAAGAGAGCGAATTGCTCTGTCGAACAAGGTCGTTGGCTTGCACGCTGTCTACCAACATCGGTAATTGCTGCACCGCGGTGGAAGTAGAATCGATCAAAGGCTCGATTTGACCATCTGCAATGCCGCAGTGTGCTGTTTGTTGTACAGTAGTTTCTTGGAATGTCATTGGGCCGTTGCCATACGTGCAGGGATCGATCGAGTCGAAGCCATGCGTGACGTTTTGAGGCCGAATGCTTCCCGCAGCGATCGCAGATAGCCCAGGTCTCTGTGCGATTAAAGTACTTGCCCGGCGTTGAGGATAGCATTCCGAGAAATCGCTCGCTGTGCCTGCCCTTTAGTTAGCAACCAGGTGGAAAATGCTAGAATCGGTCTTTGTGCCTACCATGGCTTCCTGTACTCCCCTGATTGAATTGGTCGCAGCCCTGGGGGATTGCAGACCTGGAACTGGGCCTGCTGACAGGAGTTCTCGGCGGTGTAGGTTGGTTTGTTCTCAGGCCATCATCAGCGTGCTTCTCTCCTATCTCTTTCCGAATATTTAAAATCTCGCTCTGAACCACCTCCAAATTCTTTTGAAGTGTTGATGACATATTCCAGTATCCCACGAACCTGTTGTACGACATGCTTAAAACTTCCAACTTGGAATTGGTCAGACTTTTGTCACTTGAGCTCAGTGGCGCGAGCTCACGGTAGAGGAGCTGAACGGCACCAGCTAACCAGATCGTATTCGCAAGGAATGGATTCACATATTTGTAGTGCTCTTCGTAGCTGCTATTCACGAGAAAAACAATCTCGTCCGTAGCTTCTGAGTACTGCTCAAGCGCCTGGCTTTGCCTCAACTGGATGGAATGTTGGTTATCTCTACTCCGGGAGATTTCTTCGGGGGTGGCCTGGAACAAATGGTACTTGTAGATCATAAGCTTGGTTAACTGGACCATGGCGTGAATGCTGTAGATATAACTATGCTGGAGTCGTTTCTTGATCATTCCGTGACGGTCCAGTTCACGTATACCGAAGCTGAGATAGTGATGCCGGTACCTGTGAGGCTTTGGTAGGGCCATGACAGTGCATTGCAGAGCATTTCGAATGGTGCAGAGTCGGCTTAACGAGTTCTTATTAGCCATGGTGACCCGACGACCAACATGGCCGTCATCCCTGAATTCGTGTGCCTTATGTCTGTTTCGGGATTGCACATCGGCTGCTGGTGCTGTATCAACTCCGATCGGGCTCGTGATACTTTGAGCGTCTTTCATCAACGAATTGATCACAATGAACCAAGCCTTAGGAGACTGGTTCCCAGAGGCTTCGAGAGCTTTGTATCTCTCCAAGATATCTTGTCTGAGTGTACAGCTTTTCTGCGGCACGCCTTGCTGCCAATTATGGTCTTCGCAGGGCAGGAAAGTCTCGTTCTGAGACCAGTCGATGCCCGTGGGACAACGGCGAATGACGCTGGCAAATGCGTCCATTTCCCAGATCGCCCACCAAGCTCGACGGCGTTCCTCTTCTTCAACCCATCGCGACGGATCGATCTTGTCATAATGGCGGCAGTTTGCATCTATCAAGTGCATATTGAGTTCGTATGCACTGCTAATGGCCACCCTCAAATATCTCCAGGCCCGGCCTCGCACTCCTTGTGTAAGAAGCCAGTGTGCGACCAAGATCACAGTTTGGAGCAAAGGAAGGGAAAGTGGCATATCTTCGCATTCGTAGATGGCCTGATCAACGTATTTTAAGGTTTGATTGATGAAGTCCGGGCGCCGGGCAACTGTTGTCACGGCCGAAGAAACATTGCCGTCGTCACACTGATCCTGATCTTTGGTGGCAAAAATCATGATTGCTGCAAGAAGCGCCTTGCACTGACTTGCAGTCTCAATATTTTGCAGGGTAGCTAGGAAATCACGTTCGCGAAAGAGCTGGAAGGACGTGAAATTCTCGAAAAATTGATTGGCACTGAGAATGAATTAGTCGACCGCAGAAATAAAATCAGGGCGATGAGTATGACTGACAGGCCATCCACTTCGTCAGGAGGAAATCCCAGTGAGTAGCAGCTTGCTGCGACATGGCTTCCTTGTTGACCATGACCAATGCTCCTGGGACTATCGTCTTTACTGCGCTTTCCCGGTGAACAAGATTCATGTGAAGGATGCATGATAAAATCGAGACTCTGGATGGTTGTGGTTTGCCTCTCAGCGACTGCAGAACAGGAGGGCTGTCGTGACCGCGCGTCAGCGGTAGCGCCGGTCTGCTCGACTTGGTCTTGAATAGTTGCGTTGAGGGTTCTTTTGGTAGGCCTCTGCGGATGGTCTTCTTTCTCTTGCTCACCTAGAAAGTCAGCTTGGGTTCAACAATCCGTAATGTGGTTGAATCTACTTCGACTCTTTCGCTTGCGCAGGGTCTGCGTTGACCCAATCTTGGGGCCTGGCTTGAGAGGCCTCTCTGGATAGGCGCATGATTGCATAGACTGCTGGCAAAGTTGACAGCAGGGAAGCTCTCTTCCACACTTGATCTTGCGCTTGCGGCAGACGTGACAAGCAATATTTGACCGTGGTGGGCTGGTCACTTCTTCACCAAAACTGTGTTCAGACATGTCACCCGCACTGGAAATAATGAGCTCTCGTGCGACAGACTTTGTACTTGAGAAGGTGAAGTTCGTTGCAGGCGCGTCGACGACACGACTGCAATCGACCAGCAAAGGGCTCACACAAGCCACTGGGGTGCCAAATCTGGGGTAAAACCGAACCACGACGACGACTTGTCAGTTTCTAGCTTCTCCCTGGTTCGCCATCACCCACTCCAGATCTATCCGCGTTGGCAGAGGCGCGACTGACATGGTGCGAAAGACGAGGCTCCTCAAGGTCAACAAGAAGTCACTGGGTAAGCTTCGAGTCGCAGGCTGCGATCACTGGTGGGACTTGTGTCTGACTCGCCAAATTCTAGGCTTGTTAGTGTGTCTCGCCAGTTAGGCTTAGGGGCTCCAGAAACCGGCTTAGCTGTCCTCAGGTGAAGCATGAAGGGGCTCCTCTACTTCTGGGCGTGTCTAAGCCGTATTAATGCAGACAGTCAGTGTGGATTTGGCTAATGAGAACATCGGAACAACTGTCTGGTTGATTGTTCGCTCGCTTTGGACAATTCTCCAATCCCTTGAATATAGCAGTCCACGTCGCCGAAGCTCGAAAATGCTGCAGTCGAACGACTTTGAAGCACGTCGACGTCGCGGAGTTGCGCAATTGCAATCTCCCCAGACATCATGCCGCCTCCCAAGCAAGCATTGCAGTTGATCATGGTGTCTCACCGGCCAGTGCACACAGACGAAGAAATCAACCGAGATCTGGCTCCGGCATTCGAAATTTTGCAAAGGCAGGTAGGTACATGATCCGGGCGTCGACAAGGTCAATCTTTGCTAAGCGAGAGGGCAGGGCCAACGGACTACATGCGTTGTGGAGAGGCAAGAAGCATGAGGACTGCCACACATAAGTCGCGCTCCCGCTGTGGGAGAGTCTGGGAGCGAGCCACGCCTTCTTCACAAGTCCCGACTACGCAGAGTTCCACAAAGGGATCCAACCAGCCATGAGTGGAAGAAAGATCGATTGGCAAAATCACGCCTTGGTGGACATCATGGGCATCGACAAGGCTCACCTGTCGAGAACTCTCGAGTCACGGGCAATAGAGGTTGCTCTGACCAAAGTCGTCGAGGGCGGCGTGGCAGGCTATTACTCGCAGTTCCGCAAGATTGTGGTACCGATTCTGAATGATGACCCTGGCTGCGATGGGCATTTCATAAGCCCCTTGGTCGAAAACCCCCCAGGACCAATTGCTTTTGATCAATTGGAAATCAGTCGACGTGAGTACCCTTGGTCCTTTTAAAAGGTCAGATCCGTGGTTGATGCAAGATCTCAGGCACATCATGAGGAGTTTGAGAAGAGGCCCACATTCAAAGCATGCATCGACGAAAGCATGCATCGACGGTCTGAAGGACTACTACGCAGTCTTTGTAGTCCCTTGGTACATTGCCGAACTCAAATTGATACAAGGCAGCTTGCGATAGACAATGGGCCTTAGGGAAAACCAGACGTGTCACGTTTGACGGAGATGGGGATGTCGATCTACTTTCAAAGCTGCTATGGGTCACGTTAGGCCTTGACTGGCCACCTATGTATCTAACCAGCTTTGTAGAAACCGCATGCGGCGTAACCTCCGTCGACGGTCCAACGAGCTTAGAGATAGCGTCAGTGAACAGCCGACTCCATCAAGGGTTAAAGCAGGAGACTTACCTCCAGTAACATAGGATGCGTCGTCGCTCAAGAGAAATACCAATACTTTTGCGATTTCCTCGGCCTTGCCCATGCGTCCCATCAAAGTGCCGGCGCTCACAACATCAGCGTTAAACAACCCTTCCGCTTCGCCTTGGCGGAATATTTTGGTATCGACGGGCCCCCTGAAGTCTGATCAGCAGCTTGTCGCCCAGAGGGAGCTCGAGAGTAAACCCACGGTAAGACTGCGTTGACTCTGATTCCCTTTTTGCCATACTCTCCTGCCGCAGATTCGGTCAGGCCAATGACGCCAAACTTGCTCGAGGCATACGCTGCGTTGTTAGGAAGGCCTCTGAGTCCAGACGTGCTTGAGACATTGACAATGGAGCCTCCAGGCCGAGTGAGAACCTGTAGTTCGGCCCGCATGCAAGCCATGACTCCGGTCAGGTTGACCGCGATCATTTTCTCCCAAGCTTGTTGGTTCTATTACCATGTCAGCCAATGGACAATGGTCTCCCGTCATGTCGCTCACAATAGTTTCGGTGGTCTCACCGGCTCCTCCAGCGATTCCAGCAATGTTCGCAGCGCCGTCGAGTTTGCCGAAAACCGCGACAGTTTCCTGGATCCAAGAATTGACCTGCTCGACATGGCTTACATCGACCTTCTTGAGGGTGATTTTTGTCCTGTACTGGCTGCCTTTGTTGGTCAGCCGTCGTCTAACGCATGAAGAGGTCAAGCAGCAGCACAGCATTCGTACAGAGAGACGCAGTCTCGCGGATTCCATCCTCGTCGACATCGCAGATGGCGATACCTTGAGCTCCTAACTCACACAGCCTTATCACAGTCGCTCTGCCAATGCCAGAAGCTGCGCCCGTTACGGCGAATACCTTGCCTTCCATTTGAAGATGCATTCTAAGAAGGCGGCGTGCGTTTAGTGGCCTGTGGCCCTCCTGAAGTTGTCGACTTCTTCGCAGGTGCTGGGGGTAGACCTCTAGGCTGCGCTGGATCGCTGGCGCTTCACTATAGCTGAGACTCCTGGGCCAGACCAGACCCGACCCGTGGTCCGACTGCAGTTTATGGCCCAAGCCGGCCAAGATCTCTGGTCTGATCCAGTGACATTGCCGACCTGTGTCGAGACATCGCAACTGTCGTTTCAGTAGAACCCCCGGTCGCCAGATTATGCAGATCTAGCACGAGTGCTTAGCCTGGGGTCCCTGTGGAGTACGTTGGTGGCGCTTTTGTCGTTGTCGAGTCAGACAACTTCATCTAACCCGAAGGAGTCTGTCGGGCTTGCGTTCACATGCACAGTTGTCGAGTAAGACAACATATTGCATCGCGGGGGTGGGGTCCAAAAGTGGCAACTGCGCCGAACACGCCAAAATGCGGGGCCCCGTATCTCGCGGATCGACTTCGGAGTGATGGAACCATTGCAACTCGAGGCAAATGTGGTTCAAGCTATACGGAGTCCACCACATCAATCTGTCCTCTTCAAACCCTTCGCCGAGAAAGTCCTGGACAAGTTGTTGGAGATGAAGCAGACGACCCCGACATAGCCGCAGGTTGTGAACGGAGAGACCAAGCGGCAGCTGTAAGTGAAGTGCTGGTCAATTAAAGCCAAGGTTTCCCTCGCGTGCTTCTAGCCATACCGGCCTCGACAGACATCACAGTATCCCAGCCTTTAGACAAAGACACGTTCCCGCATAGAATTACTATTTCTTCTCCAACCGCAGAATGGCCGACCAGTCCGACGTCATCGAGCAGCTACAAAAGCGCCTCAAGCTCTTGGAGGACAAAGAATCACTAGCCACGCTACTAAACACCTATTGCACCACTGCTGACCGCCACGACTGGAATGCCTACGCCGACGTCTACATTGGCGAAGGTGCCGTCATGAGTTTCGAATCCTGGGGAGACATCAACGGCAAGGAGGCCATTGCGAAAGCGGCCAGCGCGGAGCAGATCTTTGAAGGTCTCCAGCACACCATGACCAATATGCAATTCGAGGTGGACGGCGACGACGCCACTGGCACTGCTTATCTCTGGTTCTGTGCCACGCCTGAGACGGCCAAACCAGAAATCAACTACGCCTTCGGCGGACCCTACAGCTTCAACTTCAAGCGGACGAGCGAGGGGTGGAGGATTTCGCATATGAGGCTAAAGAAGATTTGGGCACTCGGCAAAGACACGAAGGGAGTCTTTGGTGCCAACTGATGTCCTGGCACGGCTTTCAGGCTATATACATAGAATGCCGGTATTTACCCAAATGGTGATCAAATATCACTCAATCTTGCTCTAAACTTCTCGCTATGCATTGTTTCTATCATTGGGATTGGCATTTTCCCTTGCTGTATAGCACGAACGTATACAGCAGACACAGCTCACCGAGCAAACCCTTCTATCTAGACCCATCACTCGCCCAGCAGCGACTGGGTCTGAGCACTCTATCCGTGGAGTCGATTCGTCCGGTTGAATATTTGGGGGCCCGTCCACGGCATACTAGCCTCGTATTGCTCCGTGGCCATCTCGCAAGACTACAAGTACCCCCTGGTCTGCCATATTACTAGGACTCGTTGCTCTACACCGGTGAATATCAGGATTTCCTTTCCTTTCCTTTTCACGAATCTAGATATGAACGGGCCCATAGCTGCCGCTAGCACAGGCCTACTGGAAGGCAAGGTCGGTATCATCACTGGCGCTGGCACTGCATATGGAATTGGGCGAGAATGTGTCAAGAAGTTTGCAGCAGCTGGGGCCAAAGCCATCTATGCCTGCGACCTGAACACCAGCGGCATCGCGTCGTTGCGAGAGGAGTGTAAGAAGGCGGGGTACTCGACCATCATTGAAGGACGGCTGCTGGACGTGTCCAACGAAGAGCGGACGGTGGCTGTCGTCAGGGAGATCACCAAGACACACGGTCGGTTTGATTTCTTCATTGCGAATGCTGGGTTCGCCAACTACAGGTGTGTATCGTTGCGTGGATGTCGACGTCTAAAAGTTCCAGATCTGACGTTTTGATGTCATTTCCAGATCACTCAACGACACCGAGACGATTCATTATGACCGCCAGGTCAATGTCATGACCAGGGGAGTTTTCCTCGCCATCAAGTACGGTAGTCAGGCGATGATGGTCACCTCGGACCAGAAGCCTCAACCTGGCGGGACATTCGTGGTGACGGGATCTTGTGCCGGCTTCTTGGGGTCCTATTCAGACCTTCCGTACGGTCAGTCAAGCGGGTTCTCACATTTCCAGAAACCGGCTACGCAGATCGCGAAAACGGCTGACAGCGTTGTCTTTGTTCCACAGCTGTCGCCAAAACCGCCTTACACGGCATGATCTCCTGCGGCTCCGCCCAGCTCTCCGCGAGCAACATCCGCATCAACGGCGTCGCTCCCGGCTTCACCAAAAGCGGCATCCTGACCAACTCCGAGAAGGCTGAGAGCGGCGAGTACAAGAACGAGCAGAGCGAAGAGCAGCTGAAACAAAACCACATGTGGTTCTTCGAACGCGCCGGTCTCCTGAAGGCGCCCGAGTACTACTACAACCGCCTGCAAGACCCCGCGGAGATCGCCAGCGTCCAGCTGTTTTTGGCTACGGATCTGTCGTCGGCGGTCAATGGCCAGATGATTCTGGCAGACAGTGGCAAAACGGCGGCTGCGACTGGGGAGGCTTGCACGGGGCCTATCCCGCCAATCAAGCCGCTGGATTTGTCGTGAAAGAGACGGACTCACGCAATAGCATAGCTTTTGAATTGCACGTAGAAGACCAAAATCTCGGACCTCTCTAATCGGACGCGTTGAACGTGTGACATTGCTCTCCGAACGTCGTTTCCCTCCTCTCTAACTCCACGTGGAGGTGAGAAGCACAGCTGTCCGCTCCTATATACTCCCGAAGTCAGTCCGCCACCTGCTGCTGGGGTATTGCCGGTGCTGCGCAGTGCTCCCTGCAGGGGCCGTGAAGTCAGAATTTGGGCAGGTCATTTTCGTTCGTGTGGGGAGTAGTTTGTAGCACGTCGTATCAGAACCCAGCAACTGTTGCCATCGATGCAAGGCGAGCGCAAGAACCGACTCCCTGGAGTATATGATGCTGGCATAGGGTTTTGCAGTACAATTTCATCTATACGAAACTCCCAAAACTCACTTTCTGCCTCTAAGTCAGATCGATGGCGCTCATGGCAAGTCCAGTCCTTCTCGGTGCCGCGCTGATGGTCGCTTTCGCGATATGGACGATTTTGCGAAGTGGTCGACGAGACCCTCGACTCCCGCCGGGACCACCGACAGTACCTGTGCTGGGAAACGCTCATCAAATACCTTTGACAGGATTAGGCAAGAAGTTTGTTCTAGACCCTCTCAACGAATAAAATGCTCTGTGAACTGATGTCGGCGTCACAGATTTCACGAATGGGCAAAGGAATATGGTCCAATATACTCATTGAAAGTCTTCAACTCGACCATGATCGTGTTGGCAGATCGCAAAGCCATCTACCAGTTGATGGATAAGAAAGGTAGCATCTATTCCGACAGGCCTTTTCTGGCAGTGCCCACTTTCATGAGTCGCGGATGCCACATGACCTTTGAGCAAACTACGCCTGGCTGGAGAGAAAAGCGATCCGTGGTCACCAGAAATCTGAATCCGAAGAACCTGGACGAAAAGCATTTCCAGGTTCAAGAGGCCGAGTAAGTCTGCGCCGAAGACGCTGATGATGTAAAGCCAAAGCAGTAAAAGGGCTCCAGCGGCTGACCAGGTCGAAATGCTCAGAGCGGCCGTTTTCATGAACAACCTCGTCCACCATCCCACCAAGTCCTTTGATTATGCGAGGCTGTACGCCTCGTCCGTGGCGGCAATACTCGCCTGGGGATTCAGAGCCAAGGACTTTCAATCCTTCTTTTACAAGGATTTTTATGATTTCGTGGATCAGGTTTGCCAAACTTTCTAGGGGTCTGGAGGACCTCGAACATATTCATGCTGACGATTTGTCTGCCGGTAGTGGCTTGGTGCGATTGAACCAGGTGCGAACCCACCTGTCGAGCAAGCGCCTTGGCTGTGGTATCTCCCGGGTGCCTGGAAGAAGCGAGCGTACCATGTGAGGGACATGATGGACTCGACGTGGTCCAAGGCCCGAAAGATGGTCGAAGAGAGACGCGAACGAGGCGATGTTCGCAATTCGATGATCGACGTCAAGCTTGCCGAGTATGAAAAGGACGGCTGGCCGATGTCGCAATATGCTTTCAACAATCTCTTCGGAGAGCTGCTCGAGGCTGGGGCAGATAGTGAGTTTCTCCCCCGTTTGCAGAAGCCTCCACGTTGACGTGCAGAACAGCTACTGCAAATATGCTTCTGACCATCATCCTTGCGGTGACCAAGTTCCCCGAAGTGCAAGTCAAGGCGAGGAAAGAACTTGACGAGGTTTGCGGGACCGAGCGAACGCCGTTGGTGAGCGCGCCCGGCCGCACGATGTTGCAACTCCGCTGACTGAGATCAACAGTTCTCTGATTTCGACCGCCTTCCGTACATCAATTGTATCATCAAAGAAGCCTTGAGGTGGCGCCCGACGTGAGAACTCCAGCGTGGAATAGCTGCTGCTGTGTTACTGACGGCCCCGTTCAGGTCTGATCTGGGCATTCCGCATCGACTCTCTCAGGGCAAGAAGCTCCCCGCTCCATTTCAAGCTGACATCTAGTACTGATGGCTCACAGATGATTGGTACGAGGGCATGTATCTCCCCAAAGATAGCACGGTCTGGTTAGCTGCCTGGGCGATCCATCAAAACAATGATGAGTATGCCGACCACGATCGCTTCAACCCGGACAGGTTCAGCAACCACCGGAAACTCGCCAATGACTACGCCGTCGGACCAGACTGGCAAGGCCGAGATAAGTGTTATCCACGGTCCTTTGTAAATGCGTTCTCGTGCTGACTGTCAGGGCTATACATCACTACGGGTACGGAGCTGGCCGCAGAATGTGCCCGGGAATCCATCTGGCAGAGAGGAGTATGTGGCGTGTGACTGCCAAGCTGCTTTGGGCGTTTGAATTTGAGGAGCTGCCAGATAAGCCCCTCGATGTCAACGCGTACACCTCGTCGAATCTTGTGCGGCCGTTGGAATATGAAGTCAAGGTCACGCCTCGCAGCGAGCAGCATAGGGACGTCATTCGGCGGGAGCTGAACGGAGCCTTGGAGTTCTTGAGCCAGTATGACTGAGATTCAATCTTGGTCAAGCTGCCGTCAGGATAGGTTCTCGTTGGCTGTTGGGTAGCCTGGATAGGTCAAACATCGCAAGTATGCCAAGTGTGGCTCATTGGAGGACATGATGGATTTTGAGAGGGTCTGTGAGACCGTCGGACCATATACTTTGTATCTGAGATTACGGCCCCTTACGGAGCCCCTCGAGCATCATTTCAGGGCATACACAAGCGCACTCGACCGATCACGTGAATCTCCCTCCCGACTTGAAGCTGTCGAGCACTTCGGGCCCCTGCAACCACGCGTTGATCAACAATGACGGAGTATCTCTATCTGGCACCTTCCGTCTGCCGTACATAGATAGAGAAAGCTCGCGGCTCGCCTTCACGAGTCCTGATGCAGTATGGCCTCGACGGATGTTGAGTGCATGTGGTATCACCCACGGATAGTCTTCGGACTGTTTGGCTCGGTGGCAGCCGCTAATGCAAGACTTCACGCATGCCATTGACAACCGCTTCATCTCGACGCTAACGCCACCGAAGAGCGCGACTGGTATGGAAAACATCTATAGTAGGTAAGATCATTCACACGATCACGAGTGACTACTTCTGTCCTGCCCATTCGACTTACTGCCCACGTGATCCGCGATCATGTCAGTCCAAGGGAAAGTGGCCATAGTGACAGGAGCCGGCCTGGGGCTCGGCAGGCTGTACGCCCTGGCACTGGCGGCAAAAGGTGCCAAACTCCTCGTCAATGACTACGGCGGCAATCTAGAAGGACAATCAGGCACCATTACCAGAGCACAGGCGGTGGTCGATGAGATCACCAGCGTGGGAGGTATCGCCGTGGCGCACAATGGGGACGTGTCCAAGGATGCCAAAGACATCGTGAACGCCGCGGTCAAGGCTTTCGGCACCGTGCACATCCTCATCAACAATGCCGGCATCACAGGCAAGATGTCCCCACACGACAACGTTGATGGACCGGCATTTATGCGCGTGCTTGAGATCGGCGTTCTCGGGACCACCATGGTGACGAGCGCTGCCTACTCGGTCATGGCCAAGCAAAGATACGGCCGCGTGGTCAACGTTTCTTCCAATGCCATCTACGGGTTCGGCGCCGGTGGTGACTGTGCTTACGGTGCGTCCAAAGGGGCGACCTTTGCAATCACGAGGGAATTGGGAAGGTGGTCCGCGAAAGACGGCATCAAAATCAACGCTATTATGCCTTCTGCAGCATCGAGGATGACTGATTTGTCCGAGGCTACGAAAAAGCTGACTGCCACCTATTTTCCTCCAGAGGTATGTTTGACCTGTTAGTTACCTCTGTTGTTCACTGGTCGCCTTGTGTGCCGTACCCAATGAATACTAATTAGATGCGCTCAACAGGGTGTGGTCCCCTTTGTGATAGCTCTGTGCTCGGAAGAATGCCCGACATCAGGGGAAATCTTCACAGCGAGCGCCAACAGGGCCGCAAGAGAGACTTTAGCGACATTTCCAGGCGTCAACTCGGAGACGGCCGAAGGATTCCTAGCAGACTGGGACAAGGTTATGGGAAAAGGCGACACTCCGTTCCTGGGGGAAAGTACTCTCGATCAAGTCAAATACATCGTCCGGCAGGCACATGGCCAGGAAATGTACGATATCTCAGAAGAGTTCGGGATCGCCGGGAAGTAGCTGCCCACTCTTTCTCTAGACATACGATATTTCCACGTAGCAAATCAATTTCTATGTGTGTGTGTGTCTCACCGTGTAGAATAACCGCCGCATACGGGCAAAGTGATACCTGTGACATACGACGCCGCGTCCGACGCCAACCACAAAGAACCTTGAGCGACTTCATGAGGGGCTGCCCAGCGCTTCAGATAGCTCACGTCTGAAAAGGCCTCGTGTGTGGTGCCAATGGATTTCAGGCTGGCGGCCGACATCTCTGTGAGGATGGCACCGGGCGCAATGGTGTTGACTCGAATTCCTCTGTCTCCGTACTCGAGTGCTGCCGTCTTGGTCAAGCCGACCACTGCATGCTTGGAAGCCGTGTAGGCAGGCATATTATACTGTGGCTTGAATGCATTGACGGATGCAATGTTGATGATCGAACCCCCTTGACCCTGTTTGATCAGCTGCTGTAGTTCCCACTTCATGCAAAGTGCTGGCCCTTTCAGGTTGACCGCGATGACTCTGTCGAAGTATTGCTCGTCGAATTCGGCGGTTGGCGTCTTGTCGGGCGTGAGCGCGGCGTTGTTGACAGCGACGTCGAGTCTTCCAAACTTGGCAACGGCTTCGGCGACCAGATTCTGGACGGCTTGTGAATCGGAAACATCGGTCTTGACGAAATGAGCCTTCCCGCCCGCCTGGTTGATCTCGTCCGCGACGGCTTGACCTTTTGCCTCGTTCACATCAGCAAGCACGACACTTGCGCCGGCCTTTGAAAACACCTAGGCTCACTCGGTCAATACATCGCACGGCTGAAAACGTGTCCAAACCCACCAGCGCTGTTGCCTTTCCCATTCCCATTGCTGCTCCTGTAATGATGGCGACCTTGTCTTGCAGCACGGGGAAAGTCGATGCCTCCGGGACACTGATAGTCGGCACTTCTTGCGGCTCGCGGTCGTCCATCTCAAGAGATCTGATCACGCTATTCACGTTACGACCGGCTCAAGTTGCGACACTATATGGATTTTTCAGGACCTTTTAAAATCGGGCACAGAATGCATTACACTTAAAGTCGTCTCAGGACCGTGTTCTCCCTTTCCGGCTAGCCTTGCGGACGGACCAATTTGAATCTGTGTAACTAGAACGGATGGGTTGCATGCTGCACACAAGTGACTACGCAAGGAGAATTCAAATGACTGGCAGGACCCTCCTGGTCACACTGTTGTAACGTTCCGAGTAATATTACGTAGCCTATATAGTCTGATGGCCTACTTTCAAGTCCTCCAATTGAGTTACATCTGCCTGGCACCTGTCGGGCCCGGCGAACCTCTGACAAGAAGTGGGCATCCCCAGATACATGAGGTACTCTAGGTGCTTAGCAGTTTGAACAGGTCTGGGGAATATCCCACCAGAGGCTCATTTAGCCTGGTCCGGCAACCATCACAGCTTATGCCGCCCTTCAACCGAGCTCTAACTCCCCCTAAGTCTATGCGAGCAAATCTCATTTCACTTACCAGCCACGATCTCGACAAGGATAATTGCTAAGATGCAATTGTGATCTCTAAGAACAATCTATCTCAGTGAAAGGAGGATGGCTCAGCTTGCGAGAAGCAACCTCTTGAGCGGCAAGGTGGGCATTGTAACTGGCGCAACAAGAGGTAACTCTTCCCGAGGCCTGAGTCGTCTTTGATCTTTAACTAAACAACCTCAACAGGAATAGGGGTAGCTATTGCTCGCAATCTTGCTAGCAAAGGCTGCTCTCTCGTGCTGGGCTACACCTCAAAGTCATCAAAACCACTTGCCCAAGATTTAGTCCTGGAATTTGAACGACAGTTCGGAGTGAGTGCTGTGCCCGCGCAGGGTGACATTGGTAGGGAAGAGACTGCCTCGAAGATTGTCCAAGCAGCTCAAGGGGCATTCGCGAATGGCAAGAAGAGCAGATTTCAAATTGATATCATCGTCAATAATGCTGGTATCGCGGACCTGAAACCACTAGGCAACATCAACATCGATGACTTCAACAAGATATACTCGACCAACGTCCTGGGTCCAATCTTCCTGCTTCAAGCCTGTCTCCCATATCTACCAACAGATCGTTCCGGCCGGATCGTCAACGTCTCCAGTGTCGGCAGCGCTTTAGGCCTCCGAGAACAGACAGTCTATGCGGGATCGAAGGGCGCGCTGGAGGCCATGACCCGTGTCTGGGCCCGTGAACTGGCGGAGCGTGCCACGGTCAACTCGGTGAATCCGGGACCTGTGCTATCAGATATCTTCCGAGGTTGCTCGGACGACATCAAGAAGATGCTGGGTCAATGGAATCAGGTTTCTCCTTTGGCAAGCGTTAGGCCTGAGGATGACGAAACTGTGCGACAATGGGAACAGTTTGGGGGACGACCGGCGTACGCTGCAGAGGTTGCGGGCGTGGTGGCCATGCTTTGCTCTCCAGACGCGGGCTGGACGACGGGAAGCGTCGTCTCGGCCAACGGGGGAATGCGGTTCTCATACTAGGTAGGACTTTGACATAGGACCGCGTAATGGACATGGCCTTCGCCAGTGGATTTTGTGATTTCTGTCAAAGTCCTTCCGAAGTGATTCCGTCTTGCGAAACACAGACGCTATGCGAAGTATAGGCAGGCTACCCAACGCGTGGCCCCGGTGGTATGCCCGGGGTAGGCGCACATAAGCCCGCCGATGCTGTTAATCGGCACGTCTTCCTCCTCGCAACGTCTAGATGGGCATATGCGGTCCGGAGCTTACGTTGTTTCAAACCGCTCCCCCTCGTGGATGGCAGACCACGATCGGGCAAGCCCCATTCAACTGCATGAACATATGGAATTGCCCCCTGGCGAAAACGGAGAAAACACGTCTTGGTAGACTTGCAAGGGGGAATTTCCCTTGACGACGGGACCTTTGGGGGATTTTGTGTTCATGATCCTTGAAGTGCAGAAGAAGTTCAGACGTGGGAGATGACTCCCAGGCCGGGCAAAGAATGCAAATGGCACTTACGGGGTACAGGGAGATCGGAAAGACCAGTTTGAACCTCCTGGGGAAAAGTGTACCCTTGCTCCCTTCGACAACCTCAAGCATAAATAGCAATTTTATTTCATAAATGTCATATAATGTTGCATATCTAAACTTCAGACTTGCAGGACGGTCTTCGCATTTATACATGCTTGAATTGGACTTATGAAACTATCAGAATTGGACTGAGCAAGCATTCACTTTAGCATCAGTTGTAGGCTTTCTTGGAGACAAGATTACTATTCTGGAGTGTCAAGACTCGCCAAAATCACCTCCAGCTATTGCAAGTTATACAGAATCTCTCACATTTCAGCCTCTCCGCCACCCGTTGTCGCTCTTGCAGCAAAGTAGACTGCTGTCACGAGAGCCTTGAGCACGATGAATCTTCTTACATGGTAGTATCAATCGATCAATTCAAGATTCGTGATGTTCTTCGTGCGAAGAAGCCGTTGGGTGCTTCGCTTCT